ATCGGTTTAAGCAAACGGTTAGGATGTTCGAAAATGTCTTTAAACGTTTCTTTCGGTTGAATCGCACCTTTTTTTTCGTAAAAAATTAATTTTTCTAAACGTCAAAAATACGATTATCCACGAGATGGAAGTGACAAAAAATTTTAATTAATAAATTTAAAATAATTCATAAAAATTTAATAAAAATTATGGTTATAATTATAAAAATCGATGATTTTCGATTTAATTTAACAAATAAAACTAACTAAAAATTTTTTTAACCTTAAAATTTCTAATTTTAGTTTTATTTCTAACGCGTAGGAGGTAGCGCCATCTAGTGACATTTATAAACATTAATTAATGCTATCTTCGAAACTATAAGAGATATAAAAGTAGCTGACATGTCATGATATCCAAGGTTTGTAAAGCGTAAAAAATAAATCTTTTTTGTAGTTGTTGGATGTAGTATATATGAGGATTCGTGTGTAATACCCAACTCTCTCCACAAACCAAGATTTGAGGGTCCACAATCAGACACACATGCAATCACCTCAAAACCAATATCGTGCAGTTTATTAATTAATGTTAATAACAAAGTACCAGTCATTCTTGTATCAAAACCGGCAAAAATTGGCTGCTTCCAAGATCCAAACAGTCCCCTGGCGTTCACAACCTGTATTTGTGAATGCGGACTAATAATTTGATCATATTTCCTATCATACTCATACAGTTCTGCAACTTTGATCACTGTACCCTCTTCCAGCCACAGATAGAAAAAGTAGCATGTGATGTAAAATACCCTGTCTCATATCAATTTTTGAAGCCCAAGATTTTAGCGTTGATATACCTAACATAAATAAAATAAATTGATATCAATAAAATTATTGAATAAAAGTAAACAAGTAAAAATAATAAATTAACCTGGTAGGGGATAATTTAAATGAATCCGTAAATACTGATAGCATCGTTGACTAAGATATCTAAGAGTTTGTAATATCTTCTTCACCCCATTTTACAATCCGTTTGTTATGGATAACTTTTTCTACTTGCTTTGGTGTAAATATATGTTGTATTTTATTTTTTAAAATGTTTATTTCTTTAAAATTCTTTTGTGTAACATGTTTCATAAGACGTTGTACTTTTCCATTTAAAAAACAGTTTTGACGCCTAATTGTCTTTATGAGAACATCCTTCCTACGTAACTTTCTTTCCAAAACATCATTTTTCTCTGCTAATTCACATATTTTTCGTTTCAATTCATTTATTGTGTCATCAGTTGTTATCATATCTTCAGTTTGACATGCTACACTGGATTTTAATAAACAGTTTACATCATTTCCCTTCGATAATGGTTCTTTTGAAATATTTAACAATGATGTAGATGGATCAAGGTAAATAAAAATCAGTAATAAACAAAAAAAAACTATTTTATAATATAAAATAACCGAAATGACAATGAAAAAAACAGAAATCGTATTACGGTGTATTGCGGCTGGATCTGGTGACGTCACGATGAGGGCATCTAAGGGGGGAATATTTTCGTACGTTGAAAAAGTTGAGTCTGGCCAACCTGGTACAATACGCTTTACAAACCTTGATGATATCAAAGAATGTGTTTCAACGTGGTAAGATTTAAAAAAATGAGCAATGACTTCCAGAAAAGAAAAGTTGAGCTGTTTTAGTTATGTTTACAAATCTCAATACAACTCTGATAAAAATATTGGGCAATGTTAGGATAGGTCAGTTTTGTTTTCAAACCCTAATTATAGCATGAAGGAATGTCGGTTTTCTTTTGAACCCCAATTATAGCGTGAAGGAATGTCGGTTTCCTTTTGAACCCTAATTATACCGTGAAGAAACCACAATTAAAGCGTGAAAGAATGTTAAAACCGGTAGTTTTTCTTTTGAAAACCAAATTAAAGCGTGAAGAAACCCAAATTAAAGCGTGAACGAATGTTAGGATAGGTCAGTTTTGTTTTGAAAGCCTAATTATAGCGTGAAGGAATGTCGGTTTTATTTTGAACCCCAATTATAGCGTGAAGGACTGCCGGTTTTCTTTTGTATCCCAATTATAGCATGAAGAAATCCCAATTAAACCGTGAAGGAATGTTAAGACCGGTAGTTTTCTTTTGAAAACCAAATTAAAGCGTGAAGAAATCCAAATTAAAGCGTGAAGGAATGTTAGGATAGGTCAGTTTTGTTTTGAAACCCTAATTATAGCGTGAAGGAAAGTCGGTTTCCTTTTGAACCCTAATTATACCGTGAAGAAACTGCAATTGAATGCTTCGCGCGAACAACGTAGCAAACGACAAAATGTATTAATTGAAAAAACCAAATTTTTGTTTTTAAAAATGTTTATTTATATCAAAAGTAATGCTTCCATTCTTCTAAAACACTATGACTCGTTCTTAATCGTAGAACTCCAGGTTCTTCTGCAGTAACTTGCAGCCATCGTGCCTGGGTTATTTTAAGGCTAGGATCTCTTTTAAAAAGTTTTTCAACGGAATCAAGATTTAAAAAATTAATCTGGGTCATTTTAAAAACTTCAAAGGGATTTATCCGGCGTACATTGGCCAGGAACTCCACCAGATCATCAGGCTCATACAGTTTACACAGTTTTTTATTCTTCGCAATCAGAGCAGAATCCCTATCACAGGGTAAAAAACTATGCCCACTTACCAAAAACTTTTGATTAACTTCAGAGAAATATCTCAAATAAATTTTGTTCATTGTAAGTTTTCTTATAAAAGTCCGTGTATAAATCTAGTTTTTCTTCGTCAGTAATATTTTTACAACCCATATATTTACATTTACACTGGAAATCCTGTAACAGAATGGTAAAACGAAAATGATATTATGTAGGTATGTACATATTAAAATCACGCAACTTTAATCAAACAAAAGTTTAGAAAAGTAACATGAATAACATTAAACGCACAAAGCACGTTGTTCCAACCAACATGACTTGGTCCCGGTTTACCGCTCACTGGTTTTCCCCTTCGACTTATGTAGGGTTTTCCTGCATCTTTTAACATCTTCCTTTTGAAATCCTTCCTGTTTGTAATGTCTATTTTTCTTCTTTTACGTTTATTAATATCATTTAACTCACTTAAACTTACGCGAATTGTTGACTGAAACGACACCATGTCGGTATTAGCAACGTTGTTCTGCTGTTTACGTTCAGCGCTCTAGATTACAAACATAAGTTTAGCAAAGACAAAAACATTATTTCTGCTTGAACCCTAAGATATGGATAAGTATTAGTATAATCAAAGATGTTCCATAAGAAAGTCATATTTCACATTTTTGTCGTTTGCAACGTTGTTCGCGCGAGGCATTCAATTATAGCATGAAGATATGTTAGTATAGGTCAATTTTGTCGGTTTTTTTTTGAACCCCAATTATAGCGTGAAGGAAAGTCGGTTTTCTTTAATTTAAGATATAAAACATCGTTTAACTTCCATAAATACAGACAGGATCTTTTTATCAAATTTTTGTTACAATCTTTGTATTTAAAAATTATGGTTATAATTATAAAAATCGATCGTTAATATTAGAAAAATTCAATTAAGTTATTAAAAAAAAAATTAATTAATGTTTATAAATGTCACTAGATGGCGTTACCTTCGACGCGTCTTTTTTTAAGTGACATTTCTTGACGTTTCATTAAAAAAATTTTTTTAACTCAATTTGCGTTAGAAATAAAACTATAATTAGAAATTTTAAGGTTAAAAAAATTTTTAGTTAGTTTTATTTGTTATTCCATCGGCAGAAAAATCTACGAAAATGTTGTGATTAAAATAATTTTTTGTTTCAAAGTTTTCAACCCTGCCGTTACCATGGTGATTTGTCAATAAGCACCGACATCTTTAAAAAAAGTCACTTGTTGCATCAAGAGAAAGTTTTATAACAATTATCGCGATTATATTAAACAATTTTCGCATAAAATGAAGTTAAAATATCCCTTTTTTTTAAAGCGGAGTAAGTACATTCAACTTTTGTAACGAATTAGTTGTTATTGCGTTGTGCATATTTCTCAACCCAACCTAACTTTTTTCAAGGACTATTTAATTCGTCCAAAAATTAGAAATTTTAGGTTACGCCGTGCGTTTTTGACGCGTTAATAATCTAAAATGATTCAAATAGTGATTAAATTAAATTTTATGCAAAATGAATCAACTAAAATATTTTGAAATTGACATAAAAAAGTTAGGTTATGTCTGAAACTTCATTCCGAGATAAAAATCGTTTTAAGCAAACGCTTAGGATGTTCAAAAATGTCTTTAAACGTTTCTTTCGGTTGAATTGTATCTTTTCTTTCGTAAAAATTTAATTTTTCTAAACGTCAAAAATACGATTATCCACGAGATGGAAGTGACAAAAAATTTTAATTAATAAATTTAAAATTAATAAAAATTTAATAAAAATTATGGTTATAATTATAAAAATCGATGATTTTTGATTTAATTTAGCGTTAATATTAGAAAAATTCAATTAAAAGTTATTTAAAAAAAATTAATTAATGTTTATAAATGTCACTAGATGGCGCTACCTTCTACGCGTCTTTTTCAAGTGAGATTTCTTGACGTTTCATTAAAAAAATTTTTTTAACTCATTTTGTGTTAGATTTAGCGTCTTTGACGCACGGCATAACCTAAAAATTTCTAGTTTTAGTTTTATTTCTCATTCCATCGACAGAAAAGTCTACGAAAATGTGATTAAAATAGTTGTTAAAAGTTTTCGACCCTGCCGTAACCATGGTGATTTATCAATAGTCACTGACATCTTTAAAATAAGATAGAAAGTTTTATAAACATATTAAACAATTTTCGTGTTAAATGAAGCTGAAAGATCCGTTTTTAAGACAGAGTGAGTACATTCAATTTTTGTAATGAATTGAAACAACCTGTTTAATTTCGCGAAATTAACATCTGTCAAAAAAAAAATGACAATGAAGTTAACCTCAATTAACCTCCAAATTAGTACCAACCCAAATTTAACAAAAAAGAAAACAACCCCAATTCAATTTTTACATCCGTCTTTTATATATATATTGTAATCATGATTTAGGTCATATTATTTAATAGTGAATGATTTTGGGACGTAGATTTGAATCTTAAATTACTCGGCGCAATCGTAGATTGTAAAAAAAAATTGGAAGACAAATTTTGACACACACAACGCACACCAAGAACCGAATTAACCCTCAAAAAAAAAATAACCCTTTTAGAATCGATTAAAAACGTTTTTCGAAAAGTTTCCCAGTCCACGTGGAAAACTTCTTTTTTTGTTGTTCCGACCCGGCGTTATCAACGTTTCTCATTTTTTGTTCCAATTCCTTTTTGGCCATTTGGAACCGGTCTTTTCCCTCGTCAAAACGTCTCCTTCGAGCCTCGTTCCTGCGATGAACACCTTCGTACGATGACATTAAAGAGCCCGTGCTTTGGTAAATCATTCTTTTTGTTTCCCCAACGACTTTACATTTCGTTTCGGGGATCGTTCCGTGTTCGAGTTTTCTCACTTGGTGTTCTTCGGCGTCTTTAATCAGGCTTTTGTGGTTTATTCCCATATGGTTCTTTAAGTCTTCGTGATCACCCTTCTCCAATAATTTTTGTAAATCCACCACGCGTTCTTTTAACTCTTTAACTTCATTGGATGAAGAGTTTGAGTCGATTTTTTCAAGAAGATGGTTTAGGGTTGATAAATAAGTTTTGGCTTCTTCGAGTTTTTCTGGAAAATCTTTTTCAAGCACCTTTTTTAACTCGTTCGTAGAACTTTCCGCCCCAAAACGATCGTTTTCAACAAGTTTCTTTAACTCTTCAAGTTTTACCCGAACATCCGGCTTCTCCTCTTGCTTTAAAACATCTTTTGATATGATTTGTTCCGCGACTTGGAACGTTTCTTTCGCCTTTTCGATACGTTTCAAAGCATCCTCCTCAATTTTCGTAACTACCTCGATCAATTCTTTAAGAAAAACTTCGCTTGTTGGTTTCGTTTCTTCTTGAGCTTTAATCCCCTTTTTGATCTTATCAAATTTCTTTTGGACGTTTTCGACTTTTTCCCACTCAGTCTCCTCCATCACCTTATTTAAGTCTTCAAAAATCGATTCTAAGGCAGGCGATGGTTTCTCTTCGAGACTTCGAACTTTTTCTAATTCCAATTTTAATTCCGAACAAGCTTTCTTTGTTGGTTTATCCTCCATTTTCACTTCTGGTGCAGTTTTAGATAGTTTATCGACTAACTCGTTTACTTGAGGAGGGGGAGATTTTTCTTTTGAGTCTTTTATTGCGGAAGCTTCAAAACTGTGATCGAAATCATCTTCGTTTCCAATTTTTTGCTGCTTCTTTTTCCTTCTTTCTTTGACTTTGCGTTTTTCAAAGTCGTCGACCACCTAAAAAAATGTCAGAAAGAATTAAAATATATTTAAATCATTAATGTGTCATAAATGAGTATGAGAAAGGAGACTGGAAAGGCCAAAAGGATGGCAGGAAACATGGTAATAAAAAATCGAAGCAGAATAAACTCTGGAATGAGAAGAAAAATATTGGGCAGAAAGAAATAAGACTTCTAATGTGAGAATAAAGCAAAATAAAGACTGGAGAGAAATAACTAAGACTTGAAAGAGACTGGTAGGTAGACTGGATAATGGTAGGACTCTTGGCAGAAAAGAAAGAGACTGGAAAATAACTGGTAATGCAAAATAGTCATTTGGCAGAAAAAGATAAGACTAGAAATAGAAGAAAAAGATTATAAAAAAGCTGAAAATAGCAAAAGGAAACCAATGGGAGATTTGTCAAAAAGGAATTAAAGTGGAATGAGGTTGGTAAAAACATCCTGACGTCAGATAAGAAAAAGGAAAGAGAAGAGGATACTGGGCGAAAAGTGTCAAGATTTATAATAAGAGGAAGAAACTAACCGAAATGGAATAAGATATGCGAAATGAGACTAATAATAAAAGAAGTAGGCTGAATGAAGACTGTTGAAGGAAGAAGTGAGACTGATAATAAAGAAAAAGAGATTGTACAAAGACTTTAAAATCTTCAATGACTGTAAGAAATTGAGTAAACAAATTGGAAAGAGAAGAAAAAGATTTCATAGGGATTGTAACGGAAGAAAGGGGTTAAACAAAAATATATTTATCTACAAGTAGTTCCTTAAGCAAATATAACAAATATCTAACTATCACTAAAACAGGAAACATTAATATAAACCGAGGCAGTAGCTTTTTTATTATAAAACATTAAGAAAAGGTTTGTTCCATATTATAGATATACAGGATGTCTCCGAAATAAAAATTTTTTTTTGCTAATTTTGAAGTCCTCTAGCGGCGAAACGAAGCAACTTTGGATATAGATAACTTAACTTAAATCGACCTATTTTGAGTCAAGAAATTTGTGGTCTTCCGTTGTACACGCATTTCGGAGACACCTGTATTTAGAGACCGAGGCACTAAGTTTTTTCAATATAAAGCAATAAGGAAAGATTCTTTTTAGTGTTAATACAAGCTGAGGCAGTAGCTCCGGTATTACAAAGTGATAAGAAAAGGTTTGTCTTGAACAGAGTGTCCATTATGTATGGAATATAGTATACAGGTGTCTCTGAAATACGAGTGGTTAGGCCAGAAAAAGGCATTTTTAAATATGTGGAAGTAGCTTTTAAGTAGCCTTGTGTGCGTCATTGCAGCTTTGGATATAGATAGATAACATAACTTAAATCGACCTATTTTGAGCAAAGGAATCTGTCCTTCCGTTGTATACGCATTTTGGAGACGCCTGTATACAATATTCCATACATAATGGGCATCCTGTATATTAATATAGAAGATAAACCTTTTCTTATCACTTTATAATGCCGGAACTACTGCCTCGGCAGCACAGCTGACTCGGCAAATTTTTTCTTAATATTTGATAAGAAAAAAACCCCACTGCCTCGGCCTCTAAATATATATACAGGGTCGCTAATATGTATGGAAACGGTCAGTTATCTGCTAAAGTAAGATAGCTAGCGAAAAATGTTAGTATACAAAAGTTATTAAATCTATTTTTGACACTCGGGGAATTGTTTAAAATAATTGGTTAACATTACTTACTTCAACTATGAAGTAAGTAAATTTTAAGGTAATTTTTCTCAACACTTTTTTTATGTAACCAATATTAATATTCAGAAAATGATTGTCATTTGAAAAAAATTTCGATGACGTCATAACTCCGTAAATTCTTTCTATAAACCGTTTATAATGATTTTATCGGCTATATCCACTACTTTATGGACAGCCTATACAGGGTGTATCTGAATGACTGCAACAAACTTCAAGGGGTAATTCTTTAGTGAATTTTAAGGGTACTTTGATATATGAACCATGGGCGACTTCGGCTCCCCTAAGGAGCTACACCCCTCTAAAAATGGTGGAAAATTTTGGTTTAATTTGTTTTTCTCAAAAACCATAAACGCTACGAAAATGAAATTTGGGGAATATGTTTAACTCATAATAGGGCATGTTTTGACCCTACTTGTACTTTCAACCTACCCTTCTAAGCTAATAAACGTAACCACCCCCTTCATATTTTTGCTAATATTTTTTTTATGCAGATGATAAATACATTAAAATTTTTTTATCTAGGTAGATGAAAGTATCCTAAAACTTTTTTGTCTCTCTAAAATTTTTCCAAAAACGACTAATTTTTGAGAAAAAAAAATAAAGCAAACACTGTTGGAATGAATTTTTAATGAAAAAATCTTAGTAGGCTTTACAATCTTTGTCAGAAATATTTTTGACGTTTAAATGTCAGTGTTTTTCTTACTATTATTATTTTTTTCAAATTAATTTTTAAATAAGGTTCTATCGCATTTACGCTCGTTCACTCGACGTTTCAAAATTTTAAATAAAACAATAATAATAGTACGAAAACCACTGACATTTAAACGTCAAAAATATTTATGACAAAGATTGCAAAGCCTATTAAGATTTTTCCATTAAAAATTTATTCCAACTTTCGATTAACAACCCTACAGCTTAACAGTTAGTGTTTGCTTAATTATTTTTTTTTCTCAGAAATTATTAAATTTTCGAAGAACATCAGAGAGACAAAAAAGTTTTAGAATAGTTTTATCTATCCAACTGAAATTTTTCCGATGTATTTATCATCTTCATAAAAAAAATCTAGGCATAAATTGAACGGGGGTGGTTATGTTTAGTAGTTTAGAAGGGTAGGTTGAAAGTACAAATAGGATCAAAACGTGCCCTATTATGAGTTAAACATATTCCCCAAATTTCATTTTCCTAGCGTTTATGGTTTTTGAGAAAAAAAAATTAAACCAAAATTTTCCGCCATTTTTGGAGGGGTGTAGCTCCTTAGGGGAGCCGAAGTCGCCCATGGTTCATATATCAAAGTACCCTTAAAATTCACTAAAGAATCACCCCTTGAAGTTTGTTGCAGTCATTCAGATACACCTGTATAATACAGAAAAGAAACTTCTTTTAATGTTTTATAAAAAAAAACCCAGTGCCTCGGCTTCTATTGACATATTAATACTGTAGAAAACCTCTTTCTTAATGTTTTGTAATAAAAAAGGCTGCTACCTCGGTTTATCGTAATATATTATCGCTTCATAAAAAAAAACATTGCCTCGGCAGCACAGCTGGCTCGGTTTTTTAAGATATAGTAACATAGAAGAAATCTTTTCCTATTACTTTATAATAACAGAGCTACTGCCTCGGCAACACCAGCGCTGCTGCCTCGGTTTGCAACAATATATCATTGTTGCAAAGAAACCTTTTCTTATTGCTTTATAAAAAATACCACTGCCTCGGTTTCTATTGATATATTAATACTGTAGAAAAACTTTTCCTTAATGTTTGGAATAAAAAAGCTACTACCTCGGCAGCGCTGCTGCCTCGGCTTGCAATAATATATCATTGTTGCAAAGAAACCTTTTCTTATTGCTTTATAAAAACTCTACTACCACGGCAGCATAGCTGCCTCGGTTTCCATTAATATGTTAATACTGTAAAAAAACTTTTTCTTAATGTTTTGTAATAAAAAAAGCTACTACCTCGACAGCACTGCTGCCTCGGCTTGCAATAATATATCATTATTGCATATAAACCTTTCCTTATTACTTTATAAGAAACACCACTGCCTCGGCAGCATAGCTGCCTCGGTTTCCATTGATATATTAATACTGTAGAAAAACTTTTCCTTAATGTTTTGTAATAAAAAAGCTACTACCTCGGCAGCGCTGCTGCCTCGGTTTGCAATAATACATCATTGTTGCAAATAAACCTTTTCTTATTGCTTTATAAAAAACACCACTGCCTCGGCAGCATAGCTACCTCGGTTTTCATTGATATATTAATACTGTAGAAAAACTTTTCCTTAATGTTTTGTAATAAAAAAGCTACTACCTCGGCAGCGCTGCTGCCTCGGTTTGCAATAATACATCATTGTTGCAAAGAAACCTTTTCTTATTGCTTTATAAAAAGCACCACTACCTCGGCAGCATAGCTGCCTCGGTTTCCATTAATATAGATACTCTAGAAAAACTTTTTCTTTGTGTTTTGTAACAAAAAAAGTTACTGCCTCGGCAGCACAGCTGCCTCGGCTTGTAATAACATATTATTACTGCAAATAAATCTTTTCTTATTACTTTATAAGAAAACACCACTGCCTCGGCAGCATAGCTGCCTCGGTTTCTATTAATATATTAATACTGTAGAAAACTATTATAAAAACCTACCTCATCACTAATCGGTCCAATCGGCAACTCCTCCGATTTTCTTATAATCTCCTTATGATCCCCAGTTTGAATCCGCTCCTCAATCGAAACAGGATCCGGAACTTCACTTTTCTTACCACCCGGCTTACTCGGCGGCTTCGGCTGCTCTTTAATCCCCTCCTCGATCTTCTTCAACGCTTCATCTTGAATTTTGTTCTGCTCTTTCAACATCTCCTGAGTCTTCTCGTCATCATGCGCAGCTTTTTGCGGTATAAGCTTATCGAAAACATCTTTGTAAAGTTCTTTTTGCAAATCTTTTATTTGAAAATCATGATCCAACGATTTATTTTTCATTTTTTTATCAACTTGTTTTCCAGTCTCATTTGATGGTTTTTTAACATCCGTAGTTTTAGAAGTATCTTTTAGATTTATTTCTTTCTGATGATCAGTAAACTGAGGATCTAAATTCCTTGATACTAAGTCTTTTGTTGTTAAATCTTTATTTTGAGGTGGAGTTGAAACTTTTTGGGATGCACTCTTTATTGTTGTTGTTGAAGTTGTTGTTGTAGATTTCTTTTTTAAATCTAAATCCTTTTTCGTTAAATCTTCAGGTGGTGTTGAGATTTTTTGGGATGCACTCTTTATTGTTGTTGTTGGAGTTGTTGCAGATTTCTTTTTCAAATCCAAATCTTCAGGTGGTGTTGAAACTTTTTGGGATACATTTTTTATTGTTGTTGTTGGAGTTGTTGCAGACTTCTTTATCAAGTCCAAATCCTCAGGTGGTGTTGAAACTTTTTGAGATACATTCTTTATTGTTGTTGTTGGAGTTGTTGCAGATTTCTTTTCCAAATCCAAATCTTTAGGTGGTGTTGAAACTTTTTGGGATACATTTTTTATTGTTGTTGTTGTTGTTGTTGCAGACTTCTTTATCAAGTCCAAATCTTCAGGTGGTGTTGAAACGTTTTGGGATACATTTTTTATTGTTGGTGTTGTTGGAGTTGTTGCAGATTTCTTTTCCAAATCCAAATCTTCACATGGTGTTGTAACTTTTTGGGATACATTCTTTATTGTTGTTGTTGGAGTTGTTGCAGACTTCTTCATCAAATCCAAATCTTCAGGTGGTGTTGAAACTTTTTGGGATGCACTCTTTATTGTTGTTGGAGTTGTAGCAGACTTCTTTTTCAAATCCAAATCCTTTTTCGTCAAATCAGGTGATGTTGAGTCTTTTTGGAAAACACTCTTTATTGTTGTTGGAGTTGTAGCAGACTTCTTTTTCAAATCCAAATCCAAATCTTGAGGTGGAGTTAAAATCTTTTTGAACACATCGTTTATCGCAGACTTTTTTTGCAAATCTTCCTTTTTCCCAGAATCTTTAGGTGCAGTCAAAACTTTCTTTTCATCCAAATTTTGTACCCCATCTTCCTTAATTCCTTTCAAATCCTCCTTTGGACCAGTTGCAATATCAGATTTCGAAATTTTTTGATCTTTCGTACAAGAAGAATCATCACCCGAAAATTTAAGCGTCTTAAAAAATTCATCAATCGTCTCAGCAATTAACGATTTAGCAGACACCTTCGAAGAATCCAAATTTAATTTTGAATCGCAACTTGATGATGGTGGTTTTGATTTTTTCCCCGATGATGATGATGATGATGTTGTTGTTGTTGTTGGAGGTGGTGAGTCTCCTCCAGAAGCTGATTTAGGTGGATCCCCACCTTTTCCTCCTCCACCTTTTTCGCCATCTTCTTTAGCTTTCTTAGGAAGTTCTTTTTTAATCTCTTTTAATTTCTCCTCATCGCACACAAAAACTGACTTAATTTCCTTCAAGACGTAAATAAACGTGTTTAAAGCACTTTGCCCCGCCGCCAAAATATTTTTCCCGCTTGACGCAACTTTCGCTTTTGCGCTAGATAAAGCTTCTTTAGATGAAGCCTTTTTGCCATCCTTTTTGGTTAAACTTTGAACTGATTTGATCGCGCTTTCTAATCCTTTACTACACATCTCTTTGATATTAGCCCCTTTTTCTGATCCTTTCTTTTCGGGTTTTTTCTTATCGACGTCTTTCAATAAATCGGAACATTTTTTGGTCGACTTTTTCTTTTGGCTTAAATCCGGGTCCATTTTACCCGAAGTTGGGGGGCAAAACTTTCGATCTTTAGCTTTCTTCGCATTTACTTTTTGTTCTTCATCTTTACTCAAAACTTTCGCTGGGGGTTGTGATTTCACAGCCGGGGGACATGGTGTTTTGGAATCTTTTTGAGTTAATTTTGACGTTGATGAAGAAGAAGAAGAAGTATTTTGGCAAGGTTTGGTTTCTTTTTTTGGTGGTTCTTTCTTTTTTGCTCCGCAAGGTGACTCGGATTTGCAAGTATCACGTTTTTGAAATTCTGCGATTTTTGCTGCTACATTTACTATTTGTGGTTTACGACAAGGTTTAGCACAAGGACATGGTTCTTCTTTCTTTTGCCCACAAGGTTCTGATTTTGCCTTACAAGGGGTGCGACGCTTTTTTGATACGCAAGGAGGTTCTTTTTTAGGACAAGGTTTTGGTTTTGGATCGCAAACATTTTTTTTGCTTAAACAAGGTGTTGATTTCGCTTTACAAGGAGACTTTTTTGCACCACAAGGAGATTTTTTAGCACCACAAGGTTCCTTCTTAGCTCCACATGGTTCTTTCTTCACCATACAAGTTTCTGATTTAGCCTTACAAGGAGATTCTTTCTTCGCCATACAACTTTCTGATTTAGCCTTACAAGGAGATTCTTTTTTGGCACCACAAGGTTCCTTCTTCGCCATACAACTTTCTGACTTAGCCTTACAAGGAGACTCTTTTTTAGCACCACAAGGTTCCTTCTTCGCCATACAACTTTCTGATTTAGCCTTACAAGGAGATTCTTTTTTAGCACCACAAGGTTCTTTCTTCGCCATACAACTTTCTGACTTAGCCTTACAAGGAGATTCTTTTTTAGCATCACAAGGCTTCTTTTTACCTCCACCAACCCCACAAGAACTCTTTTTTGCACCAAGACATGGCCCCTTTTCGGGAGCATTACAACTTGGTGCTTTCTTTTCTGGCTTTGCACCACAAGGAGGAGTTGACTTAGCTTTACAAACATCTTTTTTAGCTCCACATGGATCTTTTTTTGGGGAACTACAAGGAGATGTTTTTTTAGCTTCACAAGGAGATGCTTTTTTAGCACCACAAGGAGGAACTTGTTTAGCCTTACCCATTTTTTCTCCACAAGTACTTTTTTTTGGCTTAAAACATGAAGCACTCGATGCCTCGCAAATACTTGACTTCTTTTCTGGTTCCTTTTTTGCTCCACAAGTTTCTTTTTTAGCTCCACAAGTATCTTTTTTAGCTCCACAAGTATCTTTTTTAGCTCCACAACTTTCTTTTTTAGCCCCACAAACATTTTTCTTCGACATACAATCATTCTTTTTTGGTTCCTTATTAGCTAAGCATACATTTTTGACTTTAACCTTAACCCCAACGCAAGGACTCTTTTTTTTACCACCACCACCACCACAAGAAAACTTGCTTTTATTCGATTTAGGTTTAGATTCCTCTTTCTTCTTCATACATTCGTTTTTTTTCGTTTCGCACTTAATTGATTTTGGGAATTCCCTTTTCGCGCAAACATTTTCTCCAGAAGATTCTTTATTTCCGGTGTTATTTTCTTTTTTATTACAATCACATTTTCCATCTTTTTTTCCAGGACAATCCGAGCACCCACACCCTTCCTTCCGTTTCGGCACCGAACTCGAAAAGCTTTTAACCTCCCTCCTCCTCATAGAGCCAAGATTATCACTTTTTGAAGACTTGTTATTGTTGTTACGTTTTCGTTTTTTTTTCCTTTCCATACAAGTGATGACTTTGTCGTGTTTTTGTCTTTTTATCAACTTCATAAAATTCCTTGTCTTGATCCGAATTCTTGGTGTTGTTAATGTAGCTCCACCTACAGCAATAATAGAGACACCGATATTGATGAGAAACGTCCAAAATCAAATCAGCACGATTTTTTACCTTCTTCCGGTGGGTTCTTCGTTGCACAGGTTTCCTTTTTTTCGCAAGATGTCATCTTCTTGATTGGATTCGTTTTGTGACAATCAGGCCCGTAGTTGCTTTTGTGTTGCTTTTTGAATTCTTTTGACATTTCTCCTTGGACTTTATCGAGGACTTGTTTGCAGTGTTGCCAACATGCGTTTGCGGTTTCTTTTGAAACTAAATTTGTTTTGGTTTCTTTTTTAGTTTTAATTTCTGGTTTTTTTCCGCACACACTCGGTCGTTTCTTACAAACAAACTTTCTATTGCTTATAATCGATTTCTTTTTGGGACAAGGATTCGGTGGAGCCCCACACGGCATTTTCGTTGATATCAAACTTTTGCAAACATCATCGTAAACCACGTTCAATTCCGGAATAGGGGCACACCGCCAAATCGCCGCGGCAACTTGAGGCGAATTTCCAGGAATATCACACTTTGGTTTTGACTTTGATTTAGATTCTGATTTAATCGGTGCTTTAGGACAAACATCTCTATAAGCATCACATTTAACTTTGATGCTTTTACTTTGGCAATTAAATTGTGGAGTTTCAATTTTGAGACAAGATAGTTTTTGAGCCTCCATTATAGGCTCCTTATTACATAAAGAAAAAGACATTTTAGGTTCTACATCATCATTTTCTAACTTAATCTTAATCAAATTCGGCATCAACTTTTCAATTTCTTCTTTCGGGGTAACAATTTTCAATCCGATTCTGCTTTTGTCCAACAATTCCACATCGATGGGATTAATCGGTTTCTTATTAATGGTTTTTTCGACGATTTTTTTTGAAGAAAAATTCTTTTTAGCCGTTGCGGTGGTCGTTGTCATTCCATCTTCGTCTACGCTCCTTCCCTGATGATGTCTGTAACGTACCAATCGGACTTTAAATTCATTTTGGGTGAGTCCGAGGAGGCTCGATGAAGATTCCTTACCGGAAGTGCAAGTCGAAAATTCGCGCCTCGATTGACGATAGCCACCGGGTCTTCTAGTAACTCCATCCGAAGTTGAGCAGGAACCGGCGTCTTCCTCCATCTGTTTCCGCTCTCTAAACTCGCGCAAAGCTTCCATCTCCTCAGCGGTTAATTCCTCGAAACTTCTCGAACGTTTTTGTTCCGGCGATTCAGCACTGGTAAATAAATACGCCCAAAGTTTTGATAAAGTCGATTGACGGTCAAATGCGGATTTCTCAACCACTTTCTCTGTATTCTCAACTTCCTCGTTATTTTCACCCCTACTGTACTCGATAATCTCCTTTTTCCGATACCCATTTTCCCCCTCTTCCAAATTGACACCGTACTTCTCCAGAAACGCCTCAATTTTTCGACTAAAAGGCTCGTTAATGTCGCCCTTGCGCAACGCATCTTGCAAAAAATGAACAAAAACGTCGTTCTTCGGATTCATCGTCGTTTTGGGGTCCAAAAAGATGTTGATTATGCAGGGCTTCTCGTCCGATTCCTCGCCGTCTTGGCTACGATCGACGTTTTTCACGATTTTCAACGCAGGTTCGGTGGCTGAAGGGGCTGAATGTACGCGGAAATCACCGGAACTATCGCTTAGAGGAAGCTCACGGAATCCCGCGCCTAAAGTTTGTTCTTTGTAAGTTGTTTCATCTTCCGTTTCCTCCATCTCCGAGCCTTTTTTTTTGTATAATGGGCAATCGGGTCTGTTACACACTTGATAATTTTGAGTCCCTGAAATAGAAATTTAAAAACATTAATTAATTGTACCAATCAAAAGTTTTTAATCAAACTTCACCTTCATTTAAAAAGGGAAAAATCACTTTAAATTGATAGCTTGCGTATTAATAAACGCTTCTTTTTTGATAAATTTTGAAGCAAACCCAAGTGGTAACTGTCAAATGTCAATCTCACTACTAATAACAGTTTCACCCCATCTAGCGGTGACATTATTTATTTATAAAGGTTAGGTTATGTTGTAAAAAAATTCACTGATTTATTTAAGGAGTAAAAATCACTTTCTAAGTCTCAAAATCGCTTTAAACACATAGCTTAATTATTAATAAACGAATTTTGATGTGATTTTTTGGTCCAAACACTTTTTTTTGAAACAAACCCAACTGGTAACTGTCAAATGTCAATCTTACGACTAATAAGAATTGTCACCGCTAGATGGGGGGAGTAATACAGATTCTTTGATTTAAAAAAAAATTATAATTAAAATTTTTAACTAAATAATGATGAAAAATTAAAATCTATTCTTGAATTAAAACGTACTTACGTGAATTTTTAATTTAATATAAAAAATCATGATTAAATAAATTCAATTGACGCGATAAAAAGTTAGGTTGTGTTGTAAAAAACTTCACCGATTCATTTCAGGGGTAAAAATCACTTTGTGAAACTTAAAATCGCTTTAAACAGATAGTTTGAGTACTAATAAACGCATTTTGATGTGATTTTTTAGTCTAAACACTTTTTTTTTTGATAAAATTTGATAAATTTCGAAACGAACCCAATTGGTAACTGTCAAATGTCAATCTCACGACTAATAAGAATTGTCACCGCTAGATGGGGGGAGTAATACAGATTCTTTGATTAAAAAAAAAAATTATAATTAAAATTTTTAACTAAATAATGATGAAAAATTAAAATCTATTCTTGAATTAAAACGTACTTACCTGAATTTTTAATTTAATTTAAAAAATCATGATTAAATAAGTTCAATTGACGCGATAAAAAGTTAGGTTGTGTTGTAAAAAACTTCACCGATTCATTTCGGGGGTAAAAATCACTTTGTGAAACTTAAAATCGCTTTAAATAGATAGTTTGAGTATTAATAAACGCATTTTGTTGTGATTTTTTAATCTAAACACTTTTTTTTTGATAAAATTTGATAAATTTCGAAACGAACCCAATTGGTAACTGTCAAATGTCAATCTTACGACTAATAAGAATTGTCACCGCTAGATGGGGGGAGTAATATGGATTCTTAAAGGTTTAGAAAAATTATAATTTAGAATTTTTAACTAATTAATAAAATGAAAAATCTAAATCTAATTTTGATTTAAAAAGTACTTACGTGAATTTTTAATTTAATATAACCTAACATGTTTAAATAAATTCAATTTACGCGATAAAAAGTTAGGTTGTGTTGTAAAAAACGTCACCGATTAATTTCGGGGGTAAAAATCACTTTGTGAAACTTAAAATCGCTTTAAATAGATAGTTTGAGTATTAATAAACGCATTTTGATGTGATTTTTTAGTCTAAACACTTTTTTTTTTGATAAAATTTGATAAATTTCGAAACGAACCCAATTGGTAACTGTCAAATGTCAATCTTACGACTAATAAGAATTGTCACCGCTAGATGGGGGGAGTAATATAGATTCTTAAAGATTTAGAAAAATAATAATTTTGTATTTTTAACTAATTAATAACAAGAAAAATCTAAATCTAATCTTGATTTAAAAAGTACTTACGTAAATTTTTAATTTAATATAATCTAACATGTTTAAATAAGTTCAATTGACGCTATAAAAAGTTAGGTTGTGTTGTAAAAAACTTCACCGATTCATTTCGGGGGTAAAAATCACTTTGTGGACTTAAAATCGCTTTAAATCGATAGTTTGAGTATTAATAAACGCATTTTGATGTGATTTTTTAGTCCAAACACTTTTTTTTTGATAAAATTGTATAAATTTGGTAAGAAGCAACTAGAAATTGTCAAATGTCAATCGCGACTAATAAGAATTGTCACCACTAGATGGGGTTAAAATTAGAAAATAATTTTTTTTTTAATTCAAAAGAATTAATGACTCAAAATCGTTTTAAATAAATAAAATAATATTAATAAAGATATTTTAATGTAATTTTTGTTTCAAATGATTTTTTTCTGATGAAATTTGATTTCAAAACAAACCTAACTTACGTCAATCTTACGACTAATAAAAATTGTCACCGCTAGATGGGGGGAGTAATATAGATTCTTAAAGATTTAGATAAATTATAATTTAGAATTTTTAACTAATTAATAAAAAGATAAATCTAAATCTAATTTTGATTTAAAAAGTACTTACGTGAATTTTTAATTTAATATAACATAACATGTTTAAATAAGTTCAATTGATGCTATAAAAAGTTAGGTTGTGTTGTAAAAAACTTCACCGATTCATTTCTGGGGTAACAATCACTTTGTGAAATTTAAAATCGCTTTAAACAGATAGTTTGAGTATTAATAAACGCATTTTGATGTGATTTTTTACTCCAAACACTTTTTTTTTTAATAAAATTGTATAAATTTGATACGAAGCAACTAGGAATTGTCAAATGTCAATTACGACTAATAAGAATTGTCACCACTAGATGGGGTTAATAATTAGAAAATAATTTTTTTTTTAATTCAAAAGAATTAATGACTTAAAATCATTTTAAATAAATAAAATAATATTAATAAAGATATTTTAATGTGATTTTTGTTTCAAATAATTTTTTTTTTGATTGAAATTTGACTGAAATGTCAATTTTACGACTAATAAGAATTGTCACCGCTAGATGGGGTTAATAATTATAAAAAAAACTTTTTTTTGTAATAAAAACGAATTAATAACTTAAAATCATTTTAAATAAATAAAATTAAATTAATAAAGATATTTTAATGTGGTTTTTGTTTCAAATTTCGAAAAAAAATCATTTTGAAATGTCGGAGTTATTATGAGTTGTCACCACTAGATGGGGTTGGCACCTATTTTATATTTTAATTTAATTTATTTATATTAATTTAATTACTTAATTATTTATTACTTACTGGCGTTTTTCTCCTCCTCATCGCAACCTTTTTCGGGAAGTGTTGCGTAGGTGTTGCTTCTAGTATTCGCCGGCGGTGGTGGTGGCGACGGAGACGATGACGACGTTCTGCATTGTTCCGTTCTCGATGGTAAACGTAAAGCTTGAACGGGTCGTCGCAAAGCGCAGCCAAGCGTCTTCAGGGGTAACATCCTCGTGTACTGGTGCATTGGAAAACTTTTCAACGATTTTTAATTCAAATTGTCCAAAAGAGCGAGGAAAAATGACGTCCCGGACAAAATGGTGTGGCCGCGGAGTATAATTTTACACAAGATCGAAAAATTTAACGGGCCCCTTTTCGGGCATTCGGATGTTTGACATTGACGGATTCTCGGTGTTATTAAAACCCCGTTGCCATGGTAAAACCAAAAAAATTTATCGATTTTAGATCGCAACGTCTTTGATTGTTTGTTTCTCGATTTTGACGTGAGATGGGGCTGTCGAAAACAGAAACGTCAAACTCAAAGCAAAATTAACAGTTACAAAAATGTTTGCGTTGGCGAAATCTCGAATTTACGAGTTGAGGCGGCAATTTCTCCAGCAGAGGTTGAGTAATTACGCGAAAAGGGGTGACGGTGAGTTTTGTTTCGGTTAAATTTGGTGATTATTTGGTGTTTTTAGGGAAAACGAGCCGAATTAAGCCTTGCGCGAGGAGCGAGGCGCTTACACACCGGAGGAGGAGGGAAATTTCGACCCAAAAGGCGTATATTAAACCGAAAAATGAGGTTGAGGCGAATCAAATGAATCATTACACCATTAATATTTATGTTAACGCCGTTTCGAGCGATCAAATTAACGCGGGGTTTCCCCGGGAGGTCTCGGCGATGATCCCGATGGATTTTAGCGTCGATAAGTTGACGAAAAATATCCCAGTTATCGAGGGGTTGCTTAAAGATAAGGATTTGGAGAAGGATAAGGAGGTAATTGAGGAGAAAATGAAGGATTTTTGGATAAATGTGCTTGAAAGTGGCAAAGATGAGGAGGAGAAGGCGAAAAGTGATGAGGTGGAGGTTAAAGAGTTGGAGGCGAAAATCGGGTTAAAAAATACCTTTGATTTTAATAAGATTAAAACTTACGGTGATTATTTGGAGAATGGGGAAGCTCTGCGAGTTGATAAAGACTTAAAGCTACCCCCTGCGGACGAATTAAAGTTTGAGAAAGGTTTGGAGGACGATCCTGAGGATAAAAACGTTTTAAAAGCCCCCGTTCCGTTTTACGAGCGGGGTAGTTATGACTCGAGGAGCGTTAGGCCCAAAAAAATCATCTCCTCAGCGGGGCAAGTCAGGAGGAAGTTGTCTAAAGAGGCGGAGGAAACGAATAAGCAAGTTGAGTCGCTTTTAAAACTTTCAACGCAAACAAATTTGAGTCAAGAGGCGAAAGAAAGCGTTTTTGGGAGGGTTTTGAGGTATTTCAAGAGCATCATTTACGGCGAGGATGAAGTAAAGGAGAAAGATGATAAAAAAGATAAAGAAATTGACCCCGAAAAGTTGGCGCACGAAAAATTTTTGGAGCGAAAGCGGCTACAAGAAGAGGAAGCAAAGAGGGTTGAGGAGGAAAAAAGGATTTTTCAGAGCTATTTGAGAACTTTCCAGGAGAAATATCGCGAAAATGAGGAGAATGAAGCGAAACAAAGCGGGTTTTTTAAAAGTTTGAAGGAAAGATTCCTTAATAAAAAGAATAATGTTAATAATGAATCAAAAAGGAGCTTTTCTACGAACAGTTTTAATCCCCATATTAATTTAATTAATAAACAACCTCCAGAAACTGATTTGAACGCCCCAAAATTCTTTTACGACCAAAAAATTCGCCAAAATCCGATAAAAATAAAGAACAAAACGTTTTTTAATGAAAATTACGAAAATTTTTTAAAAGTCCCCACTCCCAAGATCATATCTAACTCAAAAAATTTAAAATTAGAGCGAGAAAAACAATTAAAATACGAACAATTAAAAAAATTACAATCAAAAGTCGATTTTGCTAAAAAGAATTTAAAATTAGAAGTAGAAGAAAAACAGTACATCGCGAAACTTTTAAAACAAAAGCGAAATTTAATGATGAAAACTAAAAATGAATACACTTTTGATCCGTCTGAAAAGTTTGCGATTAATTTTGAAGAAAAAACCGAAAAAGAAATTAAACTAAAATGCGAGGATTTAAAAAAAAGTAAAGAAATCGGGGAGAATTTAGAGATGAGAGAGATTAGGAGATTAATTGAGGCGAAAATGAATCGGAAAATTGGATTAATCGAGCGAAAAAATAATAATAAACAAACTATAACGTTTTTTAAACGAAATTTATCGTCTAATGATTGCCCGACGAGTAAAAAATTGATTAAAAGGAAATCAATCGGGCCTAAAGAACCGTTAAAATACGCCCAATTAAAAAGTAGGAAAGAAAATGATTGTGGGGAAGAAATTTCGTTGAAAAAACCGGAAATTATTTCGACGGAAATTCCTGGGTTGTACGATACCTCGGGGGATAAATCGTATGAAAGTTATTTTGGGGTTGGGGGGTATCGGAATAAGGAGTTTTATTCGTATAAAAAGACGAGTTATTATGATTTAATGGATGCGATGAGTTTAGGAAGGGTGGAGCAGCCAAAAAATCCTATTAAACCGAGATAATTTTTATTTATTTATGATTATTAATAGAAATTAATGAAATTTTTAGTTATTTTTAAATAAAGTGTCGATCTTTTTTGTATTTGTCCCAAATCTATTTTTATTTATTAAAAGGGAATTCAAATTTAAATTTGAGGTTATGTTGAACTGTCATTAATTGACAAGATTAACGTCAAATGACTGAATTAACTAAAAACGTAAATAAATTAATACATCAAAATTGATTTAAATTGGTTTAAAATTGTGCTAGAAAATGATGTTGAGGAAATTACATAATTTAGCGACGTTTCAATTAATGTTTATAAATGTCAATAGATGGCGCCACCTCCTACGCGTCTTTTTCATTAATTTTTTTGACGTTTCAAAAAAAAAAATATTTAACTCATTTTGCGTTAGAAATAAAACTAAAACTAGAAATTTTGAGGTTATGCCGTGCGTCTTTGACTTTATTTCTTATTCCATCGGCAAAAACATCTACGAAAATATTGCGAGTAAAATAATTTTTTGTTTAAAGGTTTTCAACCCTGCCGTTACCATGGTGATTTATCAATAGTCGCCGACATCTTTAAAAAATAATCGCTTGTCGCATCAAGAGTTCATCAAGAGAAAGTTTTATAATAATTAACGCGATTATATTAAACAATTTTCGCATTAAATGGAGTTAAAATATCCTTTTTTTAAAGCGGAGTAAGTACATTTAATTTTTGTAACGAATTAGCTTCAAGTTTCTCAACCTAACCTAACTTTTTCAAGGACTATTTAACTCGTCCAAAACCCAGAAATTTTAGGTAATGCCGTGCGTCTTTTACGCGTTAATAATCGAAAATGATTCAAATAGCGATTAAATTAAATTTTATGTAAAATGAATCAACTTACAAATATTTTTAAATTGACATAAAAAAGTTAGGTTATGTCTGAAACGTCATTCCGAGATAAAAATCGTTTCCTGGCGTCTAAAATCTTTTGATTCTAATGTTAATATAATAAGAAATAAAACTAGAAATTGTTGTAGTATTGAATTAAAACTAAAAACTATTTTGAAAGACTTTCGACCCACGGCTAAGAAAAAAACTTTCAGGTGTTAATGTCAACTTTAATTTTATTGTTATACTCGTAATCTTCATAAAATAAGCTTTAAGATGAGATAAACAAAATTTTTTGAGTATTTACTTGATTTATAACATTAATTATCGTTATTTTAGGACATTTCAAATGAGAACCGTCTATGAATGACTGAATTAACTAAAAAAGTAGATTCCTTCTTTTTTTTTAATGTCATAAACAACATAACCTACAAAATAATTTTTTGTTTAAAAGTTTTCAACCCTGCCGTTACCATGGTGATTTACTAATAGTCGCCGACATCTTTAAAAAATAATCACTTGTCGCATCAAGAGAAAGTTTTATAATAATTAACGCGATTATATTAAACAATTTTCGCATTAAATGGAGTTAAAATATCCTTTTTTTAAAGCAAAGTAAGTACGTTTAATTTTTGTAACGAATTAGTTTCAAGTTTCTTAACCTAACCTAACTTTTTCAAGGACTATTTAACTCGTCCAAAACCTAGAAATTTTAGGTAATGCCGTGCGTCTTTTACGCGTTAATAATCGAAAATGACTCAAATTGCGATTAAATTAAATTTTATGTAAAATGAATCAACTTACAAATATTTTTAAATTGACATAAAAAAGTTAGGTTGTGTCCGAAACGTCATTCTGAGATAAAAATCGTTTCCTGGCGTCTAAAATCTTTTGATTCTAATGTTAATATAATAAGAAATAAAACTAGAAATTGTTGTAGTATTGAATTAAAGCTAGAACTAAAAACTATTTTGAAAGACTTTCGACCCACGGCTAAGAAAAAAAACTTTCTTTAGGTGTTAATGTCAACTTTAATTTTATTGTTATACGCGTAATCTTCATAAAATAAGCTTTAAGATGAGATAAATTTTGGGTATTTACTTGATTTATAACGTTAATTATCGTTATTTTAAGACATTTCAAATGAGACCCATCTATGAGTGAATAACTGAATTAACTAAGAAAAAGTAGATTCCTTCTTTTTCTTTTAATGTCATAAACAACATAACCTACAAAATAATTTTTTATAATATAAAAGTTTAGATTAAAATGAAACAAATTTGTGGGGAAATAATAAATAAGTTTGTTTTAATTACATAATACAAATATTTTCTGTACAAGATAAGATCGTAAATGACCCTAATTAACATGTTAATTTTATAATTATTTGCAGAATAAGGATGATGCAACTCTTTTTGATGATACCATCATAGTTTGGCCTTATTTTGAGACGAATGAGTCGATTTAAAGCTCAAATGTGACTTTATTGTAAAGGTAAGGTTAATTATTTAATCTAAAATTTGTATCGTAACCATCTCGGAAGATAAAAACTAAATCGTAACTTCTTAAAAGTGTACTTGAAGTGCCTGTATTAATTGTAATGGGATGATTTGGTTTCTAATTGCCTCTTATGCTGCTTTAACTCGATTATATTCCAAATATTATTTTTTGACAGCTCCTAAAACATAACCTATAAAATGAATTTATTTAAAAAATTATATAAATCACCTAGAATTTATAAAAACAATTCTAAATGTTTATGAGATAAACATTTTGATGTCGTATTTTTTTTTAATTAAGTGTTTTCTTCGAATAACTTCATAAAATTATTTATAACCTCAAAAAAAGTTATTTAATTTTATTCTAACTTACTTAATATTTATTGGGAAGTGTTTATCGCTTTCTTCATCTCTTATTCTATTAATAATAAATAAATATTAATAATTTATGGTAAATTTTTCTATTTTTGAACGTAAAATTAACCTCCATTTCTTTTTTCAATACCAACCTAAACATTACTAATTTCCCTATTTTATTCAAATTTTTGAACGAAACAAATAATTCTTTATTAATTTTATAAATAAATAAGTTTCTAAACTCATTTGAATCATTAACTTGCATTTTAATGATGATTAACACAAAACTAATTGATTAATTCATATTTTTAGGGATTTAATTTTAATTCAATACCAACATAAGCATTGCAAGGTAGTCTCCACCATTTTTTCGCTACAATAAACAAATTTGAGTGGGTTAAAAGGCCCGGAATACATTAATTTGATTCTTTCCGAGTGTAACGCAACAAAAATTCTTTTATTTTAGCGAATAGAAAAGTTTTGGGGACCACTTTGAAAAAATATCTGCTTTTTTTATGACAATTATCCTATAAAATATAATTTTACTCAATTTGTCATTTTAAGGTTGGTAATGATTTCGAAATATATTTGTCAAAATTGTTGTGTTTAACCTCACTTTTTTTAATTAATAGTTATTAAACACTCTTTATGCTTAAACTGCGTATATTTTATGTAGCAATTTGATTGATTCTTATAAACCAGGTTATGCTATAACATTTGTTATTAATTGATTTATTTTTAGTGGTATCAAGAGGCAAATTTCAATGCTTATAATGAAGGAGAAGATCATAAAGTTTATTTCTGAATTCAAAACAACTCAAAAATGTTAAATTTGACATTTAATGTCGATTAAAGATGAATAATTCGACCATAACTTTTTAAAAATGATTAATATTTTTAAGTTACTTTGTTATATTTTGAAAGAATTGTTATAATTAATAAAGAAAAGCTAAAATTGAAATTTAAAGTTGTGTTTTATTCTCCACCTAACCGTTTTTAATTTAAAGTGGCGACACGTAAGTTTAAATTTTCGACCAACATTTTCAATTTTATCATCTTGAAGGTGAATTAGAGGTCGTTCAAGGTGAGTTCAAGGTGACATCCTAAAATTTTCGACCAAAATTTTCAATTTTAACTAGGTCAAGGTGAATTAGAGGTCATTCAAGGTGACTTCAAGGAGACATCCTAAAATTTTCGACCAACATTTTCAATTTTAACTAGGTCAAGGTGAATTAGAGGTCGTTCAAGGTGACTTCAAGGAGACATCCTAAAATTTTCGACCAACATTTTCAATTTTATCACCTAAAAGGTGAATTAGAGGTCATTGAAGGTGAGTTCAAGGTGACAATTTTTAAAATATTAAAACAATCATTTTAAAAATAAAAATAAATCTTTATTGAAAAAATTAATACATATTTTGAGACTCTTAATCCAAAGATAATTCATACTTCAACGAAAAATCCTTCTTCAATTGGATACAATCATCAGAATGGACTCCATACCCATCATTAATGATTAATTCAGCCACATCAACATCGCGATGTCGCCTCGAATTTAATCCTATGCTAACCACCAAGTTATCCGACGATTTATGCAACACAGTAGCGGTTAAATTTCTCCCCACGAAGTTTTTTTCGCAATACTCGATTATTTCTTTGTCGCAAACACCCTCTTTCGGTTTAATCCCATGGATAGTTAACGAAACGGCTTGGAACGGAAGATAAAGCAAGTCTTTCGTAATTAATCGCAAATTAGACTTGTTCGTTTGAATCGTTTCGCCGATATCCACCAAAAAAACCGTAATAATATCTTCGGGGGAAGATTCGTGTTGAGTTACATCGAGGATTTTTCCTCGACACCATTTCGAAAGGTTAGGTTCTGTTGATGTTTCAATTTTTACCACCACCAATTCTGCTAATCCAGGTTCTAAATTAAACTTTTTATACTTTTGGATTAAAATGGGGTTGTTTAATTGTTCTGAAAGTTGATTAAACGTCGTCATTTTCGTGGAAAGATTTCCATACCATCTTGTTAAACTGATTATTGATGTTATTCGAACAGGGAAAGTGACCCCTTCTTCTGGTAATTCCATATTGAGGGTGGTTCCAATGTGAACTTCAACTTTATCAGTTGTGTATCCATCTCTTCGTAAAGGTTCGTGATCAAATCTACAATTTGGGAGTTTGTAACAAGAGCCGTGTCTCAAATAAACTTGGCAAGTTCGTGCTTGATCGCTCGCTTTGTACCCGACGAGAGCTTCGTCTAAATTTTTTGGCTCGTTAACGTCCAAATTTTTACAAAACGTTTCTAATTTCTCGTTATCGGTCATTTCTGAGGAAATCCCCTCGAATCCTTGGGCGGTTTCAACTTGGGATTGAATGAATCCTTCCGTTGTTGAGTTTGAATTGGGTAATTCCAAGATTTCAACGCATAAATTGTTATCGATGAGTTGTTGGCCCACTTCTTTATCCGTGTCATCTTTTAATAACGTTTTTGCTAAATCAATTCCCCAAGAATTTCTAAAATTAAAAAAAAATAAATTAATTTAAACTTCTTTTTTGACATCTGTCAGAATATAATTGAGGTGAAGTAAATGAGAATTGGTACCAACTACAAAAAATAAAAAATCCCTTAAATTAATACATTATAATTGATGTAAAGTAAACGAGAATTGGTTTAAAGCTCAGAAAATGATGGTTTAGGATTCCTAAAATTTAATAAAATTTTTCGTTAGAAATAAAATTAAAAGTAGAAATTAATACTTAAATACTTTTAATTTTATTTCTTACTCCATCGGCAGAAAAATGTTGTGACTAAAATAATTTTTTGTTTAAAAGTTTTCAACCCTGCCGTTACCATGGTGATTTATCAATACGCACCGACATCTTTAAAAAAATCACTTGTGGCATCAAGAAAAAGTTTTATAACAATTATCACGATTATATTAAACAATTTTCGCATTAAATGAAGTTAAAATATCCCTTTTTTAAAGCGCAGTAAGTACATTCAATTTTTGTAACGAATTAGTTGTTATTGCGTTGTGCATTTTTCTCAACCTAACCTAACTTTTTCAAAGACTTTTTAACTCGTCTAAAAATTAGACATTTTAGGTTATGTCGTGCGTCTTTAACGCGTTAATAATCTAAAATGATCCCAATAGTGGTTAAATTAAATTTTATGCAAAATGAATCACCTTACAAATATTTTTAAATTGACATAAAAAAGTTAGGTTATGTCCGAAACTTTATTCCGAGATAAAAATCGTTTCGTGGCGTCTAAAATCGATTTAAGCAAACGGTTAGGACGTCTTTAAATGTTTCTTTCGGTTGAATCGCACCTTTTTTATTGCAAAAATTAATAATTTTTGTAAACGTCAAAAATACGATTAATATGGGGAATAACCACGAGATGGCGGTGACAAAAAAAATTTAATTAATAAATTTTAAATAATCGATAAAAATTTAATAAAAATTATGTTTATATTTTAAAAAATAGATAATTTTCGATTTAATTAAGCGTTAATGGAACAAAAATTCAATAAAGTTATTAAAAAAAAAATTAATGTTTATAAATGTCACTAGATGGCGCCACCTCCTAGGCGTCTTTTTCAAGTGACATTTTTGACGTTTCATTAAAAAAAAATATTGAACTCATTTTGCGTAAGAAATAAAACTAAAACTAGAATTACTGAAAAAAACAAGGACTCACCTGAAAAACCCGTCTAAATACGTTTTTGAACATCTAAACTATTTGCTTAAAGCGATTTAATCGATAATATAACCTAACTTTTTTATGTCAATTTAAAAATATTTGGGTTGTTTCAAAAATTAAGGTAAGTCTTTAACTAAAAATAGGTTATTAACTCCTCGTTAGTCTAATTTTGTTGAATCCTACGCCCAAAAAGTTCTCAAACATGTTTTAAATTCAACCTCTGAGGAAACGCGCAATCTTTCCAAGCTGTTCATTGTTGGTTAAGTTAATTAAACCACTATGTGGTAGTAAAAGTAGTTAAATTCAAGTTAAATTCCTAGCATTAGTTTTATTTCTAACAAAATTAAATCAAATTTTCTTTAATGAAATGTCACTTGAAAAAGACGCATAGAAGATAGCGCCATCTTTTGAGAAAAATATAAAAATGAACGTTTGTAACTATCTTCTCATCATGTCAAATATTTTAAAACCAGGAGAAACACGATTTGATTGACGTGAAGTGATCGAGAAGTGGTACCAACCTCAAAAATTAAAAATCCCCTAAATAACTTACTTAAATCTGTCAACGTAGACGACTTTAAAAAAGAATTGATTTTCAGGTCCCAAAATGTTTTTTAACCCCGTGATTGCGTCTTGGGGCCAATTAATTAATTGATTTTGCGGTGTGGACCCCACAGGATACAACTAAAAAGTAATTAATAAACTAATTTGATTAAACAAATCAAAAAAATGATTTTACATGAGCCAAATGGCATTTTATCGCATATTCAGGAATATCTCCATATTTCTTTAATAAAGGTCGCAAATTTTTGAACGTCACCCTCACAGTATTTCCATAATCGACTAAAAACACTTCAACATCATCAGAATCAGAATCATCATCCAACCAATTGATGATTTTGGCCCTGAACCAAAACTGCCAAGAATCAATATAACACAAACAATACGTTTTTAAATTCGATTTCGCCTCAGATTTGGTTAAAAAATAGAATTCGGGGCTATCGTGGTTTGAGGAATAATCCGATGAGATCCTAAATGATTTAATTAGTATTTTTAAATCGATTATATCGAAAATAACCTTTCAATCGCTTCGATGTCTTCGCCAAAATAATTTATGTAGAACTCAGAAGGTGATACGATGTGTGAGATTAAACAACTCATCATTTTAGAGGGGGCTAACGCCGGTTTTAAATTCCCTAAATCAAAAATATTGTTATAAATAATTAATTAATTTGAATTAAATTAATTTACCCTCGAAATACTCAATCTCGGTCGTTTTAGAATCTTCTTTGATCATTTTAGAAACGCTTTTTTTGATTGTTTTAGAATTTCCACATTTTTTAAATGTTAAATCCGGTTTATTTGCTTTAATAACTTCGTCAATTTTTTGTTGCTTCAACAAACCGTATTGTTTTAATTTATTTATAACAGATTCATTTGGGGTTAATTCAATTTTCGAATCAGTTGAGCTAATTTCTTCACTGGGACTTGGTTCGTTAGAATCGGAAGTCGATTCATTATAATTAATCAAAACACTTTGTTTAATTTCCTTTTTTGATGATGTTACGATTTTCGATGGGCTTAATTTAAGAGATTTATTTCCTAATTGATATTGTTCCAATTGAATGTTAGTGACGTGAAGATCGTTGATTATATTGCTTTGTTGGGTGCATATTTTTAAGCAATAATCTTTGTTCGAGATGAAATCGTGGTAATTTAACGATTTGATTTGTTTCGACACCTTTTTATTCTAAAAAAAATTTATCATAAAAATGCTTTTTTTAATATTTTTGACTTACTTGGTGAATAATATTGTTTAACCGCGTATTTATCTCATGTATTTCCTGTTGCAGCGTTTCCGTGTTTGATAAAATCGCTTCTTTAAGTCGATCCATTTTTTTTTTGAGGTTATGTTGTCACTTAAATATTGCTTCGTTAATGCAATTTTAATCCTTCCACATGCTGCTTATGATTAAATTACACACAAGAATGCGACGACGCTTTAAAAACGAGCTTTGTTATTGCATATTATTATCTTAGAAGTAAATTTGCTGAGAAAAAGAAACATAACCTACTTACTCAGCGTCTTCTTACTTAAAATCCTCCGATAGGTGGCGCTGAAATTAGTGCAATTTTTAATTCAGAGATGGAGCATTTTTAACAATTAAATTAATTATAAATAAAAATTTCGTTTTTTTACTTACGCATTGAATAATGTTGTTAAAACGCAGATTTAATCACTCCATTTAATTTTTTAAATTTCCAGTTAAATAGTCCTTGAAAAAGTTAGGTTATGTTGAAAAACATATACAACACAATTTTTATAACGCAATAACAACTAATTCGTTACAAAAATTGAATGTACTTACTCCACTTTAAAATGGGGATCTTTTAACTTCATTTAATGCAAAAATTGTTTAATAATCGCTTTAATTATTGTAAAACTTTCTCTTGATGCAACAAGTGACTTTTTTTTAAAGATGTCGGTGCTTATTGATTAATCACCATGGTAACGGCAGGGTTGAAAACTTTTAAACGAAAAATTATTTTAATCTCAACATTTTCGTAGATTTTTCCGCGGATGTAATAAGAAATAAAGCTAAAGTTTTATTTATACTAGTTTTAGTTTTATTTCTAACTCAAAATGAGCTAAATACATTTTTTTTTAATGAAACGTCAATAAATGTCACTTGAAAGATAGCGCCATCTGTTGGGAAAAGCCTAAAAATGTCTCATCATGTCAAACATTATTTTTTAACTTACGTGTTGAATAATATCGTTTAACCGCGTATTTATCTCATGTATTTCCTGTTGAAGCATTTCCGCGTTTGATAAAATCGCCTCTTTAATTAAATCCATTTTTTTTATAAGGTTATGTTGTCACTTTAATATTGTTTCGTTAATCCAAGTTATAAACGCTGTTTATAATTAATTTATACACCAACAAAGTGATAAACGTATAAAAACGAGCTTTTTCTACTTTGTTATTGCGTTTCGTCATCTTAGAATTAAATTTGTTGATAAAACGAAATATAACCTATTTAATTCGCGTCACAACTAAGTAAAGTCCCTCAATAGATGGCGCTGAAATCAACGCATTTAAATTAATTCAATTTAGCGCCATCTATAATCGAATCGTTTTTATTAATTATAAATAAATAAACAATACGAGTAGATATCCAACTCAAGGTTTTCAATGTTTTAGCACCCGAAGTCTTCGAAAACGGCCGTGTTGGTACTCGAAAATGATGTTGAAGGTTCTTAAGCTTACTTTCAAATAACATTGTATTTTGACGTTTTAATAAAAAAATGTATTCAATTCATTTTCGATCTAATAAGAAATAAATAATTTCGATGATTTTCGATTTAATTAAGCGTTAATATAACAAGAATTCAATAAGAAGTTATTAAAAAAATATTAATTAATGTTCATAAATGTCACTAGATGGCGCCACCTCCTACGCGTCTTTTTTAAGTGACATTTTTGACGTTTCATTCAAAAAAATATTTTACTCATTTTGCGTTAGAAATAAAACTAAAACTAGAAATTTTTGAGTCAAAGACGCACGGTATAACCCTAAAATTTCTAGTTTTAGTTTTATTTCTTATAACATCAGCAGTAAAGATCGTAAATCTTATGTAAGTCACTTTTACAACTTAACCTCACTTCACTAATCCCCTTTATAACGCTTTAGCGATTTATAAGAACCCATCTCATTTGAAACAGCTTTTATTTTGATTTCTATTTTAATGAAACGTAAAAAAAAAATCATTTGAAAAAGTGAGGTTACGTTGTGTTGTTCTTACAGTGATGATTTTATTACTTACTCAGCACCAAGTATCCAAATTTCCTCGAATCTCATTCCTGTAGAAGTTTCTTAAAAGAAATTAAATTAATTCTACACAAAAAACACTTCGACAACACCAAACACATTTGACGTTCGTTTGACATTCATTAAATTCACTTACAAGTGTTACCAACAGCTTAATTTTAATTTCTAACCGTCAATTAATGAACGTACCCTTTTTATGCAAATTTTTCATTTAATTTAAAAAAAAACAACATTTTAGCTAATTGTTTTATTTCAATAGAAAAATATAGTGATTATTACGGCGTTTATTAATTACAAGAACAAACTTAAATAAGAACAATAATAAAAGCAACGTTTGATATATCGTCATAAAACTTTGTTGATTTTTTTTTCGCAAAACAATTAAACAAATTAATTTTTAATTTATTAATTAATCTAAAAAAAAATAGTATCAAAACTTGTGATATATCGTAATTAATAAAATATATCAAAATAACGAACAAAAAAAACAAAACTTAACTGGTTTCTAGGTTAGTTTCGAGTTGATTTAAATTTATAGGTTATGTCAAAAAGAATCCATAGGATTTATTCTTAAAATCTTAAGTCATTAAAAAAATCTTTTTCGATCTCTCTCATTTTAACGTTTTAGTAATAACAAATAGTCGCGACCTCACCAAAAATAGAAAAAACATAACCAACAATTTATTGCTGTTTCAATACCAACTTCAAAAAAAAAAAAAAATTTCAACGATTCTTAAATTTTTTTTTATTTTGGCAACCTAACTACACCTAACCTAACTTTTTAGACTCTTTTAACGGCAACCCCCTTTCTAATCAACTCCCTATCGATATAAACATCAACATCGGTTGTTGTATCAATCAACTCCAACAATAAAACATTATCGCATTGATACAACTCATCTTTTTCGATTGCTTTTATTTTTGAGACCATCGCTTTCCGGCAGACCATTTCTTGAAAGATCGTGCAATCATTAACCGTCCATTTTGATTGTTTTGGGGCGATTCCTTCGTTAAAAAATAAATTTTTATAAATATTAAAGTTAATTAATTGTATAATATACCGATAAACTTATCGAGAGGATAAAGATATTCGCGGTTGCACAAACTTTCAACTTTAATTTTGGCAGATTTGTTAACTTCATAAAAAATCCTTTAAAATAAGTCCAAACTCGACATATTTAACTTTAATATTAATGGAGATATGATCACTTCCGGTTTGAAACGTCAACGTCAATTTTGACATATTTGTCATCTTCATTAAAAAACCTTTAAAATGAGTCCAAACATGACGCATTTATCTCAAAAAATAAAAAAGTTAGAATAAAAAACATTAAACCCGAAGTTAGCAACAATGAAGATGACAATTTAATTTTTAAATATTAATACCAACCTTAATTTTTGATTTTTTTTAATTATTTTTTTGTTTTTGTGACAAATTTTAAACATTTCATAAAAATTAAAAATATGTCAAAATGATATTGACATTTCAAACCGGAAGTTGTTAATATCTCGAGTAATATTGGAATTAAACGTATCATGTTTGGGCTCATTTTAAAGGATTTTTCACGGCGATTACAAATATGTCAAAATTGAGGTTGCCATTCCTAACCGGAAGTTGACCATAACTTCATTAATATCGAAGGTAAATATGTCGTGTTTGTACTCATTTTAAAGGATTTTTAATAAAGATTAAAAATATGTCAAAATTGACATTTTACACCTGAAGTTAGTTATCATATAATTTTTTTGATAATTGTTCATAACATTAGAAAACTTCTAGATAGTTTTTGAAATCATTAGAAACTTTCTGGACACTTTTTGACATCTTTACAAATCCCCTAGGAATCTTATTGAATGACCAGAAAGCATTTAGATACTTTTTGGTGTTAAGAAAAATCGCTAGAAAGTTTCTGGACCCTTTTATGGCATCAACAAAAATCCTCCATCAACAAAAATAAACGTCCAGGAGGCGTTTAAACAGTTTTTGGAAGCTTTTTGACAACTCTATAATTGACCAGAAAGCGATTAGACACCTATTGATAAACATGGTAATGATTAGAAAGCTTCAGGACACTTTTTATCTACTATAGATATCATTAGACACCTTCTGGACACTTTTTGACGACTATAGATATCATCAGACACCATCTGGATAGTTTTTAACGACTATATAAATAATTGGAAAACTTCTAGACACTTTTAGACATCTTTTAAAATCACCTGTCAATCTTTATAATCATCAAGAAAGCGTTTAGACACCTTTTGATATTCATGGCAATCATTAGAAAGCTTTAGAACAATTTTTAACTACTATAGAAATCACTAAATATCTTCTGGACACCTTTTGACGACTATAGATATGATTAGAAATTTTTTGGACACTTTTCCGCGGCTATAGAAATCATTAAAGTGCTTCTAGAATTGTTCAGAAAGCTTTTTGACACTTTTTGATAATCATGGTAATCATTAGATAGTGTCTGGACACATTTTGACATCTTTAAAAACCTTCTGGTTGTCTTCATAAATGTCCAGAAAGCGTTTAAATACATTTTGACGACTTTAAAAAATTTTAGACAAACTTTATAACTGTTCAGAAAGCGTTTAGACACTTTTTAGTAATTTTACAATTCCTTAGAAATGCCTGGACAACTTTTTTACATCTTTAAAAATCTTCCGATTTAAAATGTCAACCTCAATTTTGACATATTCATAATCTTCATTAAAAACGTTTTAAAATGAGTACAAACACGACATATTTATCTTGAATATTAATGAAGTTATGATCAACTTCCGGTTTGAAATGTCAATGTCATTTTTGACATATTCTTAATTTTAAGACAAATTTGACAAACAAAAACTTAATGAAAAAAAATCAGAAATTAAGGTTGGTATTAATATTTAAAAGTTAAATTGCTATCTTTATTGTTGCTAACTTCAGGTTTAATGTTTTTTATTCTAACTTTTTTGTTTTTTGAGATAAGTGCGTCATGTTTGGACTCATTTTAAAGGTTATTTTATAAAGATTACGAATATAATAATAAAATTATCCTTTAAAATGAGTCCAAATATGACACATTTAATTCCAATATTACTCGAGATATAAGCAACTTCCGGTTTGAAATGTCACTGTCATTTCGATATATTCTTAATTTTATAAAACGTCCTAAAATTTGTCACAAAAACAAAAATATAATAAAAAAAATCAGAAATTAAGGTTGGTATTAATATTTAAAAATTAAATTGCTATCTTTATTGTTGCTAACTTTGGGTTTCCTTCACAAATGTTTAATTGTTGACAATATTAATAAAATAAGCTTTTTTTAAAGAAACTTAAGCTAATTAATCAGTTTTAATGAAATTAAAAAGTTAAAATCGACGATTATGTACGGATAACCAACAAAAAAATTGACGTTTAATGACATGTACCTGCTTTATCGGCTTTTGGACACGTTCTTAATTAAAGTAATTATTTTATTAATGTAAATTAATTAATTTATTTAAAATGAAAATTTTTTTAATTAATTCGTTTATAATTATTATTTATTTAAAAATTAATTGAAATAAATTAAAAAAAATAATTAATTTGAATAAAATCAGCAACAAAAAAAATTAACGTTTAAAAAGAAGTTCCTGCTTTATCGACTTTGAATACGTTCAATTAATAAATCATTGAAATGTCAAAAAAATGAAATCTAACCTCAAAACAAACAAATAACAATAAATTTAAAATTGATATTCCTAACCGGAAATTGATCATAACTTCATTAATATTGAAGATAAATATGTCGTGTTTGTACTCATTTTAAAGGATTTTTAATGAAGATTGCAAAGATGATAACTAACTTATCCGCTACGAGAAGTTTATCGGTATATTGTACAACCGGAACTAATTAATTTACCATAAAGCTTCGCTTTTATTGCTTGGCACGGTAACTGAAGGAAATGAGAGTTTAATGGAAACAATTGGTTCACAGAAACACTTGAGTAGTACCCAAAATCGCAATAAAAAACCGAGATCGAACTAGAATTGATTACTTTCATAATGGAAGTTCTAAAATTAATCATAAATTAAGTAATTGAAGTAAAATATTGTTGGTACTCACCGATACCATTTTCCATCTTCGAACTTTGAGGCATAAATCTTCCCTGGGTTGACATCGTCCAATTGGAGAGGGCTAAAATTCGCCTTTTCATACTCCGCTTGAATATTTTGCATCATCTCGTCCAATTTTAGTTTCGACGAGTACGGTTGGACGAAAAAATTCCAAGGATTAACAGCCGTGGGGATTTGAACGTCAAAGAATTCGTCCAATTTCGGCAAAACCGGCTCCATAAGATTCCCGCTCGAAGGAGTCACCGACAACAATCTTTGCAGGCGTTCCGGGGTCGACCTCATGCTCCTCTGCAACTGCTCATCATCGAAACTAATCGACTCATTCACCAAACACAAAACATCCCCAACCCTTTTAAACAACTTCACAACGTTGTACGAACAATTATCCTCCCCAAATTCCTCCCCGACGACTTTCAACAAAACCCGGAAATCCTCCGGGACGATTTCGCGCAATTTCCGCTGGAAATGCTCCGGGATTCGCTTTAATTCCAATTTCACTTTAATCGCTTGCCCCGGAAACTGATTAATAACGTCGTTTAATAACTCGAGGGGATAAAACTTGTTCTCAACAACTTTTAAAATCTCACAAAAACCTTTATCCACGAAAAATAATTGAACCCAATCGTTTTTCGGCGAAAAATCAACCGCTTGAACCCGGTAAAAACGACCATCGCGAGGGGAACACACAAAAAATAACTTATTTAGCGCAGTATCGCGATTAAACGGGGTATTTGGAACTCTCGGCGGGTTATTTTTGATGTTTACTTCGAGGTCTTTTAATAAATTATTGAGACGATCGAGTCCAGGGGAAACAATGTTCACGAAAACGTCCCCTAAATCGGTGATGTAAGTGATCGTAACTTCGGTTATTCCCATCTAAAACAATTATAATTAATTTGAATTTATTTAAAATGCTTTAATTAACCTTATCTAAAACAGGATTAGCCGATTCGAAGGTTATATCGGAGATTAATCTCTTATTAATCGATTCGTTCGTTTCGACATCGTAGAAAACGGCCGAAATCGCCGCCGTTGGATCGTGAACGGCTAAAAAAATGAAATAATAATAAAAAAAAGGGGTTTTATTTAATTAAAAATTAATGGTGTAATTCTAAGTTGCTTAAAAATCGACAATTTTTTTTAATCACTCAAATAAGTCGTTAAAAATAAGAAAAAAATAGTGAAAAAGTGTAAAATTTACCAAAAAATCGCTTTAAAGTTTCGACGTGACGTCATTTTTTGTGAAATTTTTTGCTAGTAAAAGACTAAAAACTGCAGAAAACTGTTTTCAAAATAAATAGGTATTATTCCAGAACGCTAAACACTGCTGTTACAGGTTTTGACCTACTTGGACAGACGGAATACTGCTTAAAAAGAAAAAAAAACAAAAATATAATAAAAAAAATCAGAAATTAAGGTTGGTATTAATATTTAAAAATTAAATTCCTATATTTATTGTTGCTAACTTCGGGTTTCCTTCACAAATGTTTAATTGTTGATAATATTAATAAAATAAGCTTTTTTAAAGAAACTTAAGCTACAGATAACCAACAAAAAAATTGACGTTTAATGACATGTACCTGCTTTATCGGCTTTTGGACACGTTCTTAATTAAAGTAATTATTTTAGTAACGTAAATCAATTAATTTATTTAAAATGAATTTTTTTTTAATTAGTTCGTTTATAATTATTATTTATTTAAAAATTAATTTAAATAAATTTAAAAAAATAATTAATTTGAATACAACCAGCAACAAAAAAAATTAACGTTTAAAGAGAAGTTCCTGCTTTATCGACTTTGAATACGTTCAATTAATAAATTATTGAAATGTCAAAAAAATGAAATCTAACCTCAAAATAAACAAATAAAAATAAATTTAAAATTGACATTCCTAACCGGAAATTGATCATAACTTCATTAATGTTGAAGATAAATATGTCGTGTTTGTACTCATTTTAAAGGATTTTTAATGAAGATTACAAAGATGATAACTAACTTATCCGCCACGGGAAGTTTATCGGTATATTGTACAACCGGAACTAATTAATTTACCATAAAGCTTCGCTTTTATTGCTTTTTGACCTACTTGGACAGACGGAATACTGCTTAAAAAGAAATATGCTTTCCAAAAAGCTACCTACTGCTTCCAGAATGTTAGATACTGCTGAAAAAGACTAATAACTGCTTGGACAGAAGAGATATGCTTCCCAAAAAGCTACCTAATGCTGTCAGAATGCTATATACTACTGGAAAAGATTAATAACTACTTGGAAAGAAAAGATATGCTCTCCCAAAAAGCTACCTAATGCTGCCAGAATGCTAAATACTATTGGAAAAGACTAATAACTACTTGTAAAGAAGAAATATGCTCTCTAAAAAGTTACCTACTGCTTCCAAAATACTAGATACTGCTGAAAAAGACTAATAGCTGCTTGAAAAGAAAAGATATGCTTCCCAAAAAGCTACGTAATGCTTCTGGAATGCTAAATACTACTGGAAAAGTCTAATAATTACTTGAAAAGAAGACACATGGTCTCTTAAAAACGTACCTACTGTTTCCAGGATGTTAAAAACTGCTGAAAAAGACTAATAACTGCTTGAAAAGAAAAGATATGCTTCCCAAAATGCTACATAATGCTAAATACTACTGGTAAAACTAAAAATTAATTGAAAAGAAGAGATATGGTCCCAAAAAAAAGGTATCTACTGCTTCCAGAATGTTACAAACTGGTGAAAAAGACTAATAACTGTTTGGAAAGAAGAGATATGCTTCCCAAAAAGCTACCTAATACTGCCAGAATACTAAATACTACTGGAAAAAACTAATAATTACTTGAAAAGAAGACATATGGTCTCTTAAAAAGGTACCTACTGCTTCCAGAATGTTACAAACTGCTGAAAAAGACTAATAACAGCTTGGAAAGAAAAGATATGCTGCCCAAAAAGCTACGTAATGCTTGTGGAATACTAAATACCACTGGAAAAGACTAATAATTACTTGAAAAGAAGACATATGGTCTCTTAAAAACGTACCTACTGCTTCCAGAATGTTAAAAACTGCTAAAAAAGACTAATAACTGCTTCGAAAGAAAAGATATGCTTCCCAAAAAGCCACATAATGCTAAATACTACTGGCAAAACTAAAAATTACTTGAAAAGAAGAGATATGATCTCCAAAAGAAGGTACCTAATGCTGCCAGAATGCTAAATACTACTGGAAAAGATTAATAATTACTTGAAAAGAAGACATATGATCTCTTAAAAAGGTACCCACTGCTTCCAGAATGTTACAAACTGCTGAAAAAGACTAATAACTGCTTGGAAAGAAAAGATATGCTTCCCAAAAAGCTACGTAATGCTTGTGGAATACTAAATACTACTGAAAAAGACTAATAATTACTTGAAAAGGAGACACATGGTCTCTTAAAAACGTACCCACTGCTTCCAGAATGTTAAAAACTGCTGAAAAAGACTAATAACTGCTTGGAAACAAAAGATATGCTTCCCAAAAAGCTACCTAATGCTTGTAGAATGCTAAATACTACTGGTAAAAAACTAAAAATTACTTGGAAAAAGATATGNGAAAGAAAAGATATGCTTCCCAAAAAGCTACCTAATGCTTGTAGAATGCTAAATACTACCGGTAAAAACTAAAAATTACTTGGAAAAAGATATGTTTTCTCCATAAAAGGTATCTGCTGCTTCCAAAATGTTAGATACTGGTGGAAAAGATTAAAATCTGCCTGGAGAAGACTAGATGGTGCTAACAAACAATTACAAACTGATTGGAAAGACGAGATACTGCTTCCATAAGACTACTTACTGCTTTCAGAACGTTATATACTACTAAAAAAGATTACGACTTGCTTGGAGAAGACTAAATACTGCTGGTAGAAACTTTTATCTGTTTGGAAAAACAAGATACTGTTTCCAAAAGACTATTAACTACTTTCAGAATGCTAAATATTGTTGGAAAGAGTACCAACTGCTTGGAGAAAGGTAGATATTGTTGGAAAAGACTATTTAATGCACCCAGAAGATTAAATACTGCTAGTAAAAGACTAAAAATTGCTTCTAAAATGCTACATACTACAGAAAAAGACCACAACTTACTTGGAAAAGGCTAAATACTGTTTTCAAAATAATACCTATTGCCTCCAAAACGTTAAACACTGCTGTTAAAAGTTTTGATCTACTTGGACAGGCGGAATACTGCTACCAAGACTATTTATTGCATGTTTTTAAATCTAACCATCCTTGCTAAGTATCTTCGAGGTGATTTTAATCGATTGGAATCATTTTGACTCAAACCAATCAACGTTTTGCATATTTGAAATGTTTTGAATCTTTTAGAAAACATCCGGTTTGACTCTTTTAACTTATTTTGGCCATCTTAAGTAAAAAAAAATATGTTTGAATTCAATTTCAACAATTTTGACACACACCAATAAGTTTTTTCTATTTTTTGGCATCTCTGAAAGTCTTTCAAAAAATACGAAAATTAACTTTAATTTTATTATTATATTCGTAATCTACATAAAATGACCTTTAAAATGAGTCCAAACATGACGTATTTATCTCAAAAAACAAAAAAGTTAGAATAAAAAATATTAAACCGGAAGTTAGCAACAATGAAGATAGCAATTTAATTTTTAAATATTAATACCAACCTTAATTTCTGATTTTTTTTATTATACTTTTGTTTTTATGACAAATTTTAAAACATTTTATAAAAATTAAGAATATATCAAAATGACACTGACATTTCAAACCGGAAGTTGCTTATATCTCGAGTAATATTGGAATTAAACGTATCATGTTTGGACTCATTTTAAAGGATTTTTCACGACGATTACAAATATGTCAAAATTGACGTTGACATTTCTAACCGGAAGTTGACCATAACTTCATTAATATTGAAGATAAATATGTCGTGTTTGTGCTCATTTTAAAGGATTTTTAATAAAGATTACAAATATGTCAAAATTAAATATTTTGAACTTTCTGGAATTAGTAACCTAATATGTGCTGTATCTTTTTCAACTAACTTGCAGAATTTGTAGGAGTTTTGACGTGTTTTTAAGGAGATTTCACATTAATTAAAAAAAATCATCGATTTTTAATCCAAATTAATTAATTAAATAAAATTACCTGATTCGATATTCTCAGTTTCTAATTGAACCATTTTCCACCACAAATCTTGGATGTGACTTGATTGGGCGGAAACCTCGTACAGTTCTTCCAATCCAGCTAATCGACACACGAAAGCCTGGGCTTGTCGCCTCGCGAATTTCGGATCCAACAAAAAAACTTGCTCCTCGTCCACTTCGAGTTCATCCCCGTAATCAATTAAAAAACAATTTATTTTTGATCCGTTCGTTTCGATGACTCGCACTCGACACCAATGATAAACTTCCAAAAAAATTGCGTAATAACCACCTTCGCTGATCTTAATGGGCCGCTTCTTCGCTTTATTGTTCTCGTAAGTTCTGTTGAAGTCGATCACCATTAAATCGAAAGCTTCCGATTCGTCCGTTTCTAATTGTCGGCACCAAATCTCTCTCGCTGAAACGACGCAAGTTATTTCAGCCATTATTATCGCGTCGCCCCCATTGCCGAAGTGCACTACGTTCGTTGGGACGGAAACGTCGTAAATGTACGCTGATAATCCGATCGGTTTTCCTTTCTGGAACATCTGTTTGGTAAAATTGGGAAAGAAACGAAAGCAGTGTCTCTTAAAAGCGTTATATTCAAAGCACAAGCATAAAAAAAATGATTATGTACATTAAAATGTTATACCAAAATAATATTTGAGGTTAGGTTCCTAAATATACGTCAAATTCTTTCTGTTATAGGTTATTATTACCCTATTTGTTGTTTTAATTGATTTATTTCAAAAAAATTACCTTTAAACGCAAAAATTGTTTAATATAATCGTGATTATTTGTTATAAAACTTTATCTTGATGCAACAAGTGATTTTTTTTAAAGATGTCGGTGCTTATTGATAAATCACCATGGTAACGGCAGGGTTGAAAACTTTTAAACCAAAAATTATTTAAGTCACAACATTTTCATAGACTTTTCTGTCGATGGAATAAGAAATAACACTAAAACTAGAAATTTTGAGGTAATGCATAATAAGTTTTAGATTTATTTCTAACGCAAAATGAATTAAATCAAGTTTTTTTAATAAAACGTCAAGAAATGTCACTTGAAAAAGACGTGTAGGAGGTAGCGCCATCTAGTGACATTTATAAACATTAATTAATTTTTTTTAAATAACTTTTTATTGAATTTTTGTTATATTAACGCTTAATTAAATCGAAAATCATCGATTTTTTTAAATATAAACATAATTTTTATTAAATTATTATGAATTATTTTAAATTTATTAATTAAATTTTTTTGTCACCCCCATCTCGTGGTTATTACCCATATTAATCGTATTTTTGACGTTTAGAAAAATTTCGTACAAAAATTAATAATTTTGACGAAAAAAAAGGTGCGATTCAACCGAAAGAAACGTTTAAAGACATTTTTGAACATCCTAACCGTTTGCTCAACCAATTTTAGACGCCACGAAACGATTTTTATCTCGGAATGAAGTTTGAGACATAACCTAACTTTTTATGTCAATTTAAAAATATTTGTAAGTTGATTCATTTTACATAAAACTTTATAAACATTATTAACTTTATTAACTTTAGTTTTTGGACGGGTTAAATAGTCCTTGAAAAAGTTAGGTTAGGTTGAGAAAAATGAACGCAATAACAACTAATTCGTTACAAAAATTAAATATACTTACTCCGCTTTAAAAAAGGGATATTTTAACTTCATTTAATGCGAAAATTGTTTAATATAATCGCGATAATTATTATAAAACTTTCTCTTGATGCAACAAGTGGTTTTTATTTAAAGATGTCGGTGCTTATTGATTAATCACCATGGTAACGGCAGGGTTGAAAACTTTTAAACACAAAATTATTTCAGTCTCAAAATTTTCCTAGATTTTTCCGCCGATTTAATAAGAAATAAAACTAAAACTAGAAATTTTGGGGTTATGTCGTGCGTCTTTGACTTAGTTTGATAGATATTAAACTAAAAGCTGTTTCAAATGAGATGGGTTCTTATAAATCGCTAAAACGTTATAAAGGGGCGTTATAAATTAGTGAAGTGAGGTTAAGTTGTAAAAGTGAGGTTGGGACTTACATAAAATTTACGATCTTTACTGCTGATGTTATAAGAAATAAAACTAAAACTAGAAATTTTAGGGTTATGCACGGCATAAAATGAGTTAAATATTTTTTTTTTAATGAAACGTCAAAAATGTCACTTGAAAAAGACGCATAGGAGGTAGCGCCATCTAGTGACATTTATAAACATTAATTAATATTTTTTTTAATAACTTTTTATTGAGTTCTTGTTATATTAACGCTTAATTAAATCGAAAATCAGTCTTTGACGCACGGCATAACCTCAAAAATTTCTAATTTTAGTTTTATTTCTAACGCAAAATGACTTAAGTAATTTTTTTAATGAAACGTCAAAAAATGTCACAAAAAGACGCACAGGATGTAGCGCCATCTCTTGGAAAAAGTCTAAAATGTACGTGTGTAACTAACTTCTCATCATGTCAAATATTTTAAAGTTATTTAAAAACCCGAATTATTATTTAATTTCTTTTTTTATAACGTAAAACGTGTACGAGTGATTAAAACGAACTTTTATGACGCAAATTCTTTTTAGTTTTATCTCTAAAACTGGCTGAGTTAAAAATTTTTTAATGAAACGTCAAAAAAATGTCATTTGAAAAAGTGAGGTTAGGTTGTGTTGAAAAAATGAGATCATTTTCTACACAGTTTTAAACCAACACGGCCGTTTTCGAAGACATCGGCCGCTAAAACATCAAAAACCTTGGTTAAATCTCTATTAATATTTGTAAGAATGGACATTTCGTGCTTTTGGGGCGGCCGACGTCTTCGAAGTCGACTTTTTGTAGCTATTTTATGAACATTATAAAAAGCCCACTCAAAAAAAATCCACCACCAACCTCCACAAAAATAAAATAAAATAAAACCATCAATTAGATAATAATATTAAACGAATACTTACATCTTCCGGCTTACAACATCTTAGTACATAACGCGTCTCAGAAACTTTTTCGACACAAATCATGGGGCTTTTATCGACGACTTCCACCCAATTAAGCGGCAACGCCTCCTTGTACAAATCGGTGTAGTCCAATTCGATTTGCGAGTTCCAAATGCCGTGGTAATGTTTTTTGACAAGCTCAGGGATGCGTTCGAGGACGTCTTGATCGGCCGAGATGAGCAGGGAGGCGCGCTTTTCTTGCTTCCCTTTTAAATCTTCCAACGCCACGCTCGACACGAACAGTCTCAAGGTGTTTTCGTCCCGAAATTCTTGCGGGTAATTCGAATAAACTTGATCGCCGATCTAAAATAAATCAATTAATAAATAATTCGTAAACGAATGTTGTTTTTACGCACTTTTAATTTGCAATCGTAAAGAATTTTCGGGGGGTACTTTGTGGGTCGTTTTACGATCGTGTATTGGGGTGATGGAAGTTTGTGGTGTTTGGTGAAGGCGTCTAAATCGATTATTGAATCGCCGGTAAATTCTAATTTTTTTTGTTTATCGGAAATCTGAAATTAAAAAAGAATTAATTGTATCAAAATTGAGATTTTTTTTATAACACTGGAGTGAAGTTATCCATAAATCCCAGTTATAATCTTAAATCATTTATAATTCATTTGTAAGACTCAATATAGCAAAAAAATGCTAGGAGTAACATTGATCAATGTCAAAGTTTCAGGAAAAATTCTGGAATTGCATTGGTCAAACTCTAAACTGCAGAAAATGTTTGGAATTATATTGTCTAAATAACAAATTTAATTAAAAGAATGTCAGAAATCATTCAGGTTGAGTTCTAAATTGTTAGAAAAAGGTTTAAATAGCTTTGGTAACAATTGTTAAGATTAATAATATAAAATCAGGATGACCAAGCTTTAAGCTGCCAGAAAAAGTCTGGAATTAATGCCAAACCAATGCTATTGATAACTCAAATTGTCACTGGTGAAAAAAATTGGAAATCAAAATTCATTCTGAAAAGAGCTTGGAGGAAACTAGAAAGTGCTACCAAAATACTGAGAAAGTGTTTGCAGAAGATTAGAAACTGCTACCAAAAGACAAAAACTGCTTCAAAAATACTGAAAAGTGCTTGCAGAAGACTAGAAACTGTAACCAAAAGACAGAAACTGCTTCTAAAATACTGAGAAGTGCCTGCTGAAGACTAGAAACTGCTACCAAAAGATATAAAACTGCTATCAAAAGACAGAAACTGTTTCCAAAATACTAATACGTGCTTGCAGAAGACTAAAAACTATTACCAAAAGACAGAAACTACTTCCAAAATACTGAAAAGTGGTTGCAGAAGACTAGAAACTGCTACCAAAAGACAAAAGATGCTTCCAAAATACTAAAAAGTGCTTGCGGAAGACTAGAAACTGCTACTACAAGAAAAAAACTGCTTCTAAAATATAGAAACTGCTTCCAAAATACTGAAAAGTGCTTGCAGAAGATTAAAAACTGCTTCCAATAGACAGAAACTGCTTCAAAAATATTGAAAAGTGGTTGCAGAAGACTAGTAACTACTAACAAAAGACATAAACTGCTACCAAAAGACAGAGACTGCTTCCAAAATACTGAAAAGTGCTTGCGGAAGACTAGTAACTGCTAACAAAAGACAGAAACTGCTATCAAAAGCCAAAAACTGCTTCCAAAATACTGAAAAGTGCTTGCAGAAGACTAGAAACTGCTTCCAAGAGACAAAAACTGCTACTACAAGACAGAAATAGCTACCAAAAGACAGTAACTGCTTTGAAAATACTGAAAAATGCTTGCAGAAGGCTAGAAACTGCTACTAAAAGACAGAAACTACTTCCAAAAGACAAAAACTGCTCCCAAAATACTGATAAGTGCTTGCAGAAGGCTAGTAATTGCTAATAAAAGACATAAACTGCCTCCACTAGAGAAAAACTGTTTCAAAAATATTGAAAGTGCTTACAGAAAACTAAAAACTGCTTCCAAAAACAGAAACTACTTCCAAAATACTGAAAAGTGCTTGCAGAAGACTAAAAACTGCTTCAAAAAACTTGAAAACTACTTGTAGAAGGCTGAAAACCATTTGCAAAAAATTGCACATCGCTAGTAGAGAACTGTTAACTGCTTGCAAAAGACTAGAAACTATTTCTAAAAGACTGGAATTTACTCCTAAAGGACAAAGTACTTTGAAAACACAGAAAACTGGAATCTGCTTTCAAAAGATTGAAAACTACTTCCAAAAGACTGATAATTGCTTACAAGAAGCAAAACATTACGTCCAAAAGACTAGACACTGCTCCAAAAAAATTAGAAACTATTTGTAGGAAACTAAAACAACTTGCAGAACACTGGAAATTACTTTACAAAAAACTAGACGTTGCTAACAAAGAAATCAGACCGTTTGTAGAAGATAAATATCTTATTAATTGCAAAAACTGTTATTAAAAGATTTGATACAGTTTAAAGAGGACGAGAATCTTGTTGCAGAAGACTAGAATCTGCTTCCAAAAGATAGATACTGCTTCCAAAATAATGAAAAGTGCTTGCAGAAGACTAAAAACTGCATGCAATAGACAGAAACTGCTTCATAAATACTGAAAAGTGTTTACAGAAGACTAGAAACTGCTACTAAAAGACAAAAAACTACTTCTAAAAGATAAAAACTGCTTCCAAAATAATGAAAAGTGTTTGTAGAAGACTAGAAACTGCTACCAAATGACAGCAACTGCTACCAAAAGACAGAAACTGCTTCCAAATTACTGAAAAGTGCTTGCAAAAGACTAGAAAGTGCTACCAAAAAACAAAAACTACTTGCAAAAGACAAAAACCGCTTCCAAAATACTGAAAGGTGCTTGCAGAAAACTAGAAACTGCTACCAAAAGACAGAAACTGCTTCCAAAATACTGAAAAGTGTTTGCAGAAGACTAGAAAATGCTACCAAATGACAGCAACTGCTACCAAAAGAAAGAAACTGCTTCCAAATTACTGAAACGTGCCTGCAGAAGACTAGAAAGTTCTACTAAAAAACAAAAACTACTTGCAAAAGACAAAAACCGCTTCCAAAATACTGAAAGGTGCTTGCAGAAGGGTAGAAACTGCTACCAAAAGACAAAAATTGCTTCCAAAATACTGATAAGTGCTTGCAGAAGGCTAGAAACTGCTACTAAAAGACAGAAACTACTTCCAAAAGACAAAAACTGCATCCAAAATACTGAAAAGTGCTTGCTTAAGTCCAGAAACTGTTACCAAAAGATAGAAACTGCTATGAAAAGACAGAAACTGTTTCCAAAATACTGAAATGTGCTTGCAGAAGACTAAAAACTACTACCAAAAGACCGAAACTGCTTCCAAAATACTGAAAAGGACGACATATTTAAAAATTAGTCACAGATTAAGTGTTTTCTTTAATTATTCCCATCTTCCTCAAAATACAAAATTTTGGACAGGTTAAGACTCGTTAAGAAAGGACTTTTAATAAAAAGGGAGAGCAAATCAATGTCAATGTCAAAAAGCATCATCATCAAGCTGTTGTTGAGGGTGAGGGTGCCTATTTATGANTTTGTACAGGATAAGACACGTTATGAAAGGACTTTTAATAAAAAGGGAGAGCAAATTAATGTCAATGTCAAAAAGCATCATCATCAAGCTGTTGTTGAGGGTGAGGGTGCCTCTTTATGAAATTTGGTGACCCAAATCGTATTGGTTACAGAATTATGAATGACTTAAATTTATAGCTAGGATTTAAAAGATAACTTCACACCAGCTTTTTTTAACTTACGCTTGTTTTAGTCCGTCTAATCACTTCTTCCCCTTCACTACTTGTCCATGAATCAAAATTAACGACTTTCGGTTTTAATTCTTTCAAAACATCCCCAGAGCCATTTATATTCGTGTTCGGAGTGAACCCCGCCATGATTTTATTGATATTTGTTTTCTCAGAAAACACTTTTAACGATTTTTGGGGCTCCAATTTCTTTTTACGATCGTTCAAAACTTGTCTTAAATCTTGTACTCCACTTTTATTGTTGTTTTCGACACAAACGGAGTCATTGGGGCCCATTGTAACGTATTGCCGATGCAAAACAAACTCCTTTTTTGTCGCATTTCTCTTTTTATCGACCTCTTCATCCTTTTCCATGTAATATTTAGGCCTCCAACGAGTCGTCGGTTTCGATTGTTGGAATCTGTTGTAAGTTTGAGTCGAACGCTGGCGAATCACGCGTTTTTTCTTCGTCCCTCGTTGTCTTGAGACTAAATCGACGACATGTTCTGACTTTTCTGATACTTTGGCGGTTACGAAAGTTTGTCCGTTGGTTTGGGTTAGAACGAATGAGCCGAGGGATTTTAAAAAATCCTCTAACGATCTAAATTTAAACGATTTATAATCGATTTCGCAGCCTATTAAGGTTTTATAATCCGAATGGAGTTGGCGTAACGTACATTGGCCCTTGTTTGATACTAAACACGCTCGAATGTTCGTTATGATGTCTTCTTTGGGGATCCCCATTGTAAGTAAGTAACTGGAGTGATAATAATACGTTATTTAGAAAGTGGAAAGGTTTTAACCAAGAAAAAATTGACCCAATTAAAAATTACCGTGTCAAATACTGACCTAACCTATATTTTTCGAAGTAAGCGGGTTAAGATCACACAAATCCTTCCCGTTCGTAATAAACATTAAGAACTTACCGAAATCGGTCGAATTTTCGGGGGATCGCTTCGATTCGTTGGAAAATTTACATAAATTAGCCACTTTTCTGCAAAACTTTTTTCGCTTCGTTGACACTTTGCAACTTTTACTTCAAAACTACCAACCTTGAAAAAACAAAAAAAAAATCCGTTACAAACAAACTGTATTTCGAAATATGATTTTAGGAATTTATTTAAATTCGAATAAAACAAGTTTAAATACATCGATTTTAATGTAAAATTATAATTTTTACATTATTATGCTTTATTTTTTTAATTCGGAGGAGTAAAATGAAGCGCTAAAAAGAAGGGTTGCCATTGGTCAGTTTTAAGCAAAAATTACACTAGTAAAATTCGAGATAATATCGAGTTTAAAATGATTTAATAGTGATTAAATTAAATTTTATGTAAAATGAATCAACTTAAAAATATTTTTAAATTGACATAAAAAAGTTAGGTTATGTCCGAAACTTCATTCCGAGATAAAAATCGTTTCGTGACGTCTAAAATTAGTTTAAGCAAACAGTTAGGATGTTCAAAAATGTTTCTTTTGGTTGAAATCACCTTTCTTTTGTAAAAATTAATAATTTTTGTTACGAAACTTTTCTAAATGTCAAAAATACGATTAATACGGAGAATAACCACGAGAGGGAGGTGATAAAAAAAATTTTATTAATAAATTTAAAATAATTCATACAAATTTAATAAAAATTATGATTATATTCAAAAAAATCGATGATTTTCGATTTAATTAAGCGTTAATATAACAAAAATTCAATAAAAAGTTATTAAAAAAAAATTAATTAATGTTTATAAATGTCACTAGATGGCGCTACCTCCTACGCGTCTTTTTCAAGCGACATTTTTGACATTTCATTAAAAAAAAATGATTTAACTCATTTTGCGTTAGAAATAAAACTAAAATTAGAAATTCTTGGGTTATGATAACCTCAAAATTTCTAGTTTTAGTTTTATTTCTTATTTCATCGGTAGAAAAGTACGAAAATTTTGCGAGTAAAATAATTTTGTGTTTAAAAGTTTTCAACCCTGCCGTTACCATGGTGATTTATCAACAAACACCGACATCTTTAATTAAAAACCACTTGTTGCGTCAAGAGAAAGTTTATCACGATTATTTTAAACAATTTTCGCATTAAATCTGAAGACGCACGGCTAAACCCGATATTTTTTAGTTCTAGGTCTAGTGTTAGTTCTAGTTTTAGTTAAAAAATATATAACATAGTAATATTTTATGCTAACTAGCGCTACCTACTACTGCCACTAAAACTAGAGATTCTAGTGAAATATCAAATTATATCGACATGTTGCATTTTACGTGGGACAAAGTAAGTAGTACAACGTGATTTTTTATTTTACTCGCCCAAATTAAAAAATAAAGTATAACTTTTAATTAATCATTAAATGAAATTAATTTTTTTAAGATTTCCCCCCCTGGAATTGCCAACGCGAACCACAACAAACCAAACCTGTCAAATGTCAAACGTCAAAGTAAAATTAACCAAATTTTAGCCGATTTCGAAGAAAGATTTAATTACAAAATGTATAATCCATTATATAACCCTTTTTTACATTTCAAGTAAGTTGTTTCAAACGATAATTCAATTCAAAAATAAGTCTAATTCTTTTTTTTTAATTTTTAGGTTAAGTTCACTCAGATTATAATCAATTAAAAGCGATTAAAACAAGATGGTTCGTTTATATTGGTTTTCGCGTACATCGCGGATCGTCGCGTTATGTTCCGCCGCCAATTTCATAAACAGCGCCGATCGTGTGATAATGCCCATAGCGATCATCCCAATGACCGATGAATTTCACTGGACGTTACACGAACAAGGCTGGATATTATCCGCGTTCGCTTTCGGTTATTTCACCTCACAATTATTGGGGAGTTGTTCCGCGTCGAAATTGGGTGCAAAAAACGTGTTAATTTTTAGCGTTTTATTATGGAGTATCGCAACGTTTATCACGCCGCTTTTAGCGCATAGTTTCGCGGGTTTAGTGATTTGTAGGATCGTTTTAGGATTTGCTGAAGGGTTAGGATTGCCCACAATTTTTCATTTATTCGCTCATACGATTCCGGTTGAGGAGAGATCAAGAGCTTTTGGGTATTTAATCGCTTGCGGATCGGTTGGACAAACCGTCGCTTCTGTGGTAAGTTTAAAAATTTAACTTAACCTAAAAAATTAATTTATTTTTAATTTTAGATGTGCCCCCATCTTTTGTGGCAATCTTCGTTTTATTTATTTGGATCTTTGGGATTTATATGGGTCGTTTTGTGGGGTTTATTTTACCCCGAACGAGCTTTAGGAAACGTCGATGACACTCTCCCGCTTCATAGCGCGCCTCAACAACACAAAACGCCCCTAAACCCATCAAAATCGCCGTTTAAATCGACCAATGACATCAAATGGCATCACTTTTTACTTTCAAAACCGTTATGGGCGATTTATGTGGCGCATTTTTCGATGAATTGGTGCACTTACATCATAATGCAATGGTTGCCTACTTATTTGTCGCGAAATTTAGGCGCAAACAGCCACAGTATAAGTTTAACGGCGATTCCTTACATTTTCAACTCCTTATTTAGCATAGCAAGTGGCCATTTTGCTGATAATTTATTACAAACTAAAAATTGGAGCGTTTTGAACGTACGAAGATTAATGACGTGCATTGGGCTGGTGGGGCCTGGCTTGTTTTTGGCCATTTTTTGTTTAGTTGACGATTTGTTGTTGGCGGTTATTTTGGTGAGCATTTCAATGGGTTTGAGTGCTGCGAATTCGGCGGGACATTTGAGTAATCACGTGGATGTGGCCCCAAATCATTCAGGGACGACTTTTGCCATTTCAAACACTTTGGCAACCGTGCCGGGGGTTTTGTGCGGTCCGGTGACGGCTCATTTGGTTGTTCGATACGGTATGAGGTGGGCCCCCGTGTTTTTGTTGGCGATGGCGATTAATTTGAGTGGGGCGGGGGTTTATTTTCGATACGGAAAAGCCACTCAAGTGATTTAATAAACTTTTTAGAGTCTTAGAAACTCATTTTAAGATTAACTTTTAAGTGAGATTACTTATAGAATTAAAGTACGAATTACTTAGGGTGTTGTGAGTATCAAATATAAGTTTATTTTTAAACGAAATAAGTTGTTTTAATTCTCTATACCTGTCAATGTCAAATTTTTAGGGATTTTATTGGTATTACCAACTGCAGCTAACTTTACGTCAAATTCTAAAAAAAAAATAACCTCAAAAATGATCGATTTCATTAAAATTTTAACAAAATTAATTAAACATAACTCGATATCATTTTCTAACACATCAAATTTCTAATTTTAGTTTTATAATTCTAACACAAACTAAGTTAAATACTTTTTTTTTAATTAAAACGTCAAAATACATGTCATTTGAAAGTGAGGTTAGGTTATGTTATTAAAGTGAGGTTACGAATCTTCCAAGTACCAACACGGCCGTTTTCAGACGCTACAACATTAAGAAACTTCAGTTCTTGGGGGCGGCCGACGTCTTCGAAGTCGGCCGAGTTCACTTTTTGTTACAAAGTATATACAATAACAACAAATTCATTAAAAAAGTTTAATGTACTTACTCTGCCGTAAAAATTGTGATTCAGCTTCAATTAATGCGAAAATTGTTTAAAATAATCGTGATTATTTTGATAAAACTTTCTCTTGACGCAACAAGTGGTTTTTATTCAAAGATGTCGGCGCTTGTTGATAAATCACCATGGTAACGGCAGGGTTGAAAACTTTTAAACGCGAAATTATTTTAATCAAAAAAAATTTCATAGATTTTTCTGCCGATGTAACAAGAAATAAAACTAAAACTAGATAAGACGCACGGCATAATCCGAAAATTTCTAGTTTTAGTTTTATTTCTAACGCAAAATCAGTTAAATAAAATTTTTTTAATGAAACGTCAAAAAATGACACTTGATAAAGACGCATAGGAAATAGCGCCATCTGTTGCGAATTTGTCGCACATTTGTAACTATCTTATCATATCAATATTTTAACGTAATTTAAAACCACGAGAAACGCGAATTACTTTTTTTATAACGTAAAACTATAAAAACTATAATCTAATAAATAATAACTATAAAACTAGATATTTTCTATGTAAAATCGTTTTTGACAGAACTATTTTGAGGTAAATTTATTTCAACGCGAGCGATTTAATAACACTAAATTTGTTTTAAAGTAACAACAAATACTTAATAAGGTTTTAATTAAGATTATAATGCATTAATATCTTTAAATTTAATCAATTAATAAAAAGAACTCACCCTTTTTAAAAGACACTGTCACTTTGTGTCACTTTTAATAACTTTAATTGCCAACCCTAAAAAATTAAATTGAAATTGTTGGAAAAAAATTTCCTTTTAAATTTATTAAAAATAAGTTAAAATTTCATTAAAATAATTTAAAATTTAAAGTCGAACTCACCTTTTCCTGGTGACGCTGTCAATTTTGAGTTTTAATAAAATTTAATACCAACCAAAAAAAAATTTAATTACTAATAAATCAGTTATAAAAGAAAAATTTAGCATTTAAAGATTCTGAATTAAATTTATAACGCATTACATCAAAATTTGAGGGATAAATAGTATAAATATATTGTTAATATTCACAATTCGTTTTTAACTTAAAGCAATTGTATAAAAATTCTAGTTAATTTCGTCCAATTTGATTTTAAGATCCTCTGGAATGTTAACATCTTTAAGATTATCCGCGTTAATTTCCTCTTCCGTCCTTATTAAAATATCCACACAATTTTCACATGCCAACAATACTTTTGGACTTTTCTCCCACTTATGAAGCTCTCTTAATACAACATAAGCATTATTATCTCTAATAAATTTCCTATTTTCTTTTAAAGCGCACAATTGATTCAAAGATTCCAACAAAACACATCTAAAACACCAATTAAAATAATTACAATCATTAACTAATTTAATAAATAAAAAATCGAAACTAACCGAACCTCCTCATCTTGATCTCGTTCTTTCCCTTCATCCAAAAATTGCAATTCCACCGGGAATTTTTCGTTATCTTCCTCGTCGTATTCAGCCCCATCCATTAATGGCAACAAAAGTTTGGTTAAAATTTCGAATTCTTCGCTCAACAACCATTTGTGACGTTCAACATCAAAACAACAATTTTTTAAGATTCCAGCAACGCCGCGTCGCCTCACATCGGATTTTTTAAACGTCAAAAATGACGTTAAATCCTCTAAAAGATCCGAATTTTCGAATAAAATATCTCTAAATCGTTTCGATTGGGATAAATTTAAAAAAACCGATGCCAAATAATCCAAATTTGAACCTTTTCGATTATAATCGGGCGTTGAGAAAATCCTGACCAGCTTTTCAAGCGAATATGGTGAAGATAACATTAAATCGAGCACTTTTTCAATGTGAGTATCATCTCGAGTCAAATTGGCCAAAATCATGCAATTTTCGTCGGAAATTTCGCTAGTTTCATCAGAAATAAACCCCAGAGTTGTTTCGACTATATTTTTTGGTGACTTTAATAGCATAGAGTCGTTTCGTAAGTCTAAATTCAATAAAATCTCAATTGACGTTTCCATTGAGGTTATGTTTACTAATGTTTGTGCAGCATTTTTTGATATCTTTGCGGTGTTATCGTGCAAAAGTGTTATAAGGCTCACTAAAACCTTTTCGGATTTAATTAGTGTTGTAATACCATCGTTAGTTGCAGTTAAACCTAAAAAAAATGTAAAAAATTAGATTTTTTTTTAGGTTATGTTTGGGTTATACCCAATATTTGTTGAGATGCTAAGTGTTTTAAATCGGTTCTTGCTCCTAATTGTAAAAAACGCACTAATTCATCGATTTCGTTCATTTTTAAGCTTAAAATTAAACGTTTTTAATTTAAAACGATTTCAAATAATAATCCGCATGGATATTTTGACAGTTGACGTTATCACGTTATGACAATCATGAAGTTAGTTATTAACTTATTTTTATTACTTTATTTATGTAATTATTAATAATTTTTGTAATTATAAGTAATTATTAAAGGATTTTATGAGAAAATAATAAATTAATTCAATAACGCACAATAAATTAGCGCCGATAAATAAGTTGACGTTACCACGTTATGACAATCATGAAGTTAGTTATAAATTAATTTTTATTACTTTATTAAATTATTAATAATTTTTGATTTAAATATTTTTAAAATAATTATTAAAGGGTTTTATGAGAAAATAATAAATTAATTCAATAACGCACAATCAAGTAGTGCCGATAAATAAGTTGAAGTTACCACGTTATGACAATCATGAAGTTAGTTATAAATTTATTTTTATTCCTGTATTTAATTATTAATAATTTTTGATTTAAACATTTTTAATGTAATTATTAAATGGTTTTATGAGAAAATAATAAATTAATTCAACAAGGCACAATAAACTGGCGCCGATAAATAATCCAGCGGTGCCACCCGTAGAAACTAAAAACGAAAACTTCTAACCTTAAAAAATTTAAAAAAAACCTTATTTTTTACCAACTAAACCCAATTTATCCTTTAAAACGTTCCTTTTGTATCGTTCGCTCGGCAACCGATCCAAACTCACCTCAACTACCGCATAATCGTTATCAATCCTAAAAAATTTCACGATTACCAACCAAAATCAAAATTATTTAAACATCGTTTAACTTCTTTTTGGTATCTCGAACAATTTTCAAATCGGATTCAGTACAACTAGGCAAACAATCGCAAATTAATCCGGTCTTATTCGACCACGGCGATTTTAAAATCGACAGTTCGTTGTAATTATCGCTCAAACATTTCAACTGGGCGGGGGTACATCTTAAATCAAAGGCTAAAAAGCACTAAATTAACACAAAAAATGTAAACAAAACGTTCAAAAATACGCGTGTTTGGTACTAAGTGGTGAGCGCAACCGCATTTTTTAATTTGAGCCGATTTTCGGCATTGCACGCAGCACACGCTGTAACTATAACGAAGATTAACGTCGATTTCGTCCGTTTCGTCCAAGAATTTGCAGTTTCTTTGAGATACATCAACGTTTTTCACCTACAAAACGAATTATTTTTATTATTTTTAGGTTAGAATCGTTTTTGAGGTTATTTTTTAACCTCTTTGACGTTTTCGATTTCATTCAAAGCGATTAATCGTTTGTATTTTACGTTTGGGGTTATTTGGATTGTTTCCATTTGGGAAGTGGTCAAACTGGGGACTTCTTCTTTACCCAAAATGTATAACTAAAACGTTAATAACAATAAAAAAAGTTTTTTTTAAGTATTTTTTTACATTTGCGTAACCGTGAATCTCAAAACGGAATTCACCAGGACCTTGGTTATGATTAGAAATCATTTTTACATCATTTTTCCTTAAATTGATTATAAATTATTTTAAAAAAAGATATATATTGCGAATTTACTCGGTTTGTAATGAATTTATGGCGAAACATTCACCAAATTCGGTTGAAACTTTCACAAAATCCCCGCAACAATTAAATTTTCTCCGATTCCATTCGCAATTTTTAACGATTTCCTCGCATTTGCTTCGAACCAATCGATTAATCTCTTCGAAATTCTCTTTTAGGCACGCCGGGTTGGATTTGTCGCAAATTTGTAGTGTATAGAACGATAAGCCTTTATAAAAAACGATTTCCTTGATGATTTCGTCTAAATTATAATCCCTCGGGTCACCGTAAGTCCTAAAAATGAAACATTTTTAACTACGAATTGAGATTAAGACGCGAACTTATCGGCAAATGATGAGATTTTCTTTGCATTATCGCTTTCGCAGATAAAGATTGCGGGGAACGATGTATTCCAGTCTAAATAATTCGTTTCAACCCCAAAACTGATCGAATTGTGTTGATAATCGTCTAAAGTCGCTTCGATTAAAAGGATCGAGGAGTACCAACTGAGCACGCAACAAATAAACCAAAAAACCCTAGGAGATTAAATGAAATAAAATACAAATTCGTTTAAGATTTTTTTATAAATACTTTTCGGACCAATGCAATCGAGTTTGTGCTAAAAATTTTAATCCGTGGAACGAGGAATTTAATAAATAATCTTTTAAAACCTCCCCAAAATTTCCAAATATCTTTGACAATTCTAATGACATGACTAAAACCTTTAAACGATGGTTATTGTTTGAAACGAACGTTATTATTGAAAGCGTGTGAAATAAAACACCCCTTTTGTTACATTATGTTGAATATTAAATAAGCTTCGTGGGCGTAATCGTTTAAATATCGATTTGTAATGAAATGTCAACAAAAAAAATTAGGTTAGAATTTTGACAATTCAATATTTAATTGATGACATGATGAGAAGATAGTTACATACGTGTATTTAGATTTTTTGCGATAGATGGCGCTATCTCCTATGCGGTTATCTAGTGTCATTTTTTGACGTTTCATTAAAAAAAAATATTTAACTGATTTTGCATTAAAACTAAAACTAGAAACTTTGAGCCCTACATTTTCTAGTTTTAGTTTTATTTCTTATTACATCGACAGAAAAGTTTATGAAAATGTTGTAAATAGAATTTTTTGTTTAAAAGTTTTTGACATGCCGTTACCATGGTGATTTATTCCATTTTGACATTTATGTGTCAAAGTTTGAGGTTATGTTTTTATTTTCTAATTTTTTTACTCAAATAAAGTAATTAATTAAAATCTATATTATAAAAAAAATTGCTCATGAATTAAATTAAAATTTAAATTCAAGTTCCATCTAAATATTTGGTGCAAAACTCAATAAATTCCTTCGGCTTCTCCGTATGCACATTATGTCCGGCTCCTTCAATATAAATCAAGTTGTAATTTGGGAAGTGGGCTTTAATTGAGGGTTCCTCCTCTTTACTATAAAAATCGAGCTAAATCAAATGCTTTTTTAACACCAACGACTTATTACGTCACATAATCCGATTCACTTCCAGCAATAAACAAAACAGGCTTGTCGAATTTTCCTTTTAATTCGGGAAAATCAATAACTTTATGTACGTTTTGTTGCAACACTTTATAATTACATTTCCACTTGTAACTAAAACACAATTTAAAAAAAGCGTTTTAATCATAATTAAGTTTTAACCTTCCGTTTGGAGCTGAAATCAAATTCATTAATAAAAACTCTCGAGTTTCTTTAGATTTTATTTTCGATTTGAGTTGTTTCTCAACGATATTTCGAGCCGTGGCTCGATCAACGTTTTGTGGCAACTTAATTTTTGTTAGAGTGGTCAAAATGTGTTCGACCCATTTCACACGTTGGTATTTAACGGGGGCGATATCAACCACAATTAAATGCTGCACCTTTTCCGGCTAAAACGAAATTATTTAATTTAACGAATTAAATAAGAATATTTTCCTCACAAAAAGTAAAGCGTATCTCATCGCGACTTTCCCACCCATCGAGTGTCCTAAAAAACTAACTTTATCTCCAAATTTTTCGATTTCTATGAATCCTTTTAAATCTTCCGTCATCAAATCGTAGTTGTGGTCATCCAAATTTGGGCTATCGCCGTGATTTCTTAAATCAATCGCTATTATATCCCTTTTCAACTTTAAATTGGTCGATAATTTTTTGCACGTGCTGTTCCAGTTTGTTTTGGAGCCAAATAAACCGTGTAAAACTAGAATTGGGGTTGTTTTCGGTGAAGGTGGCACTTCCGGTTTGTAAACTGTGAATGAAAGTCGGAGCGAGGTTTGCATTAATACTTTTTGGGCCATTCTTCGTCTAATTAAACTATTTTTTATTTATTTATTCTTTAATAATAATTAATTTGAGTTTTATTTTAAAAATCCTATAAAATTATAAACTTCGACTTTGACATATTTAGAAAAAATCGCCATCTAGTGGCAAAAAAATTTTTATTAGAGAAAATAACTAATTTTTATTTATAATAAATAAAATATTTATTTAGTGATTAGTTTTTTTCTTTATTTATTCGGCAATAATAATCATTTTGAGTGATTATTTCAAAAATCCTATAAAATTACGAACTTTAATATTGAAATAATTAATTAGCAAAAACGCCATCTATCGGCGAAAAATTACACATTTTTGCAACTTTTACCCATTTTAATGCAATTAACGCATAATTGGAGATCGTTTTCATGCTTTGTACTCTAAAAATGTTTTATTTAGTATATATAAAGTAATTAAAGGATATTTACTTTTAATCCAAAATCGTAAATATATCCAAAAATTTATTATTCTTGCCACTTTTCGTTTTGATCTAATAAAATACATAGTTAGGTTCGTCCATTGTAAGGCAATAAATAAATATAAATCGATTCTTTCATTATTAACAAATATTGTTAAAAATATTATTAAGTTAGGTTCGGTTTTTATGACGTTTCTAATTTCTTGTTAATTTGACACGACAGTTGGCAATGACAGTAATAACACAGGTTATGGTAAGCGAATTGCGGACCCAAAAATAATGAAAACGAACGTTTTAATGTAATTTAATGGTATATGGTCTTTTCAATTTTAAATTGGTAGTTAATTTTGTGCACATGAGTTAAATAAACCGTGTAAAATTAGAACTGGGGTTGTTTAAAATTACGAATGTTTGACATAATTAGTAAGAGCGCCATCTATCGAGAAAAAAATTATTAGAGAAAATTATTAGTTTTTAATTATTTATGATAAATAAAATGTTTAAATGAGTTAATTTAGGCTCGAGATAAAGTAAATCTTTACCTTGTTAAATAGTCAGTTGCGATTTACATCCAAAAGATTTGAAAGCATTGCTGTATTCCGGAGAAGTTCCCCCAAGTAAGCTGATTGGAGTAATATTAAACGCGTTAACTTCGTTGAGGTACTTTGTGCTCAAATAAGTTATCATCCCTTGTATTGATTTTAATTGGTTCCAAAAATTCTTCAACTTTCTTAAGGTTGTCCATTTTATTCTCGATATTACTAAAATTATCATTTCAACTTTTGATTTGGCCACTTTGTTGTTTTTCATGCTTGGTACGCTAAAAATATTTGATTTAATATGATATATAAAGTAATTAAACGATATTTACTTGTAACCTAAAGTCGTAAATATTATTAAGTGAGGTTAGGTTTTTATGACACTTCTAATATCATCATATTAGACCATAGATATTAACCACTTTTCGTTTTAATCCGATAAAATACATAGCTTGGTTCGTTCATTGTAAGACAACAAATAAATCCTTTCATTTTTAATAAATATTATTAAGTTAGGTTTTTTGACGTTTCTAATTTTTTGTTAGTTTGACACAACAGTTGGCAATGACAGTAACAACACAGGTTATGTTGGGTGAATTGTGGCTCAAAAATAATGAAAACGAACGTTTTAATGCAATTTAATTTAAAGGTATGTGGTCTTTTCAATTTAAAATTGGTACTTAATTTTTTGCACGCGAGTTAAATAAACCGTGTAAAATTAAAATTGGGGTGTTTAAATTACGAATTATATTGACGTTTAGTAAGAGCGCCATCTATCGAGAAAAAAATTGTTAATTTTAAATTATTTATAACAAATAAAATGTTTAAATAAGTTAAAATTAAACGGGAAAACTTCTTTCATTTAACTTTATTTTACTCCCATTATAATAATCATTACTTTCTTTTCATTTTCCTTAATACTAATTCACAATATACAACGACGCGTGCTTTCTCTTTAAATTTAGGCTATTATACAATTACAAAGATTCTTATTCCTTATTTTTATTCAATTTAACCCACTTTATTTCTAAACTTAATAATTAATAAATCAAAGAAACAACTTATCACATTTACATTTTAAAAAATTACAATTAATTTTACTACAAAGTTTACAAACAAAAAGAAAATAAAATAAAAATAGCTGTATTTATTTAATTATTGTTAATCGTTATTTAATTATATCTAAATATGTATACGATTTAAAAAAAATCTCCCCAATTTTTCATCAAAAAAACAAATTTCGCAAAAAAACCTAACCTCAAAAAAAGAAAAACATTTCTTAACATGCACAATTATCTCCGCCCCCGTTCCCTCGAGACGCCCCTCTATCGCTGGTTAATTTAATCTGATCAGGGAAGTCGTTGTACATTTCACAAACGGTTTGTTGACTTTGTTGGCTCAACGCGTTCCTAGCAATACTTTTAAAAGCTTGTTCAACATTCAAAGCTTCTTTAGCGCTCGTTTCAAAGTACGGGATGCCCCCAGCGCCTCCAACTCCCCCATTATTATTCTTCGATTGACACCATTGTTGTGCTTTTTTCGAGGAAATCGCTCTCGATCGATCCCCTTCAACTAAATCAACTTTATTCCCCAATAATACAAAAGGAAAGTTTTCTGGCTCCCTAGGAGAAGCTTGTATTAAAAATTCATCTCTCCAACTATCCAAAGATTTAAATGTATTAGGAGCTGTTACATCAAAAACTAAAATTTTAAATTAATTTAATTAATAAATTATTTTTTTGATTAGATTTTACCTAAAACGCAACAATCCGCGCCTCGATAAAAAGCAACCCCCAAAGATTGGAATCGTTCTTGCCCGGCGGTGTCCCAAATCTGCATGGTAACCGTTCGATCATCAACTTGAACCTCCTTCGTTAAAAAATCGGCCCCAATCGTCGCTTTGTATTGGTTCGAAAATTTTTTGTTCACATACTGATTCATCAACGACGTTTTTCCGACACCCGAATCGCCCAAAATAATCACTTTCAACAAGACTTTCTTGCGCGTAGACATGTTTCGATCTAAAAAGGGATTTTTTTTACAATTAAAAGGAAAAATTAATAAAAGGAGGTGATTCATCAACACAACACAAAGAGACGATTTGTTTGTCTCGTTGTTTTCACGTCTACCTCGGCAATCGACGATTTAACGTGTTCATCTGGATGCTTTAAACGCTTCTTTTGCGATTTAATCGTTCTTACCTGATTTTATTCGAAGCAAAAGACGAAAAAACCACCCAAAAATTTTTTGACACTACTTGACAGTACAATGACAAGACTTGTTAAAAATGGCCGAACCCTATTTTTATGAACGTACTCGAAATACGGATACGTTCGAAAAAACGTACCTATTCGACGATGTTTTACATTAAAATAACTTAGAATTGTTGTTGTAGTTATAATTATTGTATTAATCACGTTCTTAATATATATAGTGACTAATTCTTGATAAGAATTATATTGATATTTACATTTTGATTTAAACGCCATCTCTCAAGAAAACTTTATACTAATCATTGGGGTCAATTTTAATTTTATTTTGTATTTATCTCTTTCTAATTTATCATTCTGTTTGGTTATTTGCATTATTTTTTTTTATTATTAATCCATATTTTGATTCATTACACATTTAATATTATAACAAATTTTTGATATCAACACAATAGTTGAAGCGCCATCTATCAATAGATAATTTAACCTCAATATATAGAGCGCCTTTTAAACATTGAGGTTGCATTTAATTTTTTATTTATAATTTATCTTCCTTCTAAGTTATTAACCCACTTCTTGATTAATTACACATTTAACTTTAATATCAACACCTTAACATCAAGAAAAGGTATTCACAATTAATAATCTAATTAAAAAAAGTTTATTTTATAATAGTACATTTCATAATACTTTAAGCTCTTCCTAAAGGTGTAATAAACGAGATGTAATCGCCCCAAATGCCCCAATCCGCTCGATTCATCTGATAAATAACAATCCAAGTCGTAATGATTATAAACCAAGTTAAAGCTCCGATTCCTGAATAAATCACGTCTAAAAAACGATAAATTTTGATTTGGTTCATCACTGAACATTGAGTATACTCACAGCGTTTAATTTGAGCCTGCTCATTGTATTTATCTTTGCGAAAGGCTTCGTTAAAGAACCAAATCGCGTTTACAGCCCAAACAAAGGGTAAAAGAGCGAATCCAGCTACAAGAAACGATTTAACCAATACAATTTAATCAATTTAATAATTTTTGTTACCTTTAAAGTAATATCGACACAAATTAAGTTTCTTTTCGTTGGAATATTTGGATAAATCCATTTTCTACGAAATCAGCCCTGTTTTGACACTTCACTTTTTAGGTTGGTATTAAAAATTTGCTTTTCTCTAAAAATCTTATTTATAATTAAGTTAAGCAATAAAAGATTATTAAGAATCTAATCTTTATGTTGTAAACACTTAAAATCTAGTTAAAAGTAACTTTAACTGTGTAATTGATTTAATTCAATTAGGTTGGTAATGAAATTTGGGGATATTTTGCGTAGCCGAATCATAACAGTGAAGTTCGCTCTCTTTTTATGCGAGTCAACATGGCTGACGCAAAAACGCAGAAGGTAAGTCCGAAAGAAATCTCGTTTTTCCTCGATAATCCTAACGAAATAAAACCCAATCGTGATAAGAATTTAATCCTTATAATTCGTTTTGTTATTTTTAATCCATCTTTTTCGATTTTCCCCATAAATTTGGTGTTTACCATCAAAGATGTGAACCTAACCTCAAAAACTTTTCGACCCGATTAATTTCTAAGTTATTTTTTAATGATGATCTTCATTTGAAGCCTTAGGACACTTCAGAATTAATATAAAGTGTTGATAAAATCAATCTGATATTGAAAAAAATCGTTTAAAAAAAAAGTGAGGTTATGTGAGAAAAGTGTCAAATTAATAATTGTGTTTTTAGATGTCGGAGAAGAGTAAAGAAGTGAAAAAGCCGGGAAAACCCCGCAATTACGACCTGGGAAACGGAATTTATCGGTTTTCCCGAACTCGTATGTACCATAAAAAAGCAATTTATAAATTTTTGGGGAAAAAAGTCGCTCCGAAAAAACCCAAAACGAAAACCCAACAATTCGCTGAAAAACCAATTGGTGGTGAGAAAAACGGCGGAAAACGCGTTGTTAGAACCGTGAGAAAACGCGCATATTACGCGACACAAGATAAGTAAGTAAAATAATTTTTTTTAAAATCCTAATCTAACCAAAATCTTAAAAATTTTAGAATTTTACCCAGAAACTCCCGCGGACGTTCTTTCTCCCAACACAAACGCAATTTGCGCTCATCTCTTCAACCGGGAACTATCTTAATAGTTTTGGCCGGCCCCCACAAAGGAAAACGAGTCGTCCTTTTAAAACAACTCTTCTCTGGGATGTTATTAGTTACTGGTCCATTTAAAATAAATGGATGTCCCATGAGGAGGATGCACCCGAATTACGTAATTGCCACACAAACGAGGGTGGATTTGGGCTCTTTCAAACTTAATGATAGCATTGATGATGAATATTTTAAGCGCGAAAGGAAGCGTAGGCCGAAAAAGGAAGAAGGCGACATTTTTGCTACCAAAAAGGCTGGTTATAAACCAACCGATCAAAGGAAATCCGATCAGAAGATTGTTGATAAACAAGTTATTGATGCGATTAAGAAAAATGCAGACAAGAAGTTGTTGTTTGCTTATTTAGCTACTATGTTTGGGTTGAGATCCTCCCAATATCCCCATAGGATGAAGTTTTAGGGTTATTTTTAAGCGATTTCTGTTTATTTTTTAATTCAATTAAAGATTTTGAATTTGAAATAAATGGTTTAAGTTTATTTTTATTAATTAATTTTTATTGAATCAATTCGATTAATCCCTATTTTCCAAATTGATCCATTTCAATGATTTAAAAAAATTAAAATAACGCCACGAAATGATTTTTATCTCGGAATGAAGTTTCAGACATAACCTAACTTTTTTATGTCAATTTAAAAACATTTGTAAGTTGATTTATTTTATATAAAATTTAATTTAATCACTATTTGAATCATTTTAGATCATTCACGCGTCAAAGACGCACGGTATAACCAAAAATTTCTAGTTTTTGGACAAGTTAAACAGTCCTTGAAAAAGTTAGGTTAGGTTGAGAAAAATGCGCAGCATAATTTTTACAGCCCAATAACAACTAATTCGTTACAAAAATTAAATGTACTTACTCCGCTTTTAAAAAGGGATATTTTAACTTCATTTAATTCGAAAATTGTTTAATATAATTGTTATAAAACTTTCTCTTGATGCAACAAGTGATTTTTTTTAAACATGTCGGTGCTTATTGATAAATTACCATGGTAACGGCAGGGTTGAAAACTTTCAAACAAAAAAATATTTTAGTTGCTACATTTTCGTAGATTTTTCTGCCGATGGAATAAGAAAGTTTTATTTCTAGAACTTGAAATTTTCGAGTTACGCCGTTAGTTTTAGTTTTATTTCTAACACGTCTAACGCAAAATGAGTTAAATACATTTTTTTAATGAAACGTCAAAAAAGCGCCATCTAAAGAAGGTAGCGCCATCTATTGGTAAAAGGTACTTTCTCGTCATGTCAAATATTTTAACAATTTAAAACACGAAAAAGCGAATTACTATTTAACTTTTTTTATAACGTAAAACGTGTACAAGTGACTACAACGAGCTCCTTTTTAGTTTTATTTCTAAAACTGGGTGAGTTAAATAAAATTTTTTAATAAAAAGTCAAAAAAATGACATTTGAAAAAGTGAGGTTAGATTGTGTTGGAAAAGTGTGATTAAGAATTCTCAACATCACTTTCTAGCACAAGTTTAAACTAACACGGCCGTTTTCGAAGACATCGGCCGCCCCCGGCCATCGCGGGCGCTAAAACATTGAAAACCTTGAGTTGGATCTCTACTCGCATTTGTGAGAATGAACATTTCGTGCTCTCGGGGGCGGCCGATGTCTTCGAAAACGGCCGTGTTAGTTTAAAACCGTGCTGGGAAATGTGTTATTTTTGTTTATTTATTTGTTCGTCCCAACCTCACTTTTCCAATTAAACCTAACCTCACATTTTTTGACGTTTCATTTAAAAAAAATTTATTGTACTCACTTAGTGCGTCCTCAAAGATTTTTTTTCATATTAGCGATTCATAAGAAGCGATCTCGCAAAGGTATCTCTTATATCTGTTGTAACCTTACTTTTTCAACCAAACCTAACGTCTTTGACGCACGGCATAACCTCAAAATTTCTAGTTTTAGTTTTATTTCAAACGCAAAATAAGTTAAATAAATTTTTTTAATGAAACGTCAAAAATGACACTTGATAAAAACGCATAGGAGATAGCGCCATCTGTTGGAAAAAGTCTAAAAATGTGCGTTTGTTAATTTAAAACCACGAGAAACGCGAATTTAAAAATTATTGAACTTAAATTGTAAATTTTAATTTAATTTATAAGCAATTTTTTATAATACAGATTTTAATATAACTTTATTCGAGTGCAAAAATAAATATCATAAAATAAAAACATAACCTCAAACTTTGACACATAAATGTCAAAATAAAAAAATTAATTAAATCTCTTCTAAAGCGATTAACGCCTCGACCATTTCGGGTCTTTCCCTAGGACACTGCTCAGTGCATCTTTTCCCAATATTAATTAACCCCAAAAAATATTTCTCACAATTTTCTAATCGTGCATCTCGTAGCTCCACAATATCTTTATCATAGAGTACAACATGATCTTTTAAGAAGCGATTTTTTCTCCTTTCCGAATACGAACTCAACCCCGTAGCCAATTCAAACAGAACAATCCCAAAACTGTAAGTGTCAACTTTCGTCGATAATTTCCCCCCACGCAAATACTCATCAGGTAAATATGGCTTAGTTCCTTGTAAATGACTAATGGTTAAATGGGTTTTATCACCAACACTTGGTCCTTTTCTTGCAAGCCCAAAATCACCGATTCGGGGGGTGTCATTTTCATCTAATAAAATATTAGCCGGTTTGATATCGCCGTGAATCAAAGGTTCTCTTGATGTTGTATGCAAAAATTGAATCCCTCTAAAAGAAAATAATCATAACAACAAATATAAATTTGCGTAATTAATGTTTTTATTATCACCGAGCTGATCCAATCGCAATTTTTAACCTAGATTCCCAATTTAAAGCATCATTAATTCGAATCCTACGCTCTAAAGATCCCCCAGACATGTATTGATAGATTAAACAGTTGTGGGGACCATCAAAACTGAACCCGTAAAGCGGTAAAATGTTATCGTGTCGATATGCATTTAAACTATTTAATTCTGTGACTGTTTGCCGAACGGGATTCATTGGGGATTGAGATCCTTTCTCCTCAATGCGTTTAATAGCAACTTTAGTACATTTCCAAGTGCCTAAAATCAATAAATAATTAAATTAAGATAAAAAATGACAGATTAAAAGTGAGGTTATGTATTTTGACATTTAAGACATTTAGGTTATGTATTTATAACCTCACTTTATTAAAAATTATTTAATTAAATGCCTTTAAAAACGATTCCGAACCCTCCTTTTCCTAAGATATGACCCGGATTCCAATTATCAGTGGATTTTTGTAATTCTTCATAGGTTATGTGAGGAATTCCCGAATCGGCGATGTACGATATATCGGATTTTGCGGAAAATGCTGAATTATTGAGTCTTTTGGGAATTGGGGATCGTTGAGGTGGTTTTTGGTCGGAAAAATTATCATCCCTCGTTTCGATATTAATCGGTTTTAAGAATTCTTCGACTTTTTTAACGTTATCCGTTTTATTCTCGATATTATTAAAGTTATCAATTCCAATTTTTGAATCGGACACTTTGTTAATTTGTTTAACATCTTTTTTCCGCATTAAACGGTGGAATTTATCCGGGACGTAACTTTGCAAAACTTCCATTGCTCCCAAAAATTGCATTCGGCTTAATAAAACAAATAATTCGGTTATTTTATGGTTTTGTTTCCCCCATAAAGTCAATAAGTGATCTGAAGGGGATTTTTCACGCTTCGTACTCTAAAAATGATTTATTTAATACTAATTAAGCGATTAAAGGAGATTTACTTGTATCACAAAATCATCGTAACCCATCAATTTTGCTAATAATTCCCATTTTTCGTTTTGATCTAATAAGATACATAATTTGGTTCGTTCGTTATAAGGTAATAAATAGATATAAATTGATTCTTCCATTATTAATGAGTTAATTATTAATAAAAGTATTATTAAGTTAGGTTAGATTTTTGATGTTTTAATTGTCAATTTTTTATGTTTTATATTTCTTTTTAATTTATTAAATTAAAAATATAATTTGTTGTAGTTTCTATTTTAAAAAAGATTAATACCACTCAAATTATTAAATAAAAACGAATTATTTTCTTAATAACAAATAAAGAATAACAACTAATTTCACACTAGTGCTCCAAACGTCATTTCGACGAATATGGTTTTGTGATTTTAAAAGATAAATTTACGTATAATTTTTTATTTTGTATTGATCGTGATTCACGTTATTGGAGATATCTAGAAACGATAACGCGGAAATCGTACGAACTGGATTACGTGTCTGTGGAATGTTGGGTGATCATCGGGCGGGGATTTTTCTTTTTCGTTTAGGATAGTTGGCAAAACTGGCAATAACAGCAACCAGCTCAGGTTATGGTAGGCAAATTGCGGACCCGAAAATAATGAAAACGAACGGTTTTAATGCGGTTTAAAAGTGCGTGATCGGTGTGGTTCGGTTACGATGAAGACGAAATCGTCGAAAAGAGTCGCCGGGATAATCATCCGTGGCCGGAAATCTATCGTCAAGGACTCGGTGGTTACTGTAAGTTTTGACAGCTCAACAATTTTTCGATTATTTTACAACGAAATTTTTAATCATCGTTACATTTTAGAAATTACAATATATTTTTACTATCTACGGCTTTTGATTGACGGTTTGTTAGATAAAAAAGTCGAAATTTTCATGGTACGCGTTAATAGGGCAATTCGAGGGGCTTATCTCGAAACAAAAAAAACGAAACTTTACCTTTTATCTAGATTAAATGAGATTTGATAGCGACGATTCAATGGTGAATGGCTCGTCGTGAATATTATGTGTTGGTTTGTTGCGTACTATGTATGCAAAAAGTACTTTTGGTACCCAGTTAGGTACCGGAGAATGTACAGAAAATGTATTCTTGTAAGTCAATTTTTCTTTTAAAAACGATGATTAATTATTTATTTATAATATGCGAACAAATAGAGCAATTCTTATCTGTTTCATTTGAAACATTTCGTGACTAGGCATTAAAAAAATAGATATACTTACATTATGAATTATATTTCAAGTACTTTACAAATATTGGTTCATTGTTTAAGTAATTAGTTTTGAAGTAGTAAATTAATTCGACTTAATCATTACATTATTTGATTTATAACCTCAAAATTTATTTGACATTTAAATTATAACCTCAAAATAGATAGGCAACCACACATACACATAACCTCAAAATGTAAAATTTGACATAACTTTTTAATTTATTTATTTATTTTTTAATTATTTTACTCAGTGCGTTTTCGAAGATTTTCTTTCATATTAGCGATTCATAAGAAGCGATCTCTTATATCTGTTGTAACCTTACTTTTTCAACCAAACCTAACCTCACTTTTTCAACCAAAAATTAAAATTATTTTACTCACTCAGTGCGTTGTCGAAGATTTTCTTTCATATTGGCGATTCATAAGAAGCGATGTTTGCTATCTCCTATATCTGTTGTAAAAAAGTAGTTTTTCAACCTAACCTAACCTTACTTTTTCAAGTGACATTTTTCACAACCGTTACTGCCGATGGAATAAGAAATAAAACTAAAACTAGAAATTTTAGGGTTATGCCGTGCGTCGAAGACGGCTCAAAATTTCTAGTTTTAGTTTTATTTCTAACGCAAATTCAGTTAAATAAATCTTTTTAAATGAAACGTCAAAAAATGACACTTGACAAAGACGAATAAAGTCCCTAGATCTAGGGACTTTAAAAACGAATAGGAGATAGCGCCATCTGTTGCGGAAAAGTCTAAAAATGTACGTTTGTTAATTTAAAACCACGAGAAACGCGAATTAAAAAATTATTGAACTTAAATTGTAAATTTTAATCTAATTTATAAGCAATTGTTTATAATACAGATTTTAATATAACTTTATTTGAATAAAAAAATTAATATTATAAAATAAAAACATAACCTCAAACTTTGACACATAAATGTCAAAATAAGAAATCTTTCAAAGCGAAATTCCTTTACAAATATTAATTAATTGTTTAAGTAAGTTTTCAAGTACTAAATTAATTCGACTTACAATTAATCCCTAAATTATTTGATTTATAACCTCAAAATAACTCCAAAACCTGGCCAAATAGGCAACCAAACACACACATAACTTCAAAATGTCAAATATAACATAACTTTTTTAATTATTTTTATTTATTTATTTCTTTTTCAGACCTCTGGTTTTGGTTTACCCAGCTTATATCACGCCCTTGTAGTAATATTCTTGGAATTTTTCGCATGGGGATTACTAACGATGCCGGTTATTTCTGTCCTAAACACAACATTTCCTGATCACACGTTTTTAATGAACGGCTTGGTGATGGGGATAAAAGGAATTCTATCGTTTTTAAGCGCCCCGTTAGTTGGGGCCCTTTCGGACGTCTGCGGACGCAAATTGTTCCTTTTGATTACCGTATTCTTCACGTGCCTGCCAATTCCGCTAATGACGATCAACAGTTTTTGGTTCTTCGCCATGATTAGTATTTCTGGAGTGTTTGCGGTCACTTTTAGCGTAGTTTTTGCCTACGTAGCCGATGTCACCGATGAAAAGGAGCGCTCCTTGGCTTACGGCTTGGTTAGTGCTACTTTCGCGGCTAGTATGGTTATCTCGCCGGCTTTGGGGGCTTATTTAATGGAACGGTGGTCGATGACGGTTGTAGTCGCTTTGGCTACTGCTATTGCAATATTGGATGTATTTTTTATTTTAGTCGCTGTACCTGAAAGTTTACCCGAAAAGGTAAATACTTTATTTTTAATTTAATAATAATTTTAGTTATAATTTTTAATGTTTTAGGTTCGTGTCTCTCCAATTAGTTGGGAACAAGCTGATCCTTTCGCTTCGTTAAGAAACGTCGGCCAAGACCCAACGATTTTGTTGTTGTGTATCGCCGTTTTTCTCTCCTATTTACCGGAAGCGGGGCAATATAGTTGCATATTCGTCTATTTGAAACTAGTGATGGGTTGGCGATCGTCGACCGTTGCCGTTTTTGTGGGTCTTGTCGGACTTCTTGCCGTATTAACACAAGTTTGCCTAGGTAAATCAAAATTACACTATTTTTTTACAATTTTATATAATGAAACGAGATAACTCATCGCTTAAAATCGTACTCTAATCGTACTATAGTGATTAAATTAAATTTTATGTAAAATGAATCAACTTACAAATACTTTTAAATTGACATAAAAAAGTTAGGTTATGTCCGAAACTTCATTCCGAGATAAAAATCGTTTCGTGGCGTCTAAAATTGGTTTAAGCAAACGGTTAGGATGTTCAAAAATGTTTCTTTTTGTTGAATCGCACCTTTCTTTTGTAAAAATTAATAATTTTTGTTACGAAATTTTTCTAAATGTCAAAAATACGATTAATACGGAGAATAACCACGAGATGGGGGGTGATAAAAAAAAATTTATTAATAAATTTAAAATAATACATAAATATTTAATAAAAAATAGTTTTATATTAAAAAAAAACGATGATTTTCAATTTAATTAAACGTTAATATAACAAAAATTCAATAAAAAGTTATTAAAGAAAAATTAATTAATGTTTATAAATTTCACTAGATGGCGCTACTTCCTATGCGTCTTTTTGATGTGACATTTTGCGTTAGAAATAAAACTAAGCTAAAAATTTTGAGGTTATGCCGTGCGTCTTTGACGATTTCTAGTTTTAGTTTTACTTCTTATTACTTATTACATCGGCAGAAAAGTCTACGAAAATGTTGCGATTTAAATAATTTTTTGTTTAAAAGTTTTTTTCCTGCCGTTACCATGGTGATTAGTCAATACACGCCGACATCTTTAAAAAAAACTATTTAAACGTCAAATTACATAATTCGATGAGTTATTCACGTTTCTTACACTAAATTATAACTAATATTGTTTTTTTTTAGGAATACTTATGAAAAATCTCGGTTGTAAACACACGATAATGTTAGGTTTACTATTCGAAATGTTGCAATTGTTGTGGTACGGTTTTGGAACGACCACGTGGATGATGTGGGCGGCGGGAGTTTTAGCCTCGATGAGTTCGATCACGTATCCGGCGATATCGGCGTTCGTCTCGATACACAGCACGCCGGACCGACAAGGAGTCGTACAGGGGATGGTGACGGGAATGCGAGGGTTATGTAACGGCTTAGGACCCGCAATGTTCGGGTTAATCTTTTACATTTTCCACGTGGATCTCAACGAAGAAAACGACGTCAAAACAACCAGCCCGACCGATATCAAATTTGAGTCGTATTCACAGGTAATAAGAAAAAAGTTAGATGTAATAATAATTTTAAAAACAATTTTTTTTTTTAGTTGGTTCCGGGTCCGCCGTTTGTATTTGGTGCGTTCCTAGTCATTTGTGCGTTGCTTGTAGCGTCGTTTATACCGACGAAGCACACGCCTGATTCAGGTATTCCTTTAGATACTATGTACGAGATCGAAAAGGGGCACAAAGTGGCCGGAACTTTAAGTCCGTTAATACCGAACAGTCGGCTAGAGAATGCGGCCGTTTTGTAATAATAATAGTAATTAATAATAATAATCGTCGTAATTTTTGGGGAACGGATTATGATGAGATGATGTGACAGTTGACGTTTGACAGTTGACATTTTTTTAATTGAATTTTTTTAACAAACCGGAAAAGTAATCAACGAGTTTGAATTTGAAAGAGAGGTGCGTATTAATTATTATTATTATTTTCTGTTCCGCGGTATTATTGTGATAAGTGTAAAGAATATTTCCGTAGGATGTATTTATTTTTGTATAGTTGGTAAGGCGTCGTCGGTGATTCCTCTTTTTTTTGATTTTTTTCCTTTTTACTCGTCTTATTGCTTGGTTTTTACGATAAACTCAAGGTCACCTACGTTTTAAAGATACAAAGGATTCAAAATAAAGAAGTTTTAGTGTACTTAAAAAGAATTATAAAACGAAAATGTCAATTTTAAATGATTTTTTTTATTTTTTAAATAATTTTTTTGAAGAAAAATGTTCCGCAAAGCGATTATTCCTGCCTAAATAAACGTAATTAAGTGCACACAATAAGTATTTAAAATTAAAAAAAAAAATAAAGGGTCAACTTAACAAAAAAAAATTACTAAGAATTTTTTAAAACGTCACATTTACAATAATTCGATCACGACGTGACTCTAAACGTTTAATGAAAAAGAAAGAATCGATTAATTAATGAAATAACGTTTAAAATTAATCGTCTATAAAAAAAAATCGTTAATAAACAAATTAAGTACTTTACACAAAGCACATTTGCGAGGAAAAAAATCACTAAATCAAATTAAACCAAGAATTAAAACCAAAAAAATAATGCTTTGCTCCCTAAATTTCTTTGCACACACGTTAAAAAGAGATTTTTTCGTTTTTAGACGTTTTTATAACCTAAAAAAATAAAAAAAAACGCGTGTGTAGAGTTGTTCTCAATTAGGGTGGGCTTTAGAAACAAAAAAGCTAAAAAAGGATACAAAGTAGGCCTTAAAAAGAAGTATTTTCTATTTTCTACCTTTAATTCTTGTTGAAATAGAGTGTTTTTTTTGAATGCATTTCCGGGGGGCTCCGCACAAATAAAAAAAAATATTTCGTTTTTTAAACCGGTCTCTAAACAATGTTTTTATTTGTTATTTATTCGGGATAAATAATAATCAATTATTAATTATAATTAATGTACAAAGTACGCGTTAAAAGTGTTAAGAGAAAACGGGTCAGCCGGTTTTAAACGATTTATTTTATTAAAATCCTTTTTGGATCGCTACACTAATTCCAATCGTTCCCTATCGTTTTTTTTTCTCCTTGGATTTTCGATTTCCCAAGTCCCCAAATCCAATTAATTGATAAAACACTTGTTTTTTTCGCCCATAATTAGTTTGTAAGCGTAGACGATGTAATGTTACAAGTTGCAGATGAGATAATGTATATTAAGAGGAAACATAAATGTTTATTTAAATTAAAAGTGATTTTTCTCAACCTAACCTAAGTTTTTTAAATGACGTTTTATTAAAAAAATTTTTTTTTTCGAAGTTTCCAATCCTGCCGTTACCATGGTGATTTATCAATAAGCACCGACATCTTTAAAAAATTGTTGTGTTTAGAGAAAGTTTTATCATTATTGTTAAATAATTGTTAAATGGAGCTAAAAGATTCATTTTTAAGACAGAGTAAGTACTTTAAATGTTATTCAAATCATCCGGTGTTAGAAATAAAACTAAAACTATAAATTTAACCCAAAAATTTCTGTTTGTAGTTTTATTTCTTATTACATCTGCAGAAAAAGTGAGGTTAAGTTTTGTTGGTAAAGTGGGCGGTCGATGTCTTCGAAAATCGCCGTGTTTAAAGCTGTCCTAAAAAAATTATGTTAAGGATTTTTAATCTCACTTTCTTAACACAACCTAACCTCACTTTTTCAAATGACTTTTTTGACGTTTCATTAAAACTAAAAATCTTGTCGATTGATAAGAAGCCTTCTCGTTTGGAACAGCTATAAAAAGTAAACTCGGTCGACTTCGAAGACGTCGGCCGCCCCCTGAAGGCACGAAATGTCTATTCTGATAAATACGAGTAGAGATCCAACTCAAGGATTTCAATGTTTTAAAGTTCGCGATGGCCGGGGGCGGCCGATGTCTTCGAAAACGGCCATGTTAGTTAAACTAACACAGCTGTGTTGGAAAATGATGTGGATTCCTAATCTCACTTTCTTAACACAACCTAACCTCACTTTTTTTTTTGACGTTTCATTAAAAAAAATTTAACTCAAGCAGTTTTAGAAATAAAATTAATAAGACATTTGCGTCATAGAAGTTCGTTTTAGTCACTAGTACACGTTTTACGTTATAAAAAAGAAATCAAATTGTCATTTGAGTTTTTCGTGGTTTCAAATTGCGTTTGAATATTTGACATGATGAGAAGATAGTTGCAAACGTACATTTTTAGACTTTTCCCGACAGATGGCGTTACTTGTTATGCATCTTTTTCAAGTGACATTTGTTGACGTTTCATTAAATAAAAATTTAACTCCTTTTGCGTTAGAAATAAAATTAAAATTAGAAATTTTGAGGTTATGCCGTGCGTCTTTGACGATTTTTCTTTCATTTTAGCTATTTATCGCTTGAAACAACCACAAAGTGTTAGCTTTTAGTGTTCGCGATGACCGGGGACGGCCGATTTTTTCGAAAATGGCCGAATTAGTTTTGTACAAAACCTAATTTCTAACCTGTGTGAATAACAACCAACATTTAAAACGTTTCTATTCCTTTTTATTACATTTTTCTCAACATAACCTCACTTTACTTGCGACTTTATTTTGACATTTCATTAAGTCGCCGTTACCACGGTTTTTGAGCATAACCTCAAAATTTCTAGTTATAATTTTATTTCTTATTATACCAAAAATGAAACTTACGAACTTATTTCATCGCTTATTTTTTATGTTTAAGAAATTTAAATCTTATATAACAGTAAAAAAGATAACTTTAATATAATTAATGTCGAAAATTTTTTGTTTCAAAGTTTTTAACCTGCCGTTACCATGGTGATTTCTCAACAGAGGCGGCCATTATTAGAAAAACTAAGTTTGTGACTTAAAACATTTTTATTTTGAGCTTAAAGTTTAATTTTTAAGGTAACTACTTTTATAATAATTAAAATCGAATTCTAATTCGAGTTATTTATGATTTAGGATCGGAATTCGGCTTTGTGAAACGTTTTCGTGGAAAAAGTGAGTAAAAAACTTCGTTTTTGGTAAAATACGTTTTATTAGAATAGACATATAAAAATTGCACTTACAAAAAATATTTTTTATCAATATTATCTTATCTACGTACAAAATGCAAGACACAATAGTAAAATGGCACTTATTTGCTTTCAATTCCCCTTACAGAAAATAGGCACAACATCAGTCTTGTTTTCATTTTTTGATTATCATCATTGATCATTTCCAAGGCAAACCCCTGAGCAATACAACTTATCATTTCTCAACAACAACTTGGCATTTAAAAGCGGTTTGGTGCAAACGTGACACCGGAAACAGCCGTCATGGGCATGGAAATGCAATCCTTTCAAGGTGGCCCCCGGTTCGTCCGGTTTGATAACTTTAAAGCAAGCGGCGCATTTGGACGCCCTCACAGTTTCGTAACAACTCAAACAAATCGGTTGCGACTCCTCCATCACATAATTAGACCCCGCCAACGGCGTATCGCACTCGAAACAACAAAAATGTTTAACATGGAACGTTGCGTTCTCCGCCAAACAATACTCCTTAACAAAAATCAATTCGTCGCAAGCCATACAACGCGGAATCCCTTTAATTTTCGCGTAATCCCTCCCGCAATAAATTTGATCGGAATCCTTATCATAAAAATAAAGCAAATCGGCCAAATTTTGGTTACACCCGTAACACCGGAAACAATTTGAGTGAAACGAAGCGTTTGCTCGATCGATTTGAACCACAATCGAGTCATTTTCGAAGAGTTTCTTGCAATGATGACAAGATTGAGGGTTTTGATTTGGAATGAAATGATTTTTAGGTTCGTCTAGGTGATTGTTATCGTGGTGGATTTGGGCCGATTTGATTTTATTTTCGTATTCGATGTCTTTAATTCCCCCTACGGTTACGTGGTGGGGTTCTAAATTTTCTTCGGGAACGCTTGAGAATGCATTTTCTGGGATTAAATGTTTGTTTGGAGTTGGTGGGGGGAGTTTTAATTGTTGTTTTAGCCCGTTGGGGCCTACGATGTATGCGTCGTTGTTGGGGGGTAACATGTAGGTTTTTCCATCGGGGGATTCGACGAAGTTTTCGTCTTCTTTGTTGACGGGGAATTTAATTCCTTGGGTTGTTTCGACGTAGTTGTTACCGAGAGGGTCCGTGAAGAATCTTGGATCTTGTTTTGGACTGGAATAAAAATGTTATTTAATTTAAATAATAATAATTTAAATTTTATTTAATATTTAAAGCGTCTTTATTCGTTTTTATTATATTTTTTCGACATAACCTCACTTTTACTGGTGATTTTTTTATTTTGACGTTTAGTAAATTTTTTTAAGTCACCAACCTGCCGTTGCCATGGTGATATGTCAATAAGCGCAGACATCTTTAAAAAATAATTTGTGGAGTCAAGAAAATGTTTTATAAACGTTTTATTAAGGATTATATTAAACAATTTTAAACATTAAATGAAGCGAAAAGATCTGTTTTAAGGTAAGGTAAATAAGTTAAAGTTTTTTTGATAAATTACTTGAAATAAAAAATTACCTTTTTCTCCACCTAACCTTACTTTTCAAGTGACGTTTCATTTAACGATTTATTAAAAAAATTTTTATTTAACTCACCTGGGGGTAGAAATAAAACTAAAACTAGAAATTTTAGGGTTATGCCGTGCGTCTTGACGCAGTTTTAGTTTTGTTTCTTATTACACCAAAAATGAAACTTAGGAACTTTTTATTTGGACGTTTATTAAATTTTTTTAAGTCACCAACCTGCCGTTGCCATGGTGATTTGTCAATAAGCGCAGACATCTTTAAAAAATTTGTTGTCAAGAGAAAGTTTTATTAACGATTATATTAAACAATTTTAAACATTAAATGAAGCGAAAAGATCCGTTTTAAGGTTTTAAAGATCCGTTTTTAAAGCAGAGTAAGTAGTTTTTTTTTAAACGTCAAAATACGATGTCATTTGAAAGTGAGGTTAGGAATGTTCAACATCATTTTTGAGTACAAACACGGCCGTTTTCGAAGACATCGGCCGCCCCCGGCCATCTCAGATGCTACAACATTAAGAACCTTCAGTTCTAGGGGGCGGCCGACGTCTTCGAAGTTGGCCGAGTTATTAAAACGTCAAAATAAAATGTCATTTGAAAGTGAGGTTAGGTTGTGTTATTAAAGTGAGGTTACGAATCTTCAACATCATTTTTCAATACAAATACGCCGTTTTCTTGGGGGCGGCCGACGTTTTCGAAGTCACTTTTTCGTCTTGACACCAAAATTAAAACTTAGGAACTTTTGATTTTGACGTTTATTACATTTTTTTTACTTGACTAAAATAATTTTTCGTTTAAAAGTTTTCAACCCTGCCGTTACCATGGTGATTTGTCAATAAACACCGACATCTTTAAAAAAGTCACTTGTTGCATCAAGATAAAGTTTTTTATAATAATTATCACGATTATATTAATCAATTTTTGCATAAAATGAAGCTGAAAGGACCGTTTTTAAAGCAAAGTGAGTACAATCAATTTTTGTAACGAATTAGCTTTGTAAAAAATATGTTGTTCATTTTTCTCAACCTAACCTAACTTATATTTAAATCATCCAGCGTTAGAAAAAGTGAGATTAAGTTGTGTTTCTCAGTTTTAGTGAAATATAAAACGTCACTTGTAAAACTGAGGTTATGTTGATACAAATATTTATTTCATGAAAAAAGACTAAAAATTCTAACCTTATTATTGAGTTATCATCCTTCTGGGATGTATTTAAGGGGTAAGTTTCCTTATTTTTATTAACCCCATAAATGCGCCCATCTGGTCCAATGGCTAAATTAGAATTTCTTGGATCTGGAATGTATTTTTTTCCATTTGAGTCCCTTAAAAAGCGTTCCCCGGATGGCGATGTAATAAATTTATCCTCTGGAAGAAAATATTTTTCATTCTTTGGTCCAATTACGTATTTATCATCATAAGGATCGGGATAAAAAACATTCCCATCAGCGTCCATTAAAAAGCGCTCTCCATTCGGACCACGCGCGAATCGAGCATCTTCCGAGTCTACAGGAAATAAATTTCCTTTTGGGTCAACTAAAAATCGATCACCTTGTTGGGAAATCGCGTAATTCTCGTCGATAGGATCGGGAATGAATTTTTTGCCGTTTTTTTCAATGAATCGATCCCCGTTTGCTGATGTTTGATATTTCGGGGTTGCTAATTTGTATTCTTTTCCTGATGATGGATCGAAAAGGTTTCCATTGGGTTGTTTAAATAATTTTTTGTCGTCATCGTTGAAAACAAATTTATTTCCGTTGTTATCTTCGAATAATCGCCCATCTTCGGGGGAGATTTTGTAAAAATTACCTTGAGGATCTAAAATGTGTTTATCACCATTAGGACCGATTAATATATTATCGTCTTTAGCTGAAGGATGATATTTTAACCCATACGGAGTCTCGAGGAATCTCTCCCCGTTTTTAAACGTTTTAAATTTATCTTTGGGGATTTTGATGCGTTGTCCATCCGGGCCGATAACGTGATTTGGGTTGTTTGGATCCTCGTAGAATTTTTCTCCGTTGGGGGCTAACATAAATTTTTTTCCTGAGTCGTCTAAAAATCTTGCGTCTTTATCGCTTACTGGGAACACTTCTCCTTTGGGTGAAACAAAAAAGCGTTTTCCTTTGGGGTTAATTGCGTAGTTATCGTTGAATTGGCTCGGAACGCATCGCTCTTTGTTTTGATTTAGGACGTATCTTTCGCCGGTGGGGCCGGTTTTGTATCTATCTTCAGGTAAGTAATATTTGACACCATCTTCACCTAATTGGAATTAAAAAAAATAATTAAAATTAGATAATAAAATAAATGTTAAAACTTTAATTTGAAAAATTTTTCATTTAAATCAAATGATGTATTTACTAGTTATATCCCATACTTTTGTTCCACCCTGTATAATACAGAGGACAAACCTTTTTTTCTTATTGTTTTATAATAAAAAAGTTACTGCCTCGGCAGCACGATTGCCGAGGCTTGTAATGATATTTGCATATTATCCGCCAATTTCTAAACAGCCCCTGTATATACAGGGTCGCTGATATGTCCATAATCTCCTAAAATAAGATAGCTAGCGAAAAATGTTAAGATACAAAAGCTTTAGTGTTTTTTAAAATTATTACAATAAAGACAAATTAAGTATACAGGGTAAGTCAAAAAGTTATGACGTAACAAGGTTACGTTTTCTTTAATGGAACACCCTGTATATTATTCCATGTTTCAGTTCATCTCAAAATTATAAACAAAATTCATGTTGTATATCATAAATCTAAACTTATTCGTTTTCCAGATATCGAACTTTTAAAAATTTACGAACTTAGCTAATTAGTGACGTAATTTATCTTTGGGCGCAAATAATTTTTGTATTTTTGACATGTGTTATGTCACTGCGTTGCTATGGAGATGAAAAACTTTCAAAGGTAACTTGATGAGTTATGATCATAAACGACTAAAACATTTTTGTGTAATTTATGAGTGATTTTTAAAGTTCAATATCTCGAAAACGGTTAACTTTAGCTTTATGACGTGCTACATGAATTTTGTTTAGAATTTCGGGATGAACCGAAATATGAAATAATATACAGGGTGTTCCATTAAAGAAAACGTAACTTTCGTAACTTTTTGACTGACCCTGTATAGTTAATTATTTTTTTGTAATAGATTCCATACATATCAGCAACCCTGTATAATACGGAACACAAACTTTTTCTTATTGTTTTATAATATAACTACTGCCTCGGCCGCACAGCTGCCTCGGCTTGTAATAATACATCATTACTACAAAGAAACTTTTTGTTATTGCTTTATAAGGAAAAAAGCCACTGCCTCGGCTTGTAATGATGCATCATTACTGCAAAGAAACCGTTTCTTATTGCTTTATTAGAAAAAAGCCACTGCCTCGGCTTGTAATAATACATCATTACTGTAAAGCAATGTTTTCTCATTGCTTTATTAGAAAAAAAAGCCCACTGCCTCGGCAACACGACTACCTTGGCTTGTAATAATAATATATTAATAATGAACAAAAACCTATCCTTATTGCTTCCTAGCGAAAAAACGGCTGCCTCGGCCTCTAAATATGTATAAAGTATGGAAGACAAACCTTCTCCTATTGTTTTACATATGATAAAAAAGTTACTGCCTCAGCAGCACGGCTTCCTCGGCTTGTGAAAACATATTATTGCTGTAAAGAAACCTTTCTTTTATAATAAAAAAGCTACTGCCTCGGCTTGTCATAAAGCATTATTACTACAAAGAAACCTTTTCTTATTGCTTTATAAGGAAAAAAGCCACTGCCTCAACAGCTTAGTTGCCTCGGATTGTAATGATATATCATTACTGCAAAGAAACTTTTTCTTATTGCTTTATAAGGAAAACACGCTACTGCCTCGGCTTGTAATAATACATCATTACTACAAAGAAACCTTTTCTTATTGGTTTATTAGGAAAAGAAGCCACTGCCTCGGCTTGTAATGATACATCATTACTGCACAGAAACCTTTTCTTATTGCTTTATAAAGAAAAAAGCCACTGCCTCGGTTTGTAATAATATATTAATAATAAACAAAAACCTTTCCTTATTGCTTCATAGCGAAAACCCCACTGCCTCGGCCTCTTAATATGTATACAGGGTGATTCACATAAAAACCGAACTCGGCTATGAAATTGTACGTCAAACTTGACAAATAGGTTATAAAGTTAATTGATTTTTTAGTTTAGCTTACTGTTTATGTAAACGTCAAGGCTTTATAACCTATTTGTCAAGTTTGACGTACAATTTCACAGCCGACTACTCTATAATAAAAAAGAGATTGCCTCGGCTTGTTTAAATAAAAAATTTATTTTTTTTCAACCTAACCTAACTTTCCCAAGTGAAATTTTGGGGTTTCCAATTGCGTTAGAATATTTGACATGATGAGAAGATAGTTACGAACGTATATTTTTAGACTTTTTCCGACAGATTGCGCTACCTGCTATGCAGTTTTTTTTAAATGACATTTCTGACGCTTCGTTAAAAAAAATTTATTTAATTCATTTTGCATTAGAAATAAAACTAAAACTAAAAATTTTAGGGTAATAACCTCAAAATTTCTAGTTTTAGTTTTATTTCTTATTACATCGGCAGAAAAGTGAAAATTTTGTGTTTAAAAGTTTTCAACCCTGCCGTTACCATGGTGATTTGTCAATAAGGACCGACATCTTTAAAAAAATCACCTGTTGCATCAAAAAAACGTTTTATAACAATTATATTAAACAATTTCCACATTAAATGAAGCTGAAAGATACGCTTTTAAAGCAGAGTAAGTACATTCAAATTCTGTAACAAATATTGCGTTGTAAAAATAATCTTGTGCATTTTTCTTAACATAACCTAACTTTTTCAAGGACTAAAACTAGAAATTTTAGTTACTTTTACTACCAAATAGTGTTTTAATTAATTTAACCCATCAATGAAAAGCTTGGAGAAATGTTGCATCAAGATAAAGTTTTGTAATAATTATCGCGATTATATTAAACAATTTTCGCATTAAATGAAGTTGAAAGGTCCGTTTTTAAGACAGAGTAAGTACATTTAATTTTTGTAACGAATTAGTTGTTATTGGGTTGTAAAAATTATGTTGTGCTTTTTTTCTCAACCTAACCTAACTTTTTCAAGGACTATTTTAACTCGTCCAAAAACTAGAAATTTTAGTTTTTAAACGTCTTTGACGCGCGAATAATCTGAAATGATTCAAGTTGCGATTAAATTAAATTTTATATATGTAAAATGAATCGACCTTTGATTATATATAATATGGATTGAGCCAACGAGAGAGATAGCTTGCGCAAGGTGATCGAACCGAGATAGACATAGAAGCGTACTGCCATATAATGGGTGTACTGATAGAAGTGAGATAGATATAGAAGCGTACTGACATATAATATATCTATCTTTGTTACACTTTCACATTATCGCTTTCCATCTGCGTCTATTCACCTTGAGCAACATTTTTGTTAGTAGATATATTCAGTTAGCTCAATCCATATTATATATAATCAAAGGAATCCAAGGTCTATAGAACATAAGGTTACCCAATACCGATTCTCCTCCTCTGAGAGGCAAGGTGGGTCAGTGACGTAGCTAGTTCTATGAACAACACAACACGATGCGAGGTTTAAATATTTTATATAGACTGTACCACAGTATAGGCACGTATAGGCTATCTTTTATTCTGACTGTATCGAACCAGTGACGTCAATTTGCGGGGTAATAATCGATACTACAGAGGCATAGGGAATGAGGTAACCTTATGTTCTATAAACCTTGAAAGGAATCGACATATTTGAAATTGACATAAAAAAGTTAGGTTATGTCTGAAACTTCATTCCGAGATAAAAATCGTCTAAAATTGGTTTAAGCAAACGATTTGGATGATCAAAAATGTCTTTAATTGTTTATTTCGGTTGAATTGCAACTTTTTTTCGTAAAAATTAATAATTTTTGTACGAAATTCTTTTAAATGTCAAAATAACTATACTCTGTTTTTAAACCAGGAGGAGTATTTTAAATTTGTCACCAGATTGACCTTGCACGTGATTGGTTGAATGCGAGGAAGGTCCACACACAGGCAATTTTGAATTTTGAAGGTTAGGTAATTGATAATTCGACAGTTTCGTGTCATTATTGTATATTTTGTGTTCTTAAACCCTTTTTTATTATATTTTGAAACAAATACACTCATAACTTCAATGTTAATTTGTATGTATAGTGTTGACGTTAACAAACGAAAATAAATACAATAATAAGTAAATAAATAATAATTATTAATTTAAATTTACCGCCAAAATATCTAGTGATATTTTCTGGTGATTTTTCCTAGTGTAAATCTGACTTTCGTGTTTACTCTTCCTGGTTTAAAAAGAGAGTATAGATGGGGGCGACAAAAAAGATTTAATTAACAAATTTGAAATCATTTAATAAAAATTATCTTTGTATTTAAAAAAATCGATGATTTTCGATTTAATTTAACGTTAATATAACAAAAATTCAATAAAAAGTTATTGAACAATATTAATTAATGTTAATAAAATTCACTAGATGGCGCTATCTCCTACGCGTCTTTTTCAAGTGACTTTGACGTTTCATTAAAAAAAACATTTAACTCATTTTGAGTTAGAAATAAAACTAAAACTAGAAATTTGGAGGTTAATTTCTAGTTTTAGTTTTATTTCTTATTTCATCGGCAGAAAAGTATTAAATATAAATTTTGCGATAAAATAATTTTTCGTTTAAAAGTTTTCAACCCTGCCGTTACCATGGTGATTTATCAACAAGCACCGACATCTTTAAAAAAAATCACTTGTTGCATTAAGATAAAATTTTATAATAATAATCGTGATTATATTAATTAATTTTCGCATTAAATGAAGCTGAAAGGTCCATTTTTAAGGCAGAGTAAGTACATTCAAGTTTTTGACGCATGACATAACCTCAAAAATTTCTAGTTTTACACCAAAAATGAAACTTACGAACTTACCTGTTACACAATTATCATCCAAACGATCTTTCTTATAAACCTTCCCATCAGGATCAAAAAATATCCTATCATTATTCTTATTAACCCCAAATCGTCCATCCTGTTTATCAACGGGATAAATTTCGCCATCAGGGCCGATTAAAAAGCGTTCATTACGCGGCCCCAAAGCGTATCGATCATCTTTCGGGTCCACTTTAAGCGGTTGATCGGTGTTTACGCCAGAAATGAGTTTTTCCCCATTGGGAGTTGTGTTGAAATAATTTTTTGGTACAAAATATTTCTTCTTATCCGGGCCAATAACGTAACGATCATCAATATCGGAATAAAACACTTCTCCTTTAGGTCCCAAACAGATTTTATTCCCCATTGCATCCCTCCCGAAACGTTTATCCTTTGGATCGACCGGAAATAATTCATTATTAGCCCCAATTAAGTACTTTTCACCATTCGGCCCAACAGCTCGTCTTTCTTGAATGGGGTCCGCGTAATATTTAATTCCATTTTCGCCTTTTAAATAACGAACCCCTCCAGGTTCGCTTTCGAATAGATCCTCGCCGATGTAATGTCGATCGTTTAATTCGCCTATAACGTAATTTGGATCGTTTGGATCTTGGTGAAAAAGATTTCCAGTGGGGCCCATTAAAAATTTTGAATTATTTTTCGGGTCGATTAAGAATCGGCCGTCTTTGTTATCGATTTTGTATAAATTCCCATCGTTTCCAACTCGGTATCGCTCCCCTCGTGGTCCTAAACAGTAACGATCGTCGTTGGGATCCGCGAAAAATTTTTGGTTATCTCCAGATCCTGTTAAAAAGCGTTCGCCGTAATCGGATGTGTCATATTTGTCGTCGGGGAAAACGAATTTTTCACCATTTGGGCCGATTAAAATGTTTCTATCGTTGGGATCTTGAACGTAACGTTCGTTTTTGGGGCCCAATAAAAATTTTGTACCATCCTCAACTGCTAAACGACCGTCGTTGATGTCAATGGGGTATCGTTTTCCTTGGGTATCAACGATGAAACGTTTTCCTTCGCAGTTTCTTACATATCGGTCATTATCTGGTTCGGCAAAAAAAATTTCCTAAAAAAAAAATGGAAATTATACTCTATTTTTTAATTCGTAGGAGTGTTTTCAAAAAGAAGGGAAATTACGGCGTATAAATAATTAAGTTGGTAATGAACTGTCAAAAATTGACGTTTAAAATACAGAGATAACATATAAATAATGAAGTTGGCAACTAAACGTCAAAAATAGACGTTTAAAATACAAAGATGACGTATAAATAATGAAGTTGGCAACTAAATGTCAAAATTAATTTGTTATTTCAAAAAATAATTTGTTACTATTAAATGTTGAGATGATTTTTTAAAATTAAATGTTAAAAGGCGACATTTTAGAATCGTAATTGACGTGAAAATAAGAAATATGACAATTAACTGTCAAAAAATGACGTTGAAGTTTTTCAATTTTCTGGTATCTTTGAAACAGTTTCAAAAAACTTTTCTTATTTTTACACATTCCCTAAGCATCCTAAATAAGTTCTGGTGTGTGTCAAAAGCTGCAATTAACCTTTTGACAACTTTTTCAATTTCTTAATATCTCTGAAACCCTTTCAAAAAAGGTCAAAATGATTTTTATCAATTCTTTCATCCTTACTAGATATTCTAGAGACGTTCTTAATCGATTACAACTATTTTAACAAACACCAATTAATGTTATCTAGTTCCTAATATCTTTAAAACACTTTCAAAAAACGTCAAAATGATTTTATTAATCGATTAACAAAAAAAATCAACCTCAATTTTGACATATTTGTAATCTTCATTAAAAATCCTTTAAAATGAGTACAAACACGACATATTTATCTTCAATATTAATGAAGGCATAACTTCCGGTTAGAAATGTCAACCTCAATTTTGACATATTTGTAATCGTCGTGAAAAATCCTTTAAAATGAGGCCAAACATGATACGTTTAATTCCAATATTACTCGAGATATAAGCAACTTCCGGTTTGAAATGTCAATGTCATTTTGAAATATTAGTAGAACTAACGCCAGACCGAGAACTAGAAACATTCGGATTCGCAATTTTCGAAACGATTGTTACGAAAAATTTCAGTTGGATTCGGTTGGGGGAATTTTTTGGGTTGGTATTAATTTTTTTAATTGACACAATTTACTTGTCGCTATAAACTGATTGTGCATTTTAATAAAATTTAAATTAATCTAAATCGTTTAAAAAGACGATTATTATGAAATTATTGATTTGAAACATTCAAATTAATAAATTAATTATAATTCGGTTAAAAAACAAGAAAAGTGAGGTTATGTCGTTTGTTGAGTTTTACTTGACGTTTCAACATTAATTAATTTATTACAAGAAAATTAATTAATAAATTAAACAAGGTAAGGATAGTAGATAGTTGAGTTAGATATTAAGATAGTTTATATCAATCTTTCTAGTCTAACCTAAGTTTTGCAAGTGACCTTTTATTTTGACATTTCATTAAAAAAAAAACAACATAACCTAAGATTTTCAAATGACATTTAAGTGGTGTTACCATGGTACTTCATCACGTACACAATAAAATTGTGTAAATAAAGCGATTCCTTTTAGTTTTTAATTAATTGTTAATAATAATAAGCCAAAATTAATGTATTAAGCTATTTTCGAAAAATTTTGATTTATTATTTTTGAGGGTTCAATTAGGGGAATTTTTTGGGTTGGTATTAATTTTTTTAATTGACACAATTTACTTGTCGCTATAAACTAATTGTGCATTTTAATGAAATTAAAATTAATCTAAATCGTTTAAAAAGACGATTATTATTAAATTATTGATTTGAAACATTCAAATTAATAAATTAATTATAATTCGGTTAAAAAACAAGAAAAGTGAGGTTATGTCGTTTGTTGACTTTTAATTGACGTTTCAAAATTAATTTATTACAAGAAAATTAATTAATAAATTAAACAAGGTAAGCATAGAGTTTATATCAATCTTTCTAGTCTAATCTAAGTTTTGCAAGTGGCCTTTTATTTTGACATTACATTAAAAAAAAATCAACATAACCTAAGATTTTCAAATGACATTTAAGTGGTGTTACCATGGTAACAACAATTCACCACATTAAATCTGTCAACTTCAAAATAAATTAATTAAAATCTCACCTTATTATTTTTATCTTCTTGATATCTTTGTCCTTTTGGGTTAACCTCAAACTTTTCATTAGGCACAAAACATTTTTCCCCATCCTTTAAAACAAATCGATTATCTTCGGGGTCTTCATAATACTTTTCTCCATTAGCCCCAATTAATAAACGTTCTCCTTTGGGGCCGATTGCGTATCTTCCATCTTTAGAATCGACGTAAAAGCGTTCCCCGCTTGGGGATTGCACCAAAAGCTCTCCATTTGGGCCGGAATAATATATACTGTTGGTGCAAACAGGAAGTCGTTCGCCGTTTGGAGCGATGACGCAGATTTGTTCGCGAAATCCCAAAGGTAAACGATTAACATCTTCGATCGTGCGATTATTTGGATGGAGAATTGTGGCGAAAACGGGTTGGGCACCCCCGACCGGGTAACTATTTTCTAATCGGGCGTTTGGAGTGAAAGGGATTTTTACGTAAGGAGTTGGTGAGGCGAATTTTTCGTTTACACAACTCGAAATGAAGGGAATTTTATCTTGTATTTTAGGATAAACTGGATAAACTTTGTCTTCTTCTCGATTGGTGACTCGATTTGGTGTAAAAACTGGGAGGTTTTTGACATTTTCGGGGTAATCTTCATCAATATTTAATCGATTAAAATCGTTATTTAAATTTCTTAATGGTTTTACATTCAAAATCGTTGATTTAACATCTTCTGTTGTTGAATAATTTGGATGGAACTTATCCGAAACTAAGTTTCTGTTAACAGGGGTTTTATCAAAGTTTAAATGAACAATTTGCCCAACTCCAACAATATTCTTCTTTATATTAGCCACATAATCATTCATTAATTTAACTTCATCCTCTGTTAATGAATCACATAAACTTGGATCAATATCGTGTAAAGGAATTTGCTTTTGAAGGAGTTGTTTTCGTTCTTGAGCAGCTGCTGAACCCTTTACAGGGAGTAATTCATCAGGGAGGGTTTTTAAATACTTTTCGATGGCTTCTTTTTGCCCTTTTGGTGTCCATTCTAACTCAATTTCTTCTTTTTTACCTGGTAACACTGCAAAACATCACATTAAAACATTTTTTTAGTATTAAATAATCATTTTTTACCAATTTTGTTGCACTTATTTGGTTTACTTCCAAGTAATTGGAACTGAGCATATCCATAAATATCGTCATCTTGGACATCATGGCTTTCTTTTCCACATTTGCAATTTTTGCAAATTTTTCGCCAAAAATGTAAATCTAACCCTAAAAAATAAAAAACGCTTCATTTATAACGATTATTTAAGTTAATTTTTGCTTTTTACCTGGGCAATCGTTCTTGCAATTCAAACACGGGGATCCCGCCCCAGTTTCGTGCCCCAATTTCGCTTTTAATCGGCGTTCGCGCTTCGCTTCGAGCTCTCTTAACCAATTCGGGGCGTCGGGGGATGGTTCTTCGGTCATTTTCTCGTTATTGTTGTAAAATTAACACATAATCACAACAAGTATTCATCATGTGACTCATTACTCCGACATTTATTTATACCTAACCTCAAAAGCGGACCCCACCTATCATCGATTAAAAAGAGAGGGAAGATGACGTTTTAAACGGTTTAGAGTGAGACGGAAGTAATTGACCGCAAAATGTGGGTTTTTATACGTGATGATCTCATTTTATATTTTATAATCAACTTTAGATAAGGTTTATTTGAGAATTAAATATGTATTTTGGTGATTTAGATAAGCAAAACAAACACATTTTTGAATTGGAATGTTAAAATAACTTCAATCATAAATGACGTTTCTGTCAATTAATTTTTTAACGTTTTTAAAATTAACTCGTAGATTTGCGTTATTATTTTATTTTTCAGATATTATTGATGTTACGCGTATTTGGGTTATTATAAATAAATAAATACGTTCGCTAAAAGTAAAAATATCGCAAAGAAAACTGTGATTTATTAGTATCGGAACGAAGTGCGCTTCTTTACCGACCAAAACAAAACTAACCTTTAAAACATGCGCAATAAGTCATTAAAAGGAAGTTTCGTAAAATATTTGTCTAAATTTTTAGTTTTATTTCTAACTCAAATTGAGTTAAATAACTTATTTTTAATAAAACGTCAAAAATGTCACTTAAAAAAGATGCACAGGAGGTAGCGCCATCTGTCGGAAAAAGTCCAAAAATGTACGCTTGTAACTATCTTCTCTTCATGTCAAATATTCTAACGCAGTTTAAAACCACGAAAAACACAAATTACTATTTGATTTTTTTTTATAACGTAAAATGTGTACGAGTAACTAAAATAACGTAAATTATTTTTTAATTTTATTTCTAAACCTGTTTGAGACAAAAATTTTCATTGAAACGTCAAAAAAAAGTCATTTGAAAAAGTGGGGTTAGGTTGTGTTAAAATAGGGAGATTATCATTTTCTTGTTAAAACAACACGGCCGTTTTCGAAGACATCGGCCGCCCCCGGACATGCGGACGCTGAAACATGAAAACATCTACTCGCATTTGTAAGAGTGATCATTTCGTGCCCTCGGGGGCGGCCGATGTCTTCGAAAACGGCCGTGTTAGTTTAAAACTGTGCTGGGAAATGTGTTATTTTTGTTTATCATTCTTATATTCATCCTAACCTCACTTTTTCAAGTGACATTTTATGACGTTTCATTAAAAAAAAAGTTAATTTACTCACTCAATGCGTCTTCGTCGATTTTGTTTCATATTTGCGATTAAGAAAAATGGATAAAATCCCCCGGCCATCACGGATGTCAAGACATTCAGAACTTTGAGTTGGATCTCTACTTTCAATTTGAGTAAGTAGATATTTCGTGTTCTCGGAGGCGGCCGACGTCTTCGAGTTTACTTTTTGTAGCTGTTTCAAGCAAGATGGGTTCTTATAAATCGCTAAAATGTTCTAAAGGGGATTAGTGAAGTGAGGTTAAGTTGTAAAAGTGAGATTGGAACTTACATAAGAATTACCGGCTTTACTGCTGATGTTATAAAAACTAAAACTAGAAATTTTGAGGTTATTTGAGCATTTCTAGTTTTATTTTTAACGCAAAATGAGTTAAATACATTTTTTTAATGAAACGTCAAAAATGTCACTTAAAAAAGACGCATATGAGGTAGCGCCATCTATTGGAAAAAGTCTAAAAATGTACGTAACTATCCTAATTATGAACGTATCCTAATTATTTGACGTTTACAATAATATCGTAACCTCAAATGCTAAAAAAGCAATTTATGTCTTGTTATTATCAAAAATAATTTTAAAGAAAAAGCGTGCACATTTTAAAGAATTTTGTAGTATATTGAACAGCCTCATTTCGCTAAATATGACTAAAAGTCAGAATTTTCAATTGGTAGAGATCACTGCAATTTAACGTACTTTACGTCATATAGATGGCGTTTGTATATTCTTATAGAAACATATTATGCGTTCGGGTATAAAAATGGAGCTCGTTGCAGCCCGCTGTCAGTTTAGTAGGTTACCAACAAGAAAAGGATGGAGGAGGGTGTAGATGGAAGCATATGGTACCCATCGAAACCAATTGTGCGCCCTTTTTAGGGTTTGCTCCGAAGGGACACTAGAGTTCAATCGGCAGAAAATGCTGATTAAGAAAAGAACGGTTTGCATCGTGTGGTGTTCCTAGCAAGGAGTAATCGCACCTACCGATAAGTATGGGTCCCCAAGTATCCTTCGTTGGAAGAACCTCCACCGATCCTATAAATCCCGGTGTGTCAACTCCATATCCGGTAATCCGGAAGAGTACTCCCGCTACCCCCACAGAGATGGTGCTGTTTTGCCCGTGCCAACTTTGTTCTTGGATGGCGATTTCGTTCTGGGATTGGTCACCCACCTGTTTCTTCTCTTTGGTACATAAAATGACCGACCACGCCTACTCCTTGCGCTTCCAACGGAGGGTGCGTAATTACCTACCAGCTTTGGGCTTGGCACACAGCGACATTTATAGGATCGGGGAGGTTCCAACGCAGGATAGTTTGGAGCCGATATTTACCGGTGGTGTGTATGGTACTCCTTGCTAGGAACACCACACGATGCGAACGCTCCTTTCTTAATCAGCATTTCCGCCGATCGAGCTACTGTCCCCCCTTCGAACCAAACCCTAAAAAGGGCGGATATTAAGTTTCGATGGGAGCCATGGCCTTCCATCTTCTCACCCTTCCATCCTGTTGTTGTTGATAAGCTGAACTGCCGGCGGCATGCAACGAGCTCCATTCTTATACCAGAACGCATAATATGTTTCTATAAGAATATACAAACGCCATCTATATTACGTAAAGTACGTTAAATTGCAGTGATCTCTACCAATTGAAAATTCAGATTTTTAGTCATATTTGATTTAGCGGAATGATATATGGCTGTTCAATATACTACAAAATTCTTTAGAATGTGCACACTTTTTCTTTAAAATTATTTTTGATAATAACAAGACATAAATTGATTTTTTAGCATTTGAGTTTACGATATTATTGTAAACGTCAAATAATTAGGATACGTTCATAATTAGGATAGTTACGAACGTACATTCTTAGACTTTCCGATAGATGGCGCTACGTCATATGCGTCTTTTTTTAAGTGTCATTTTTGAGGTTTCGTTAAAATGTATTTAACTCATTTTGCGTTAAAAATAAAACTAGAAATACTCAAATAACCTCAAAATTTCTAGTTTTAGTTTTTATAACATCAGCAGTAAGGCCGGTAATTCTTAAGTAAGTTCCAATCTCACTTTTACAACTTAACCTCACTTCACTAATCCCCTTTATAACATTTTAGCGATTTATAAGAACCCATCTTGCCCAACAGCTACAAAAAGTAAACTCCCGAGAACATGAAATATCTACTTACTCAAATTGCGAGTGGAGATCCAACTCAAAGTTCTGAATGTCATTTCATCCATCTTTCTGATCCGCTTCAGTTCTTTTGAAGCGCTAATATGAAACAAAATCGACGAAGACGCATTAAGTAAGTAAAATTAATGAAACATCAAAACATGTCACTTGAAAAAGTGAGGTTAGGACGAATATAAGAATGATACACATTTCCCAGCACAGTTTTAAACTAACACGGCCGTTTTCGAAGACATCGGCCGCCCCGGCCCCATCGCGGGCTTTGAACATGAAAACCGCATTTGTGAGAATGAACATTTCGTAGCTCGTTTTTTGTGGCTATTTCAAACGAGGTGGGTTCCTATAAATCGATAAAATGTTATAAAGGGGATTAATGAAGTGAGGTTAAGTTGGGAAAATGGGGTTTATTTTTAAACGCAAAATGATTAAATACATTTTTTTTAACGAACCGTCAAAAATATCACTTAAAAAAGCGCCATCTGTCGAAAAACGTTTAAAACTCATCATGTCACTTAACCTCAAAATTTCTAGTTTTATTCCTAACGTTAAGATAAATATAATGTTTTAGTCGTTTTAGTGCATAGTTGGATAACGGTGTAGGAGGAAAAATAAATATGAGGTAAGAAAGATATCGATATATTTAATTAACCTTTTTTCTTATACAACTAAACGTTATTCTTTTTTAATTAAAAATACAAAATAGCGAGTTTTGCGTACAAAAATATGGCGTTAAGATTAATAATAATAAACTATCTCTCTATCAACTAAAAAATGATATAAAAATCATTTTTTCATTTATATTTTTACTCAAACACTTTTATTTGTTCCACATATATGTATCAATTAATAAAATGATATGATTTGATGGTAGGAGATTCAAAATGAGAAATATAAAAAAAAATCATACAAAAAAATAGTAAATAGGAAACAGAAATCGTCATAGGAATAAAAAAAATTTAAATTGAGCAAAAAAAGCACATTAATAATCTTATTTCTCCTTATTTTAACCCCGATTATTGGTGTTGTTGCATTTTAGCTTGCATTGCAGCCAACATCTCTTGCATTCTTTTTAATTCTGCCTCTTTCTCCTGCAAAATACGGTCTTTTTCGTTTACAGTTCCACCAACTTTCTCTTCAATAATCCTAATAACACCAAAAAATTAATTTTAATCTTAATAAAAACAATAATAACTTACGTAGCGCGTTTTGGGACTGCATTTCCTTTCGCCAACCTCTCCGAACGATAATTTTCATAATGAACCTGTTGAGTAATCTCTTGCAAATCTTGCATATGCGTAATAAGCATCGTTCTCAACTTAATAAAATCACAATGTTCAGGATTTTCAACTTCAACAACCCCCCACGGATATAATCTCCCTCTAACTTTCCTCCCTCGCACCTCCATCAAAGTATTAGCCCCACAAACAGCGAATGGTACGGCTTGTTTAAGTTGTTTAACTTGTTCTTTGTACTCTTCGTCTTCGTCCGAATCACATTCTGGTAAAGAATATATTCGAATTCCGTTTGCGGCGATTTCGTCTAAAACGGTTTTTTTTAATTTTTGCATTTCTTTTCGTGTTAAAACGTCTGCTTTGGCAATAACCGGGACTATATTGACTTTGTTATGGAGTTGTTTCATAAATTCGATATCTAAAGGTTTTAAACCATGCCCAAATGGAGAAATGAAATAAAAACAACAATGGATACGATTATCCATGATGTTTTTGCGATTTAACCCGGATTCATCGCGTAAAAATCGCTCGAATTGGTCATCGATGTATCGAATTATTTCTGTAAAACAATCTGTGTTGTCGATTGCGTCTCCAAATCCGGGGGTATCAACCACTGTTAGGCGTAATTTAACCCCTCGTTCTTCTATTTCGACCGTTGAGGGTTCTAATTTAACCGTTTGTTTGCTTTTTTCGATTGCGTCGGGGACAACTCGCTCCGGATATAAATCGGTTAAGAATAAAGCGTTAACCAACGTGGATTTACCCAACCCGGATTCTCCGACGACCATTAAGGTAAATTCGAATCCTTTTTTAACCGATTTGCGGTGGACTTGGTTGGGTAAATTTGCGAATCCGACGTAACCCGGAGTCTCTAAATTGGGGAACTATAAGGTAAAAAATGATTTCGTGACAAAGAAACGAACGAAAATGGTTAAAGAAATTCGATTAAACTTACGTTTTTAAGCGTGTCGTTGGACATCGTTAGGATTTTAACGAAATAGGAACGATTTTCACTCAATTTTAAGCGAAATTTAAAGGTTGTTTACTTTTTGGTTAACACTTTTAATGACAGGGCACCATTTTGAATTTATGCATCATACCAACCTTATCTGAGTGACGGATAAAGTTGGTATGTCAACAAGGCGTGGTTTCCGCTTTAATTTTAATTATATAAAATAACTTTTTTTTATTAGTTCTATTTGTTATTATTAGCTAATTCAATTTTTTTATGGTTTTTAATTAAAATGAAAACAATTTGATAAATACTTTAATGCCGAAAAGTTAATTTTATTTTCATAAAATTTTAGCGACATCTATGAGGCATTAACCCAACTGCTTTTATTTGTAATTTAAAAATCTTTTCTTTTTATTTTCTCTTAACTTCCAAAAATAACACATTTCCTAGCACAGTTTTGAATTAACACGGCCGTTTTCGAAGACATCGGCCGCCCCCAAGAACACAAAATGTTCTCGTTCACAAACGTACATTTTTAGACTTTTTGCGACAGATGGCGCTATCTCCTATGCGTCTTTGTCGTGTCATTTTTTGACGTTTCATTAAAAAATAGTTATTTAACTGATTTTGCGTTAAAAATAAAACGAAATTTTGAGGTTATAACGTTTTTGACGCATTAATGGCATAACCTGAACATTTCTAGTTTTATTTTTTATTAATTACATCTGCAGAAAAAGTGAGGTTAAAAATAAAACGTCAAAATGAAATGTCACTTTCCTTAATTTTAAATTAAGGAATTAATTCATTTTAAACCGCCCCCAGCCATCGCGAAACATTGAAAGACACACATTGACATTTTGTCGTCATTTATTTCTTATAACATCAGCAGTAAAGCCCGTAAATCCTATATACGTCCCACTTCTAACATTTTAGCGATTTATAAGAACCCATCTCGTTTGAAACAGCTACAAAAAGTAAACTCGGTAAGTGTCCATTCTGTCTTAAAATCCGTTATGGCCGAGGGTGGCCGATGTCTTCGAAAACGGCCGTGTTGGTTTAAAACTGTACTGAAAAATAACAAAGACTTCAGTTTGTTATCTACCTTACATGCGTCCTAACCTGACTTTTTCAACCCAACCTAACCTCACTTTTTCAAGTGACATTTTTGGCGTTTCTTTTGATTTAATTTAGCGTTAGTTTTATTTCTGACGCTGGACGATTTAAATAAAAGTTAGGTTAGGTTGAGAAAAATGAACAACATAATTTTTCAAGTGCAATAATAACCAATTCGTTACAAAAATTGAATGTACTTACTCTGCCTTAAAAACGGATCCTCCAGCTTCATTTAATACGAAAATTGATTAATATAATCGCGATAATTATTATAAAAATTTATCTTGATGCAACAATTGATTTTTTTAAAAGATGTCGGCGTTTATTGACAAATCACCATGGTAACGGCAGGGTTGAAAACTTTTAAACGAAAAATTATTTTAGTCGCAAAATTTTCGTACAGAAATGCCGATTGAATAAGAAATAAAACTAAAACTAGAAATTTTCGGGTTATGCCATGCGTCTTTGACGAAAATATCTAGTTTTAGTTTTATTTCTAACACAAAATGAGTTAAGTACATTTTTTGCCCCCTAAAAAAAAAAAACGCACCTAGCGTAGCGCCATCTGTCGGAAAAAAAAGTTTAAAAATAACTAACGTAACTATCTTCTCATCATGTCAAATATGCTAAAGCAATTTCAAACCACGAAAATCGCTAATTATTATTTGATTTCTTTTTTATAACGTAAAATTTATACGAGTAACTAAAATGACGTAAATTTCTTTTTAATTTTATTTCTAAACCTAGAAAGTGTGAGATAAAATTTTTTAGTGAAACGTCAAAAAAAACGTCATTTGAAAAAGTGAGGTTAGGTTGTGTCAATATTAAACACCTTTTTTGTCTGGATTTTAATAATAAATGATTTTTATTGAACCTTTTTTGTACAAAAGCACAAAAATAAACTTTTAAACGTACAAAACCTAAGATAACATTTGTAGAAAAAAAAAATTAACATTTTAAGGTTATGTTTTATCGAAATAATAATGATTAGCTACAAAAAGTGATCACAACAAGTTTATTTCCAAAACAATTATTACTCTGCCTTAAGGAAGCACCTAAACTTATCATTTTTCATCGAAATAAATCTCAATTCGAGACAAAAATGCACAACTCCTTTTTAACTAGAAACGATTATATAAAAATAAATACTCTTTCATTTACTATAATCTACGTTATATATTTTTTTTTTCATTAAATTATGACTTAACGATTAATACTATAAAAATCAAAAAAAAGATAACCTCATTCTAACCAAAAAATTCAAAAAAAATTCAAATAATAAGGTTATGTTTTAAATTTGCACTTTTAATTTGATTTAATTAATGGAATATATTAATTATGAGCACCAAATTTAATAATTATTTACTGGAATCGTGTTTTTGATTCTTCATTTTCATAGTTTGCCGAACATGCTCCACTTCAAAATCCCTCTCTGTTAAATTCAGCTTATTTATATGAAAAATAAGGTACTCTTCTGTTAAAACGTGCTCGGGGGGGTTCCGCAACAACTGCAACGTCTCGTACAACCCCGGGCACTTCTTTCTTTGCTCGTGCTTCCCCAAACACCCAATTAAAATAACCAACGCCGTTTTAAACAGGACTTTAACCCCCTCGCAAAGAAAAACGTCCCAAATCCTCAATAAAGTATCCCAGGGTAAGGTACGTGTAAAAGCGCATAAAAACCACTCGGTGCAATACAACATTGGTTCGGCATTAACTTTTTTTAAATGTTTATAACTCGGCATGGAGAGTTTTTTTAATAATGCTTGTAAAATTAGGCCATCTCTTTGTACGATTTCCATGGATGGGGAGTAATAATCTTGGAGGTATTTATCGGAGATTCTCACCAAACACCAAAATGCTTGAATTGAAGGCATATGCATCAATAAAAAAGCTGCCACGGGAGCTTGAGCTTGACAATAACCAGCCGAAGGATTATAAACAGTGTACGCTTTTAAAACATTAAATAATTCTTGTTGGCCCGGCTTTTCCTCAGAAATAAACATCTCGTGATAAGGGAATTGTCGGTGCAAATCCTTTTTGATTTCATCCAAACATTTCACATCTCCACTTTCTCGAATCAACTCTTCGTACTTATCCGGGTGTTTATCCAACAAAATTTTTCCCCCACACAAATACAACCAAGCCCTTGGTCGTATCGACATTGGAATACCTTTATAACAACGATTCCTCAACTTTTTATAATCCTTAATCGTGTAATACTCCCATTTGGATAACATGCTAAGCCATTTGTGTTCTCTCCTAATCACCGTTTCGGGGGTCGGCGTTTCTTTCGTCCCGTTCAAGATTTTCGACTCATCTTTCAAAAAACCGTACCTATCTACGGAACAAATCGAGGAAACTTCACTTTCAGCGGAGGCACCAGCCATGTTTTTCCGATTTAGGCGGATATTGTCAAAGGATGTTTAACTCAACGATTCTTGTTGCGTTCATTTCGTTCGTTTACGGTCCATTTCATTAAAATTTAGGCGAAACGACGCCCGTATTAAGGAAAACTTTGTTTGTTTTCGTCGTTTTTCTACGTCGCTATTTGGGTGAGGTTCACATTTGACATTTGACATTTCTCAATTAACACACGTGAAGTTAACCACGATTATAATAAACATTCATTTTTACAAGAATTAATTTTTAAACATTGTTAAATTTAACTATTTTTTGTACAATAACAAAAAAGATCATTAATTAAGCGATTAATTTTAATTAAATCAAATTAAAATCGATTTAAAAAATTATGTGTTGTGAAACATTCGCAGTTGTTTAATGTGAAGTTAGCGAGTAAAATTGTAAGTTTTTTATATTAAAAAAATATGTATTATTTAAACAATTTTCGAATTTGTGGATAAAATCGGGTTTAAAATGACTACGCCCGATGAAAACGAAAATGTGCCACTACCTGTCCCGGTTAGTTAAAAACGTCAAAAACATAACCTTAACTTGTTAATAATTATTAATTAATTTCAATAACAGGGGTTTTGTTGCAGACAAAAAAGACGGGGTTTATGAAACTGGACGGTACGCATATGCAGAACGATAGTATCGGCACGTCTGGGAGTGAAATAACGGCTACTTCGGATGAATCGAGTTCCGACGTCGAAATGAGGAGTATAATGAACGATGCCGACGATGAAAAATCGATTGAGAATGCGGGTAACTTAAAAAAGAAAGTCTAAATTGAAAATTACAACGAAATAATAATAAAGTAATTTTTAAATTATTTAAAATAAAAATGGTTAAGTTGACGTTTCATAGATGTCGCTAAAATTTGGTGTAATAAAATTTATTTTTTAAAAATTAAAAAAATCTTTTAAATTGTTTTTTGCTATTAAAAACTACAAAAAAGAAATAATGAATTAATTCGAAATAATAAAACGATTTATTTTAATTACTTAAAATTAAGAAAACTTTTTTATCAACATAACCTCACTTTTACAAGTGACATTTCATTTTGACGTTTTATGTTTTACTAAAACTAATTTACTTTTTGTGGCTGTTTTAAGTGAAATTAGTTCTTCTGAATCGCTGATATGAAAGAAGACGTACTGAGTAAGTAAAATAAATCTTTTTTTAACGAAACGTCAAAAAATGTCACTTTGAAAAGTGAGGTTAAAATAACACATTTCCGGCTGCCCCCAAGAGCACGAAATGTTCTTTTTCACAAATATAAGTACAGATCAAACCTTGATTTCAATGTTTTAGCGCCCGCGAAGGCCGGGGGCGGCCGATGTCTTCGAAAACGGCCGTGTTGTTTGAAAACTGTGCTAGAAAATGATGTTGAGGATCTAATCTCACTTTGCCAATACAACCTAACCTCACTTTTTCAAATGACATTTTTTTGATGTTTCACGTTTCATTAAAAAACTTTTAATTTACTCAGTTTCGGAGATAAAACTAAAAAGAAATTTGCGTCATACAAGTTCGTTTTAGTCACTCATTTTACGTTATAAAAAAAATCAAATAAAAATTCGCGTATCTCGTGGTTTTAAATGGGGTCATACACGATTTTTTTTTTATTATATTTTCTGAAAGTTTATATAAAAATATAGTTACCGTTATTTTTTTTTTTAATATTTTCGAACAAAGTCATTGTTAAAAAAATTATTGAAAATTTATATACCCATTTGCGCTTTTAAAATTCCCGCGTTGATGACGTACGATTCTCACTTTTGCGTCCCCTGCTCCCCGCTCAAATGCGAGAAAGAGATGAACGTCATTTAGGTTGTATTGAAAAGAGATAGAGTGTTTGTAGGTTATGTTTATTATGTTTTGTTCATGGATGTAATAGAGACACTCTATTACATCCATGGTTTTATTTTGACACTGTCACACCGCAAGCGCTATCTAACGGACAATTTAACTTGTTTTAGGCAGTGCGGTTCCTACGTCACAGAAAAGCCGCGAAATTATTTCGTTTGAATATTTGCTATTTTTCACTTCAAATTACGCAAAATATAAAATTGATCAAAATATTTCTTTTACTTTGTATTCATGCATATACTTGCATATATCGTTTGACATAAAAATTTTCTCTAAATTTAATAAGTGTGTATGACCCCATTACGTTGAAATGTTTTGAAATTTTCCGACAGATGGCGTTACCATGTGCGTCTTTTTTAAATGACATTTTGATGTTTCATTAAAAAAAATGTATTTAACTTATCTTCTGTTAGAAATAAAATTAAAAATTTTGAGGTTATGCCGTACGTCAAAGACATAATCACGGCATAATCAAATTAAAGTCGATTTAAAAGATTATGTGTTGTCAAACATTGACAGTTATTTAATGTGAAGTTAGCGAGTAAACAGCGAGTAAATTTGTAAGTTTTTTATACTTTTTATTATTATGTTTGTGATATTTCGTATTTTGTGGGCGGCCGACGTCTTCGAAGTCGGCCGAGTTTACTTTTTGTGGCTGTTTTAAGCGAAATGTAAGTAAAATAAATTTTTTTTTTAACAAAACGTCAAAATATGTCACTTGGAAAAGTGAGGTTGGAACGAATATAGCATAGATAAACAAATATAACACATTTCCCGGCAAAGTTTTAAACTTACACGGCCGTTTTCGAAGAAATCGGCCGCCCCCGAGGATACGAAATGTTCATTTTCATAAATGCGAGTTGAGATCAAACCTTGATTTCTCAATGATGACTATTCTAACACAACCTAACCTCACTTTTCTAAATGACGTTTCGTTAAAAAAGTTACGAGCGTACCTTTTTAGACTTTTTCCGACAGATGGCGCTACCTCCTACGCGTCTTTTTCAAGTGACATTTTTGACGTTTCGTTAAAAAATGTATTTAAATCACTTTGCGTTAGAAATAAAATTAAAACTAGAAATTTTGAGGCATAACCCGATAATTGCTAGTTTTAGTTTTATTTCTTTTTAAATCGGCAGAAAAGTACGAAAATTTTGCGATTAAAATAATTTTTCGTTTAAAAGTTTTCAACCCTGCCGTTACCATGGTGATGTATCATTAGTCACCGACATCTTTTAAAAACATCACTTGTTGCATCAAGAATAAGTTTTATAATAATTATCGCGATTATAGTGATCAATTTTCGGATTAAATGAAGCTGAAGGGACCGTTTTTAAGGCAGAGTAAGTACAATCATTTTTTGTATCGAACTAGTTTTAGTTTTTTTTTTAATTACATCTGCAGAAAAAGTGAGGTTAAGAATAAAACGTCAAAATTATAAAAGTGGGGTTGTTTCGATACTAGCGATATCTATGAGGCATCAACTTAACCATTTTTATTTTTAATAATTTAAAAATTATTTTATTTATATAATTTTGTTGTAATTTTTAATTTAGGGTCTCTTTTTTAAGTTAATATCCGCATGCCGAATTGATTTTTCATCACCAGCCACATCATTATTTCGATTAAAACGAAAACATAACCTTAAAATGTCAAAAAAAATTTCATAAAAAATCGTTTATTATTAAAATCCAGACCAATATTAATATTAACATTATTTTTTGTTCTAATCGTCTTCATTTACGATACAATTATATACAATATACAAAAAATATAAATATTTACATCGTTCAATTTTAAAAGTAATACTTTTTTCAATTAATTTTAACCCTAATATAAAGCATACAATTTTAAAATTATTTTTTTTTGATAACCTACAAGTTATTTAATAAATTAGTGGTGATGCCCGATCGATAAAACCAACGGCATCAAACACCCCAACACCAAAATCAACAATTCGCCGAATTTCAACCCTTTCGAACCGATATTTACCACGTTCGCTTCGACGTTTTGTAATTTCGAGTAGTTGTGGTGAACGTTTTGGGTTAATTCCGCCAAAACATGAACCGTAGCCACGTAAAGAAACGTCCCGGCCGAAAATAACATCGCAATCCCTACAAAAATTTAATTAATAATCGAAATATTTCAAATTAATTCTTTAACCTGTTCCATTCATCGAAGTTAAAGTCTCCTTTTGCTCCTTTCCGATCCCAAAGTACGTTAAAAGCGTTAATAGAGGAGCCGCGGATGAAAAAATCAATAAATGTTTCCTAATTCGTTGCCTTTCGATCCCTTCGTGCAATAAAAATGTAACTAATCCAAAAGCTGCGGGGGCTTTGTGTAGCATAATTGCTAAAAATACGATTATTTCGACGTCGGCATGACTTGTGGTGGCTGCAGCACCCAAGGCGACTCCATCAGCTGCTGCATGCACCACTAAACCAACGGTGGCGGTGATATTTCGTTCCGAAGGGTTTAAATGTTCGTTCCGATTTTGCGAAATTTGATCCACTAATAGCATAAAAACGAATCCAAGTACTAAACTAATTCCAATCACGGAAAAAGGATCGTTATGTTGCGTTGGTTGAGACACCGTGGGGGTTATTTCGTGGTTATCGAAGGTTAAAGCACGAACTCCTTCTGGAATTATCACCGCTAAAGCTGTTCCGACTAAAAGGCCTGCCCCTAACACTGTAATTCTTTTTAATTTCTCCTAAAACAATAAAATTAATCGTTTAATAAGGGCTTAAATTGATTGGGATTGGTTACCTCGGAAAAACTAAAAAATAACGGAATCGATCCGGCTAAATAACTCCCGATTAACATTACAATAACTAAAGAGATTAACATTCCTGTTTCTTCCATTGTTGAATGTGTGAATACGTGGATTTAGTTAAAAATTTGTTGATCAATCACTTTGGGTAACCTTAAAATTAGCCACGTTTGCAATTTAAGCGAAAAATTATTAAAAACGTCAACAAAATTTAATAACTTAATCGCGGTTAAATCTTCAAAGATTTATCTCATCGTGTTTAATAACATCGACACGATTTTATCTTAAAAACTCGTCTTTATTTGCGATTACACCGTTAGAAGAGGTTATGGATTTTTTTGACAACGCAACACAAATTACTTTTATATCGTTTTTTAGCGAATCTTTTTGTGGCTTCAATTCGATTTTAAATCTAATTTGGGAGTCATTTTTAATGAAATTATCGACAAAAATTACGAATTTATTGAAAAAAACTTGGTATAACAAAAATTTAGGTTATGTTTTATTTTAATACGTCACTTTGACGTTTATTACAACTTAGTAAAAATAAAAACACTAAAAATGATATTTTTCGTACTAAAATTTAAAAATCATCGGTTTTTAAATTAAAATAACGTACGTATAAAAAATATAAAATATTGTGCCGTTATTTCTAGTTTTAGTTTTATTTCTAAAGCAAAATGAGTTAAATTTTTTTTAATGAAACTTCAAAAAATGACAATTAAAAAAGACGCATAGGAGATAACGCCATCTTACGGAAAAATCTAAAAGTGTACGTTTGTAACTACCTTCTCATCATGTCAATTATTTTAACGTAATTTAAAACCACGAAAAACGTGAATTATTATTTGATTTTTTTATAACGTAAGATGAGTGATTAAAATGAACTTCTATGACGCAAATTTCTTCTTAGTTTTATCTCTAAAACTGGGTGAGTTACTTTTTTTTAATGAAGCGTTAAAAATGTCATTTGAAAAAGTGAGGTTAGGTCACTTTCTAGCACAGTTTTAAACTAACACGGCCGTTTTCGAAGACATCGGCCGCCCTCGGCCTTCGCGGGCGCTAAAACATTGAAATCAAGGTTTGATCTTTACTTACATTTGTGAAAAAGAACATTTCGTGCTCTTGGAGGCGGCCGATGTCTTCGAAAACGGCCGTGTTAGTTTAAAACTGCTAAGAAATGTCTTATTTTTGTTTATCGATCTTATATTCGTGCCAACCTCACTTTTTTAAACCAACATAACCTCACTTTTCAAAGTGACATTTTTGACGTATCATTAGTCAGGCTGAAAAACTTAACAAAAAATTATTTTATTCACAACATTTTCGTAACTTTTCTGCCTATATAATAAGATTAATAAGAATAGTCAAAATTTTTAAATATCAATACCAACCTTAATTTCTTATTTTCTTTTTTATATTTTTGTTTTTATCACAAATTTTAAGACATTTTATAAAAATTAAGAATATATCAAAATGACATTGACATTTCAAACCGGAAGTTGGTTATATCTTGAGTAATATTGGAATTAAACGTATCAAGTTTGGGCTCAGTTTAAAGGATTAAATTAATTGACATAACAAATATGTCAAAATTGAGGTTGACATTTTACACCTGAAGTTAGTAATCATATAATAGACAAATGGACAACTTCATGGTGTTCATTCATGATGTATTCTTTATTAAAAAACCTTTAAAATGTTTAAAAAACATTTGCCTTGAATGTTTTTAGTTCTAACACAAAACCTAGAAATATCTAGGGACTTTTCGAGGTGCCGCCAACTTCAAACGAATCGACGTTATTCTGTCAAAGATAAATCATAACCTAAAAGAATAATTTTGTGGGTTTATTTTGAATAAAACTAATTTATTTCTTACATTTAACAATAAAATACACCATAAAATGCGTTTTGGTCACATTCAATTACATAATACAATATAGTAGTAATTAATAAGATTAATAAATACATATTTTATCAGTTAACCTCACTTTTCCCTAACTTAATAAATGCTTAGTATCTTAACAACAACATTAATTTGGAGAAATATATTTTTGGTAATAGGAAGTTATTTTTTTTTTAATTAGTTTTCTCTCGCAGAGCTTTTCGCTCGTTTATATCGATAATCGATAAATTTTTAGCAGCCACGATGCAATGCAAAATCGAGATTAAAGCCTTCGCAATCGCTACGGGGGCCGACAAAAATATTCCAATTCGAATCAAAGAGGTGTCCATCACTAAAATTCACCAAAATTAATCAAATTATCTAACAAAATTAAGAGTCTCACCAAGTGGCCCCTCTGTGAAATACAACAAATACAACAAAGCATAAAATAACTCATTTCCAGCACACATAAAGAACAAAACTTTTCTATCGGTGTAATAAAGCCTCATAATTGGGTGCGAGGACATATCGACGAATTTATGGCTGGTTTTTCCTTGCAATAACGACGTGTGGAGGTAAATCCAATGACAAGCGATATCAACACTCATTGAAATTAAGAACCAAAACATAAATCGTGGGTAGAAATGAGCCAAAACAGCACAAAGACACATCGTACCACATCGATCGGTTAATTGGTCCAAAATAGCGCCGAATTTGGTCGATTGATTGAAATGTCTTGCAGCATGACCATCAACTGCATCTAATAACGCAGATGTAACATAACAAGTCGTGGCTATGATGTAATTAGTAGGCATGAAATAAAATGAGATAATCGCTAGGATTACTCTTAAAAATCCTAAAAAATTAAATCGTGTTATTAAAACGAGTTAATTAATTAATTAATTACCTATGATGTTGGGGTAAAATAAAAAGATATTTTCCTCGATCTCAGACATGGTGAACTCGGAGTATTTTTAATTGAATTTTATTACTTCTACGGTATCTTTCGTCCAATCCCGTTTTATGTTTTATTGATTTTATTGCGTTGACAGCTTGGTATTGTTATTATTTTAGAGTAATAAGATAAATTGTTTAAATAAAAACTGATTTAAAAGATGAAGAAAAATGTTTACGTCAAAGTGACGTTTAATAAAAAATTAAATTTTAGGTTATAAATATTTATAAATTTTATTTAATTAGAGTTATTAATGTTTAATTAATTTACATTTGTATTTGTGTGAATTAATTGATTAAAAAATTGATTTGTAATAATTAATTTTAGTTAAAAAAGATTGTTTAAATTATTTTTTTTATTTGTAAGTTGGTACTAAATTATTTTTATTTATTTTTTTTTTGATTTAATTAATTTTGGTTTTATTTTGATTAATTTGATTAAATTGAATTTAAAAATGTAATAATAATAATAATTATTGTTATAATTAAGCGTGGGTTGTTATTAAAGAAACGATAATAATTTAAGTTGGTAATAACGGTGTCAAATTCGACCCCAGTCGGTCGTCGCAAGATGTCGTTGCGTACGCGTTCCCTTTTTGCGCACTGAATACACTGAAAAAGAGCAATGGCGGACGCGGAAAATGAGTTTTGCGTGTGATTCGAGGCCCCAAACTCGCGAAATCAAAGCGTCATCGTTGCGGTGCGTCGGGGTGTATTAGCCCCCGACGATGGGACGGCGACTTTGAATGGTCGAGTCTTTGTGCTGACGACGATCAACCGACGACGTTGTTATAGAAGAACGGTTTAAATGATGCCCCCGTCGCCGGACAACGACGGCCCTCCGAAGGCCCCCGATAAGGACGACGACAAGCGGGGGCCCAACTCTTCGGATAACAATCGTAAACCGGCTGACGACCCCAATAAGGTACGTTCCAGATTTTGTAAAAAGGGAGTTTTCGAAGGACTTCCGCGACCAGCTGATTCAAACGTTTCTTTTTGATCCGGATCGGGTTTTTATCCATTGATTTGATCTCGGGGAAGTTGTGCGAAAATGGCTGCCTTTATGTTGACGTATTTTTGGTCTATGTTTTTAGCACAAACATTAGATTCAGTTTTATCCCGATAAATAATAATAAAATTCATTAATAATTAAAATAACTCATCAAATCAAATCATTTTAATCGTTCATAAATCAATTTTAATCCAAAAATTTTTAAATAAATTAAATGACACACCAAAAAAAAGCGAACTAACCTCACTTTATCTCGCCATTTTATTTAATTCTAACCTCAATTTTCAGCAAGAAACCGATTTTTACAATTTAAACGAAAAAGATTTAAAACACCTGTTGGATGAGGCGATAAGTTACAAGTCCCCGAAAGATCGTGAGGGGAAAAGCGAGCTTTTCAACGTAAGTTTTATTTTTAATCAACATAACCTAAATTTTGAGTCAAATTTTTTTTTAAGAATCTCTTAACTGACGCTGAGAATGAATTAAGAAACGCTCGCGCGACTAGCGCAAGTGGCCCCGAAACTGTGCGCCACTACAACAAACGCGCCACGAAACGCCATGGAAAAGGTGGGAGAAAAGCAAATTCCATCTCTGAGAACTTAACCCACAGTGGGAGCTTAAATAATCTCACTAAAGAAGATTTATTCGAGGAAACCGTAAGGCAACGATTAAAGAAAACAGTTAGTTCTCGCCAAACAGAAGGAGGTTAAAAATTAATCATTTTATTAATAAATTTTGTTTAATATTTGATTTGATTTAGGGAGTTTACCTTGTAACGTCAACGTAGGAGCTTTCGATCAATACCTCGATGATTTTCGCCCAATGCGAGAATTAACTGAAGTGAAATTGATCCCTGATGAGAGAAAAAAGAATGAAAGTGATGTAATTGAGTCGTTTACGGCGGCTTTAAAGACGAAAAAGTCCCAAAAAATAAGCAGTAATTAAAAAAAAATTAAATTAAATTAATTGTGGTTAATTAAGGTAATTTTTGCTTAGATGTTGATGATCGAATCCCAATTTTGGATAATTTACCCACTGTTGATGTGGTTGAATACAAAAAATCGTCTGAGACAACAATCAGTAATAGTTTTCTACCTGTTAATCTCTCTGCGAGTTTGGCAGCTTATAATGGGCGTGTACACAGAGAGGAAAAGGTAAAAAAAATGTTATGATTTGATAATGATTATCGCCAAAAATGTTTTGATTTGGAAAGAATTTAAATTACAAATTCTTATCGTGTTAATACTAAATAACACCAATAGTTTACAAACGTTTCGCGTTACTCATGCGATAATAAATAAATAAATCATTTGTAATAGAAATTTAGTAGTTTGCGCCTCGTCAAAGTCTTATGTCGTTAATTCCGAGTTTACCGCGGGTTATTTTCGATTATCTCGTCAATAAGATGATCGTCTTGTTTGTAAGTTTTCGTTTTGTCGTGGCCTCTTGTTTCCTCTTTTTATTTATTTGTTATAGGACGAGACGCGTCCGACGACCGTTGTTAACTTTCCTAGTAACATTTTGCCGTTGATTTGTACGCAGAAAGTGGACGAGAATTGTAACGCCGTCACCCAACAGCAACAACACCAACAGCAGCAGCACCAACAACCCAACGATGGCCGAAAAAAGACCAAAAAGCGACCGATGGAGAAGAATGTTACCGTCTTAGAATCCTCAAAAGTAAGTTTTAGGTTAACTTTATTAAATTTTTGTGATTATTGGTTAATCACCATGGTAACGACAGGAAAAAAACTTTGAAACAAAAAATTATTTTAAAATAATGAAACGTCAAAAAATGACACTTGAAAAAAACGTGTAGGAGATAACGCCATCTTACGGGAAAAGTCTAAAAATGCACGTAATTTAAAACCACGAGTAACGCGAATTATTATTTGATTTTTTTTTATAACGTAAAATGAGTGACCAAAACGAACTTCTATGAAACAAATTTCTTTTTAGTTTTATTTCTAAAACTGAGTGAGTTAAAATTTTTTTAATGAAACGTCAAAAAAAAATGTCATTTAGAAAAGTGAGGTTAGGTTGTGTTGGAAAAGTCATCATTTTCTAGCACAGTTTTAAACTAACACGGCCGTTTTCGAAGACATCGGCCGCCCCACGACGCTAAAGCATTGAAATGAAAGTTTGATATTTACTCGCATTTGTGAAAATGAATATTTCGTGATCTCGGGGGCGGCCGATGTCTTCGAAAACGGCCGTGTTGGTTTAAAACTGTGCTGAGAAATGTGTTATTTTTGTTTATCTATCTTACATTCGTCTCAACCTCACTTTTCCAAACCAACCTAACCTCACTTTTTCAAGTGACTTCTTTGACGTTTCATTAAAAAAAAATTTATTTACTCACTCAATGCGTCTTCGACGATTTTCTTTCATATTAGCAATTCGTAATAAGCCATCTCGGTCACAAAAAGTTAAAGACGCACGGCAAATTTCTAGTTTTAGTTTTATTTCTGTTTATAATGTATCGTCAAAAAATGACACTTGAAAAAGACGTGTAGGAGGTAGCGCCATCTGTCGGAAAAAGTCTAAAAAGGTACGTTCGTACCTACCTTCTCATCATGTCAAATATTTCAACGTAATTTAAAACCGCGAATTATTACTTGATTTTTTTCATAACGTAAAATGAGTGATTAAAACGAACTTGTATGACGCAAATTTCTTTAATTTCTTCTCTTCTTCATTTTTTTAATGAAACGTCAAAAAAAATGTCATTCGAAAAAGTAAGGTTAGGTTGGGTTGGATTGTAGATATCATTAGACATCTTCTGGACAGTTTTTAACGACTATAGAAATAATTAGAAAGCTTCTGGTCACTTTTCGACAAGTATAGGAATCATTAGAAACTATGTAGACACTTTTGGACGTCTTTTAAAATCTTTTGTCAATCTTTATAATTATCCAGAAAGCGTTTAGATACTTTTTGATATTCATGGCAATCATTAGAAAGTTTTACGTTTTGACGATTTTACTTTTTGTAGCTGTTTCAAGCGAGATGGCTTCTTATGAATTGCCAAGATTTTTTTAAATGAAACGTCAAAAGATGACACTTGAGAAAGTTAGGTTAGGTTGCTTCTTGAATTGTTCACACAAGAATCCAGAATCTTTAGTTGTGCGCACATTCCATATTTAAGCAATGTTTTAATCAGAATTTGAGGTATTATAAGCTCAAATTGTGTGTTGTTAGTAACAGTTGGTATGATTAACAGGGAATTTTGTTATATACAGTTTTGAAATCACTTTATGTCACAATGACGTTTACACTTTCGACATTCAAAGAACTTCACGTTCAATTAACGTTAAAAGAATTATCGTAAACTTTTCTGCCGATGGAATAAGAAATAACTAGAAATTTTTTAATTTTTATTTATAACGCAAAATGAGTTAAATTCCTTTTTTTGTAAATGAAACGTTAAAAAGTGTCACTTGAAAAAGACGCAGGAGGTAGCGCCATCTAGTGAAATTTATAAACATTAATTAATTTTTTTTAATAACTTTTTATTATATTTTTGTTATATTAACGCTTAATTAAATCGAAAATCATCGATAATCATTTCTTTAATTACAATTTGTTTTGTCTTTTCGTGGTTATTCCTCACATTAATCGTACTTTTGACATTTACAATAATTTCGTAACAAAAATTATTAATTTTTACAAAAAAAAGGTGCGATTCAACCGAAAGAAACGTTTAAAGACATTTTTGAACATCCTAACCGTTTGCTTAAACCGATTTTAGACGCCACGAAACGATTTTTAAGAGAGACATATAACCTAACTTTTTTATGTCAATTTAAAAATTTTTGTAAGTCGATTCATTTTACATAAAATTTAATTTAATCACTATTTGAATCATTTTAGATTATTCACGCGTCAAAGACGCACGGCGTATCCTAAATTTCTAGTTTTTGGACGAGTAAAATAGTCCTTGAAAAAGTTAGGTTAGGTTGAGAAATAACAACTAATTCGTTACAAAAATTGAATGTACTTACTTTACCTTAGAAATACGATCTTTCAGCTTCATTTAATGCGAAAATTGTTTAATATAATTATTATAAAACGTTCTTTTGATGCAACAAGTGATTTTTTTAAAGATGTCGGTGCATATTGATAAATCACCATGGTAACGGCAGGGTTGAAAACTTTTAAACAAAAAATTATTTTAGTCGCAAAATTTTCATAGACTTTTCTGTCGATGGAATTTGAGATAAAACTAGAAATTTTCGGATTTTCGAAATAAAATTTCTAGTTTTAGTTTTATTTCTAACTCATAATGGGTTAAATCAAAGGTTAAATCATTTATTTTGATTTTTGAAACGTCAAAGTCACTTCAAAAAGACGCCATCTAGTGAAATTTCTTAACATTAATTAATTTTTAGGTTACCGGCCACCGTTCGGATATAATCGATGATGTGGATAAATTGATCGATTTTATAGCAGGAAACGACGTTCGCAAAGAAAAAGCGAACAAACAGAATGTCCCGAACAAGAAGAACCTTCAAAAGCACCACTTGGCTTCGTTCGATGACGCAAAAGCGACAAAGAAACAACGCGCTCGCACATCCAAACCAAAAACGGGCTCGAATTTGCAAAAAAGCAATTCACTGGAAGAGATTTCAACAACAAAAATCGAAGATTTCTCGTTCGAAAACGACGTGGTGGTTTTGAGACAACCAAAAGGAGATCGCCCCAGAGAGCGTCGATCTTGGGGAAATTCAGAAGTAATCGATTTAAATGAAATTAATTTAGTATTAATGCCGTTTTGTTTTAGCCCGTTCAAGTTCAAACGTTGTATACAAACGCTTCGGCCGAGAATTTAGAAACTGCCGATTTCCGGGTGGTGACTAAAAAGAAAAAGAGTAAAAAGCAACGTAGAAATTCGTTGAGTAGTCGTAAAACGTATCGCGAGGAAACGTCGAACGAATTGACTCGGGTCCCAAGTCCCGAGCCGAGAAGGAAATCGGCCATTTCCGTGCCGCATAGTGAAAAATCGAACGATTCCTCGGACGCGGATTCGGTACATTCGCTCCCCGTGGACGCCACAACGAATTTATCGCGGGAAATTCACGACGATGACTCTAATTTTCCCATTTCTTACGCCGATATCGCTAAAAACGCCAATAATTTCGTTTTATGTGCCCCAAGCGGTGGGAATAGTGTTAATAATATTAATATTAATAATAATAACGGTGTTAGTAATAAGAGTATTAAAAAAGAGAAACAAAATTCAACGGAAATCGTTGATTCCGATAAAATTAAGGTTAAAAAAGAGGAGGAAAATCGATGTTTTAAAAAGGAAACTCGAAAAGATGTCGTCGTGGTGGAAGAAAAAGTTGTAACTAATTTAAATTCGGTTAATTATAGCCAAAACTTTCCTTCGATCGTTTCGAAAATTGAAGTGGGTAAAATCAAGGCGAATCCGATTGCGGAAATCCAAACGTGGCCGGCCATCCCAAACAACGGAAACGGCAATAAAAACAATTTAAACGTTAAAAATTCGATTTCGAAACAAAAAAACATTCAAAATCATTATAAAAATACTAAAAACACTAAAATCATCGAGAAAAACTCTAATTCGGAGAATAATTCTTTTGTGTACACCACCGGTTACGTGCCGATTAATATCCAAGATGTGCGTTCGCTTGAGAAACAATTTAAAAGTACCGCGAAGTTGTATGTGGACGCGAATCAACCCAACGTTTCAGTTCAACAACAACAACAAAAAGTGCAACAAACTGTTTCTGTACAGTGTGAGTTACAAAAAAGAGATGACACGTCAGCTTCTGTAAGGACTATTATTGATGGGCGAAACCCAAATAGTAACAATAATAATCATCATAATAATCGACCAGCTGTGGTTATGTTGAGTGGAGCTACCGAGGATGTTTCTGGGATTACGTTCGGATTCGACTTCGAGCAGCTCCTCTCGAACGACGTTTGCGCCGATTTTATGGCACGGTACGTGCCCCCAAGATGTAATGATGTCGGGAAAAGTTTTAATTTGGATAAAATTGTTAATTTTATTGGAATAGGTAAGTAATTTCAAATTTTTAATCGAAACATAACCTAACTTTTTATAATTTGTCAAAAAATAATTTTAATTTAAATCAAATTAATTTTTTTTTTTGATTTTTGTGTTTTATTAGATTAAAAACGATTCGATTTATTTAATTAATTAACTTATTTTAAATTAAAACTTTTAAAAAAATCGTTTTTAAATAACTTTTTAACTCCATCTATTGGTTGTATTAATAAACGGCACTTAATGATGCTTAAATTTGACATTAATTTCATTTTGTATTTCAATTTAGCAATTTCGTATGATTTTTTTTTTAATTTTTGTGTTAATTGACACAAAATACTCGATTTATTTAATTGATTAATTTATTTTAAATTAAGATTTTAAAAAATCGTTTTTAAATAACTTGTTAACTCCATCTATTGGTTGTATTAATAAATGGCACTTAATGATGCTTAAATTTGACATTAATTTCATTTTGTGTTTCAATTTAGCAATTTCGTATGATTTTTTTTTTAATTTTTGTGTTAATTGACACAAAATACTCGATTTATTTAATTGATTAATTTATTTTAAATTAAAAAATGTTAAAAAAATCGAATTTAAATAACTTTTTAACTCCATCTATTGGTTGTATTAATAAACGGCACTTAATGATGCTTAAATTTGACATTAATTTCATTTTGTGTTTCAATTTAGCAATTTCGTATGATTTTTTTTTTAATTTTTGTGTTAATTGACACAAAATACTCGATTTATTTAATTGATTAATTTATTTTAAATTAAGATTTTAAAAAATCGTTTTTAAATAACTTGTTAACTCCATCTATTGGTTGTATTAATAAACGGCACTTAATGATGCTTAAATTTGACATTAATTTCATTTTGTGTTTCAATTTAGCAATTTCGTATGATTTTTTTTTTAATTTTTGTGTTAATTGACACAAAATACTCGATTTATTTAATTGATTAATTTATTTTAAATTAAAATTTTAAAAAATCGTTTTTAAATAACTTGTTAACTCCATCTATTGGTTGTATTAATAACTGTCAGTTAATGACGTTTAAAATTGGGGTTAATTTCATTTTATGTTTTAATTCAGCAATTTCAAATTAATTTTTTTTAAATTTCGGTTTTATTTCGTACAAAATGTTTCGATTTATATAATTAATTAATTTGTATAAAATTAAAATTTAAAAAAAAACTCTTAACTCCATCTATTGGTTGTATTAATAACTGTAATTGGGGTTAATTTTATTTTGTGTTTTAATTAATCAATTTCAAGTTAATCTTTCTTGATTTTTGTTTTATTTGGTACAAAATGGTTCGATTTATTTAATTAATTTATTTATTTTAATTAAATGTCAAAAAAAATCGTTTTTAAATAACTTTTAGCTCCATCTATCGGTTGTATTAATAACTACATATGTCACTTAATGACGTTTAAATTTGAGGTTAAATTTAAATTTGTGTTTTAGCTTGGGAGGATGTCGTCAAAGAGACGAACGGAAAGGTTCAATATTACACAGAGAGCTTATAATTGGAACTAAAAAACCTTGTGATCACACGGCGGCTCATCCGTGGAAAGTGAAGAGGATGGATGTGCCGTTGGCTAGTCAAAGAGTCGTTCGCTTTCCTTTTTTTGTTTAGAAGATTTGGGAACAAGACACGAAAAGTTATATTAACTATATAAAAAGAGAAAAAAATGGAGTAAGAATACTGTGCTTTAGTAGTGTTTTACAAAATGCTGCATTTCAGCCCTACGGAAGTGATTTTTGTGTACGATGATGGACTTAGTTGTTGCAGATTACATTTTTTTTTGATTCGAAGAATAATTTAAGCCCAAAAATCGATTAGTTTTGAAGTTGTTTAATAAACCCTATTGAAAGTTGCATTTAAATTATTTTAATCTGCATAAAAAGTGAGGGAAGAGTAAAAAGCACAGCACAGAGCCGTTTTTTAATTATTTTTAATTTGCTTTTGCGAATTTTGTCGTGTAAATTAAAAAAAAATCGTAATATACCGTCGATATTTTCGTGTATACTCTAGAAATAATAATTAATAAAAAATATATACAAAAAAATGATAAAATAAAACATAAAGCATACAAAGATATGCGTAACTATAAATATTAGAGGTTAAGTAGATTATTATTATTCCTTTTTTCTTGTTTCATTGATTAAAAAAACAATAATCGTGCAATAACCACACAAAATTCTTAATTCGTCTAGAAAGAATCAAAAAAAAAAATATGGTAATTTTTTTTTTATTAATATTTTAATGTGGTACCACTTCATTGTAATCAAACTTCAAACTTAATGTATGAATTGTCAATGTCAAAATTGTCAGTGTCGAAATCAACTACAATCGTAATAATTTTTATGTTTATTTTGAGTTATAAAAGCGATGTGATGAAAATAATTTGATGCTAAAAGAATGTACTTTATTTTGGGTTTGTTTTGTGAATTTTCTTTTGGTGAAGTTAACCAAAATTATCGACCTGTATCTAAGTGTAACATAAACTGGAAAAGATTAATTAGTTCTGCAATCATTTAGAATTTTTTTATTATTTTGTAGCAATACAATCGGAGGAAAAGATAAAGGTAAATCAAATCGAAAATTTTTTGAAAAAAAAAATGAATAAATAAATAAATAAAGGCAGTAAGTAGCATCTTTATTAAAAAAAAAAACAACTAAAACTACTATTTACTACTACTATAAAATGTACAGTGTTAATTTTCATATTTGTATCGATATAATTATAAAAAATATATATGCATAATATATATTTTTAAGATCTCTAGAGAAAAAAAAAGATTCATTAACATTTTTTCGTTTAATTTATTCGCAGATGAGTTCTTCTCTTTCAATTTAACGTTAAAGGAGCGTAATTTTACTTGTAAAAGGAAAAAAGAAGCCTTTTTTGTCTCTAAAATAAAACGTTTATGCTAAGTATCTTTTCGAAATTGTTACTTAAAGGAGTAAATTCTAAAAAAAGGAGATTGTTTTGTTTTATATTTATAAAATAATAAAGAAAAGTATAAAATGATTTAAATTAATTTATTAAAATACAACATAACCGCAACTGTCACAAAAAAATTATTTTTAATTTTTTATTTTAAGTTGGCAGGTATGAAAATCGGCCATTTTAGTTAATGTTGTTGTTGGGTGAAGGCGTCAAGTTGACGTTTATAAAAATGAGGAAGAGTTGTGGTGTATTAAAAGTGATTTCGATTAATACCGAAGTTAATAAATTCAGATTATATGATATAAGTTAAGCAGGTTAGTAATATTGAAGGGTTTTGCAATAAAATAGTGTTTATTTGTTAGTTGTGTTGAAGACTTTGAAGAGAAGGAAATAGAACACGGAATAAGCCTCGAAAGATAAAAGAGGAGCCCTAGATAATGGCAGGTTATTGTGTTTTTTTTTTAATTAGAACTAGAAACATTCAGTTTTAGCCGTCTTTAGAGATGTGCAGCTAAATCTGAATGTTTCTACTTCTAGCGCTAGTGTTATTTCTGATGATAGGACTTTGTTATGCTAAATAGCACTATATTATATAATATAGTGCTATATTCTAAAATTAATAAAAAATTATTTTTAAACAATTTTTAACTCCATCTATTGGTTGTATTAATAAATATATTTGTCACTCAATGACGTTTAAATTTGAGGTTAAATTATATTTTGTGTTCTATCTAATACTAAATAGCATTAGATAGCGATAAGTTGTTATATAGAAAAACACCTAAAAAGCTTTTATTGACTCTAAAAAGGTAATAAAATTGAATAATTTTCTTTTAAAGTTAAATTATATAATAATAATTAGGGTTATTTTAATTTTTATAATTGGTATTAATCAATTGTCAATTTTGACGTCTGTCAAAATTATTTCATTTAAATTTTGCGTTTTATTTAAAAAAATAAAAATGTTATCTTTATTGGAACGTTGGGTAAATAAAATAGCAATCGTAACCGGGGCTAGTTCAGGAATTGGAGCTGCGATTGCTCAAAAATTAGTCCAAGGAGGACTTATCGTAACGAATATCTCTTCGACGAATCATTTAATTTTAATCATTTTTATTTTTTAATTAGGTTGTTGGAATCGCTAGACATGTGGAAGTAATCCAAACGGTTTCGGAGAAGTTAAAAAATGCGAAAGGGAAGCTTCATCCGTTTAAAGCGGATGTTACGAAAGAAAACGATATCCTCGCACTCTTTGAATTCGTCAAAACCAAATTAGGACCCGTTCATGTTTTGGTTAATAACGCGGGGATTGCGCGAAGCACGAATCTTTCCAATGGGGATACTTCTAAGTGGAAAGAAATTTTAGATACGAACGTTTTGGGGCCTTGCATCGCTACGAGAGAAGCGATCCGAGTAATGAAAAAGCACTCAATCCAGGGACAAATAATTCACATTTCGAGCATTTTAGGACACTATGTTGGTGTTAACATTCCTTTTTTGAACATGTACCCAGCTTCGAAATTTGCAATTAGGGCTTTAACTGAAACTTTAAGACAAGAATTTGTGGCGGAGAAAGTTCCGATAAGAGTTTGTGTAAGATTCGAAACTTAATTAATTAATTAACTAATTTTTGCTTATTTTAGACGATTAGTCCAGGTTTTACCGACACTGAAATTATTAAACCCCTATCACAATACAAGGGAAATGCGAGTTTCGCTAAAGCCTTTGAGGAAACGCCCAAATTAAAATCGGAGGATATCGCGGATGCTGTTGTTTATATATTATCGACCCCTCATCATGTACAAATTCAGGATATTATGATTCGTCCGCTTGGAGAGCGCTTTTAATTCAATTAAATATAAAAATTAATGTTAATGTGACAATAACAAATAAATTGTGATTAAAAATTAAAAAATTTAACTATATTGAGGTTAAATTTCATTAGAAGTTTTTGTTTTTTTCGTTTTTTAAAGAATTTTCAAAAATATATTAATTTTGAATTAAATGTGCCATCTATTGAGATAATTGGAAACTGAAATTTAAAGGATTCTGTTTTTGTATTAGGATACAATTCGTAATTTTACTAATTTTTTTTCCATTGGATGTTTTATTTTTGAATAAATTTAACTGAAAAGTTTCAAAATGTTTCCTTGAATCACCCCTAATTGGCCTTGACCTAGTTAAATTTGAAAATTTTTCTCGTAACTTCGAGGATGTCTCCTTGAGTTCACCTTGAATGACCTCTAATTCACCTTGACCTAGTTAAAATTGAAAATTTTTCTCGAAACTTTGAGGATGTCTCCTTGAGTTCACCTTGAACGACCTCTAATTCACCTTGACCTAGTTAAAACTGAAAATTTTTCTCGAAAGTTTGAGGTTGTCTCCTTGAGTTCACCTTGAACGACCTCTAATTGACATTGGTGAAGATAAAAGTGAATTGTTTCCTGCCTAAATAATTATATCTTCTGATACTTTGGGAAATATTAATGGATTTAGGTTACGGTTTAAATTAAAACATTTATTTATAGTTATCAATATTTATTCATTTTATAAGTTAATTAATTACACTTAGTCAAGTTTCAAACCGCCGAATTGGTTCGTAACTAGACTAATTTCCGTTAGTTGCGATATTAAATAACAGATGTCGCTCCATTATTTTAAAAACATTTTATTTTAATAAATCTATTACATTATTTATAATTAATTTTATTATATAATGTTAAATTTATACATTAACTTATTCAATAAAAGTTTCTTAATTATTATTCAATTAAGGCTTCTCCTTAACGGAGATGTTACTGATAAACTCTCTAAACAACATAGAATAAACAAAAATTAAGAAATTAACTTACCAATTTGATAATTCCTCACAGATTATTTATTTAACACTATTAAACAATAACTTTTTTAATTATTAACATCACCACACTCCACATAAGTCAACAAAAATTGATTTTAAAAGTTAGGTTAGAAACTGTCAAATGTCAGAATTAAATATATAGATATACAGATGGCGCTATCTCTATGCGTCTTTTTCAAGTGACATTTTTGATGTTTTATAAAAAAAAAATTTAGTCTTTGACGCATGACATAACCTTAAAATTTCAAGTTTTAGTTTTATTTCTTATTTTATCGGCGAAAAAAGTGAGGTTAAGTTAAAGTTTTCGACCGTTACCATGGTGATTTGTCAATTTTAGAACTGTCAAAATAGAAAATTGTAAGTTGCAAATAATTAATTTAAATTGAAACATACATAAAAATAACTTTTTAAATTATTAACCTCACTACACACTTCACATCAATCAATAAAAGTTAATTTTAAAAGTGAATTGAATCAATTAATTGAAATAGCCAACCTTAAAACACTAAATTAGGTTGGTAATGATTTGAAATGTCAAATTTGAGATAAAATTTATTTATTACATACAAAAAGAATCAATAATTATAAATTGCATGAAATTTCTTTCGAATTACTCCATAAATTTGATTAAAAATATAATTTCCAATTTTTTTTCCTTTAATACACTTACATATATCACATTAAAAAGATCGATTATTAATACGTTTTTTTCCATCTTCGGTGGTCGTACGCACATTTATATATAAAGTTTCGATAATATTTTTCTTTCTTAATTAGTTTCGATTATTAAAACTTACGCTACGGTCGCATTCCACTTCTCTTTGCGTTGCTCGACGCCGAACGCGGTGTCGTAATTGCCTTTCGAGATGAACAAGCGTTTAAAATGTGGGATGCAATAAACTTTACCTTGATTATACGTATACGAATCCATCCTACAACAAATTCATTAATTAAACGATTTTATTAATAATTAATAATAATGAGTCACCTTAAAATCGTTCCACATTCGGTACATTTAAAACATTTCTTGTGGTAGTTGAGGTTATGTACGGTGATCTTTTCCAGGGGGTAAATACGTTCTTTGCAACCATCGCAAGAATCCAAACCGCTCGTTGTATCCTGTGGATATAATCAAGTTTTTTTTTTGACATTTCGCGAAAAAAATTTTTTTTTTTGACAGTTTATTAATTAAATAAATAAATAAAGAGAAAGTAATAAAGAGAAGAAATCGTTAAATAAGAGAACATTTAAGTATACCTTTTTTATTTTCACACTAATGTATACAAAAAGAGAAAAGAACTAAGAGAGAAAAAAAAAATTTGGTTGGCACTATTTGCTATAACGAAGTGAAGTTAGGGTTTGAAAAGAGGGAGACAAAAAATTGATTGTTATTAATTAATTATCTTTTAAACGGAAGACTAAGAGTTGAAATGGAAAGATTTTTCTTTCTAAAAAGATACATTAAAACATTTCTTTAATGTACATCGAGAAAACAACAATAATAACTCTAATTTACATTGTTTTTTTTTTCTAAAAAAGGGTTAACATACAGATATAAAAAGTTTTTTTCGATTTCTTCATCAAATTCCTTTTTTTTTTCAACGTGGGTGATAATGAATTAGTAGAAGATTAAAGACGTTTAAAAATTGACACGGTCCCATGTAAATCTCTCGAAAATCTCAATTATTTTGTTTTAATTCAGTCTTTTGGCTTAATTAATCCAATTTTTAAGAGTGTTAATTAAGTATTTTTTAAAAAGGGGGTAAGATATAAATGTACAAATATTGTGGTAAAACTCTAAACGCTAAAAAACGAAAAAATAATAATAATAATAATAAAATAGTTAATCAATTAATTAATAGCAGCAAAAAAAATATGTTTTTTTTGTCATCATTTTGGCTTTTTTTCATAATTTTTTTTTATAATTAACAAAATCGTGTTTAATGTATCCGGTGGGCGCCTGAGGTTGTCTCCGGCGAGTCTTCTCCTCGCGATTTTACTGAAACCAACAAGAAGAAATCGTGTCCAAAAACAATTTGAACCGAAAACAACCGGAACAACATCCAAAAAATTGCGATTTGTGCTTTGCTTTGCTATATCATGCGATTATTAACCAACAAAATCGATTAATTCAAGAAAAATAAACAAAAAACGATAAAGTGAGGGGGTTGGTTGGAGACGATAAAGTGCGAAGTGCAAAAGTTATCAAAATTAAGAAATAAGAAGGAAAACTAATTATTACATAGCAATAAAAAATGTTGCTCATAAGATTTGGTGTGTTATTACAAGCCGAGGCAGTGGAGGTTTTCCTTATAAAGCAATAAGAAAGAAATTCTGATGTGTCATTACAAGCCGAGGCAGTAGCTTTGTTTAATACAAAACAATAAGAAAAAGTTTTTCTATACACTTGAAAAAGTTAGGTTAGGTTGAAAAAAATGATAACGTAATTTTTACAACACAATAAATAACTAATTCGTTACAAAAATTGAATGTACTCACTCTGCCTTAAAAGCGGATCTTCCAGCTTCATTTAATGCAAAAATTGATTAATATAATCACGATAATTATTATAAAACTTTATCTTGACGCAACAAGTGATTTTTTTTAAAGATGTCGGTGCGTATTGACAAATCACCATGGTAACGGCAGGGTTGAAAACTTTGAAACGAAAAATTATTTTAGTCGCAAAATTTTCGTACTTTTCCGCTGATGGAATAAGAAATAAAACTAAAATTAGAAATTTTTTAGGCATAACCTCAAAATTTCTAGTTTTAGTTTTATTTCTAACTCAGAATGAGTTAAATGAATTTTTTTTTAATGAAACGTCAAAAATGTCATTTGAAAAAGACGCGTAGGAGGTAGCGCCATCTAGTAAAATTTATTGACATTAATTAATTTTTTTTTAATTTTTAATGAATTTGTTAAAAATTCGAAGAATAACTCGTTTTAACAAAACGCACAAAGACACACGGCATAACCTCAAAATTTCTAGTTTTATTTTATTTCTAATCCAAAATTAAATCAGATTTTATTTAATGAAACGTCAAAAAATGTCACTTGAAAAAGACGCATGGGTGATAGCGCCATCTGTTGGGAAAACTCTAAAAATGTTCGTTTGTAACTATCTTCTCATCATGTCAAATATTTTAAAATTTAAATTGGAGAAAATTTTATTTTCGAAAATTAGAAACGGTTTATATAGCAAATTAATACTATAGTTCGTTTTTTTTTTCTATAATACTTGTCAATGTAAATTATTTAGGGTTTCTGTTGGTATTATCTAAGACCCTTATAAAATTTGTTGTTTTCATGATTTTTAGTAACATTGTCAGTAACTAATTAGTTGAGGTTAAAATACTAATAAATTTTTAGATAAATACGATTTTGACGAAGTACATATTTGTTATAAAAACGTGCTACAAAGTAATTAAATAGAATAAAATACCTTTTCTAGGTAAGTAAATGGCAAATAAACACCCCACAACACTTTTTATGCACCTTTTCTTTTTGAATAACGAAAGCTCAAACGTCAATGTGACATATTTACTTCAAAACATGATAAAACAAAACTCCCTGTTAATTTTGCCAACATTACAACAATTTGACAGGTATTATAGAAAAAAAATGAACTATAGAAGAATTGATTTTGAGATCAACTTTAATTATATCTGCCATAAATACGTAAAAAAATCAAATTCATTACAAACTGTCATTGTCATAAAAAATTCGACGCGTGTTGAAAACGTTTAAACATTATCAGGTTATTTTGTTGAGTTTATGAACGTTTTTTACGTTTAATTGAAGCTAAAAGGTATGTTTTTAAGGCAAATTTAGTAAATTGACGATTTAATGACGAGATAAATAAATTAAAAAGTTAACTTAAAAATCGAAATTGTAGAAACTTTTTTTTTAATTATAATGAGGAAATGATTGGGTGCGTTCACCAACTGTTGGCAACATTTCTGGTGAACGCAATGCTAACTTCAAACGTGTTTGGTAAACGGCCGCCATTTTATCAATCGTATGATTTTTCCGTTAGCAAACGCAAATGGTGTTTGGTGTTTGTGTCATCTTAAATTTAAAATCAACAAAAAAGAATGGCAGAAGCCCGAAATTATTTATTTAATGGGTTAGTGTATACTATCTTTGAATATGAAGAAATTCATGATAAATTGAACTGTATGATCTATAAATTAATTAAAATTGTAAATAATTGTCATTAAAGCGCCATCTGTTGTTATCAAACCATATGTCTATAGAAAAATTGGCCGTTCACCAAATCACCAACGCAATCGTAACCCGTTTGCGTTTGCCAACGTAAACGGAATTCTCTGGTGAACGCGCCCCATTTATATCTTAATTGTTATTAAAACTTTTTTATTAAAAAATAATTTAGTTATTTAGCAAAATAATTTAGCACAGCTGCCTCAGCCTGCAACAACATATCATTACTACAGAAAAAAATTTTTTTAATCGTTTTGTAAAAAAAAAAAGCTTCTGCTTCGGCAGCACAGCTGGAATAATATATTATTACTACCGAAAAACATTTTTTTAATCGTTTTGTAGTAAAAAAAGCTACTGCTTCGGCAGCACAGCTGCCTCAGCCTGCAATAATATGTTATTACTACAGAAAAACTTTTTTTACTTGTTTTATAATAAAAAAGCTACTGCTTTGGCAGCACAGCTGCCTCAGCCTACAATAACATATCATTACTACAAAAAAACATTTTTAAAATTATTTTGTAATAAAAAAACTTTTGCTTCGGCAGCAAAGCTGCCTCAGCCTGCAATAATATGTCATTACTACAGAAAAACATTTTTTTAATCGTTTTGTATTAAAAAAAGCTACTGCTTCGGCAGCACAGCTGCCTCAGCCTGCAATAACATATCATTACTACAAGAAAAACATTTTTTAAATTAATTTGTAATAAAAAAGCTTTTGCTTCGGCAGCACAGCTGCCTCAGCCTGCAATAATATATCATTACTACAGAAAAACATTTTTTTAATTGTTTTGTAATAAAAAAACTACTACCTCAGCAGCACAGCTGCCTCGGTTTGTAATAATATATCATTACTACAAGAAAAACATTTTTTAAATCATTTTGTAATAAAAAAACTTTTGCTTCGGCAGCGAAGCTGCCTCAGCCTGCAATAATATATCATTGCTACAGAAAAACATTTTTTAAATTATTTTGTAATAAAAAAACTTTTGCTTCGGCAGCAAAGCTGCCTCAGCCTGCAATAACATATCATTACTACAGAAAAACATTTTTTAATTGTTTTGTAATAAAAAAAACTACTGCCTCAGCAGCACAGCTGCCTCGGCTTGTAATAATATATCATTACTACAAGAAAAACATTTTTTAAATTATTTTGTAATAGAAAAACTTTTGCTTCGGCAGCGAAGCTGCCTCAGCCTGCAATAATATATCATTGCTACAGAAAAACATTTTTTAAATTGTTTTGTAATAAAAAAAACTACTGCCTCAGCAGCACAGCTGCCTCGGCTTGTAATAATATATCATTACTACAAGAAAAACATTTTTTAAATTATTTCGTAATAAAAAAACTTTTGCTTCGGCAGCGAAGCTGCCTCAGCCTGCAATAATATATCATTGCTACAGAAAAACATTTTTTAAATTATTTTGTAATAAAAAAAACTACTGCCTCAGCAGCACAGCTGCCTCGGCTTGTAATAATATATCAAAAGAAACCTTTTTTAATTGCTTTATAATATTTAAACCACTGCCTCGGCCTATAATAATATATCATTACTAAAAAGAAACCTCGTCTAATTGTTTTGTAATACTTGAACCACTGCCTCAGCAGCACCACCGCCTCAGGTTCATAACATGTGTTAATACAGAAAATAAACCTTTGTTACAAACCTTAGTTATAAGAAGCTAAGTTCAAAATAAGCCAATACAAATACATCAAAATCATGCTTTAAAAAGGTATCTATTTTGGTTTCTTTTCTTTTTTTCTCTTAACAACAACAAAAACAATTTTCTACTCACCACGAATCGGTTAACTTTAACCTTAGGCTGACGGTTGGTCTCATTTTGGGTATCTTTCAGCGATTCAAATTTAGCCCTTAACCTAAGACATAATTAATTTTAAATAGTTTAATCGTCGAAATTTTAAATAAAAATTACACTTTGGTGGACTCGATTTGTTGGCCTGGTTGGTCGCTGTACTCCTCGATAATATTAACTTGTTGTTGTTCGCGTTTGATTTCTTTCGCCTCCCATTTTTCGAATTTGGCGCGCAATTGCTGGGCGCGCGCCGCTTTTTGAGCTTCGAGCAAATCAACGTCTTGAAGTTTATTATCGACCTCTTCGATCGATTCGCTTTCTTCCTCGCTTTCTGAGCCTTCCGCCTCGCTACTCGATTCCGGTTTAGTCGGTTCTGGTGGAGGAGTAAACCTTTTTAATGGTTTTGGACCTAAAAATCAACAATATAATAACCTAAAATAATTAAAAGTATTTTTACCTAGATTTAACGGTTCTTTATTTAAATTTTCCTCCATTTGCCGGAATTTATTAAGAACTTTCGTGGTGGTGTGAGATTCTTTAGCGATAACGGAATCTTCAACGTGCTCATCAGCTCTGATTACTTCAGGATCGTGGTAGATGTCTCGGTCTGGGGAGTCACCCTGGAAACAAAAATATCTTAAAATAAAACGAACACAAATTTAATCACATCATGTTAATTCAAATTAAAATTCGTATTATTTTTAGTAGTGATGTTAATGAGTCATTTTCGGCTTAAACATTGAATAAAAAATCAAATGGGAGCCTTATTCTGCAAATCATCCTTTATACGATTAATACAAGATAAGGCCACTCCTTGTAGAAGACTTGATGCTACTTCCAGAAGATTAAACACTACTTGAAGAAGTCCACTTTTTATAATCACACAATTAACGAAATATTGAATACTTTTTCTTGCAGAATAAGGCTCTAAAACTTTTTTTTTGATAAATCGATGAATAAAGGAGGAGTTTTAATAAAGTTTTTAGCCCCAACATTAATTTTAATCAAATTGAATTGAAAAACGTCGTTTTTAGAAACGTCATTACGAAATTGTCATTAGACACGCAGTTGTGCCAACCTAAATCGATTCAATGAAGCTAATTTCACGTCAAATTAATTTTTTGATTTTAAACTTTATTTTTATTTTTTTAACTTTTTTTATTGGAAAAACATTTTAAATCAAACCAAAATTACCTTATTCGTCTTTTGTTAAAGCAATATAATTTTAAAAAGGCGATTTTTTTTCGTTTTTAACAAAGCTTCAAATTTGTAGGTTAAATGACGTTTCGACATTTTGATAGGTTTTTAAAAGAATTTTTATAAATTAATCACAAAAATTCAATAAAAACTGATAAATTAAAAATGCTCTACTACTTAAAATGCTTTAAAAATAATAAATTAAAAAATTAGTTTTAATGGGAAATTAGCAAAATTAAAGGGCTAGATGTTTAGGTTGGCACCACTGCGTTTCTAATGACAGTTCTAATAGTGACATCTGTCTTTTTTAATATAAAAAAAGTGATTATTTCGTTATATTAAATCAATTTAAATGTTTCTAATCGTTTATAATTATTTCAGATTGTATTTATTACAATATTAATTGTTATTGAAGCCCAAAAACTTTCTTAAACTTTTCTAACCTCACCCATTCAAGAAAATGAGATGGTTTCGATAAAAATTAAAGTGAGTTCATAAATTATGTGATAATTATGTTTTAATCAAATAAATCAAGCTAATTTATGAACTCGCATAATAAATAAAAAAAAACGGTGCAAACTCCAGTCCCAGAAAGTATTGCAACCGGCCAAAAAAGCGACACGCCACCAAAATAAAAAAAAAACAACCAAAAAATAATAAACATTAAAAAAACAGTGCTCAAGCACAACGCAAAAAGTGGATAACGATGCCAAAAAAAAGGTAAAAGTAAGAAGATTTTTTATCCTTTTCGTTTGATTAATTTGTTTAAAGGAGTGATTAAATAAAGTGATGATAATAAGCGAGATAAGTAATGTTTTTTTGTTGGGGTTTATGGGGGAGTTAGCGAGCTTGACACCAGAGTCGAAAGCAGACCTTCTGCTGGCCGTCTCGAGGCGGCGTTATTCTAAACTGCTTCCGTTCCTTCTCCGGCTCCTTGTACGTTTCGAAAAACTTAAATCGCTGTTGAATGTCAGACGTTTCGATCTTAACGTCGTCGAGTTGTTCGGACGATTTAACCGTGTCCTCTGATGACTGCCTCGCCATGTAAGCCTACATTATAACAATAACAAAAAAGGGGGCCCACGTTTTAATCGATCATACTCTATTTTTTTTTAATTCGGAGGAGTAAAATGAAAAGTCACGTTTATTTATAACTAACAAATAAAACTAGACTAATACTAGCACTAAAACTAACACTAGATCTAGAACTAGAAATATAATTATTTCTAATACAAAATCAGTTAAATAAAATTTTTAACGTCAAAAAATGACACTTAATAAGACGCATAGGACATAGCGCCATCTATCGCAAAAAGTCTAAAAATGTACTTTTGTAACTATCTTCTCATCATGTCAGATATTTTTTTATATCACGTAAATCGTGTACGAGTGACTAAAACGAGCTTCTATGACGCAAATTTCTTTTTAGTTTTATTTCTAAAACTGAGTGAGTTAAATAAAATTTATTAATTCAACGTCAAAAACATGTCATTTGAAAAAGTGAGGTTAGGTTGTGCTGGAAAAGTGGAATTAGAAATCCTCAACACCATTTTAAGGTACATTTTTAAATCAACACGGCCGTTTTCGAAGACATCGGCCGCCCCCGAAAGCACTCAACGTAGAAAATGACGTAAATTTCACTTAAAACTTATAAACAAACTGATTTTGTCAAACGATCCATATGAAAGGAAGGGCTACCAACCAAATTTTTTTTTTCAAATTTGAAAACAATCTGATTGTCAAATGATCGATATTAAAAAAAGTGCTATTAAAATCATTTTTTAACATAAACATCGAGGTTATAATTAAATTTGCAATAAATTACGAAATAATTATTTATTGTCAATAGGTCAATAGGAGTGACATCTATGAGTGTCGTTTGATGACAGTTCTATTTTGATAGAAAATAAATAATTACATATATCAAAATTAATAGTTTAGCTAGAAATGATCAAAAATGAATCGATTCTTGACTTTAAAGCATAATTAAACATTTAATAATTATAGTAAATAAGATAAATTTCACTTCAACCTTGAAAATAATCCGATTATGTCAATTGTCAGAAGTCAATCAGTATGAAAGGAAGGGCTACCAACCTAATTTTTTTTTAATCTCAAATTATTTTTTTTGTTAATTTGAAAATAATCCGATTCTGTCAAGTGATCGGTATGAAAGGAACTGTCATTAACGTTATTTTTTAACATAAACATCGCGGTTATAACTAAATTTGCAAGGAATTACGAAATAATTATTTATTGTCACTGACAGGCCAATAGCAGCGACATCTATGAGTGTCGTTTGATGACAGTTTTAGGTTGATAGAAAATAAATAACTACACAATACATTAAAACTCATAGTTTACCTAGAAATGATCAAAAACGAATCGATTCTTGACTTTAAAGTATAATTAAACATTTAATAATTATAGTAAATAAAATAAATTTCACTTCAACGTTGAAAACAATCTTATTATGTCAACTGTCAGAAATCAGTCAGTATGAAAGGAAGGGTTACCAACCTAATTTAATTAACCAACCTATAAAACTTAAAAATGTTGTCACTTCAATTTGAAAACACTCCTCCGAATTAAAAAATAGAGTATAATAATTAAAAAAAATCGCGAATAAAACTTAATTATAATTTTTTGGGACAAATCTTTCTAATAAAAAAAATAAAATTTACCTCTCGAGCTTTTTTCACGTCAGCTTGTTGTTTCGGGGGCGAAACTGGAGATAATTGGGGCGCTTTCGAAGCGTTAGCATCCAATTCGAGGAATATCGATCGAGATTTCTTACTGATACCGCTTTCAAAAACCGACATATCCTCATCCATTTCTTTTCGGTTCTCTTCCGTGTAAATTTCACCCTTTTCGAATTTTTCCTTAATCGATTTAGTAGCACAAACTTCCACAGGGGGTGGGGTTGTTGGTCGTTTTATATTCGTTCCCGATTCCGATTCCATCACAGCTTGTTGATAAGCTTCTTTCATTTTTCCTTGTTTACCCTAAATGATTAAAACATTTTTATTTATTAATTTTTTTTTATTCGGTAAAAATGATTTACCATAAAAAGTCTATTTCGAATCGTTTGTATTTCTTGTTTACGTTCTTCTCTCCTTTCATCTTTAGAATTTTGCTCTCCATGCTCCCATTTACTTTTTACGTCCGACATTCCGGTGAAATGGAACGGTTTCTCTTTTTGGACGCGTTTCGCCCTGATCAAATCGGCATCTTCACCTTCGACCTCCTCTTCTTCCTCATTTTGGATTTCCTCGTCTGAGGAGCTTTCATCAATTGGAATTCCATTAAGAGATTCGACAGGAACTCCAACATCCATCCCTTTAGCTTGAAACCTACAAAATAATGTTTTAAATAAAATCAAAATTAATTTATTAATGAATTACTTGGCTAATTTCGATAAAATCGACGGTGAGCGTTTAACATTTACAGCCCCAGCGGCTGTTGCGTTTTTCTCTGAAGCCTCCTCTTGAAAGTTTTCAAAAACTTGGAATCGCTCCCGAACGTTCAAACTTTGTAACTCTTCCAACCCCAAATCAGGTTTATCACTAGCTGTTAATCAAAAAGAATTAATTAATCACACACAAAAAAAATTAACAAACTTTGGGGATTATTTACAAAGAAAAAGTTGGGTTATCTTTCTTTTTAGTACAACTTAAAAAAAATTGTTAACGAAAGCTCGTTCCAAGGCGTTTTATTTTTAATTTAACTCTTTTTTTACATTTTTCGTGCGAATGCAAACGAAAAGTACCTCTAACAACGTCTGGGGGTAACTCTAACGGTTGATTTTCACGTATTATTAGTTCGTGTTTCTTTGGTATCGCTGGAATGTCATAAAATTTTAAAAAGAAAACATAAAAAAACTTTCCTAATCATTTTTATCGCATTAAAATCAATAACTTACGTTGTTGATCGTCCTCGACGGCTTTTGGGGCGAAAAGACTCTTGAAATGGGGCTTGCAATAAACCGTGCCTTCGTTACTTTGATATGTATCCACCCTTTATAAAGTAACAACGATATATTAATTATAAAAAAGGTTTTTTAATTGAGGTAAAAACGTTACGTTAATTGTTTATTGCACTCTTGACATCGGAAGCAATTTTTGTGCCAAACGGAGCGCTCCGCTTTGATCTGTTCCATTTGGAAGACGACTTTTCCGCAGGATTTACAATTTGAAGTGTCCACCGCTTGGGCTCCCTAAAAAAATAACATTATTAATTTAAATTAATATAAAAATGTTTGAAATAAACTAAAACACAAATGTTGACAGATGATCATAACCTCAAATGTCAAACAAACTTGAAGAAAATAAAATAACTCGTTTAAACTTTAAATTATTAATATGAATTATTTAAAATAATTAATAAATCAAATTAAAAGTATTAATTAATTAAAATTTAATGAAATAACTCCAAAAATTATATTAATCAAATATTATTTTAATTTTTTTTTATAATTTATGTTGGCATATCTGAAAAGTGGCCATTTTAATCAAACCTCGATTTAATTATTTTTTTAACAAGACGTTTTAAAACTTAACCTCACTTTGTATTAAAACGATTTTTACGTTAGAAAAGAAATTTATAGTAATAAAAAGTTTTACCTTAATAGAAATAACCAAAAAGGAATCGGTTTTTGATATATAAACATAACTCAACGTAAAAAATAACGTAAATTTCACTTCAAACTTGTAAACAAACCGATTCTGTCAATTGATCGGTATGAAAGGAAGGGCTGCCAACCTAATTTTTTTTTAATCCCAAATTAATTTTTTTTCATATTTGAAAATAATTCGATTCTGAAAAATGATCGTATGTATTAACTACATTTTTTAACATAAACATCGAGGTTATAATTAAATTTGTAATAAATTACGAAATAATTATTTTAGGTTTTTGTGGTTGACAAGCTCAATAGTAGCGACATCTATGAGTGACGTTTGATGACAGTTTTAGGTTGATAGAAAATAAATAACTACATATATCAAAACTCATAGTTTACCTAGAAATGAATCGATTCTCGACTTTAAAGTATAATTAAACATTTAATAATTATAGTAAATAAAATAAATTTCATTTCAACCTTGAAAACAACCCGATTCTGTCAAACGTCGGAAATCAATCAGTATGAAAGGAAGGGCTACCAACCTAATTTTTTTTTAATCTCAAATTTTTTTTTTTTCAATTTTGATAACAATCCGATTCTGTGTGAATGATCGGTAAGAAAGAAAGTGCTATTAATTTCATTTTTGAACATAAAAATTGCGGTTATAATTAAATTAGCAATAAATTTAGGTTTTTGTGGGTTATTGTCACTGACAGCTCAATAGTAGCGACATCTATGAGTGACGTTTGATAATAGTTTTATTTTGATAAAAATAAATAAAAGTATAAAAACTCATAGTTTATCTCAAAATGATCAAAAACGAGTCGATTTTTGATTCTAGTTCTTAGTCTAGTGTTAATTTTAGTTGTAATTTTTAGTAAATAACATAAATTTCACTATAACCTTGAAAATAATCTAATTCTGTCAACTGTCAAAAATCAAACAGTGTGAAAGGAAGGGCTACCAACTTATCTTTTTAAATAAAATTAAAACTTACATTAAACTTTTCTTGAGCTTTAGACGAATCGCTCGATCGAACATGAAGCACATTCTTCTTTTGAAGAGCATCGAATTTATTAAAACTTGATTTCTATAACCAAAAAAATTAGTATTAAAAAATGGAGACAATTTTTTGAGGCAATTATTAATAATTTCATAAAAACCAGATTAGTCACTGTTAAAAAGTGTGAAATAAGCACACTTTTCGCCTTAAACTCACCCAAGCTTCCGTGGAAACCTCCAAATTGAGCCGTTTTTGATTAGTGTTAGTAGTTCGGCTTCCAAACGTAAATTTATCCCTCTATTTTTATTTTTTATTGTTAGTAACCATGCACAAACAAAAACATGCAAAAATAAATCAAAATTAATTAAACGCTAATTAATGCAAAATGCAAACATCACAACAAGCTAAAACGATTTTATTGTATTTATGATTTAAAAAAATAAAATCTTACCAAAGCGCTAACTGAAACGCCGTTAAAAACGTTTTCCAACGCCCTTAAAGGTAAATCCAAGTGGACGCTATCAACCGAATTCGCCCTCTTCATCACAAATTCATCAAGAAGCAAATTACATGCGATTTAGTTTTTTTTAATCGGTTAAGGCAGCGGGGAAGCGACATATACAAAAAAATTCCTCTTTATTTAATTTTAGTTGTTTTTGAGGTGAAACTTACGTCTCTAGGTCGGTTAAGAAGCTTTTTATTCGACCCGTCCACCAAATCCGTCAAATTACCAAAACTGCGACACTAAAAATTCGATTTCCAAACAAATTATAACATCTCAAGTCTTTTTGTTGGATCAAAACGAATACAAACATTAATTTTAAGCAAAAAGAAATTAATTTTTTTCTTTTTTGAGTACGTACCAAGTGTTTAACGCTAACATTGTACCGATATCCATCCGATTCGTTATGGTTGTTAGTTAAATCTAAGTTCGTCTAAAGAGAAACATGCAAAAAAAAATTAAGCAAAACCACAAAATTAGATTAATCGATTAAAAAAAGTTATTTAAGGATGCAATTTAAAAAAAAATAAATAAAATAGTGAGGTGGTAAAATAAAACTTACAAGTGAAATATTCTCTTTATCGTGACTCCTCGATTTCTTACTTTTCTTCTTCTTTAATGATTTATCCTGAATTTGGCCGGTTGAGGAGGTTTCGAATGTGCTCGTGGTCGTTGTTTCCATGTAAGTTTCGGTTGTTTCGGTACTCTAATTAATTAAATAAAGGAAAAGAAAAGAAATAAAATTAAATAAAAAAAAATTACCTTTAAATTAATCTTTTATCTATTTTTTTTACGAATAATTTATCTTTTTTAACTTTAAATTTATGGTTTCAATGTGACAGATAAACAAAATGACAACATCAAAATCGAAACATGCGGCAAACTTTAAAACAAAAAAAAACACTCAACATTCTTGCATTACTTACAAATCTCTCCTTTGTTAGGTTAACTTTTTCGTTTCTTCTTCATTAAGCGATTTCTTCCGTTTCTTTGAGACTTATTAAATTTACGTTCTTAAAAATTAATTTAATATCATGAATTAATCTAATTTCATTTAAAATCATCATTTTCTTTAAGATACAACGTTAAGTTAAAATTGGAACTGTCAAAAATGACATTTCAACGAAATCAATAAAGATTTTTTAACGACATCTATGAGTGATTTTTGACACCACACTTACATTTTGATTTAATTAATATAATTTTAATTTGAATGAAATCACACAATAAACTTTAAATTTTACTTTGATTATTAAAAATTAATCAATAATGTGTTTATGACGCATAAACGGGGTTGCGGAACAACTTCACTTTGCATCATTAATATAAATATTGTTACGAATTCGGCGAAAATTAATTAGTAATATGACAAATCATGTTTCAACCAATATTAAGGTCAATAACATCGCGGTTTTAATTAAATTTGAAATAAATTACGAATTAATTGTTTTAGGATTGAATAGTAGCGACATCTATGAGTTACTTTTGACACCACTCTATTATTTTGATTTAATTAAAATTTAATTCAAGACAAAATTAATTAATAAAATAAATGAATAAAATAATAAATAAACATTATAAAATCGTGAAATAAAACTAAATTTGATTTTTTTCCCTATGATACATGTCAAGGTCAAATTTGTTTGTGTTGGTATTAAAATTAATGACGTTTCTTTCCAGACTCGTAGTAACATTTTCGATAATTGAGATAACTAATTATAATTAGATAAGTAATAATAATAAACGATTAAGATTCTTAAAGAGTCGTTGATTCTTCTTTTAAATGTCGAAAGTATAAACGTCAACATGACATAAAGCAATTTCAAAACTTGATTTAACAAAATTCCCTGTTAATCATACCAACTGTTACTAACAACACATAATTTAAGGTATTATAGAACAAAAATTTCTTATTAAAAGTTTACAACAGAAGATTTTCGTGCCTCGTATGTCAGTCCTAACCTCACTTTTCCAACCTAACCTAACCTAACTTTCTCAAGTGACATTCTTTGACGTTGCATTAAAACAGAAAATTTTAAAGATTCATAAGAAGCCATCTCGCTTGAAACAACTATAAAAAGTAACCTCGGCCGACTTCGAAGACGTCGGCCGCCCCCGAGAGCACGAAATCTCCATTCTCACAAATGTAAGTACTCGAGGTTTTCACTGTTTTAGCGTATACAATGGCCGGGGGCGGCCGATGTCTTCGAAAACGGCCGTGTTAGTTTAAAAGTGTGCTAAAAAATGATGTAGAGGATTTCCACTCTCATTTTTCCAACCCAACCTAACCTCACTTTTTCAAATGACATATTTTTGACGTTTCATTAAAAAAGTTTTATTTAACTCACTCAGTTTTAGAAATTTGCTTCATAGAAGTTCGTTTTAGTCAATCATACACGTTTTACGTTATATAAAAAAAAAATCAAATAATAATTCGCGTTTCTCGTGGTTTCAAATAACGTTAAAATACTTGACATGATGAGAATATAGTTACAAACGTACATTTTTAGACTTTTGCCAATAGATGGCGCTACCTCCTAATACGTCTTTTTCAAGTGACATTTCTTGACGTTTCATTAAAAAAAAATTATTAACTTATTTTGCATTTGAAATAAAACTAAAACTAGAAATTTTTTAGGTTTAGTTTTCAAAATTTCTAGTTTTAGTTTTATTTCTTATTACATCGGCAGAAAAGTCAAAAAATTTTGCGACTAAAATAATTTTTTGTTTCAAAGTTTTCAACCCTGCCGTTACCATGGTGATTTATCAATAAGCTCCGACATCTTTAAAAAAATCACTTGTTGCATCAAGAGAAAGTTTCTAATAATTATATTAATCAATTTTCGCTTTAAATGAAACGAAAAGATCCGTTTTTACGACAGAGTAAGTACATTCAATTTTTTTTTAAATAGAAATTTTAAGCTATGCTTAACTCTCGTGGTTTTAAATTACTTTTAGACTTTCGCCAACAGATGGCGCGTCTTTTTCAAGTGACATTTTATTTTAACATTAAAAAATAGTTTCAAAACTTACATCATCGAAATCATCCCCGCTTCCATCCTCGATCTCTTCTTGCGCGGCTTCGCAAACTCCATCATCTTCATCATCATCTTTCCCTGAAGAAGTTTTATTCTCAAACTTAGTGATATGCTTCATAATATCCACAGTTCGGAGTTCCATCAATTCGTTTTTATCGACCGATTGTTGGACTTTAACCACTTCCTTAGCGTTACTCAAATATTTACTTTTCAAAGCATCCACCAATTTCGACGGGTTATCGACGAATTTCTCATCATCAAAATCGACTTCGTTATTTTGGGTCTCATTTAAATCGCTTATCGGAATTTCGATTACATCTTCATCGTCGATTTGCATCTCTTTATCTTGCGGTTCCGTTAAAATCTCTTTATCGTTATCACTTTCGATGGTTTCCGTTTCCGTGGAGTCAGATTGAATTTCTTCTTCGAATTTATCTTTATCTTCAAGTAATTTAACCTCATCATCGGGATTGGATGACGAAGGGTCGATTATAAAATCATCATCGACTTTTTCAATGAGAGTAGCCTCTAAACAAACATCCGGAATTGGGTTTTTATTCCCCAAAACGGTTTTATTTTTGTTTTTATTCTCCTCCGTTGAATAATCCTCGGTGATTTCTTCTTGTGATATTTCGTTTTCGATAAACATTCGGCATTGCGCTTTAATATCGACGCGGCCGTGCGTAATAATCGGTTTTGGTTCGTTTAGGTTTTCGTAAATTGGTTCTGAGTTGTCTGGGGTGTCTTCTTCGAGTTTTTCGGAGATGTTTTCTTGGGTGTTATCGTTTCCTTGGGATTTTTCTTCGTTTTTTGATGAGCTACTTTCGGAGTTTTCGGCTCTAAATCCTTTTAGGAAGTCGATGTTCTCCTCTGAAGGGGTTAACATGGGGGAGGTGACGGTTTGGGTGAATAATAAGCAAGATGTGTCATCGGTGCTCAATAACATTCGATCTCGAGCCGATTTTAAGTCTTCCAAAACTTTTTTTGAATCCTCCTCCACGTTTTGATCGATTTCCTCTTGAACGATTAAGATGGGGTTGCTTAAATCTTTAACGTTTTCGTAAATTATTTCGTGGCCGTTCTCGATGCCGTTTAAATCGTTTTTTTGAGTCTTTGTTGGTGTGATTTCTTCGTAAATATCCTCGTTTTTAGTTAAATTATAGGTTATGTTAATTTCCTCCATTTCTTTGCTGCTTCCCGGTGGTTTAGGGACGTCGTAAATCACCTCTGAGTTGATTTCCTCGTAAATTTCTTTGTCGCCGAGGTCTTGAACCGATTGCACTTTTTCCTAGGTTAGTTTTTAAACAATTTTATTGATTTTGACTATTTTAGGGGTCATGCGATAAGTTTGGGAGTAAGAAATCGACAAAAACTCGGCGAGCTTTGAATAAGAATGGTTTAAAAACCGGAATTTCGAAATAATCGCGTTTTAATCGATTTTAGAAAAACAAGAATCGAGGTTATTTACCACTCTCTCTTTAAATATAGACTCGAGATAAAAACGAGTCGATAAAGGGTCAAAAGCCCGGCGAGTTTCTGTAGGGTTAAAAAATACAACAAAAATCACACACTTGACTCAAACAGTGCTTTAGTCTCATATTAAATTCCTGCATGAGACTTTCCTCGAGATCGTCCTCACTTACTATTCTCGATTTCTTCACGGTCTCCGCCATCTAAAACAAATAAGAACCAAATCAGCAAGAATTAAGCTAAAAATTAAAACGGAACGTTTTGAACGAATCACCTAGCGGAGGATTTTAAACAAACAACAGCAAAACGACAGATTGCGGACGAAGAAAACGGGTTAAAACCGTTTCAGATTCATTTCCAATTTGTAACGCTTATAACACATTTAATAATCCGTTAATAATTAAGGTTATGTTTATCAACTGTCAAACGTTTGGAAACGTCCCGCTATTAACCGCAAACCGAATTACCTGAACGTAGCCTTTTTAATTTCCTTTTTATCTAAATTTTCGTTCCTTTTTCGTTGTTGATGAGTAAAATATGCGAAGTTTGTGCCAAAAACACTCCTTTAAAGTACCCATGAAGAATCGCCAATGAGAACGTTGAAAGAAAAAGAAATCCGTTCGATTCGTTCGCCGGCATTTAAATTAGATCGGTTTTACTTTCGAAAAAATCTCTTTGAACTTTGAATAAAAGAAATGAATCCGAGTGAAACTTTAAAACATAAACCGTTTTTATTAATTTCTTATTCGGTGTAGAAATTTACGGTTAAAACTCGCGTTAAAACCAGAAAACTGTGACGGTTTGTTGAACTGATAACGATCTTTAACGTTTTAAATCGTTCAAACTCTCCTTATAAAACAAAAAAAACCATGGAAATAAAACCCGATACAAAGACTCCATTCATTTGAGGCCCAGACGAGATTATTTATCGAGTTTACTCTTTTTTGTTATCGTTTCATTGACAAAGAAACAATTTTTCCAATAAAATGTGATTAAAAATGATCCTTGTAACTAAAAACCACCACGAAACGATGATCTAAGCCACTTTTTTTCTCTCTCTCCGTCTCTTTCTTGTATGTTGATTACTCCACGGCTTAAAAATAGCATGTGGAGCACCCGAGGACGGAAATAGACGGGGCCCTTTTTGTGTCCGCCGTTTTTGGCTCTAGACACCGGGAAAGCTGCATTCCGAGCATATCTAACGATCTTCCGATCCGCTCAAAACGTTACGCGTTATGTAAATCCGCGTGAATAATCTAAAATGATTCAAAATTTGATTAAATTAAATTTTAGGTAAAATGAATCGACTTACAAATATTTATACAATTGACGTAAAAAAGATAGGTTATGTTTGAAATTTTATTACGATAAAAATCGTTTCGTGGAGTCTAAAATCGCTTTAAGCAAACGATTTGGATGTTTAAAAATGATTTTAAACGGGTTTTTTGGTTGAATCGCACGTTTTTTTGGTAAAAATTAATAATGTTTGTACGAATTTTTTCTTAAATGTCAAATGTACGATTAATATGGGGGATTACTACTAGATGGGGGTGATAAAAGAATTTAATTAATAAATTTGAAATAATTTATAAAAGTTTAATGAAAATTATGTTTATATTTAAAAAAATCGACGATTTTCGATTTAATTAAGCGTTAATGTAACAAAAATGCAATAAAAAGTTATTAAATGAAATTAAATTAATATTTATAAATTTTGATAGATGGCGCTATTTCATCCTACGCGTTACGCGTCTTTTTCAAGTGACATTTCTTGACGTTTCATTACAAAAAATATTTAACTCATTTTGCGTTTGCGTCTTTGATGCACGGCATAACCCTAAAATTTCTAGTTTTAGTTTTATTTCTTATTCCATCGAAAGAAAAGTCTATGAAAATTTTGCGACTAAAATTATTTTTTGTTTAAAAGTTTTCAACCCTGCCGTTACCATGGTGATTAATCAATAAACACCGACATCTTTAAAAAAATCACCTGTTGCATCAAAAAAACGTTTTATAACAATTATATTAAACAATTTCCACATTAAATGAAGCTGAAAGATACGCTTTTAAAGCAGAGTAAGTACATTCAATTTCTGTAACAAATATTGCGTTGTAAAAATAATGTTGTGCATTTTTCTTAACATAACCTAACTTTTTCAAGGACTAAAACTAGAAATTTTAGTTACTTTTACTACCAAATAGTGTTTTAATTAACTTAACCATCAATGAAAAGCTTGGAGAAATTGCTTGTTTCCACATAGCTCGAATTTAAAACATGTTTAAGAACTTCTTGGGCGTAGGATTCAACAAAATTAGACTAACGAGGAGTTAATAAGTTATTTTTAGTTAAAAATTTACCATAATTTTTAAAACAACCTAAGTGTTTTTAAATTGACATAAAAAAGTTAGGTTATGTTATCGACTTTATCGATTAAATCGCTTTAAGCAAATAGTTTAGATGTTCAAAAACGTATTTAGACGGGTTTTTCGGGTGAATCACACCTTTTTTTGATAAAATTTAATAACTAAATAAGCTGTGGGTTTTAAATGTCAAAAATGCGATTAATATGGATGATTACTACTAGATGGGGTGACTGAAAGATATTTTTTTATAAAAAAATTTAATTAAAATAATAATTGTAAAAAAAATGATGTTTTAAAGTAAATATGTTGAAAACTCCACGTTTTTCTTATCTTTTATCTTAAAGGAAGTAAACCACTTCCTATTTATACGCAAAATTTATTCATAATACAAATATTGAAACGGGTTAGTCACGATTTTTTCTTTATAATTAAATTTTTACTTAGCTTTTCTTTACAATGGAATAAAATTTACGGTGCAGTTCAGGTCGAGTGAAGGTCAAACAGTGTATTTGGATATGCTGAACAAGGTTTGTTTATTGTTTACTCATTTTTTTTAAGGGGCCGATTACACAAACGGAAAGAAACGAATTCTTTCTTCTATTTTCGGACGATTTTGATCAATAATCCTTTTTTGTATTTAACCAAAATAGCATTGAAACATAAATCCACCAACACAAATTGTTTCAAAATGAAACGATTCTAGTTTTGAAGATGAGCCCCTTTTTTTGGAATTTGTCCAGTACGTTTACGCGTTTCTATTTAAAACGGCGCAAAATAGGGCGGAATTAAATCCGAAAATAAACTTTCTAAATCGAGATTTAAATATAAAGTAACATTTTTTGCTTAAAATGACATATAACAACTTCACGCGTATTAGTTTGTTGCTGTCATCACACTTGTTACTAAATAACCTATAAAAATGACAAAAATTCAATTAATCACACAAGTTGACATCAATTTCGTATAAATTATGTTGAAAACGTGTTATTCTTCGAATTTTTAACAAATTCAATAAAAATTTAAAAAATAATTAATGTTAATAAATTTTAATAGATGGCGCTACCTCCTACGTGTCTTTTTCAAATGACATTTTTTGACGTTTCGTTGGAATAAATTTTATTTAACTCTGAGTTAGAAATAAAACTAAAACTAGAAATTTGCCGTGCGTCTTTGACGCGTGAATAATCTAAAATGATTCAAATAGTGATTAAATTAAATTTTATGTAAAATGAATCGACTTACAAATATTTTTAAATTGACATAAAACAGTTAGGTTATGTCTAAAACTTCATTCCGAGATAAAAATCGTTACGTGGCGTCTAAAATCGGTTTAAATAAACGGTTAGGATGTTCAAAAATGTCTTTAAATGATACTTTCGGTTGAATCGCACCTTTTTTTGGTAAAAATTAATAATTTTTGTACAAAAATACGATTAATGTGGGGGTGAACCACGAGATGGGGGTGACAAAAAAAATTTAATTAACTAATTTGAAATAATTTATAACAATTTAATAAAAATTATGTTTATATTTAAAAGAATCGATGATTTTCGATTTAATTAAGCGTTAATATAACAAAATTCAATAAAAAGTTATTAAAAAAAATTAATTAATGTTTATAAATGTCACTAGATGGCGCTACCTCCTACGCGTCTTTTTCAAGTGACATTTTCGACGTTTCCTTAAAAAAAAATTATTTAAGTCATTTTGAATTAGAAATAAAACTAAAACTAGAAATTTTTTAGGTTATAACCTCAAAATTTCTAGTTTTAGTTTTATTTCTTATTCCATCGGCGGAAAAGTACGAATATTTTGGGGTTAAAATAATTTTTTGTTTAAAAGTTTTCAACCCTGCCGTTACCATGGTGATTTGTCAATAAGCACCGACATCTTTAAAAAAAATCGCTTTTTGCAACAACCGAAAGATTTATAATAATTATCGCGATTATATTAAACAATTTTCGCATTAAATGAAGCTAAAAGTTCCGTTTTTAAGACAGAGTGAGTACATTCAATTTTTGTAACGAATTAGTAGTAAAAATTGTTGTACATTTTTCTCAACCTAACCTAACTATTTAACTCGTCCAATGACATATTATAACAACTTCACGCGTATTACTTTGTAGCTGTCATCAAATAACCTATAAAAATGACAGTTAAAATTTTAATTGTCAAATATTAATCGCACAAAAGCTCACATCAATTTCGTATAAATGATGTTTAAAACGTGTTATTCTTCGAATTTTTAGGTAATAAAACGAAAATCCACAAAAAGAAAAAAAATAAAAATCCTAACCTGGGATTCGAAAAATTGTTGCTGGGACGTTGAGCCGGTTGAGGAGGAAACGGCCGCCTTCTTCACGATTTGAGTGTTGTTCATTCTCGCCCGGAGAGGAGCACGTCGCAAAGAGAACGGGAACGGGAGACGAGCGAAGGGAAGAGCGACGCGGCGAAGAGTGCTCGGATAGAGCAAGAAGGTGAAACGAAGAGAGAGGTAAGTAGTATATTGCCCTCTACACACAGAACCGAGTCCGTAATAACCTAAATATAGAAATACGAAAGAGAAATATTTTTCGTTTACCCCGTTAATGCGTTTCAAAAAAAAAAATTCGATCGATAAAAGTGAAAATTTCTAACTTTGTTTACGTACGTTGCGGGGTTAGTGCGTAAAAATGGTCCCCGGGACCAGTTCGACCGGTTTAAAGTCGTGTAGCCAAAAGGTCCCCCCATTTTGGAGGAGCTATGAAGACCTTTTCGGGTGGCTCCAAAAAGGGTGGGTGTGGTTCACACACCGATAAATAAAAATAAAACCAAAACCAACTAAAATTAATCCAATTTGATTTAAAAAAGATACAAAAAAATCAATTTAATAAAAACAAATTTTTTTTTGAGGTTATGTTACCGATCGAAAACGACGCTCCCCTTTTTTTGCAACATTTACGACCTTTATTTCCTTTTAAAATAACGAAATATCGCACGGATTAGTAATAAAAGCTCACCTCCGTTAAAATTCAACAACTTCACGGGTTTTTTTTCTCGTCCGGGACACAAAACAAATTTAAAAAATGAAATAAAAATAACTTATTGCACTTTTCTCTTGGGGTATTTCTTTTCTTTTGCTCTTTTTTTGTTCGGATTAGAGAGAGATTGATAAAGGTTCTTAACGCGAACGCGATTGCCGGCCAACTAAAAAGCCGGAGGAGGAGAGAATCCAGTGAAACTTGAGAATTCTTCGCTCCTCTATTAATATTTCCGCGCGTGCGCGTTAACCTCTACGTTCGTTCGAAAAATAAAACGTAACGAAACGCTCAATTAAAGCGTTCGCTTCGATGTGATCGACACTTTTTTTTAATATACAACCAAACGCTAAATAATTGTGTGTTTAATCAATTTCGGGGTATTTTTTTGATTGTTAACGTTTAAACGCGGTTAACCTTTCATTTTTAATTAAACGTCAACGTCAAATTGAATTTGGGTTTTAGTGTTGATTGTTGTTTTTAGATGGCGCTGCGTGTAAAGGTTGAATTTAATTATTATAAAAATAAAATTAAAATTGTTACTAAATTAGAAAAAAATAAGCTAATTAATTAAGTAAATTAATTTATAATTAATTTTGAAGTGATTTGTTGTAATTAAGTTTGTTGTTTGGTTAATAGATGGCGCTAAATATTGAACGATATTAAAGGATTAAACGTAATAGATAGGCAACCGAATATGCGCGTAATCAAATACATTCACCTAACATCAAAAGTTGATACAATTTATTTCTTAAAAATAAAAGTGATCTTTAAGGAACTGACAGGGTTGTCCATTGATTGTTTAATTTTTTATTGGGGCATGACTTAACCTTAAAATTTATTGTAAAATAAAATTAATGTCAATTTAAATTAACTAAAGTTTGCAACTTAGAGGTTATCGGTTAAGGAGAAACCTTCTACGCTCAATGTAATTACTTTAAATTTACTTATTCAATTCAACTCAACCCAAATAAATTAATAGTATTAATTCATAGATATATTTTGGTTAGTTTTAATAAATTTAATTTTAAGGTTATGACGTGGTTGTTAAAATTAAATTTACATATTCACCGACATCTTTTATTTAATAACGGAATTAAACCGTCATAATGGTTTGTAGCTAAACTAATTCAGGATAGTTCCGATATTAGCCAACAGATGTCGCTTGAAAAAAATTTTCGAAAAATTTAACCAACGATAATTTCTAAATAATACTAAACGAATATTTTGAACCTTAGTTATCATAAAATAATACTGTTTATTTTGTAATACCTGTCGAATTATTATTATGTCATGTTTTTAAGTCATTATGTCATATTGGCATTTTTCAAAGCAAGGTTATAACGATTTGTTGTAAATCATATTTTTAGTTCCTTCAAGGTTATGATGGTCAATGTAGGGGCCCTATCACGGTACTTTATATATTTAGTTCAACCATAAACACTAAAAAAAATTTTTGAGGTTATGTTACCACTTTAATTCTTGATCCAGACCTCATCCATTTGGTTTTTTTTAACTCATCGCTAGATGCTTTGTTTATAAACTAACTTAATTAATTAACCCTTTATTCGTTTCCTTCACAATAAATTAACATTAAATATTTATAATCTTCGTGCGTCTTTCACTGACATTTCTTAAAAAGCTAACTTCACTCATGTTCAATGACTTTTTATGTCATAGAATTATTAACAACGATCTGGAAACGTCGCTCGCTTCGCTTCTCTCAAAGAGAGAGAGAGCGAGAAGCGAAGCGAGCGACGTTTCCAGATCGTTGTTAATAAAGTCGTTGTACTACCCATTTCGAAAACATTTCGTTTCTAAAAGTGAGTAATTTGAAGAAAATACGAGGTTTAAAATAATGTTGTTAATAAATACAACCGAAAGGTACGTAATTAATAAAATTAAGAAGTAAATGAGGCTTGATTTGACATTTTTAGGTTAAATGTCATTTGTGAAATTGACAGTTAGGCTACGTTCATTTATATCTTATATCGTTTAGAAGTTGACGTAAAAGCATCAAGTTTTATTTAAGAAAAAAAGCTTTAAGCACGTTAATTAAAGGTAAAAGTTTTAATTTATTGCAAAGAGATGGCTTCTTCGCGTATGAATTGCCAACAATTTCAAAACAAAATGGCAAAAAGACGTGAAAGAGATTTCCAACACCAACAAAATTGGGAACGCCAAGTAGATTATTACAAGAAATTTGAAAAAACCAACTCAAAATTCGACGATTGGACATCTCCGAGATATTACGAATCAAACACTGAATTGGTGGATCGTTTAAAAGAAAAACGTAACAAAGAGGAGTCTTTGGAAAAACGTAGGGAGCGATTAAAAAAGTTATTTTCTGAGGATTCCGCGACGTACGAGATTGAAATGATGATGTCAAAAGCGAAACAAATGGAAAAAGAACGTGTTAAATTAGATGATATTCCTACGGAGTTATTAAAAGATTTAAATGTTGGGTTAAAAGTTGAAGAAGAGGAGCGGAGGAAGAAAGATGCTGAGTTAAAGTTGTATCAACGATGGAGGAGGGATAATTTAGTTTTAAGAGACGTTGAGAGAAATAAAGGGATTAAAGATGTTAAGGTGTCTTGGTTGGATCAACAAATTGAGAAAAGAATGGCCAAAGAAAAAGAAAAGGAAGAGTGTAAAAAGTATTTAAAGGAGCGAGATGAAAACATTCAGAAACAAAAAGATGAAGAAGAAAGGTTTAAAGAGGAAGTAAGAATCAAAAATGAGCAGTTAAAGGATGACTTAATGAAACAAATTGTTGAAATTAATTTGAAACAAAAAGAAAGTGAGGAATTAAAACGAATTGAAAAGAAAGAAATTGAAAAAAAACAAGAAGTTTTTGAGTTGGAACAAAAATTAAAAGAATTAGAACTTTACACAAGAAATAAACAAATTGCAATCCACAATTTAAAACAACACAAATTAAAATTACAAAAATATTACGCCCAAATCCAAGAGGATTTAATACAAGAACAAAACTTTGTCGACAATTTAATTAAATCAAAAGCAACCGATTTAATACAAGACGCAAAAACAAAACGCGAAATTAAATCAACATTAGACGAATTCTTAAAATTCACTAAAGAACAAAAAGAATTAGAGAAAAAACGCAAAAATCATCTCGATTTTATTTTCGATTCGGAACTAAAAGACGTTTTAAAAAAACAACAGGAAATATGGGACGGGGAAAACCGCGCTAGAAAAAATCTACTAAAACAAGTTTTAGACACCATTCAAAAACAAATTGACGAAAACGTGAGGAAAAATCGCGAGAAACAAAAAGAAATTGTGAGGGATCGGGAACGCATTTTGGGGGATGTTGAACGGTACGAAAAAGAAATGAGAGATAATGAAATTAAGGAGAACGAGAAGAGATGTAGGTTAAAAGACGAAATTGAACGTGAAGTTCAACAAAAGAGGTTGAAGGAATTTAAATTGAAAGAGTTGGAGAAGAGGGATTATGATGTTGAATTGGAAAATATGAGATTGGAGGAGGAAAGAGTTAAAAAGGAAATTGTTAAGATACAAAATAGTCATGCGCCGTTAAGATATGTTAAGAGGAGACCTTGGTATTGATTTTTATTGATGTTAAATGTTTAATAATAGCGTAAATTTTATAAAACTTAATTTTTTTTAATAAAGAATGTCAATTTGACAAGATTTAAAAACATGACATAAAAAAAATCACTGTTAATTGTACCAGGTGTTACCAACTTAAATTTAAATGTAGTTTAAATAATGTTTAGAACCTTTTTTATTTTAATTTTTTAATTTAAAACATCAATAAAAACAATATGAACCTCACTTTTCAGTGATTTTTTTAAAGAACAACTTAACCTCACTTTTTCTAATCTATCTAATAAGAAATATTAAAAATAGAAATTTTCGTGCGTCAAAGACAACTAATTCGTTACAAAAGTTGAATGTACTTACTCTGCCTTAAAAACGAATCTTTCAGCTTCATTTAATGCGAGAATTTGTTAATATAATTATTATAAAACGTTCTTTTGATGCAACAAGTGATTTTTTTAAAGATGTCGGCGCTTATTGATAAGTCACCATGGTAACGGCAGGTCGAAAACTTTCAAACAAAAAATTATTTTAGTCACTTTTCGTAGACTTTTCTGTCGATGTAATAAGAAATAAAACTAAAACTAGAAATTTTCTAGGTTATGCCGTGCGTCTTTGACGCACGGCATAACCTCAAAATTTCTAGTTTTAGTTTTATTTCTAACTCAAAATGAGTTAAATCAATTTTTTTTTAATGAAACATCAAAAATGTCATTTAAAAAAAGACGCGTAGTAGGTAGCGCCATCTAGTGAAATTTAGTAACATTAATTAATTAATTTTTTTAATAACTTTTTATTGAATTTTTGTTATATTAACGCTTAACTAAATCAAAAATTATCGATTTTTTTAAATATAAACATAATCTTTATAAATTATTTCTCGTGGTTATCACCCATATTAATGGTATTTCTTACATTTCGTACAAAAATTATTAATTTTTACCAAAAAAAAGGTGCGCTTCAACAGAAAGAAACATTTAAAGACATTTTTAAACATGCAAATCAATGCATTTAACAATTTGAAATAATTTTATTAGTATAAACATTTTATATTTTAATGACAAAATTAAGCGCCATCTAAACGTCAGTAGATGAACTAACTAGTCAGCTTGTGTGTATAACGCGAATTAAAACTAACATAACCAAACTAATAATAATAAAAATGTTTACATCAAAAAACGTAATTATTAAACGAATAGTATAGTTACGACGAGTTTAAATTAGTAACTAATATTATGGAAGACGGAAAAGGGTTATCGGGAAGATCAACAACGAGTTACGAAAGAAACTATAACAGTTTTTTGCGATGGTGCGAAAATCAGAATGTAAAAGTGTACTCAGAAAAGGTATTCTTAAGGTATTTTATGGAAAAAGCGAAATCGCAAAAGTTATCGACGCTTTGGACTACTTATTCCATGTTGAAATCGATGTTTATTAGAAAACACAACATTGACATCTCCGGGTATAAAAAATTAACCCCTTTTATTCAACAACACGGTCTGGAACATAGCGCAAAACCATATAATTACGCATTTACTAAGAAGCAGGTGTTCCAATTCTTGGAAGAAGCTCCAAATGACACGTATCTTTTGTGGAAAGTAATTGTAACTTAACCAATGTTATAATGAAATATTAAAATGATAATTTTAAGGTTTTATTGGTGTTTGGTATCGCAGGGGGTTGCCCACCGGTTGAGTTAAAGAACATCATGACTCACCATATTGAAGATACAGACAGTATTTTAATAATTAAGGTTCCAGTTAATAAAAGTGGGAATATGCGTACATTCTTGATTACGGAGAGAACCTTTAGTACCAATAAGACAAATTCAATCGCCCTTTATAGAAAGTATTTGTTGTTGAGACCGAAACACATCAAACATGATTATTTGTTTATATCATATTCTGAGAATAAGTGTACCCCCAAACGCGTTGGTATTCAAACCATCGAGAAAATCCCCGCTCAAATTGCGTTATTTTTAAACTTAGAGAATTATAACAATTATACTTCGCACGTTTTTTGTAGAACATCCGCTTTGTTATTAGCCAAAGGCGATGCTGGTTTAGAAGCTGATAATACTACTAATTGTAATGAATCCGAATTTTAAATATATCTGAAGACACCTTCAATTGTAATTAGTAATAAAATCAATTTAAAGTAAGTGATTTTAATTATTGTCTGTTGGCACCAAAAATGAAACGTCAGAAAATGTCATTTAAAAAAGACGCGAGGGAATTAGCGCCATCTAGTGAAATTTAGTAACATTAATTATTTTTTTAATCACTTTCTATTAAATTTTTGCTATTTTAACGCTTAATTAAAATCGAAAAATAACAACAACCTAAATAAATTTCTATCTAACAATTAAGTGTTAAATAAATAAACTTTGTTATCAATTTGCAGCTTACAGTTTTCTGTTTTAATGCAGTTCTAAAATTGAAAATAATAAGATTTAGAACTTACCTTTACTAATCGCAGTAAGATTTTCTTCGTTTAGTCATCCTCTCGCGTTTGTACCAATTTTCTCCCATCTATAAACAATAAAAACAAGATTAACCTCACTAATCAGTGATTTTTTTTAAAGATCATGGTAACGGCCAAGGTTTATATATAATATATAAACCTTGGGTAACGGCAGATTGGAAACTTTTAACACAACTTAACCTCACTTTTTCCGTCGATGAAATAAAACTAAAACTAGAAATTTTAAGGTTATGCCGTATTTCTAGTTTTAGTTTTATTTCTAACACTCGACGAGTTAAATAGTACTTGAAAAGGTTAGGTTGGGTTGTTAAAAACGTACAACATAATTTTTACAACGCAATAACAACTAGTCCGTTACAAAAAATGCATGTACTTACCCTGCCTTAAATACGGATCTTTCAGCTTCATTTAATGCGAAAATTGTTTAATACAATTATCAAAAAACGTTCTTTTGATGCAACAAGTGATTTTTTTAAAGATGTCGGCGCTTATTAATACATCACCATGGTAACGGCAGGTTGAAAACTTTGAAACCAAAAATTATTTTAGTCGCAAAATTTTCGTTCTTTTCCGTCGATGTAATAAGAAATAAAACTAAAACTAGAAATTTTTAGGTTATGCCGTGCGTAACGAAAATTTCTCGTTTTAGTTTTATTTCTAATTCAAAATGAGTTAATTCTTTTTAAAGCGTCAGAAAATGTCATTTCAAAAAGACGCGTAGGAGGTAGCGCCATCTAGTGAAATTTAGTAACATTAATTATTTTTTTTTAACTTTCTATTAAATTTTTGCTATTTTATCGCAAAATTAAAATCGAATTAACTCAATAAAAAAATAACAACAACCTAAATAAATTTCTATTAAAATTAGCAATCAAAATTATTAAAGTTTAAAATTTATTTTTTTTTTTGTAAGATTTTAGGTTGGCACCATCATCGCGAAGTTTGACGTTATCGGCTAAACAACGTTTTAAAAACGTTTTCGTGTTGTGGTGAATTTAACCTCAAAAATGGACGCGGATCTTTACGACGAATTCGGAAATTACATCGGCCCCGAATTAGATAGCGAAGAAGAAGATGATCACGATGATGAACAATTTGGGGACGAAGACGAGCAAAGAGAATACGATGTAAATAAAAATTTTTTTACATAACCTCACTTTTTTTTAAATCAATATAATTTAAGGATGATCACATGGATGAGAGCGAGCCCCAACCGATGGCGATCGTGCTCCATGAAGATAAAACGTATTATCCCTCTGCATTACAAGTTTATGGGCCGGAAGTTGAGACAATCGTGCAAGAAGAAGATGCGCAACCTTTAGATGTACCTTTAATCGAGCCGGTTAAGAAGAAAAAGTTTCAATTAAAAGAACAAGATTTACCGGAAACGACTTATAACATGGAGTAAATTGAAATTAATGTTAAATGATAAAAAAATAATGTTTTTGATTGTAGATATTTGGCAGATATGATGGATAACACCTCTTTAATTCGAAATGTAGCCCTAATTGGGCATTTACACCATGGAAAAACGACCTTTGTTGATTGTTTAATCCGCGAAACTCACCCGGGGTATCAAGACAATGAAGAAAAAAATTTGCGCTACACCGACACTTTATTTACTGAACAACAAAGAGGGTGCTCAATAAAATCGATTCCTGTCACTTTATTATTAAGCGATGTAAAAAACAAAAATTACTTGGTTAATATCTTTGATACACCAGGTCATGTAAACTTCTCCGATGAAGTCACAGCTTCAATGAGGCTCTGTGATGGAATCGTTTTATTTATCGATGCTGCAGAAGGAGTTATGTTAAACACAGAGAGGTTATTAAAGCACGCGGTACAAGAACGGATGCAAATAACAATTTGTATAAACAAAATCGACAGATTAATTTTAGAGTTAAAATTACCCCCCCAAGATGCTTATTACAAGTTACGCCACATTGTGGAAGAAATTAACGGGTTATTAACGTTATATTCAGATGATTTAAACCCCCAAATTGTCTCCCCAGTTTTGGGGAACGTCGCATTCGCAAGTTCCCAATACGGGGTTTGTTTTACCTTAAAATCGTTTGCAAACGTTTATAAAAGTTATTACAACGACGTAAACGTCGAAGAATTTTCAAAACGTTTATGGGGCGATATCTATTTCAACCCAAAAACGAGGAAATTCACGAAAAAAGCGCCCCATAACTCAGCACAGCGAAGTTTTGTTGAATTTATTTTAGAGCCGTTGTATAAAATTTTCGCCCAAGTCGTTGGGGACGTCGATTCGACTTTGCCGGCGATTTTAAACGAACTTTCGATTAATTTGAACAAAAACGAATTAAAATTGAATATTCGCCCCCTTTTACGATTAGTTTGTAATAAATTTTTGGGCGATTTTAGTGGGTTTGTTAACATGGTTGTTGATCATATTAATTCGCCTCTTGATAACGCGAAATTAAAAGTGAATCATATTTATACGGGGCCCAGCGATTCTAAGATTTATGAAGATATGGTGAATTGCGATCAAGATGGGCCGTTGATGGTGCATAGCTCGAAGATGTACCCGACGGATGATTGCACGTTTTTTCAAGTTTTGGGGCGTGTTATGAGCGGGACGCTTCACGCTGGGACGGATGTGAGGATTTTGGGGGAGAATTATAGTTTGCAGGATGAGGAGGATTCGAGGGTTTTAACTGTTGGGAGATTATGGATTTATGAAGCGAGGTATAAAATTGAGTTGAATCGGGTTCCCGCGGGGAATTGGGTTTTAATCGAAGGGATTGATCAAAGCATCGTTAAAACCGCCACTATAACCGATTTAACCATCCATGAGGATCTCTACATTTTTCGCCCTTTGAAATTTAACACACAAAGTATCATCAAAATCGCAGGTAAATCAAAATTTAAAATGTGTTGAAAGGATTTTTTAAACGTCAATGTGACACAAATTCAATGTTACCAACTGTAACCAACTTCACAACAATATGTCAAAATTAAATGTCAATTTATTCGTGCCTAAAAATAATTTTGATGTTTTTTGAAAGTTTCGACGTTTAATTTTGTTAATAACATTTAAAATGAGTCCAAATATAACGCACTTATCTCAAAAAACAAAACAGAATAAAAACATTAAACCCGAAGTTAGCTACAATTTAATTTTTAAATATTAATACCAACCTTAATTTCAGATTTTTTTTTATTATATTTTTGTGACAAATTTTAAAATTAACTATATCAAAATGACATTGACATTTCAAACCGGAAGTTGACCATAACTTCATTAATATTGAAGATAGAAGTGGTGTTTGTACTCATTTTAAAGAATTTTTAATGAAGATTACAAATATGTCAAAATTGAGGTTGACATTTTACATCTGAAGTTAGTTATCATATAATAGACAAATGGACTCAAAATTCATTTACAAAATGAAAAAGTTGTTCAAAATGATTAAGAACCGATTGGTAATGATTAAAACTTGTCTAACTTTTTGGAAACTGGTACATTACAGTTCCAAGTTATTCAAAACGATTAAAAACTGCATCTAAATTTGTTCCAAACACGTTTACAAAGCTATTACAAGTCGTTCAAAATTACTGAAAACTAATTTGGTGTTATTGAAAACTTGTCTAAATGACTAAGAACAAGTTCGTTACATTTCCAAGTTGTATAAAACAATTAAAAACTGCATCTAAAGTTGATCAAAATTCATTTACAAGATGAAAAAGTTGTTCAAAATGATTAAGAACTAGTTGGTAATGATTAAAAACTTGTCTAACTTATTGAAAACTGGTACATTACAGTTCCAAGTTGTTCAAAACGATTAAAAACTACATCTAAAGTTGTTCAAAACACGTTTACAACGTGGAAAAGTTGCTCAAAGTGATGAAAAACTTGTCTAAATGTTTTAAAATTGCTCCAAAGCTATTACAAGTTGTCCAAAATTACTGAAAACTAATTTGGTGTTATTGAAAACTTGTCTAAATGACTAAGAACAAGTTCGTTACAGTTCCAAGTTGTATAAAACAATTAAAAACTGCATCTAAAGCTGATCAAAATTCATTTACAAGATGAAAAAGTTGTTCAAAACGATTAAGAACCAATTGGCAATGATTAAAAACTTGTCTAACTTATTGAAAACTGGTATACAGTTCCAAGATGTTCAAAATGATTAAAAACTGCATCTAAAGTTGATCAAAACTCGTTTACAACATGGAAAAGTTGCTCAAAGTGATGAAAAACACGCTGGTGATGATTCAAAACTTGTCTAAATGTTTTAAAATTGCTCCAAAGCTATTACAAGTCGTTCAAAATTACCAAAAACTAATTTGGCGTTATTGAAAACTTGTCTAAATGATTAAAAACAAGTTCGTTACCATGCCAAGTTGTATAAAACAATTAAAAACTGCATCTAAACCTGATTAAAATTCATTTACAAGACGAAAAAGTTGTTCAAAATGATTAAGAACTAGTTGGTAATGATTAAAAACTTGTCTAACTTATTGAAAACTGGTACATTACAGTTCCAAGATGTTCAAAATGATTAAAAACTGCATCTAAAGTTGATCAAAACACGTTTACAACATGGAAAAGTTGCTCAAAATGATAAAGAACGCGTTGGTGATGATTCAAAACTTGTCTAAATGTTTTAAAATTGCTCCAAAGCTATTACAAGTCGTTCAAAATTACCAAAAACTAATTTGGTGTTATTGAAATCTTGTCTAAATGACTAAGAACAAGCTCGTTACCGTTCCAAGTTGTATAAAACAATTAAAAACTGCATCTAAAGCTGATCAAAATTCATTTACAAGATGAAAAAGTTGTTCAAAACGATTAAGAACTAGTTGGTAATGATTAAAAACTTGTCTAACTTATTGAAAACTGGTATATTACAGTTCCAAGATGTTCAAAATGATTAAAAACTGCATCTAAAGTTGATCAAAACACGTTTACAACTTGGAAAAGCTGCTCAAAATGATAAAGAACGCATTGGTGATGATTCAAAACTTGTCTAAATGTTTTAAAATTGCTCCAAAGCTATTACAAGTCGTTCAAAATTACCAAAAACTAATTTGGTGTTATTGAAAACTTGTCTAAATGATTAAGAACAAGTTCGTTACCGTTCCAAGTTGTATAAAACAATTAAAAACCGCATCTAAAGCTGATCAAAATTCATTTACAAGATGAAAAAGTTGTTCAAAATGATTAAGAACTAGTTGGTAATGATTAAAAACTTGTCTAACTTATTGAAAACTGGTACATTACAGTTCCAAGATGTTCAAAATGATTAAAAACTGCATCTAAAGTTGATCAAAACACGTTTACAACATGGAAAAGTTGCTCAAAATGATAAAGAACGCATTGGTGATGATTCAAAACTTGTCTAAATGTTTTAAAATTGCTCCAAAGCTATTACAAGTCGTTCAAAATTACCAAAAACTAATTTGGTGTTATTGAAAACTTGTCTAAATGATTAAGAACAAGTTCGTTACAGTTCCAAGTTGTATAAAACAATTAAAAACCGTATCTAAAGTTGATCAAAATTCATTTACAAGATGAAAAAGTTGTTCAAAATGATTAAGAACTGCATCTAAATTTGTCCCAAACACGTTTACAACTTGGAAAAGTTGCTCAAAGTGATTAGAAACGCGTTGGTGATGATTCAAAACTTGTCTAAATGTTTTAAAATTGTTCAAAGCTATTAAAAGTCGTTCAAAATTACCAAAAACTAATTTAGTGTTATTGAAAACTTGTCTAAATGACTTAGAACAAGTTGGTTACAGTTCCAAGTTGTATAAAACAATTAAAAACTGCATCTAAAGCTGATCAAAATTCATTTACAAGATGAAAAAGTTGTTCAAAACGATTAAGTGCATCTAAATTTGTCCCAAACACGTTTACAACTTGGAAAAGTTGCTCAAATGAAAAACGCGCTGGTGATGGTTCAAAACTTGTCTAAATGTTTTAAAATTGCTCCAAAGCTATTACAAGTCGTTCAAAATTACCAAAAACTAATTTGGTGTTATTGAAAACTTGTCTAAATGATTAAGAACAAGTTCGTTACCGTTCCAAGTTGTATAAAACAATTAAAAACTGCATCTAAAGCTGTTCAAAATTCATTTACAAGATGAAAAAGTTGTTCAAAATGATTAAAAACTTGTCTAACTTATTGAAAACTGGCACATTATAGTTACAAGTTGTTCAAAATGATTAAAAATTGCATCTAAAGTTGTTCAAAACACGTTTACAACGTGGAAAAGTTGCTCAAAGTGATTAAAAACGCTTTGGTGATGATTCAAAACTTGTCTAAATGTTTTAAAATTGCTCCAAAGCTATTACAAGTTGTCCAAAATTACGGAAAACTAATTTGGTGTTATTGAAAATTTGTCTAAATGATTAGAAATTAGTTCGTTACGGTTCTAAGTTGTATAAAACAATTAAAAACTGCATCTAAAGCTGATCAAAATTCATTTACAAGATGAAAAATTTGTTCAAAATGATTAAAAACTTGTCTAACTTATTGAAAACTGGTACATTATAGTTCTAAGTTGTTCAAAACGATTAAAAACTGCATCTAAAGTTGTTCAAAACACGTTTACAACGTGGAAAAGTTGCTCAAAGTGATGAAAAACGCGCTGGTGATGATTCAAAACTTGTCTAAATGTTTTAAAATTGCTCCTAAGCTATTACAAGTCGTTCAAAATTACCAAAAACTAATTTGGTGTTATTGTAAACTTGTCTAAATGATTAGAAATTAGTTCGTTACGGTTCTAAGTTGTATAAAACAATTAAAAACTGCATCTAAGTTGCTCAAAGTGTTTAAGAATGCATTGATAATAATTCAAAACTTGTCTAAATCAATTTTTAATTTTAGTTGAGCCCGTTAACCCCTCAGAACTCCCAAAAATGCTCGATGGACTTCGAAAAGTCAACAAATCTTATCCTTTATTAACCACGAAGGTCGAAGAAAGTGGGGAACACATTATATTGGGAACGGGGGAGTTATATCTTGATTGTGTGATGCACGATTTGAGGAAAATGTATTCGGAAATTGATATAAAAGGTTTTTTTAAAAAAAAAATAATTATTTAGAATTGAACTTTAATAACTAAATAATTTTAGTTGCCGATCCGGTTGTGGTATTTTGCGAAACCGTGGTTGAAACGTCTAGTTTAAAATGTTTCGCGGAAACGCCGAATAAAAAAAATAAATTAACGATGATCGCGGAGCCCCTCGAAAAAGGTTTGGCCGAAGACATCGAGAACGAAAACGTCCAAATCGATTGGAACAAAAAGAAATTGGGGGAGTTTTTCCAAACTAAATACGATTGGGATTTGTTGGCGGCGAGGAGTATTTGGTCGTTTGGTCCGGATGCTACGGGGCCTAATATTTTGGTTGATGACACGTTACCGTCGGAAGTCGATAAGGGATTGTTAAATTCGGTTAAGGATTCGATCGTGCAGGGCTTCCAATGGGGTACTAGGGAAGGACCACTTTGCGAGGAACCCATTCGCAACACAAAGTTTAAAATTTTAGACGCCGTTATTGCGGGGGAACCGCTACATAGAGGCGGAGGTAATCATTTTTAAAACGTTTTAAACGAAATTAAAATAAAATTTTTAGGCCAAGTCATCCCAACGGCACGAAGAGTCGTTTATTCAGCATTTTTGATGGCGACACCACGGTTGATGGAACCTTACTTATTCGTTGAAGTCCAAGCTCCAGCCGATTGCGTTTCGGCCGTTTACACAGTTTTAGCCAAAAGACGGTAAGTAAAAATATTACAACTAACATTAGATCTAGAATAAAGATCTAAAATAAGTTTCAAAAAATTTCATTTGAAAAAGTGAGGTTAAGTTGTGTAAATGTAATTTCTACAATGCATTAACATCAAATTCATTAAAAAAAGTTTAATGTACTCACTCTGCTTTAAAAACGGATCTTTTAGCTTCATTAAATGCGAAAATTGTTTATAATAATTATTATAAAACTTTCTCTTGATGCAACAAGTGATTTTTTTAAAGATGTCGGTGCTTACTGATAAATCACCATGGTAACGGCAGGGTTGAAAACTTTGAAACAAAAAATTATTTTAGTTAAAAAATTTTCGTAGTTTTCTGTCGATGTAATAAGAAATAAAACAAACTAGAAATTTTTTAGGTTATGAAAAAAATTTCTAGTTTTAGTTTTATTTCTAACGCAAACTTAAATCAAATTAATTTTAATGAAACGTCAAAAATGTCACTTATAAAAGACGCTTAGGAGATAGCGCCATCTGTTGGAAAATTCTAAAAACGTACATTTGTAACTATCTTCTCATCTTGTCAAATATTTTAACAATTTAAAACCACGAGAAACGAGAAACGAAATTACTATTAAATTTTATTTGATATCATATCATAACGCAAATTTTATTTTAATTTTATCTCTAAAACTGAGTGAATTACATTTTTTTAATGAAACGTCAAAAAAAATGTCATTTGAAAAAGTGAGGTTAGGTTGTGTTTGAAAAGTGAGATTAGGAATACTCAACATCATTTCCTAGCACAGTTTTAAACTAACACGGCCGTTTTCGAAGATATCGGCCGCCCCACGGCACTAAAACATTGAAATCAAGGTTTGACCTCTACTCGCATTTGTGAAAAGGAACATTTCGTACCCTCGGGGGCGGCCAATGTCTTCGAAAACGGCCGTGTTAATTAAAAACTGTGTCATTTTTGTTTATCTTACGTTCGTCCCAACCTCACTTTTCCAAACCAACATAACCTCACTTTTTCAAGTGACATTTTTAAGGTTAGGTTGAAAAAATGCACAACATAATTTTTACAACGCAATAACAACTAATTCGTGACAAAAATGTACTTACTCTGTCTTAAAAACGGATCTTTCAGCTTCATTTAACGAGAAAATTGTTGATTATAATTATTATAAAACGTTCTTTTGATGCAACAAGTGATTTTTTAAAGATGTCGGTGCTTAGTGGTGCTTAGTGATAGATCACCATGGTAACGGCAAGTTGAAAACTTTCAAACAAAAAATTCTTTTAACCGCACTATTTTCGTAAACTCTTCTGTCGGTGAAATAAGAAATAACGAAATGTCGACGACGCACGGCATAACCTCAAAATTTCTAGTTTTATCGTTAGTTTTATTTCTAACGCAAAATTAAATACATTTCTTTTTTATGAAACGTCAAAAATGTCACTTGTAAAAGACGCTTAGAAGGTGGCGCCATCTGTTAGGAAAAGTCTAAAACCGTACGTTTGTTGAAACGTCAAAAAGGAAAAAGTCATTTAAAAAATTATTTTAATTATTTATGTCATTATTTTTCTTTCTTCTCTAATAAATAATAATTTTATATTTTTAGTGGCCACGTAACTCAAGATGCCCCAGTTCCGGGTTCGCCGCTTTACACAATAAAAGCTTTCATTCCGGCGATTGACAGTTTTGGTTTCGAAACCGATTTAAGAACGCACACTCAAGGTCAAGCGTTTTGTTTGTCGGTGTTTCATCACTGGCAGATCGTCCCGGGAGATCCCTTGGATAAAAGTATCACAATAAGGCCGTTGGAACCGCAGCCGGCGACGCATTTAGCGAGGGAGTTTATGATAAAAACGCGTAGGAGGAAAGGTTTAAGCCAAGACGTCTCAATCAACAAGTTTTTCGACGATCCTATGTTGTTGGAGCTCGCCCGACAAGATGTTATGTTAAATTATCCTTTATTATAAATGGTTTTCATAAGAAATTTTTTTTATTTATAATAATTGATTAATTACAACTAAAATAACTTAAAACTATCTTGGTATATTACACTTTTGCGTTTCATTTTGTCTCAATTTCGATCCAAATTAAATCAAACCCATCAAAACTTTACATTTCAAATTAAGAACCGCCTTTAATTCCCTCAAAGCGATTTGCAAACTCGCCTCCAACTTACTTATAACCCCCGTAAACGTCGTTTTATCAATCCTTAACCCCTCAATTTGCTTTTCTAACATCTCCAACGAAAACTCCTTGGGGCACCATCCATCCAAACACAACACCGTCTCGTTTAAAACATTTATTTGATTCGACACCAAACCAGATAAAATCTCTTTCCCTTTTAACGAAGAATTCGAATCGATTTTATTTTTATTTTTCGATTTATTTTTCGTTTTCACCTTTAAAGTTTCGTTACAAAGCGTTAAAACGAACGCACAAAGTGTTAACAACTCAACAAAATTAACCAAAATTTCGATTGTCGTACTTCGACTAAAATAAACATCGTCCGAAGCAATTTCCGCCCGAATCAAGTCTTTAATTGAGGTTAGAATGGTTTCGTGGTACTTTTCGATCCTCTCCAAAACGTTCGCATCCATCTCGGATTCTTTCCCAGACGAAAAATAAATAAAAACCGCAAAGAATTCACTTAAAACTTCGAAATACGGTACTTTAAAGTACGAAATTAATCGAGATTTTAAAGGTAACGATACGAATCTTTCGGTTACGTTTAAATGGGTTAAATTTGAGTGTTGCGAATTTAAGTTTTCCCATGATTTTAACGTCGATTTTAATTCCTCTAAATGAGGTGATTTTTCTACGGAAGTTTCGCTTATTCGAGCCGTTTTAAAAGCGATTGAGAAACAATTTACCATTAAACTTCTTATTTCAGCGAAAATTTGGTTTTGTTTGACGCGCAATTTAACGCAGTCCCATTTTTCGGGGGGATTCTCAATTCTTTCTGGATCCCATGATAAATAAACACTCAAATCGCTGTTATCACTGCAACAAATTCGTTTCATTATTTTTTTTTAATTTTGAGGTTAACGTCAATCTGACATTTTAATATTTTTGAGGTTAAACGTCAATCTGACGTTTTAATATTTTGAGGTTAAACGTCAATCTGAAATTTTAATATTTTTGAGGTTAAACGTCAATGTGACGTTTAGTGATTTTATCAATTGTTGCTAACTTCATGTTTTTTTTTCTTAACCTCACTTTTTGACAGTTTATTATAATCGTTATTGATCCGGTTTCATTTAATTTTGTTTTTTAATCTTCATAACCCATTTAATACATTAAAACGTAAAAAAATTTAAAAAAAAACTCACCAAGCGGCTTCCCAATCGATTTTTCTTTCCTTAATAGTCAAATCCGCCTCGGTTAAACCATCCAAAGAAGCGCTCTGCATCAAAGTTAACACAATTCGATCCATAACCACTTGGGTATAATGAAGGCTGTTATAAAGTTTCTCCCGGAAATCCATAAATTCGTCGATTTTCCCAAATGAGCCATATTTATAAACAAACGTTAAGTGATCTGAACTCTAAAAAAAAAATTTTTAATCAGAAATTATTTAATTTAATTATTTATTACTAACATCTCGGTAATTAGCGACGAAAAATTTGATTGTAGTCTCATAAAGTTGTGAAGCTATTGTAAATAATCCTGTAGTTGGTAATCGTGAGCAATGAACATAACCCAAAGAGTCCAATTGGATGTGCTTCAAATCTAAGCTCTCATACATGGAGTGAGCACAACTGCCTCCCCCTAATTGGTGATACAATTTAACACACAACAATTTTGCGTGAAAACAACTCTTGCTATTTTTCAACAAATTCTCCAAAACCACCAACGCGCAAATCAAAGGTTCCGAACTTTGCGTCTTCATACCGATATCGTAAAGTATATGAGCTGCCACTAAACCATACGGATCTGATGGTCCTTGATCGGTAACCAAAAGATCTTTCCCATAACGCTCATAACCTAGGTTATAATGACCTGTTAAAATGTTCGCGATTTCGTAGAGAGTTTCTGGTTCTAAATGCTGATACGTCCCGCTTAAACGAGATAATTGTATAGCGCTTATGTGGCGTTGCATTTGGTCCATCTAAAACAATCATTTTTTAAAACTTTAATACATTAATTTTTTTTTGTGATACTTACAGTGGTTGCAATGGAATTTGAGGCAACATTTAAATCCTTGAGGAGATTTTCGCACAACAACGCACGTTCCTCCGAATTTAATATGTTTAAATAAGAACGTAAGTCGCTAACACAACACGGTTTATGTCCAAATAGGCGAAAATACTCCACGAAAAGCTGGGCGGGTTCCCCGAGAAGATCGTTGATTACGTTTGAGGTGATGTTGGTTGAAGCGGTGAGGCGTTGGTGAAGACGTTGACATAATTCGATACGAGCCAAATATGGTCCTCTTTGAGCATAACCTAAAAAATGAAAATTAAATGACATTTGAGGTTAAGAAATGAAACGTCAAAATTAAGTGTCATTTTAAATAGTCTTTGAAAAAGTTAGTTACTTTGTCTTCAAAGCGAATCTTTCAACTTCATTTAATACAAAAATTGATTAATATAATCGCGATAAATTATTGTAAAACTTTCTTTTGATGTAAAAAGTGATTTTTTTAAAGATGTCGGTGTTTATTGATAAATCACCATGGTAACGGCAGGGTTGAAAACTTTTCAACAAAAAATTTTTTAATCATAAAATTTTTGTACTTTTCTACCAATGTAATAAGAAATAAATGTAAAACTAAAAATTTTCGGGTTATGCCGTGCGTCTTAACCTCAAAATTTCTACTTTTAGTTTTATTTCTAACTCAAAATGCGATATTTTTTTTTAATGAAACGTCAGAAAATGTCATTTGAAAAAGACGCATATGAGGTAGCGCCATCTAGTGAAATTTATAAACATTAATTATTTTTTTTAATAACTTTTTAGTGAATTTTTGTTATTTTAACTCTTAATTAAATCGCTTAGGAAATAAAACGTCAAAATTAAGTGTCATTTGAAAAAGTGAAATTAGTATTGGAGTTATTATTTAAATGCAACAAAAAACGTGAGACTTCGAAGACGTCGGTCGCCCCCGAGAGTACGAAACGTCCATTCTAACAAATGCGAGAACTTAAGGTTATTACTGTTTTAGCGTCCACGATGGCTGTAGGCGGCCGATGTCTTTGAAAACTGCGCTAAAAAATGCCGTTGGGATTCCTAATCTCACTTTTCCAACACAACCTAACCTCACTTTTTCAAATGACATTTTTTTTGACGTTTCATTAAAAAAAGTTTTATTTAACTCACTCAGTTTTAAAGATAAAACTTAAAAGAAAATTGCGTCATAGAACTTCGTTTTAGTCACTCATACACGTTTTACGTTATATCAAATAAAATTAAATGGTAATTCACGTTTCTTGTGGTATTAAGTACGTTTTTAGTTTTTTTTCCAACAGATGGCGCTACCTCCTAAGCGTTTTTTATTTGTGACATTTTGACGTTTCAAAAAAAAAATTTGATTTAAGTTTGTGTTAGAAATAAAACTAAAACTAGAAATTGTTTAGGTTATGCCGTAACCTCAAAATTTCTAGTTTTAGTTTTATTTTTTATTACATCGACAGAAAAGTACGAAAATTTTGTGACTAAAATAATGTTTTGTTTAAAAGTTTTCAACCCTGCCGTTACCATGGTGATTTATCAATGAGCACGGACATCTTTAAAAAAATCACTTATTGCATTAAGAGAAAGTTTAAGTAATATTAATCAATTTTCGCATTAAATAAACTTGAAAGATCCGTTTTTAAGACGGAGTAAGTACTTTCAACGAATTAGATATTATTGCGTTATTCCTAATCTCATTTTTCAAATGACATTTTTATAATCTAAAGACTTTACTAAGAACAAACTAAAGCGCCATCTATTAACGAGTGACTACAATGTTTCAAACCTAAATAAAAGTAATTCAACATTTGAACATGTTCTAACAATTAAGTTAAAAAAATAATTTTACTCACCATTAAACCCATTTTCGATCAAACTACAAATAAATTCATGCGCCTTTTCCGGACTATCATCAGCGGTAACCTCAATCTCCCCACTTCCAGTCGAATTTTCCCCATTATTACCATTCTCGACTATTTCACCACCATCCTCAATCTTTTTATCCCGCTTATTTTCACTGGATTCCTTCATTAATTCAAACACCGAGTTTAAGTACTCCATCCAAATGTTCCACTTATCTATACTGTGTAAAATGAGACAAAAATCGTTTAAAATTATTTAATTCAATAAATTTTTACCAATTATACTTTACCTTTCATTTAAAATCTGCTTACAATAAACATTAACCTTTTTCCAACGTTTCAATTTCACGAAAAATCGTAATCGATCGAATTGAATCGCACCGTTCAACAATTTATCACCCAAAGGTGTTGTTAAAAACGTCAAAATCTCCTGGTATTTCCCTTGTAAGTCTAAAATGTGCACATAAAGGTGACCTTCGTGTTCTCCTTCAGCTGATTTATTTTGCTTATCTAATAATTTCACCATCATACGTTCAGCTAAGTTGAGAAGTAGAGATCGTTTTTGATCATCTTTTGAGTCATCATAACTCCGCGTCGCTTGTAAAACGTTACTCATAACAGCCCAAGTGTAATAAGGGGATCTAGGTTTTAATTTGTATAAAGCCATTGCGACTCGTTGTTGTTCTTTAAAATTATTTACACGCACATAGGACATAAAAAGATGTGTGTACAGTTCTTCACTGGTCTTATCCACTTTTAAAGCTGCTTCATAAAGTTTACAAATGTTTTCAACTAAAAAAAATTAATAAATTATTAATATAATTAAAATATTTTTTTTAACTAACATTCATTTGATTCTTTGTAACAAATTGAGATGGCTTGTAACGTCGCATCATCCGTGGGGCACTCATTGACCAATGCTTCCAAGATAACCTTCGAATCTCCAGCTTTCCCCAATCGTAATAAAGCGACCGCTTTTAATGCTTTGGCGCATTGTAAGTACGGCGTTTTTTTGAGAACTTTATCGCACTCCTGGAGCGCCTTTTTATGCATCCCATTATCTAACCAATCTAAAACAAGACGAAAATAAAAATTTTAACATCAAACATAACCTCAAAATGTCAAAACTCTAATTGACTTTTTTTTAATGAAATTAACCTACTTAAAGGAATCAAAGGGATAAAATCGGATTCTAAATTAACGTTAGGCTTGGACTGAGGGTTCTTTTGTGTTATAGTTACCGTAAATTGGTCGTAATCTTCGTTCCATGATCGATGTGTCCCGCACGTGAGTTAACTTCGAAGTAGACATTGCGGGGGAATCTGAGCGAAGGCGTCGCGGCACTTAAAGCAGGCATAAAAACGGATGGATTTCTCTGGTTGTTTGAACGTTTAAAATCGGCCCCTAATTTATACTTTTTTTTAATGAAGCGCTTCTTTTTTAAAGAGTAAAATTACCAAGAGCCATATTTGACGTGAGAACCCGGTTCTCGCGAGTTCACCGACAAGCCGATAGATGGCATCTCAAACGTATTCAAAAATTCGATTAAATCGAAATTTTAGACGATTTTTAATGTAAATATAGAAATAAAGCTGATTTTTTCGTTTAATATTGAATTTTTATTATTAACAAGTTAAATTTTTATTTTAATTGTTTCATTTTAAATTTAATGTGTACATCTCGAAAAAGATTAAACATTCGTTTTATTTAAACAAAACAGTTTATTGTAGATGTAATTACCTCGTAATCACCACAAAATCATTCTAATTACATATTTAATGTTGTATTAGAATCATTCTTATTTATCAATTAAAACCTGATTTTTTCAAGTTCACCGACATGCCGATAGATGGCATCTCAAACGTATTCAAAAATGCGATTAAATTGAAATTTTCGACGATTTTTAATGTAAATTAAGAAATAAAAGTGATTTTTTCGTTTAATATTGAATTTTTATTATTAATAAGTTAAATTTTTATTTTAATTGTTTCATTTTAAATTGAATGTGTACATCTCGAAAAAGATTAAACATTCGTTTTATTTAAACAAAACAGTTTATTGTAGTTGTAATTAACTCGTAATCACCACAAAATCATTCTAATTACATATTTAATGTTGTATTAGAATTATTCTTATTTATCAATTAAACCCTGATTCTCGCGAGTTCACCGACAAGCCGATAGATGGCATTTCAAACGTATTCAAAAATTCGATTAAATCGAAATTTTGGACGATTTTTAATGTAAATATAGAAATAAAGGTGATTTTTTCGTTTAATATTGAATTTTTATTATTAATAAGTTAAATTTTTATTTTAATTGTTTCATTTTAAATTTAATGTGTACATCTCGAAAAAGATTAAACATTCGTTTTATTTAAACAAAACGGTTTATTGTAGTTGTAATTAAGTCGTAATCACCACAAAATCATTCAAATTACATATTTAATGTTGTATTAGAATAATTCTTATTTATCAATTAAAACCTGATTCTTTCAAGTACACCGACTAGCCGATAGATGGCATCTCAAACTTATTCAAAAATGCGATTAAATTGAATTTTTCGACGATTTTTAATGTAAATATAGAAATAAAGTTGATTTTTTCGTTTAATATTGAATTTTAGACTGTATTAAAAAAAACTATGTTTAAATAAAGCAAAAAATGTAAATACAAAACGTAATCAACACAATGAAAAAGTTAGGTTAGAAAAATGTAAACACCTTTTATGATTTAAATGCTGTGTATAAACGAGTTTAATTTAAATTTTTTACAAAATATTAAATATATGTTTATTTTAGTTCAATTCTTCTTATATTTGAAGTAAAATTTTTTATGTTGGTATTAAATACAATTTTGTAATTGACATTGACAGATCATAACAATAAAAGAATAAGGTTATAATTATTTAAAATAATAATTAATTAAAAAACGTTTTCGATTTTTTTAAAAACCTTTTTATTTATTTTTTCGTAACTCAATCATCTTTATCATCATCATCTTTAAAATANCTCGAAAAAGATTAAACATTCGTTTTATTTAAACAAAACAGTTTATTGTAGTTGTAATTAACTCGTAATCACCACAAAATCATTCTAATTACATATTTAATGTTGTATTAGAATTATTCTTATTTATCAATTAAAACCTGATTCTCTCAAGTACACCGACAAGCCGATAGATGGCATCTCAAACGTATTCAAAAATGCCATTAAATTGAAATTTTCGACGATTTTTAATAATGTAAACAACTTTTATGATTTAAATGCTTTGTGTATAAATGAGTTTAATTTAAATTTATTAGAAAATACTAAGTATATGTTTATTTTACAGTTAATTCCAATTCTTCTTATATTTGAAGTAACTTTTTTTATGTTGGTATTAAATACAATTTTGTAATTGACATTGACAGATCATAACAATAAAAGAAGAAGGTTATAATTATTTAAAATAATAAATAATTAATTAAAAAACGTTTTCGATTTTTTTAAAAACCTTTTTATTTATTTTTTCGTAACTCAATCATCTTTATCATCATCATCTTTAAAATANTTTTGTAATTGACATTGACAGATCATAACAATAAAAGAATAAGGTTATAATTATTTAAAATAATAATTAATTAAAAAACGTTTTCGATTTTTTTAAAAACCTTTTTATTTATTTTTTCGTAACTCAATCATCTTTATCATCATCATCTTTAAAATAATATAACATTTCAATATATATATAATATATAAATAATGAAAAGTGTGTGTGTGTGTTTCGAGAGAATCATCTTCTCTTTATTAATTCTTTATACTCTTTTTTTACACCATTTTTACTTACTTTTTCACCACATACGGTTTTAGCCAATTTTCTTTTAACCTTTCAATTTATTTTAATTTTTTAATCTCTCGTGTTACTTTTTTTTACTTTACTTTTACCAAACTATAACCGCCTATTAAAACTGACTGACTTTTTTCTTCTTTTACGGTTTGTTTAAACACCACGAGTGGCGACAGCCGGATCTGCAAATCATAACTTATTTTCTTTCCCCCTTCATTATATTTCTTTTTCTTTAAGAAAAAACCTATCTAACCTTAAATCTCGAATTTTCTTTTATCTTTCGGGACAGACCGACCGCCGTTTAAGCCTACCTATAACATCTATTTACCAATGAAGAGAACACAACTCCTTACCTATTTTTTTTTTTATTTTTTTTATGTTTCCTCAAACCGATACCAGATCAAAATCAGAAATGGACTCCCGAGATGACGCTTCCGATGATTCTTTTTGGTTTCTTTTAATTTTAATAGACTTCTTTAGTTAATTTCTATATAATATATACATTTATAAATCTTTTTTTTCCTTTTTCTAAACAATTTTAATTCAACAATATCATCGAGTTAATTGTAAATAACATTCATTTTAAATTAAAAACGAAAATCGCTTTGTTTCTTGACATCTTAATCTTCTTGAGCTGATATCGGTTAGATCGCTCTATATTTTTTTGCTTTTTCTTATTTTTTTTCTTCAATTAATTAATTAATTAGGTACTATTAGAAAAGATCTCCGGACGTTTATTCCGCTTATTTTCTGATTTTTTACATTTATAAACACCTTCAAACGTACCAAAAACCTCCCATTATAACCCTTCAATAATTTTAACCTCACTTTTTAATCAACCATAACCTTATTTTTTTTTCTTTTTTTATCGTTTATGTCAAACTCGATCCGAGATGAAAAGAGACGCACTATTAGATTAAATTAAGAAAGAAGGAGAGAGCTAATGTTGCGATCAAAAAATTCGTGATAACGAAGATAAAAGAAAGAAAGATAAAAACACGACTAGTTTAAGGGAAATTAGATGGTTAATCGATTAATTTAACAAGAAAAAATTAAAAATAATAATAAACATTTCCAACAATTAATTTAACTTCATTGGGCAGTGTTACCAACTCCGAAAAAAATTTGACTTTGACGTAATCGTAACCTCAAAATAGAATTTAAATAAACAATTTTAATTTCAACAAGATCAAAAGAGATAATATATTTAATAGATTTGAAAGAGAGCAACAACAATCAAATAAAAATTCAAATCAACTCGCGACACAAGACCAGATTTGTAACAAAGATAAAAGATATAAACTTAATGGGCGGAAGAGAGAGATGGAGATACATGACTAGTTTACGTATGGGGTGGGTTGGGATCAAAAAACTTTCTGTTATGGATTAAAACGTAACGAAAAAAAAATAGGGGGATTAACGAAAAACGAAAATAGTGTTTTAAAAATAGTTAAAAAATAATAATTAAAAATAATCAAAAATAACTCTTTAAATACTCTTTAAATAACCGTCAAAAACCCATAAAACTCGATTTGCCGTCTAAATATTAATAATGAAATTGATTCAACTTTAAACCATCTAGAAACTGCGATTAAAAAAGTGACCTAATCCTGACCTTTCCTTTCTTAATCCTTTTTATTTCATTTTCTCCATTTTCTTATCCTTTTCTTTGTCGTTTTTATTGTTATTGGTATGTTTGGAAAGCTTTAAAGAAGTCAAAGACGCCTCGACGCTATTCTTAACATGTTTTTTGACCTTTGTTTAGTGCTTTATTAGTTAATATTGTTGTTTTTGTTGTTCTTGTTGTTTTGGTTGGTTTTGGTTGGTAATTTTTTAATTTTACTTTAATATATATATTCTTTTTTTTAATTTTTAATTTGTTGATGGTGTTGAACACGGCGCGGCTTCTAAAACATTTACTTCAGGGCCGGACCCGTGTCCTGCGGCGTTCCATTACCCTAAAACAACAAAATTAAGGTCGGTTACAATTAAAGGGGGATTAAAGCACCATTGGATGTTCGCCTTGTTGCTGTTGGTGCTGTTGTTGTTTCATTTTGTCGCAATAATCGGCGAGGATGTCACGGAATCGAGGCCAGCTCTTTTCCGGGACGGTAATCGCCGTCCGAAAGTTCGTCTTCACCTCGCTGATGCGCATATAAACGCCCCGCGCATTTTGCCCCACGTCAAAATAGAAGTTTTTGTTGTCGACGTGCAAATGGCGACCCTCGGGCAATTCTTGCCTGTACGTCGCCTCATCGACGCTAAACTCATCCAGCAAATCGGTCAAGGCGTCCCTAAACTCAATCATTCCTTGGGCGGGAATCGCCACCTGACTTCGTGGCCCCCCTCGAGTTATCGTTTGAGATACGCGCAAAAAACGACCCCTCGAGTTCTCTTTTAAATCCAAATAATACCTAAAACACAAATAAATTAATAAAGGCAAAACAAAAAACAAAAAAATCACCTCCGATTATCCTTTAACATCATCTCACTCTTCAATTTACCATCCTCCGGGACATTATCGGGATTCGGGGGCCCCAGCGACGAATAATAATCGCTGAAAGCGGAGAGGTGGTCACGAAATTCAGCGGCAGTGGTCAGCGCGAGGAAAATTTGGGAGCGACGGCCGTCCGCACCGATCTCGGCCACTTTTATAAAACGACCACGCCGATTTTGCTTCACGTCGAGGTAGAAACGTTTACTCTGGATCTGGAGCATTTTGGTGGCAAGCTCCTGTTCCATCTGCCCCTGTTGACCTACAAATCACAATCAAAATTTAAAAAAAAATACAAAAAAAAAAAGATTGAGGTTATGTTATTACCGGGGTCTCGCCAAAAAGTGATTTTATCAAAAAAATCCATTTTAGCACTAACATTCTCATCAAAAGTGAGTCTAAAAGCAAAATGAATCAGCTTTTGGAATACTAAAATTCTGAGAAACCTTCACTTCGCGTATAATGACTCATTCATTCATTACTTTTTTGAATTTCCCGCCTTGTTAGTGAGTGAACCTAACCTCAATCGCAAATTGGGACAAAAGAAGAAAAATTGGGTGAACTTACCCGGGTCGTAGTCCGCATTTCCCTGTTCCATTCCTTGATGGTACTCTGTGGAAAATGAAATCCTTAATCGTTTCTACTTTTTTTAAAATCGAGCAATATTAACCCGCGATTATCACCTTAAACTTCTTTCTTTTTTTTGACAAGTTACCTCTAAGTAAACGTCAAACAACAACAACAAAACTTTTTAATTTTAAATGCGATTTAAAGGATTTCCGATCCCGTATGGAAAAACGTTCAATTCGAAACCGATCGGTTATCGCGTGCGCGTCCGATTAAATGAAAACCAAGTGAAAATTGACGAAAAATTTCGATGTCGAATTCATCGGCGGCGGCCATCTTGCTTTAAGAACAAGAAGGTGTTTTGTATGCGTACGAAACGTCAAAACCGAAACGGCGATTTCGTCGGCGTTCGGTGGATTTTTGGGGCCACGGGGGCTTTCTAACGCACGTCAACGTTAACGGGGACGTGACGATGTACGACCGTACTCACTCTGCGAGCTCGAACCTTCATCCCCGCTGCCTATATCGGACATCGCACCAGCGCTCGGCCTTCTGACCCGGTGGGGACTTTCGTACCGACGATCCCAAACGGTTGGTAACGATATTACCAAAACGGATTTTTCTTAAATTATTATAAATTCCCTTTTTATAAGTTCAATTTTCTTATTTTAATTAACAAAGTAATCGAAAACAAATCATAATTTATTTAAATATTAATAATTTATTATTTGATTTTAATATTTATTAAATTTTTTTTTTTAGTGAAGCGCCATCTATTAATTGTTCTCAATAAAGTACATAAAAATAAATTAAATTTAAATAAATAAAATAAAATTTGCATTAAAATTTAAAGTTTGTATCTAAATATAATTAATTAATACATATCAATTGAAATTATTTATTTGATATACATGTTTTATATTAATCATTTTTAATTATTAATTAAAACCTGATTCTCTCAAGTTCACCGACATGCCGATAGATGGCATCTCAAACATATTCGAAAATGCGATTAAATTGAAATTTTCGACGATTTTTAATGTAAATAAAGAAATAAAGTTGATTTTTTAGTTTAATTTTAAATTTTTGTTATTATTAAGTTAAATTTTTGTTTTATTTAAAATTTTTTGTTCACATCTTGGAAAAGATTACACATTCGTCTCATTTAAACAAAACAGTTTATTTTAGATGTAATTAATTCGTAATTATCATAAAATCATTTTAATTACGTATATCATGTTGTAATAGAATCGTTCTTATTTATCAATTAAAACCCAGTTTTCTCGAATTCACCGATAGATGGCATCTCAAAATGTTCAAAAATGAATAAATCGAAATTTTCGACGATTTTTGACGTAAATAATGAAATAAAATCGATTTCGTTAATTTAATTAACAAAGTAATCTAAAACAAATCATAATTTGTTTAAATATTAATAATATTTGATTTTAATATGTTAAATTTTTTTAAATTGAGCGCCATCTATTAATCGTTAAAAATAAATTAAATTTAAATAAATAAAATAAAATTTGTATTAAAATTTAAAGTTTGTATTTAAATATAATTAATTAATATAAGTCAATTGAAATTATTTATTTGATATACATGTTTTACTTAATTACACCATAAATTAACCTAAAACTTAAATAATAAAAAAAATAACAATTACATAATTCATCTTTCAATTCTATATCTCAATTTTATCTTAAACAATAATAATTAATAGACTTAATGTATTACGATTACAAAAAAAGATATTTACATCAATATTTTGCCTCCTAACCTCACTTTTTTTCATTTTTAAGGTTATGTACTTATTATTTTTGTGTTAAAATCAATCGGCCCCTTCTCCCGCTTCAACTTCACCCCCATCCGCGCGCCCATCCACAACCCCCGCCGTATTAACCACCGAGTCATCAATTTGTCCATCTCCGGCTTCTCGAAAAATATCTTGAATCCTCCCTTCAAACTCCATTCGCTTACAAAGCGCGTCCTCGGTTAAATTTTCTTCCGATTGCGATTTGGGGGCTTTCGAAAAATCTTCTTTTACGTTTCTTTGACTCGAATTCTCTTTATTATCGTATGGGGTCACTAAATGTGTGGCGATTAACGATGTACCTCCTTGAATAGCCTTTTTTAGCTTTTCTCCTTTACGCCACAAGATAATTTCTTGCTGTTTGAAGTATCTGCGATCTTCGGTGTCCATTAGGACCAAATTAAGGTAATAACGAACCGAGAATTTCTTGTTAATATCGCGCATCGTTGGAGTTAAATCGTATCCAGCGAGAAAAACGCGAATTGGAATGCTTTCACCTAAAATAATAAATTTTGAGGGATATTTCGCTTTTATTTAAGTCAATCTTTAACCTCGAACTGGGGCACCATCCATAATTTCGTATTTAGCGATCGTTTCGTTTTCTGTAAACATGTTTGGACCTGAACCGGTGGTTTCTCGTTTAATAATCGCTATTTCCATGTGTTTTATTTTAATGCGTACCAAGAGGAAGTAAATTTTTCCTACAATAACGTCTTTTAAATGATATCTGGAAATAAAAAGGTTAATTATGACGAATTTATCTCTTAAATTATTAAATTAACTTGGATTTGTTGTACTCGAATTCAATGTGAAGACAATCCTCGATCCCCACTTCCATTTTAATGGGGTTATTCATCTCGGGGTAACTCGATAAAGTGTGCACGGCCACATCCATTTCTTTAACTAAATCGGCGAGTCTTCGTATAATGGTGACTCGTAAAAAGTATCTCAATTTTACATTTGACCCTGTATACACTTCGAAAGGCTTCTCAACACAGCTAAATTCGAAGGGATAACTCGTGTGTGTGATCATTTCTCCAGGACGGGCCAACTCCTTAACCAAACTAATAAATTCGTGATGATTCCCCCGGTCGTAATACAACTCGATTTGACCAATAAACTCTATTTTAATCCCTTGATGCTCCAACTTGCTCCCCACTTTCTTTAAACTTATATTCACCTTCCCCGAAACCGTTTCGCCATCGTAATACAACAACAATCGATCTTTTTTTCCATCTTCCGTTTTAACCTCGGCCGTTTTCCGTTGATCCTGACCGTCCAAATTGATGTCGATCTCCGCTGATTGTCCGAAACCGAAGAAACTCTTAAAAAAACACGGAAATTTTTAGAAAACATAACCTCACTTTCCGAATTATCGTCGAATTCGCTTATTACCATGCTGATTTTTGAGTGCCTTTTTGCGAGAAGCTGCGAAATTTAGAATTTTTAAACGCTTAAATCGATTTTAAATGATAAAACTAAAGAAATTGAGTATTTTTTTGTGTTCTTGAGGCGTTTTGACAGAATCTGTCAGTTTTTATCTGTCAACACCACCAAAATTGATCTTTAATAAAAAGGAGTAGCAACTGTAATAAATGAAATAAATAAAGAACCCAAATTAATCCCTCTTTTTTTATAGTAACAAAATTTATGATAATAACCAACACAAATTATTCGTTTATTAGTTCCTTTATGATGTTAATTTAAAATGTGAAGATCGTTTATGATTCAAATTTATTTAGGAATTTAATTTAAATTAATTTAACGTATTTGATGAAAAATTTGGAAAGAAAAATTTAAAAAAATAATCGAGGTTGGTAACTTTGCGCATGCGCTTTTTCGGCGCTAACTTTAAGGTGGATATCGACAGCGGCCGACACAATCTGTCAAAAAACCTCAACCGTCGCCGTCAAATTTCGGCTGAAAATGCGGTTTATTTCTATTTAAATCGACTTTATTCAACAAAAATCGCATCGATCACGACCGCGCCGAACGCCACGTTTCGATACATGTTCGAAAAAAACCTTTAAAATCATTCAAAATGGACACGAAACGCAAACTCTCGTAAGTAACCCCAAAAATTCGTCATCGATTCGGAAATATTTATAAAATTATAATTCATATTTATAATATTAATTCGTATTTTGCAGTACCCAGGGTGATTCTCTTTACGAAATCCTCGCTTTACCAAAAACCGCAACCCAAGACGACATTAAAAAAACTTACAGACGTCTTGCCCTTAAATACCATCCAGATAAAAATCCAAATAATCCAGATGCGGCGGAAAAGTTTAAGGAGGTGAATCGAGCTCATACGATCCTTAGCGATTCCACCAAACGGAATATTTACGACAATTACGGCTCGTTAGGGCTTTACATTGCTGAGCAATTCGGTGAAGAGAATGTTAATGCTTATTTCGTGGTTACTTCTACTTGGTGTAAAGTGAGATTTATTCATTATCTTATCTCATAAAGATATTAATCTTTTATAAATAATAATATATATAAATAATTTTTAATTTTAGGCTCTCTTTGTCTTCTGCGGTATAATAACCGGTTGTTATTGTTGCTGTTGCCTCTGCTGTTGTTGCAACTTTTGCTGTGGAAAATGCAAACCAAGGCCTCCAGAAGATACAGGGGATTATCACAACTTGAATGTAAGTTAATTTCAATTAAAAAGTTTATATTTTTTAGTATTGTCGTATTTTTTGTTGTGTTAGCTTAATTTGTTTTTATAAATGAAAGATCTAGACTCTAAGGACCTGTTTGAAGGTAATGGGATGCTTTTTAATTATTTAGTGCTTGATTCTTACTCATTTTTTTAATCATTTAGTTTATTTTAATGATTTTTTTTTTAATTTTGAGGTTATATTGTTTCCCTAAGAAAGGTAAGTTAATTAATGTTTTGGGTTTCGTAGACACGAAATATACTATAAATGTTTGTCACTTTTTATTTCTACTACACATCTACATAACCTCAACTATCACTTATTGCTAACTTCACATTCTACTTTTTACAGAAAACTACATTATCTTACAATTAGGCTTTCTTCATCAAGATTTTTTTTGTGTTTTTTAATCGATTTGCTTCATTTAACACATTTTGCTTTGAATTAAGTTATTTTTATTTTATTTTTATTTTTTTTTTTTTTAATTTTTCTCATTGACAGTAGCCGTATTTCTATTTTTTGCAGCGCGAAAACGACTCTGGCCAACCTCGTACTCAACAGCCCCAAAGAAGGGTAAGATTTGTTTCTGTTCCCCCCTAAACGTTTAGTTTTAATGACTTTTTTTTTTCTTACTTTGTAATTAACCCCACTTTTTTGCAGGAAGATCTTTCTGATGATGAAGGCGCCGCGCGACCCTCATCTCCTGGGGGCAACAAAACATCCGGTGGGGGGCCGATAACGTCTCAACCGACGCCCACGAAGCAACAGAACGCCCCCGTTTTCGCTATGCCAGCTCCCCCCACTGCTAATGTTGGTGAAAACGCCGCCTTAAACCAAGGGGATCATCCGGTTTACACCCCTGGTAAGAAATGTTGATGAGAAATTAGTTAATTCGATTTTTATGTGTCGTTTTAGGACTAACAAGTACCCCAAATAAGCAATGGTAACGAGAAAGGTAATTTAGAACGATTATAAAGTGGAATGAGTCGGATTGGAAGCGAATGTTGACCCAACACGTCGACTTAGACCCTTACTTTATTCCTTACCAAACCGTTAGTACCATAATTTAACAGTATTTTGTTCTTTTCGTTTACTTTTTATAGGTTATGTTCTTTTTTTGTTTACAATTTCGTTTTGTTAAGACTTGGGGGTTAATTTTTTTTTAAGTAGATGGATTTTAAGTAAAACAAATAATATTTTCGATTGTGATTTCGCTAATTTTGATGTAAATATTTAAGTTTTTATTCTAAGATCGTTTTGCAAGTCTTCAAACGACTTATCGAAGTACATATTGATTATAAATATATATATAATATGAATTAGGAGGTAATTCGAGTTTTAGCCTACGAGTTATAAGTAAATTCTAATTAAAACGAACGATATTCCGATTTAAAACTGTATTTATTGATGTCTAAATAGACTAAATAACGATTTTTTGAGGTTATAACCAGTTTAATAACGATTTATAGAAAGGAAATTGGTTGTAACTTAAAATTACTATTACTACATTAATTTCGTTGGTTTTAATATATCATTAACCAAAATCTTATTATTTTGGGTTTTATTCAATAACCTAAAATAAACCTAACCTCACATTTCACCAAATTCTATTTCTCCACTTCCTTAAATTATATTTTAATAATTTAATTAATCAATTTAAATCCAAAACTTGATACATTAATTAATAATAATTCAAATTATTATTATATTTTATTATTATTACATTAATAAAAAATGTCGATGAGGTTAGGTTGGTTAGAAATCACCATGGTAACGGCAGGTTGCAAACTTTTAAACAAAAAGTTATTTTAGTCACCAAATTTTCCTAGAATTTTCTGCCGATGTAATAAGAAATAAAACTAAACTAGAAATTGTCTCAAAATTTCTAGTTTTATTTCTAACACGAAATTAAATAAAATTTTTTTTTTAATGGAACTTAAAAAAATATTACTTGAAATAGACTTAAAGGAGATAACGCCATCTATTGGAAAAAGTCTAAAAGTAATTTATAACTATCTTCTCAGCATGTCAAATATGTTAACGTAATTTAAAACCATGAGAAACGCGAATTACGATTTGATTTTTTTGGTATAACGTGTATAAGTGGCTAAAACGAACTTCTATGACGCAAATTTCTTTTCTAAAACTGATTGAGTTACAAATTTTTTTAATGAAACGTCAAGAAAAAGGTCATTTGAAAAAGTGAGGTTAGGTTGTGTTTGAAAAGTGAGATTAGAACCTCAAGAGACTTATTGATTATAAAATAAGAGGTAATTCGAGTTTTAGCCTACGAGTTCTAATTCTAATTAAAACGAACGATATTCCGATTTAAAACTGTATTTATTGATGTCGAAATAGATTAAATAACGATTTTTTGAGGTTATAACCAGATAAATAATGATTTATAGAAACGAAATTGGTTACAACTTAAAATTACGCATTAATTTAGTTGGTTTTAATATATCATTAACCAAAATCTTATCATTTTGGGTTTTATTCAATAACCTAAAATAAACCTAACCTCACATATCACCAAATTCTATTTCTCCGCTTCCTTAATGAGTTTGGGGTAATTATATCTTAGATTACTAATAATTTAAATCCAAAACTTAAATACATTAATTAATATTTAAAATTAAATCAAGCACGTGGTAACTTTTAGCATTCAACAGTTGGTAGTGAATTTACCAGTTTAATACGCGTGTTAATAAATCACGTTCGAATCGTGTTTTGAATCCAAAAAATCGTTTTAAATATTGAAGATCGATTAAAATTGTCGATTAAAACGAAAAAGAAAGATTTTGTGAAAATAAAAAATGTTTGGCAAACCGGCTTTTATGGGTAGAGCAGAGTGACGTTCGCGCACGCGCCTTCACACCGATCAGAGAGCGACCGAAAACGTACGGCGCGCGGGGCAACAAAGAGAGCGACGACGACAAAATTCCGCCATTTTGCTAAAGTGAGATAGACGGTCGTGTTTTCGGGAGATATCACGTTGATTTGGGGCCCCCGGAGGCCCGATTGCGCACGTTACGGACGCTGGTGATGTTCCGGAAGCGATTCTCGGGCGGTTGAAGCTGGTTCGACGGCGCCTCGCGGCCCCAACATTCACCGACTCGGACGGATCGACGGCGTCACCGACGAAGGTTAACTCTAACTTCATCTCTCGTCGTCGTCGTCAGTAAGTTTTGTCTTCTTTGTTACTTTATCGTCTTATTTCATTTTAGTTTTAGTTTTGTGTCTTTGTTGTGTTGGAAAGAGATCATTTTTTTAACGGAAAGATTTTTTTTTGCAATTTTAGTTTTAGATTTTTTGGAGGTTAGTTTTTTTTTAATGGGCGACTTTTTTCTCGTCGCTTTTTTTTAAGTACGACTGGTACAAATAAGTGATTTTATTTTTTTTTTGTTTAGTACCAACTAAACTTTAATTACCAACTATCTTCGCGATTGTTTACCATTTAATTTAAACAAACTCATTTTAGTGTCTCACTTCACGTTTGTTTACTAATTTAAATTTTTTTTGCAGGTTTTCTTAATTTTTTTTTTAGATACGACTTAAATTACGCAAAATGTTCGATCCAAATTCGATGACCACCCAACAAAATCAAATCTACACCCAACAGCCGCAAGATAAACCGGATAAATCGCAGGATTTAACCCCAAAAACGCAGCAACAACAGCAACAGGTGCAACAACAATCGCAACAAACGCAACAATTTCCGTCGTTTTGTTACGCGAACGTCAACATGATCCACAAGCTGGATCAGCCGCACAATTCGACGGTTAATATGTCGCAATTATCCGACGAAAAATGTTACATAACCCAACCGTTTAGTTACAATTACGCCTTGGTCAATCAAATGAACACCATCACGTTTAAATGCGAAATTTGCGGTTTAGTTTTCACGCATCTCACGCTGCTGAATCATCACAAACGCGTCCATCAGCAAGAACAAGGCGCTCAACAGCAGCAACAAACGCAACAAATCACCGTGCAAGTGCAACAACAGCCCCAGCAGATACAAATTGTTTCAGCGGATCGAATTCGATTTGGTTGCGAGGAATGCGGAATGACTTTCGGGACGCAAGCGGATTTAAAAACGCATAAAATGACGGTCCATCAACAAACGAACCCTGGGCAGGGACAAATTCAACAGCAACCAGGTCAACAGCAACCTCAGCAACCCCAACAGCAACAACAACAGCAACCGGGACAACAAAATACGTTGAAAATTAAGAATTGCGAAACGTGTGGGGCTCCACTTCCGCAAGACACCAATAAAAAACGCGCTGTTATGAAGGTAAATGTAGTTTTAGTTTTATTTCTAACGCAAAATTAAAAAAAAATTAATAAAAAAAGTGTTTTATAACGAAATGTCAAAAAATGTCCATGAGGTTAGAAATCACCATGGTAACCGCAGGGTTGAAAACTTTTAAACAAAAAATTATTTTAGTCAATAAATTTTCGAACTTTTCTGTCGATGTAATAAGAAATAAAACTAAAACTAAAAATTTTCTAGTTTTAGTTTTATTTCTAACGCAAACTTAAATCAACTTTTTTTTTAATGAAACGTCAAAAATGTCACTTATAAAAGACGCTTAGGGTTAGCGCCATCTAGTGGGTTTTTGTAACATTAATTAATGTTTTTTTTAATAACTTTTTATTGAATTTTGGTTATAGTAGCGCTTAATTAAATCGAAAATCATTGGCATAACCTCAAAATTTCTTATTTTAGTTTTATTTCTAACCCAAAATGAGTTAAAATGTTTTTTAATGAAACGTCAAAAAATGTCACTTGAAAAAGACGCTTTTGAGATAGCGCCATCTGTTGGAAAACGTCTAAAAGACGTAATTTGTAACTATCTTCTTATCATGTCAAATATTTTAACCTAATTTAAAACCACGAAAAACGCGAATTATCGTTTGATTTTTTTTGGTTTAATGTGTACGAGTGACTAAAACAAACTTCAATGACGCAAATTTCTTTTCTAAAACTGAGTTACATAATTTTTTAATGAAACGTCAAAAAAAAAATGTCATTTAAAAAAGTGAGGTTAGGTTGTGTTTGAAAAGTGAGATTCATCATTTTCTAGCACAACTTTAAACCATCACGGCCGTAAATTTTCTTTTTGAATTAAATTGTTAATTTTAATTCGTTTTAGGTGAAATGCGAAACTTGTTTAAGCGCCGAATCAATTCAACCTCAAATTTTATTTGTGGCCGCAGCTCCGGATTCTTCAACAACGGTCAAATTTGAAGAATCGACGCAAACCCAGCAGCAACAACAACAACAGCAGCAGCAACAACAACAATCGCAGCAGCAAACGACCAATTTGGGTTCGCAAAATTCGATTCCGATAGGCGTCAAAAATAATCACCAGCAGCAACAACAACAATCGCAGCAGCAAACGACCAATTTGGGTTCGCAAAATTCGATTCCGATAGGCGTCAAAAATAATCACCCGGTGAAACGACGCGGTGTCGCTTCCGTTACGAAATGCACCAAGTGTAACGGTTCGGGAATTATTTTTATAGGTGGTGCGAAAAACCAACAGAACAACGTTGACAAACCGTTCCACTGTAACATTTGCAACGGGAGTTTTTCGCGGTACTCGTCGCTTTGGTCGCATAAGAGACTGCATACAGGCGAGAAGAACTTTAAGTGCAATATCTGCGGGTTGGCGTTTGCGAAGGCTGCGTATTTGAAAAATCATTCGAGGATCCATACCGGGGAGAAGCCGTATCGGTGTAATGTATGCGGGATGCAATTTTCGCAAAGTCCGCATTTAAAAAATCATGAAAGGATACATTCGGGGGAGAGACCATATGTTTGTGAGGTAAAAAAATCTAAATTAAAATGTTTTTAATTTTGTAGGTTAAAAAAATTTTATTTTGACAACTGTCAATTCAAATAATTGAAAGGTAACTAATTTCACATTGGTGATCTATAACCTTAAAAATTTCTTTATAAAACTTTTTTTTGTTTGTATTCAATCACTTTTAAATTGCTTACTATATAATAAAAAAGTTTTGTGGTGCGTCAAGCCAGATGACTTCTTATGAAACGCTAAAATTAAAAAAAAAGTTTTATAACGAAATGTCATAAAATGTCGATGAGGTTAAGTTGGTTATAAATCACCATGGTAACGGCAGGGTTGGCAACTTTTAAACCAAAAATTATTTTAGTCACAAAATTTTCGTACTTTTCTGCTGATGCAATAAGAAATAAAATTAAAACTAGAAATTTTCTAGGTTAAAATTGCTAGTTTTAGTTTTATTTCTAACTTAAAATAAGTTAAATACATTTTTTTTAATGAAACGTAAAAAAATGTCATTTGAAAAAGGCGCGTAGGAGGTAGCGCCATCTAGTGAAATTTACTAACATTAATTAATTTTTTTTTAATAACTTTTTATTGAATTTTGATTATAGTAGCGCTTAATTAAATCGAAAATCATCGGCATAACCTCAAAATTTCTAGTTTTAGTTTTATTTCTAACTCAAAATCGGTTAAATACATTTTTTTAATGAAACGTCGAAAAATGTCATTTGAAAAAGAACGCGTAGGAGGTAGCGCCACCTAGTGAGATTTAGTAACATTAATTAATATTTTTTTAATAACTTTTTATTGAATTTAGGTTATAGTAGCGCTTAATTAAATCGAAAAGCTTCGGCATAACCTCAAAATTTCTAGTTTTAGTTTTATTTCTAACTCAAAATGAGTTAAATACATTCTTTTTAATGAAACGTCAAATAAAAATGTCATTTGAAAAAGTGAGGTTAGGTTGTGTTCGAAAAGTGAGATTATAACCTCAACATCATTTTCTAATACAACTTTAAACCAACACGGCCGTTTTCGAAGATATCGGCCGTCCCCGGCCATCGCGGGCTCTAAAACATTGATTTTTGACTCGTATTTGTGAAAATGAACATTTGTATCCTCGGGGGGCGGCCGACGTCTTCGAAGTCGGCCGAGTTTACTTTTTATAGTTGTTACTTTTTATGAATCGCTAAGATTATTTTTTATGAAACGTCAAAAAAAAACGTCATTTGCAAAAGTAAGGTTAGGTTGTGTTGTAATTCATTAAAAAAGTTTAATGTACTTACTCTGTCTTAAAAACGGATCTTTCAGCTTCATTTAATGCAAAAATTGTTTAATATAATTATTGAAAAACGTTCTTTTGGTTTTTTTAAAAGATGGTGCTAATATCCAAGAAAATAAGATAATCTATCTTTGTAGGTTAGAAAAATTTTACATTGTCAACTGTCATTTGGAATAATTAACATGAAGTGTGATTCGCACATTCGCCAACTTCACATCATTAAAAAACTGTTTATAAAATTGTTTATTCGACGACACAGAAAAACTTGCTTCATAAAACTGTTTATTTTATTATTTTTTTCTTGTATTCATTCACATTTAAATTGCGTACTATATAATAACAAAGAAAATAACATAATAAAACTTTGTAGGTTAGAAAAATTTTACATTGACAACTGTCACTTGAAATAATTGACATGAATTGTTTTCACCAACTTCACATCTTTAACCATAACCTTAAAAAAAATTTTAAAATTGTTTATTTACCTTATTTCTTTTTTAGGTTTGCGATAAATCTTTTGCACGTCACTCAACACTTTGGAATCACCGACGAATCCACACCGGTGAAAAACCATATCGTTGCGACATTTGCGGTTCATGTTTCAACCAAGCGACCCATTTAAAAAATCACGCAAAAGTCCATTCAGGTGAAAAACCATTTAAATGCGACATTTGCTCGGTGGGATTTTCAGATCGCTTCGCTTTAAAACGTCACAGGAACATCCACGAGAAATATGGTCGAACGAAACCGAACAGCGTCGTGGTTCAGCAACAAAATCAAGATCCAAACAGTGTCGGTGTCGATAACGCGTCCGATGCGACGCAAGGGGGCGCAAACGGCGACGCTACCGGTGGTTTACAACAAGATGTGGTGAATAATACGGATGGGACTGACGATATGGTCGTTGAAAGCAAATACGAGGAGGGAAAGTACGAGGTTTCTGATGGCACGGTGGAAATTGGGGAAGAAATTGGGGAAATGACGGAGTTGCACGTTCAATTATCGTAATTAGAGGAGAAGATGGGGAAAAGTGAATTTGAGGGAAAAAGTGATTCGAAAATGAAGGGATTGGACCGGAAGAGACGCAAAATTAAGAAACGAAGAGATAATTTTTTTGTTTTTGAAAATTTAAGGTTGTATTTTATTTTTATTCTGTTAATCCGATTTTGCGGATCTTTTTCGTTTACCGAATTGATTAATTTTTAAATGAAATGTGTAGGAGACCTACGAAAAGAAGAATTTATCATTGAAGAAAGAAAAAAGGTTTTATTTTGAATTAGAAATTGGATTTTCTTTTTCATTTTCTTTTATATATACTTTTTATTACTAAAATCACTATTAATTTTCTTTGGTTATCCTTGTAAATAGACTAAAAGAACTGGAAAAAAAGAAATTATCAAATTTTATATATCATTGAAGAGACAAAAAACGGAGGATAATGAAAGATTGAAAATAAAAAAATTGATGCAGTTAGATTATCATAATAAATTACGTTATTACTAAAAGTTAGGTTAAGTAGAAGTGTACATATAGAGGCGGACGATTTATAGTAAGCTTGTAATGAGTAATTAAAGATAAATGAGTGATAATGAGGGATATAAGGTGAGAAAAAGCCGATTACAAGCTAAAACGATGAGAAGCAATTGAAAATTAACACGAATAAAAAAAATTTGTTTAAAAACATTCATGTAATTTACTTTTCCAGTCATTTTTCTCCTATATCTTAGATTTTATTCGTTAATTTTGATACAATCATGTTTTTTTTTAAGCTAGGAAAGAATCAAAGAGAATTTTGGAGTTCAGTAAATAAAACACTTTAATTTGGAGAGCAATGTTTAAGAAGGTGGAAATTAAAGATGAAGATGAAAAAATTAACACAGATAGATGTGGTCCCCATCAACTTTTTTTATTTTATTAAACTATAAAGAATCAAGGGATAACCTCAAAATGCTTCTTGTCACTTTTAGGGTGCGTTCTAAATTTACAGTTAACAAGTTAGGTTATGTTTAGAAAAATGCACAACAATTTTTACAACGCAATAACAACTAATGTTGTCTAATATACTTACTTTGTCTTAAAAATGGATCTTTCACCTTCATTTAATGCGAAAATTGTTTAATGTAATTGTTATAAAGCGTTCTTTTGATGCAAAAAGTGATTTTTTTCAAAGATGTCGGTGCGTGTTGATAAATCACCATGGTAACGGCAGGTTGGAAACTTTTAAACAAAAAAATATTTATGTCAAAATTTTCCTATATAGTTCTAGTGCAAGTGTTAGTTCTAGTTTTAATTATTATTCAGCGCTAAGTTGTATATTTTTAAGTTTCGGGTTTAGCCCTGTGTCTTCAGACGCTGAATGTTAGGTAAGGTTAGTTTTGTTTACAAACATTAATTATACCATGAAGTATTCTTTGGCAATTAGTAATGGCAATTATAGCGTGAAGTTTTCTTTTGTAATGTCAATTATAGCGTGAAGGAATGTTCGGTAAGGTTAGTTTTGTTTACAAACATTAATTATACCTTGAAGTTTTCTTTGCTAGTTTTAGTTTTATTTCTAATTCAAAATGAGTTAATTTTTTTTAAATGAACCGGCAGAAAATGTCATTTAAAAAAGACGCGTGGGAGTTAGCGCCATCTATTGAAATTTAGTAACATTAATTAATTTTTTTTTAATAACTTTTTATTGAATTTTGATTATAGTAACTAGTAACACTTAATTAAATCAAAAATCATCGGCATAACCTCAAAATTTTTAGTTTTTTGTTTTATTTTTAACGGAAAATTAGTTATATAAAAATTTTTGTTAAGGCAAGCGAGGTTAGGTTGGGTTCGAAAAAGTGAGGTTAGGACGAACAACAAACAAATCTTCAACAAGTTATCGCAGCACAAATTCCAACCCATTACTTTATTTTCTTAATAAAAAAAGGATTAAAACGAAATTTAACTAAACGTAAGTACTATTTTTTGATATAGTTAAAATTAGGATTTATCAAATAATCTTAATTAATTCTAAATTTACAGTTGGTAACACGTTTTATATATTTATTTCAATTATGTATTTAATTGAAAATTTCTTCATAATATGCAAAATTATTAATTTAGAAAATCCCGTATTAATTAATTATTGTTAATTAAATTAGAAAAAATTAATAATTTTAGTTGAAATTTTTTATGTTGGTATTATTAAGTACAATTTTGTAGTTGACTTTGACAGCCCACAACAATCTAAAATAAGTTTATAACAAAGTTAAAAAAACGTTAATGCACAATGAATTCGTGTCGATTTTGCATTAAATACAACGAAAACTTGAAATATTCAGTATAAATTTTTAAAATTATATTTATTTCTAATAAATAAGTTGATAAGTGAGAAGTTGGCTTCTAAAAAGAAAAGTGACAGAAAAGAAAATATAACCTCAAAATTAATTTTGAGAATTTCATTTTAATATGTGATAAAATTGGTACAAAACCACAACGTACGACACAAGCAACGTCATTAATAACTGCACCGTTGTGTTATTCAACAAAAAGAACCCCCCCGCTGTAAACGCGGGGTACCTCCAAGTCGCATATTTCAACAGCAACAACACACAGCGATGAAGCTCCCTTTCCATCGTATCCAATTCGCACCTTTGAAGTAAACTATACGCATAAAACGCAGTCCGATCGACTTCTTTCGTAACTCTCCTACATACACCAGTCAGTATTAAAACTCCAGCCTAAAACAAACTCATCGTACCCCGTTTTTTTTGCAGCAAAAATACTTTACCAATCCAAAAATCATATGAATTATTCCCCACATGTTGTATCGACGAACATTGAAAGCCTTATCCCAAGTAAGAGGCAAATTAACCGCGATTAAAAAACAACTTATCAAATAAATAAAAACGCAGAATATGGAGAAGCCGAATACTCGATTAAACTCATTTACAGCTTCTTCAAGAAGCTCATAACACTTTGTTATATCCTTAACCGTTCGTAACACATTTTTAGCTGCAGAAAATGTTCTAATGCTAACGCTGGGATAAAATGGGTCATCACACAAGATAATTAACACCGAATTAATTGCTTTACAGACGTTGTAAATTTCGTTTATTACGCTGTAAAGATACAAGATGATTATTCCCAATCGAACGCGTAAGATACTCTCTAAAACGACGTATTGGTACTGCTCAAATGGTATTGCAGTAATTTGCATTTGAGAATCGTACGCTCCGGGGATTGTAAACATTACGTACAAAAAGGTGATTTTATTTTCTGTGTTGAATCCAGGTAAATATTTGTTGAGAATTAATTCTAATTGATGTAGTTTTTTGGTAAACTTTCGAAACGATCTTTTTTGAATGATTAACGATATCGTAATTGAAGAATTTGCTATTGAAATTGCAAACAAAGCGAGACTTTCCGTGATTATTGAGGTGCTTTGTAACTCTTTGAATTTGTAAATTGATCGGCCTATCATCTGGTGAAAATATCCTAATGTGATGACACCAATGATGAGATGAGGAGCGTATTTATTAAAATATTTGCAATGATTTCTTTTGATGATAAAAGGAACTACAAGGAAAAATTTTGTTGTTACGATTATTAACTTTGGTATTGACATTTTGACAACTAATATATTTATAAAGCTTTTAAGCTTTATTTTTCGATCAATATTTATGGTATTACTGTTTTTATAAAGATTGCTTTTAATAAAGGTGCATTACCTTTTAGGATTGATTTAAAAAAAAATTAATTTAAATTGGAATTGTCAAAAAAAAATTTTTTTTATTTAATTTTATGTTGGCAGATTTGAAAATCGTCCATTTTGGTTCATTTTGTTGTTGGTTGTAATCACACCTCAACTAGACGTTTATAAAAATAAGAATTAATTAAGATTATTTGATAAAATCGAATTTTAATAATATTAAAACTTGTGACCATAAAATACGTACGTTTAGTTGAATTGAAGATGCTGAAGAATACCAATTAAAGGGGTAATTTAATTTGTTTACGTAATGTCAATTTTGACAGGCGTTAAAAATGTTGAAGCCTTTTTTTATTTAGTTTTAGTTGGAAATTAACATATAGTATTGGAATTGGCGCCGAAATAATTTAACGATTTCATAACCTCACCTTTTCAAACCCAACCTAACCTCACTTTTCCTCTTCACAAAAATTTTTATAAAACAAACAAATTTTACGTTAGAAATAAAACTAAAACTAGAAATTTTCGGTAACGCACGGCATAACCTCAAAATTTCTAGTTTTAGTTTTATTTCTTATTACATCGGCAAAATTTTTTAATTTAGATTTGACACTCGCGTTAAGGCGCCATCTTTTGGTTTTAATCAGTACTAGTACTACATTTGATTTTAATTCTGTAATTAATTAAAAAGAATTGTATTTAATTTAAAATTGGGTCAAAATCAAATTGAAATTGGTAATAATAATTACAATATTGATTTTTATTAATTAATAATAATTATTAAATTAAAAAAAAAATAATGGATCGAAATTGCTTTAACACCGCCATCTATTGAACGATAATTAAATTTTGTACGATTATCTAACTTCACTTCATAATGTCAAGTTATAAAAAGCGTCATAACAAACTTTTTGATTATATTTCGTTTTTGTTCGCTTAATTAAGCCGTATTTTAAGAAATATCAACGATTTACGTAAGTTTTACTTTAATTGTTCGAGCTAATCGTTATCTCCTATGCGTGTTTTTCAAGCGATATTTTTTGACGTTTCATTGAAAAAAATTTTATTTAACTCATTTTGTGTTAGAAATAAAACTAAAACTAGAAATTTTCGATGTCAAAGACGCACGGCATAACCCGAAAATTTCTAGTTTTAGTTTTATTTCTTATTACATCGACAAAAATTTTTAATTTAGATTTGACACTCGTGTTAAGGCGCCATCTTTTGGTTTTAATCAGTACTACATTTGATTTGAATTCGGTAAATAATTAAAAAAAATTGTAATTAATTTAACATTGGATCAAAATCAAATTAAAATTGGTAATAATAACTACAATATTGATTTTTATTAATTAATAATAATTATTAAATTTAAAAAAAAATAATGGATCGAATTTGCTTTAACACCGCCATCTATTGAACGATGTTTTAATTTTGTACGGTTATCTAACTTCACTTCATAATGTCAATTTACAAAAAGTGTCATAACAAACTTTTTAATTATATTTCGTTTTTTTCGCTTAATTAAGCCGTATTTTAAGCTATTTAAAGTAATATTAATCATTTACAAGTTTATTATCTATTATTTAAAAAGTATTTAACTCATTTTGTGTTTGACTTGTTATAGCATCGTGGTGATTTATCAATAAGCGCCGACATCTTAAAAAAAAAGATTTGTTGCATCAATAGAAAGTTTTATTAAAATAATCACGATTTAACGACGAAAAATTTAATAAAAAGGAATAGAAAAATTAATTTAAAGCTGTGCTGGAAAATGATGTTGAAAATTTCTGTAAGTATCAATTTTAAATCCATCTTAACCTTCTAACACAATCTAACCTCACTTTTTCAAATGACATTTCATTAAAAAAATTTTAATTTTAGCGATTTATCTCATCCGAAACAACTACAAAAAGTGAACTCAGTCGACTTTGAAGACTTCCGGATGAACTTGAAAATGTTTAAAAAAAAAATCATCTTTAAGGTTAAGAGATAATAAAAATGAAAATACTTAAATCTGATTTAGTCCGACGTAATTAAGTTTAATTCAACGAAAACATTTTAGAAAAATTCGTTTTAATGACTTTATAGGTTAGTTTTGTTGTGGTCGGTAAAACAGTTTTAATTGACATTTAAATTTTTTTTGACAACAGATGTCGCTGGTTAATTTAATTCGTTTTAAATAAATTTAAACATTTTTTTTTATTAAACAAATTAAATTACAAACGCAATATCGATTAATCACTTATCCAACCCAACATACACAATTTCCATGTCATAAATTTTTTTGGTTAATTTTAATAATGATTAATTTTCTTCGTTTTCTAGTTCACCCTCTTGTTCGTCATCGAATTCGTCCTCCACGGCGGCCTCTTGGTACTGTTGGTATTCGGACACTAAATCGTTCATGTTTGATTCGGCTTCGGTGAATTCCATTTCGTCCATGCCCTCGCCGGTGTACCAATGCAAGAAGGCCTTTCTACGGAACATAGCTGTGAATTGCTCGGAGATGCGCTTAAATAGCTCTTGAATGGCTGTTGAATTTCCGATGAAAGTCGAAGCCATTTTTAACCCTCTTGGAGGGATGTCGCAAACGGCTGTTTTAACATTATTCGGGATCCACTCGATGAAATAACTGCTGTTTTTGTTTTGTATGCTAAGCATTTGGTCGTCCACTTCTTTCATGGACATCCTACCGCGGAAGATGGAGGCTACCGTTAAGTATCGTCCGTGGCGAGGATCGCAAGCTGCCATCATGTTTTTGGAGTCGAACATTTGTTGGGTGAGTTCCGGTACTGTTAATGCTCTGTATGCTTGACTTCCCCTAGCGGTTAATGGAGCAAATCCGGTTATGAAGAAGTGAAGCCGAGGGAAAGGCACCATGTTAACGGCGAGTTTCCTTAAATCGGCGTTTAATTGACCCGGAAAACGAAGACAAGTAGTGACCCCAGACATGGTAAGCGACACCAAATGGTTTAAATCGCTGTAATTAGGCGTTAACAACTTCAACGTTCTAAAACAAATATCGTACAAGGCTTCGTTATCGATGCAAAACGTTTCGTCTGTGTTTTCAACCAATTGGTGAATAGACAAAGTGGCGTTGTAAGGTTCAACTACGGTATCAGACACCTTCGGAGATGGCACAACCGAGTAAGAATTCATAATTCTATCAGGGTACTCCTCCCGAATCTTTGAAATAAGCAAAGTTCCCATCCCCGACCCAGTTCCGCCACCTAAAGAATGAGTTAGTTGAAAACCTTGGAGACAATCGCATGATTCGGCCTCTTTTCTGATTACTTCCAACACCGAATCGACTAATTCAGCCCCTTCGGTGTAATGACCTTTAGCCCAAATATTACCAGCTCCAGATTGGCCAAAAACGAAATTATCCGGGCGAAAAAGTTGCCCGTATGGGCCGGATCTCACTGAATCCATCGTGCCGGGTTCTAAATCGACCAAAACTGCGCGTGGAACGTAATTTCCACCGTTTCCTTCGTTGTAGTAAACGTTAATCCTTTCCAATTGGAGATCGGTGTCTCCTCGGTAAATCCCTTTGGGGTCAATCCCATGCTCATCGGAAATTATTTCCCAAAACTATAAAAATCACATATAATTAAAAAAAAAATGTCCTCTAAAATGTTAGATAACGATTAAATCCTCCAACTCACTTTCGACCCGATTTGATTACCACATTGGCCGGCTTGCACGTGGACGATTTCCCTCATTTTCTTTTACAATTATGTATAATTAAGAACTAATTTATTAAAACGCCAACGTTTTCTTTATATAAAAAGAAGGAAATATCGCTCACTCAACCCACTTAAGATTCAAAGTGGAATGAGCTCATCTCAGGTATATAGATAACAAAGATAATGATTAAGATGAATTCAGGTACTTTAAAAGGCGTGGTGTTTTCTAATAAGATTTTGTTAATAAATGTTATAAACGAAATGAATCGTAAATTAAATTAATAATTAAATTTTATTAAACATGATTTTTTATACTTTAAAATCAAAATTATTTAAATTTAAAATGTTGTAAATTAAACCGCCATCTATTGGTGGAATTAAAAAAATTAAGCAGTGTGAAGTTGGCTTCGAAAAAGAATTTGAGGTTAATGAGAAATCAGCGTTTATTTTTGTTGTTTTCAACTTTAACATTTTTTTTAATACCTTTTTTCTAGTGAGGATAAGAAAAATCGTTCAAAATAACATAAAGAAACACCGATAAACCATGGGACGTGGAATAAAGTTCTAACTACTCAATGAAAAGATTCCGGACAGACTTGGAAGATGTTTACGTCTAAAAAGTTAAATTCCTTCAAATATTGGAGCACTTCATTTCATGATTCACAAAGAATGTAATGTAATCAAAGTGTACTAAAATTAAGAGTGCCGAAGAAGTTATAGTTCAATTAAATTGAGTTTAAGATCAATTTTATTAATTCTACATCTTGTATTGGATCATATACAAGTAAGTAATGATTTATTTTTAATCTGTTGGTCAAATTATTAATTGAGGTTAGGAAAATTAATTTGTTTGCTTGTCACTTTTGACAGTTGTCAAAACTGTTGGCTTTTTTATTAACTTTTAGTCAGAAATTAAAATATTGTGTTGGAATTGGTGCTGCGATACCTTGTTAAGGATTTCTGTTTGTTATCTATCTTATGTTTGTCCTAACCTCACTTTTCTTAACAAAAAATTTATATACATAACTCATTTTGGGTTAGAAATAAAACTAAAACTAGAAATTTTGCGGGTTTATTATATAATGGTTCAATTAAATCGAGTTTAAGATCAATTCTACATCTTGTATTGGATCATTTACAAGTAAGTAATGAATTTTTTTTTAATCTGTCAAAATAAAATTTTTAATTGAGGTTAAGAAATGAATAAAAAAGTTTTAAAATAATATTATTATGATTTATAAGAAGCCATATCGCTTGAAACAGCGACAAAAAGTGAACTCGGCTAATTTCAAAGACGTAAAACACGAAATGTCCATTCTCACAAATGCGAGTAAAGATCAAACTGAAGGTTTTTAGCGCCTGCGATGGCCGGGGGCGGCCGATGTCTTCGAAAACGGCCGTGTTGTTTGAAAACCGTGCTAGAAAACCTCAATTTCTTAACACAACCTAACCTCACTTCTTGAAATGACATTTTTTTGACATTTATTAAAAAAAAATTTATTTAACTCACACAGTTTTATTAGAAANACGTCTAAAAAGTTAAATTCCTTCAAATATTGGAGCACTTCCTCATTTTATTTCATGCTTTACAAAGAATGTAATGTAATCAAAGTGTACTAAAATTTAAGACTGCCAAAGAAGTTATGGTTCAATTAAATTGAGTTTAAGATCAACTTTATTAATTCTACATCTTGTATTGGATCATATACCAGTAAGTAATGATTTATTTTTAATCTGTCAAACTTAAATTTTTAATTGAGGTTAAGAAATGAATAAAAAAGTTTTAAAATAATATTATTATGATTGATAAGAAGCCATATCGCTTAAAACAGCTACAAAAAGTGAACTCGGCTGATTTCAAAGACGTAACACACGAAATGTCCATTCTCACAAATGCGAGTAAAGATCCAAGTGAAGGTTTTTAGCGCCTGCGATGGCCGGGGGCGGCCGATGTCTTCGAAAACGGCCGTGTTGTTTTAAAACCGTGCTAGAAAATCTCAATTTCTTAACACAACCTAACCTCACTTTTTAAATGACATTTTTTTGACGTTTTATTAAAAAAAATTTATTTAACTCACTCAGTTTAATTAGAAATTTGCGTAATAGAGTTCGTTTTAATTACTTATACACGTTTTACGTTATAAAAAAAGAAATCTAATAGTAATTCGTGTTTCTCGCGATTTTGAATTAGGTTAAAATATTTGACATGATGAGAAGATAGTTACAAACGTATATTTTTAGACTTATCCCAACAGATGGTGCTATCTCCGTTGCGTCTTTTTCAAGTCATTTTTTGACGTTTCATTAAAAAAAAATTTTGTTTAACTCATTTTGTGTTAGAAATAAAACTAAAACTAGAAATTTTGCAACCTCAAAATTTCTAGTTTTAGTTTTATTTCTTATTACATCGACAGAAAAGTACGAAAATGTTGTGACTAAAATAATGTTTTGTTTTAAAGTTTTCAACCCTGCCGTTACCATGGTGATTTATCAATAAACACTGACATCTTTAAAAGAAATTACTTGTTGCATTGAGAGAAAGTTTTATCAAAATAATCACAATTTAATGACGAAAAATTTAACAAAAAGAAATAAAAATGTTAGTTTAAAGCTGTGCTGATAATCTAAGTACTATAATAAATCCTAACCTTTCTTTTCCAACCTAACCTCACTTTTTTAAATGACATTTTTTGACGTTTCATTAAAAAAAAATTTTTAATTTTAGGCGTACTAAAATTTGGGATTGCCAAAGAAGTTATGGTTCAATTAAATCGAGTTTAAGACCAACTTTATTAATTCTACATATTGTATTGGATCATTTACAAGTAAGTAATGACTTTTTTTCAATCTGTCAAAGTTAAATTTTTAATTGAGGTTAAGAAATGAATAAAAAGATTTTAAATTATATTATTGTGATTTATAAGAAGCCATCTCGCTTGAAACAGCTACAAAAGTGATCTTGGCCGCCATCTAAAGCATGAAATGTCCATTCTCACAAATGCGAGTAAAGATCCAACTGAAGGTTTTTAGCGCCTGCGATGGCCAGGGGTGGCCGATGTCTTCGAAAACGGCCGTGTTGTTTTAAAACCGCGCTAGAAAATCTCAATTTCTTAACACAACCTAACCTCACTTCTTCAAATGACACTTTTTTGACGTTTTATTAAAAAAATATTTATTTAACTCACTCAGTTTTATTAGAAATTTGCGTAATAGAGTTCGTTTTAATTACTTATACACGTTTTACGTTATAAAAAAATAAATCTAATAGTAATTCGTGTTTCTCGTGGTTTTAAATTAGGTTAAAATATTTGACATGATGAGAAGATAGTTACAAACGTATATTTTTAGACTTTTTCCAACAGATGGCGCTATCTCCTACGCGTCTTCAAGTGACATATTTGACGTTTCATTAAAAAAAACTTTAACTGATTTTGAGTTAGAAATAAAACTAAAACTAGAAATTTTCAACCTCAAAATTTCTAGTTTTAGTTTTATTTCTCATTACATCGGCAGAAAAGTACGAAAATTTTGTGACTAAAATAATTTTTTGTTTAAACGTTTTCAACCTGCCGTTACCATTTTGACATTTCGTTAAAAAAAAATTTTTTTTTAATTTTAGCTATTAAATAGAGTAAAAATCCAACTAAGTTTTCTCAACATCTCAACGCATATCATGACCGGTGTTAATTTAAAACTGTGATATTGAGGATTTCTATAAGTATCAATTTTAATCCATTCTAACCTCACTTTTTTAAATGACATTTTTGACGTTTCACCTAAATGAAGTTGGTTAGTATTAGATTTTGTAATTGAGTGAAGTTCGTATCGGGCAAAAATAATGATAAAAAACATGATAGTACTCAAATTTCATTTAAAAATGAGATAAAATTGATACAAAACCACAACATACGACACAATCAACGTAACGAACAGCTGCACCGTTGTATTGTTCAACAAGAAAAAACCTCCGGCTGTAAACTCGGGGTACCTCCACGTGGAACATTTTAACAGCAACAAAACACTTTGATAAAGCTCCATATCTTTTGTCGTTTTCAAACTGCACCTTTGAAGCAAATTATAACTTAAATGAGTCGTTAGATTGACTTCATTCGTAACTTTTCTGCATATACTAGTAAGGAGTAAAACGCTGGCCTAAAATTAAAACCTACAGTACAATTTCATTGCGCAAAAAATTAATTTACCATCCCAAAAACCATGTAAACTACCCCCCATAGTGTGTATCGGCCTACATTAAACGTTTTGTCCCAAGTAAGCGGCAAATTAAACGCGATCAAAAAGCAACTCATCAAATACATGTAGACACAAAATATAGGAAAGCCGTATAATTTATTAAACTCGTTTACGGCGTTTTCGAGGAGTTCGTAACATTTTGTTGCATCCCTCACCGTTTGCAAAACATTTCTAGCCCCAGAAAATGATTTAATGACGGTGGAATCGTCGCATAAAATCCGCAAAATAGAATTAATTGATTTTGAGGCATTGTAGAGTTCGTTTATTGTACTGTACAGATATAAGATGATTACAGCTAACCTAATTCGTAAAATACTTTCTAATACTATGTATTTGTATTGCCCAATTGGTACTGCTGAAAATTGCATTTGAGAGTCGTACGTTCCGGGGGAAGTAAATGTAATGTAGAGAAGCGTCATTTTTTGTTCTATGTTGTATCCGGGGAGATATTTATCGAGAATTAATTGTAATCGAGCTAGGATTTTCGAAAACTGTCTAAACGATCTCTTTTGTAGGATTAACGATGTGGTAATTGAAGCGTTTGCAGCTGAAATTGCAAATAAAGCGAGGTGTTCCGTGATTATCGAGGTACTCGGAATTGTAAATTTATTAATTAAGCGTCCAATCATCTGGTAAAAGTACCCCAATATAATAATACCAACAGCGAAGTGAGGGGCGTATTTGCTAAAATGTTTATAACGCTTTTTAAGAATAAACGGGGTTATTAACAAAAATTTGCTTGAAAATATTATTAACTTTGGCATGGACATGGTTGCGACTAAATAATTTTTTAAGCACACATTTATGATCGACGCTTATTAGAGAGCACTTTAGGTGTTTTAGCTTTTAACTCGCAAAATTGATTCGATTAAATAAACGATTTTTCACTTATTAGGATCATTACAGCAATTATTTTGAGGTTATAATGTCAACAAATTGTTGTGAAGTTGGTTACATTTGGCAAATAATTTTTCGATTTTATAATTATACTTAAATAATTTATTATTTATTTTATAATAAGTTGTGGTAAATTTGTTGTTGTGTAATTTTTTTAATTCGTAACTTAATTTCAAATATAAGACTCAAAATTTTTTAATTTCGATTTGACACTCGTGTTAATGCGCCATCTTTTGGTTTTAATCAGTACTACGTTTGATTTTAATAAAATAATTAATTAAAAAAAATTGTAATTAATTTAAAATTGAGTCAAAATCAAATTGAAATTGGTAATAATATTGATTTTATTAATAATTATTAAAATTAAAAAAAAAATTAATCGAAATTAAAATAAACGTACAGTTTTAGACTTTTCCCGATAGATGGCGCTATCCCTTTACGTCTTTATCAAGTGACGTTTTGACGTTTCATAAAAAAAAGTGTTTAACTCATTTCGTGTTGGAAATAAAACTAAAACTAGAAATTTTGAGGTTACGCTACACGTTAAACGTTTAAATTAAATTTTAGGTAAAATGAATCGACTTACAAATATTTATAAATTGACGTAAAAAAGTAAGGTTATCTCTGAAACTTTATTCCGAGGTAAAAATCGTTTCGTGGCGTCTAAAATCGCTTTAAGCGAGCGATTTGGATGTTTAAAAATGACTTTTTCGGTTAATCGCAACCTTTTTTTGGAAAAAATTTAATTTTTGTCAATGTCAAACATTAATGTGGGGGGTAACCACGAGATGGAGGTGAAAAAAGAATTTAATTAATAAATTTAAAATAATTTCGAAAAATTTTATGAAAATTATGTTTATATTTAAACAAATCGATGATTTTCGATTTAATTAAGCGCTAATATAACAAAAAATCCAATAAAAAGTTATTAAAAAAATAATTAAAATTAATGCTTATAAATTTTACTAGATGGCGTTACCTCCTACGCGTCTTCTTCAAGTGACGTTTTTGACGTTTTATTAAAAAAAACTATTTAACTGATTTTGAGTTAGAAATAAAACTAAAACTAGTAAAATAGTTTTAGTTTTATTTCTTATTACATCGCTAGAAAAGTACAAAAATTTTGTTACTAAAATAATTTCTTTTTTAAAAGGTTTCATCCCTGCCGTTGCCATGGTGATCTATCAACAAGCACCGACATCTTTAAAAAAATCACTGGTTTTATCAAAAGAACGTTGTTTTATGATAATTATCACGATTATTAGGAGTTATGGTTCAATTAAATCGAGTTTAAGATCAATTTTATCAATTCTACATCTCGTATTGGATCATTTACAAGTAAGTAATAAATTTTTTTTTAATCTGTCAAAGTTAAATTTTTAATTGAGGTTAAGGAATGAATAAAAAAAGTTTTCAAATTATATTATTATGATTAATAAGAAGCCATCTCGCTTGAAACGGCTACAAAAGTAAACTCGACCGACTTCGAAGCACGAAATGTCGAAGGTTTTCAATGTTTTAGAGCCCGCGTTGTTCGGGGGGCGGCCGATGTCTTCGAAAACGGCCGTGTTAGTTTAAAATTGTGCTATAAAATAACGTTGAAGATTCCTAATCTCACTTTCTTAACACAATCACTTTTTCAAATCACTTTTTTTTTACGTTTTATTAAAAAATTAGGTTAAAATATTTGACATGATGAGAAGATAGTTACAAACGTCGATTTTTAGATTATTCCCAACAGATGGCGCCATCTCATACGTTTTTTAAGTGGCATTTTTGACGTTTCATTAAAAAAAATGTGATTTAACTCGTTTCGTGTTAGAAATAAAACTAAAACTAGAAATTCGAGGCATAACCTAAAAATTCTTATTTTTTCTTTTTTCTTATTTCATCGTCAGAAAAATAGAAAAATTTTGTAACTAAAATAATTTTTTGTTTAAAAGTTTTCAACCTGCCGTTACCATGGTGATTTATAACCAATCTAACCTCATCGACATTTTTTGACATTTCGTTATAAAATTTTCTTTTAATTTTAGCGATTCATAAGAAGTTTTTCAAAAGAGATTCATAAGAAGTTACAAGAAGTCAAGATCAAGATTATTCCATAAATAATGAAGACGATTAATTTAATTAAAAACACCAAGTAAATATTATTGTCACTTTTGACAGATGTCAAAAATCCTTAAATTTCATTTTAATCGTATTTTTTTTATTTAGTTTTACTCAAAAATTGAAATGGAATCATGCTGAATCGATGGGTGAATAAAATAGCAATTGTAACTGGAGCTAGTTCAGGAATTGGAGCCGCGATAGCTCAAAAATTAGTTCAAGGAGGATTAATTGTAACGAAAATCTTGGATTAACTCATTTAATTTGACCAAACCACTTTTAATTAGGTCGTTGGAATCGCAAGGAGAGTGGAATTGATCCAAACGATCTCGGAGCAGTTAAAAAATGCGAAAGGGAACCTTATTCCGTTTAAAGCGGATGTCACAAAAGAAAAAGATATCCTCGCCCTCTTTGAATTTGTCAAAACTAAATTAGGACCGGTTCACGTTTTGATTAATAACGCGGGGATTACACGAAACACAAACCTTTCCGATGGGGATACTTCTAAGTGGAGAGAGATTTTAGAAACGAACGTTTTAGCTCCGTGTGTTACAACGAGAGAAGCAATCAGAGTCATGAAAAAGCACGCAATCGAGGGACAAATAATTCATATTTCGAGCGTTTTGGGGCACTACGTGGCTCATATTCCTAATTTAAATATGTATCCAGCTTCGAAATTTGCAATTAGGGCTTTGACGGAGACTTTGAGGCAGGAATTTTTAGCTGAAAACGTTCCAATAAGAGTTTGTGTAAGTTTTTGAGTAATTTTTTTTGTTGTAATAATTAATTTTGTTTGTTTTAGACGATTAGCCCAGGTCCCACTGATACGGAAATTAATAAATTACACTCGAATAATGGGAGTTTTGCTAATATCATTGATGCAATGCCTAAATTGAAAGCGGAAGATGTTGCTGATGCTATTGTTTATGTCTTATCCACCCCTCATCATGTGCAGGTTCAAGATATTATGATTCGACCACTTGGAGAACCTGTTTAAATGAATTTGTGATCAAAAATAAATTATTTTGTTTATTTATTGTTGTTTTATTTATTTATAACAAAACTTATTTATCCAACTTTTCGTTTTCGGGGAGATTTTTCTCAAAGTATTAAATTTTTAAAGTTTTCGATTCATTTTTATCTAGGTCAAGGTGAATTAGAGGTCATTCAAGGTGAACTCAAGGAGACATCCTTAAAGTTTCGAGAAAAATTTTCAATTTTAACTTCAAAAACAGAAACCTGTAAATTTTAGTTCTTAATTATCTCAATAGATGGCATATTTAATTAATTTTTTTTTTGAATTATTTAAAAAATAAACGACAACAAAAACAACATTATAGGTTTAATAATAATTTATTTTAAATATAGATCAACTTTACAAAAGAAGTACAAATAGCATTTTTTTGGTATTCCATGTTTTTATGGTATACAGCAGCTTCTTCTTCTATTACATCTTTTCCTTAATCGTAGGATAAATCGCAAAGAAACCGTCTCTTTGCAACCCCTAAAAAACAAATAAAGTATTACTATTTAGATTAATTTAATCATTTAAACCTTACCAGCAACATCAATCCATTTAAAGATTATTTTGCGTTTTTAAAGCATTTCGTTTAATATTCACTCGATTTAATTAAAATAAGACACAAAAGAAACGAATAAAATAACATAACCTATAAATACAAAACAAAGTGACAAATGACAGATTTCGATTAAATCAATTATGATCGATTTTAAACAATTCGGGATCGAAATTTGGGTTTTAATCGGAATTTTAGCTTACATTTTAGCAATTTTATTCGGTAAGATCGCAATTTTAATCAATTCAATTAATCCGATTTTAATTTTAGTGTTATATTTACGATTTTGCGTTAAATCGAACCCATTTAAATGCCAACTGTGTAAACCAAAAGAATCCAATTTTAAATGTCACTTTTGCGTTTCAATTTCATCCTGTTCTTGTTGCAAATTTCAAATTAATAAAGTAAGATGTTACTATTATTATTATTATAAAATGTTTAATTAATTAATTATTTGTTGTAGAAATCTTGGTGTAAACCGAATCTTCCCGCTTTGAGGTGCACTTATTTCGCCCCAAATTGTTCTTATTGCTATTTGTGTTGTTGCGAAATCTCCGTGGAGTACGATTTTAAAAGAAAATTTATAACTGAAAGCGTTTAAACATAAATAAATCTTTTTTTTATTGTTAATGATATAAATAGAGGTGTTTATTTAATTAAAAAAGATTTTGATACAACAACGAAGCTTAACGATAAATTCAACAAAAAAACTCCATGATAAATGTCTTTTATTTCCTTATTTTTTAAATAAAATGAGATGGAATGTTATTAATTTGATTTAATTTAACGTATTATAATTTCCCCTCAAAATATCTTTTTGATTTTCACGTCTTAGAAAAATACTCGCTAAAAACTCTATCCATTTAAAATATGTACTTTAGATATATCGTGATTTAATATATTGAGCTGTTATTTTAATAAAAAATTAAATTAAAGAATTAAATTAATTAATTAAGATTGGGTAACTTGTTAGTTCCATAAAAACTAATTTTTTTTTGTTGCTAAACTTAAAAAAGAAATTAACAAGTATAGATATATTCTCCTAAAAAGTAAGCACCTTCTTATTAAAAAAATTTGCACCTTTTTAATTTAAATCATTTTACTTGAAACGGGAGCGGGGATTCTAGAAGTTTGCAAATTCGGCCTCGAATCTTTCCTTGTACTCCTCTTAACAACATCATCATTGAACTCATTCAACGAATTCTGACTAACGTATTGCTTCAACAACTTATGAACCTCCTCAACCATGCTCGTCTCATCGTTCGAATGCTTCGCTGCGTTGATCAATTCTTGACGTAGATTCAATTTGGTCGGGCTGGTATTCGCCGATTGTATCTTCCTAACCGGGGAAGATGTCGCGATGCTCCTCCTCGCCGGGGAAGCCCTCGAAAACGGCGAGGTAAAAGTTTCGCTCGTCAAACTAGGCCGAGATTGCTTTTGGCGCCCATTCAAGCTCCCAGTTCCGCTTGAATTCTTTTGAGACATCTTCCTCGGCGAAACCGGCGGGATTTTAGTCATCTCGATAACGTCGATTGAATTAGAGCGCCCCGGCATCTTCGGCGACGCCACTTGATGGTGATTCGTGGTTAACGGCTTGACGAATTTCGGCACATCCGGGTTATCCTTGTAAATCTTCTCGGAGAAGTGAGTTTTTCGCAGCCCAATATCGTTCGTGTCATCGACGTCGTCGATATCTTGATGCTCTAACAAAAAAAAATTTTAATTATTAATTTGATTGAGATAAATCGATGGGGAATTAAAAATCGCGTGGAATGAGTACCAACTCGACGTATCTACGACGATTAGTTCGCGAGATATCGAAGATTTAATTTTTTGAAAAAATCAAAGATGGCCGAAAAAACAAAATAATTTTTAATGTCAAAAATCGATTGGGGATTAAAAATCGATTGAAACGAGTCCAAACTCGACCACTTTATTCGATATAGTTTAAGAGATAACTCGATTTTTGTGTTTTTGATTAAATCCAAGATGGCCGAAAAAACAAAATGGATGATAAAAAACGATTTTGTAATAAATATGGAGTGTGATACATCAAATTTGGGTAAAATTGTCTGATTTGAATGAAAATGTTGTTATAAACGATTTATTTTTAATTAAAAAAAAATTGAGTTGAAAAATTAATTTGTTAATGTCAAAAATCGATTGGGGATTAAAAATCGATTAAAATGAGTCCAAACTCGACTAATTTATTCGATATAGTTTAAGAGATAACTCGATTTTTGTGTTTTTGATTAAATCCAAGATGGCCGAAAAAAACAAAATGGATGCTTAAAAAACGATTTTATACTAAATATGGAGTGTGATACATCAAATTGAAGTGAAATTATCTGATTTGAATGAAAATGTTGTTATAAACGATTTATTTTTAATTAAAAAAAAATTGAGTTGAAAAATTAATTTGTTAATGTCAAAAATCGATTGGGGATTAAAAATCGATTAAAATGAGTCCAAACTCGACTAATTTATTCGATATAGTTTAAGAGATAACTCGATTTTTGTGTTTTTGATTAAATCCAAGATGGCCGAAAAAAACAAAATGGATGCTTAAAAAACGATTTTATACTAAATATGGAGTGTGATACATCAAATTGAAGTGAAATTATCTGATTTGAATGAAAATGTTGTTATAAACGATTTATTTTTAATTAAAAAAAAATTGAGTTGAAAAATTAATTTGTTAATGTCAAAAATCGATTGGGGATTAAAAATCGATTAAAATGAGTCCAAACTCGACTAATTTATTCGATATAGTTTAAGAGATAACTCGATTTTTGTGTTTTTGATTAAATCCAAGATGGCCGAAAAAAACAAAATGGAGGCTTAAAAAACGATTTTATACTAAATATGGAGTGTGATACATCAAATTAAGGTGAAATTGTCTGATTTGAATGAAAATGTTGTTATAAACTATTTATTTTTAATTAAAAAAAAAATGGAGTTGAAAAATTAATTTGTTAATGTCAAAAATCGATTGGGGATTAAAAATCGATTGAAACGAGTCCAAACTCGACTAATTTATTCGATATAGTTTAAGAGATAACTCGATTTTTGTGTTTTTGATTAAATCCAAGATGGCCGAAAAAACAAAATGGATGATAAAAAACGATTTTGTAATAAATATGGAGTGTGATACATCAAATTTGGGTAAAATTGTCTGATTTGAATGAAAATGTTGTTATAAATGAGTTATTTTTAATTAAAAAAAAATTCAATTGAAAAATTAATTTTTTAATGTCAAAAATCGATTGGGGATTAAAAATCGTTTGAAATGAGTCCAAACTCGACTAATTTATTCGATATAGTTTAAGAGATAACTCGATTTTTGTGTTTTTGATTAAATCCAAGATGGCCGAAAAAACAAAATGGATGCTAAAAAACAATTTTATACTAAATATGGAGTGTGATACATCAAATTAAGGTGAAATTGTCTGATTTGAATGAAAATGTTGTTATAAATGAGTTATTTTTAATTAAAAAAAAATTCAATTGAAAAATTAATTTTTTAATGTCAAAAATCGATTGGGGATTAAAAATCGTTTGAAACGAGTCCAAACTCGATTAATTTATTCGATATAGTTTAAGAGATAACTCAATTTTTGTGTTTTTGATTAAATCCAAGATGGCCGAAAAAACAAAATGGATGCTTAAAAAACGATTTTATACTAAATATGGAGTGTGATACATCAAATCAATTTAAAATTGCCCGATTTAACCGAAAATCGAATTTATTTTCAATTTTTAATAACTAAAAAATTAATTTTGTAATAAATACGGATTGTGACACATCAACTCAGGCTAAAATGATCTAATTTGAACGAAAACGTTATTCTTACCGCTTAATTCTGCATCCTCGGCCGAGTTTTGGCTGTAAATCGAGTTCCTATTCCTCCTATCGCCTTGCACCACCCCCAAACTTCGATACCCCTCGTCGGAAACTTCGGATGTGTTATCACTATGGTCCGTGCTGTGGTCGGAGACGTGCAAGCTCGCCTCCGTTTTACAATGAACCGGAATTTGGAGACTCGAAATGATATTTGACGCGTTTTTCGCGTTCGCGTGTTTTGCCAATTTGATGGGACTCCCGTTTTGCGATTTCGTTTCATTAAAATTCGTTTTTGATTCATTTAATTTTGTTTCGTTTAACTTGGTTTCGTTTAAGTTAGGTTTTTCGTTATTTGGAATATAAGGTAACGACGATGGGCCGTGATTATTCTTCATTGTCCATTTGGTGTGAGATACAAAATTGGGGGTTGGACTCCTGGATCGGCTTATTGGGACGGAAAGTTGTTTTCGTTGTATGTTGGGGCTTAAAGATCTTCTGGTTAAGGGTTGAGATGGGGACCTTGATCGGCCGCGGTCTGAATGCGGGAGGCTAAGATATTGTTTGGGGGTTTCTTGATTTTGTGTGTTGATTCTCTCGTAATGAACATGCGCCCCCACTAAATCGTTAGTTCCGGGTTTATTAATTAATTTCGCGCTTTGCGTGGTGGGCCTATGTTGGGCGCGACACCTACAGGGGTCGTGTTTATCTAAATAATGAGCCAGGGTGTCCCATCCGCCCCCGACTCGCACCATAACGTGATTTCTTAGAATCTAAAAATCAAATCAAATTTTTTTAATTTATAGATAAGATTGTTGTTGTAAATTTAATTGATGTAGTGCATTTAGATACAAATCTATTGTTGCGATTAGATTGAAAATACTCACTCGAACAAAAATAAGAACTTTTGTGTCGCCGATGCGATATTTTCCCTCCGAAACGCGAATCATGGGGAACTGAGTGGGGCAGGTACATTGAGCCACCAAATCCCGAACCTAAAAAAATTCACAAAAATGAATAAAGCGATTAAATCCGATTAAAACGAGTACAAACACGACCTATCTAGGTGATTTGGTTCGCGAGATATGAACAATTAAAAAAAAACAAGATGGCGCGAAACAAAAGAAATCTAATATCGCTATCTTTGTTTAATTCCTATTTTATTTCGCACGTAGGCGTTGTGGGGCATCATTTCGGGTGGAATTGTTCCGATTTGCACGAAAATCGCGGTTATTTGGGAATTGGGGAAAGTTTTTAGAAAGTTGAGTTCCGAAACTCAACTAATTAGAAGACAATAATCATTGTTTATTCTAAAACAATGCGAATTGAGTTTATATAACATTTTAAAGAAAATTGGGTTTTTATTATTTTTTTTGTTTTTTGAATTAAGTTGAAAAAATTCATTTTTAATTAAATTGGGGGTTAAAAATCGATTGAAACGAGCCCAAACTCGACCGATTTATTTGATATAGCTTAGGAGATAACTCGATTTTTGTGTTTTTGATTAAATCCAAGATGGCCGAAAAAAACAAAATGGATGCTTAAAAAACGATTTTGTGATAAGTATAGGGTGTGATACATCAAATTAAGATGAAATTGACTGATGAGAAGGAAAATGTTGTTATAAATGATTTATTTTTATTCTAAAAAGAAATATTTTTTTTTAATGTCAAAAATCGATCATTATTAATAAATAGGGTTAATTGGGATTAAAAATCGTTTGAAACGAGTCCAAACTCGACCGATTTATTCATTATAGTTTAAGAGATAAGTCGATTTTTGTGTTTTTGATTAAATCCAAGATGGCCGAAAAAACAAAATGGATGCTTAAAAAACGATTTAGTAATAAATAATGGGTGTGATACATCAAATTAGGGTAAAATTGTCTGATTTGAATGAGAATGATGTTATAAATGATTTATTTTTATTTAAAAAAAAATTAAATTGAAAAATTAATTTTTTAATGTCAAAAATCGATTGGGGATTAAAAATCGTTTGAAACGAGTCCAAACTCGACCGATTTATTCGATATAGTTTAAGAGATAACTCGATTTTTGTGTTTTTGATTAAATCCAAGATGGCCGAAAAAATAAAATGGATGCTTAAAAAACGATTTTGTAATTAATATGGAGTGTGATACATCAAATTGGGGTAAAATTGTCTGATTTGAATGAAAATGTTGTTATAAATGATTTATTATTAATTTAAAAAGAATTGAGGTTGAAAAATTAAATTATTAATGTCAAAAATCGATTGGGGATTAAAAATCGTTTGAAATGAGTCCAAACTCGACTAATTTATTCGATATAGTTTAAGAGATAACTCAATTTTTGTGTTTTTGATTAAATCCAAGATGGCCGAAAAAACAAAATGGATGCTTAAAAAACGATTTTATACTAAATATGGAGTGTGATACATCAAATTAAGGTGAAATTGTCTGATTTAAATGAAAATGTTGTTATAAACGATTTATTTTTAATTAAAAAAAATTGAGTTGAAAAATTAATTTTTTAATGTCAAAAATCGATTGGGGATTAAAAATCGATTGAAACGAGTCCAAACTCGACCCATTTATTCGATATAGTTTAAGAGATAACTCGATTTTTGTGTTTTTGATTAAATCCAAAATGGCCGAAAAAAACAAAATGGATGCTAAAAATCGATTTTATACTAAATATGGAGTGTGATACATCAAATTAAGGTGAAATTGTCTGATTTGAATGAAAATGTTGTTATAAACGATTTATTTTTGATTAAAAAAAAATTGAGTTGAAAAATTAATTTTTTAATGTCAAAAATCGATTAGGGATTAAAAATGGATTGAAACGAGTCCAAACTCGACCCATTTATTCGATTTAGTTTAAGAGATAACTTGATTTTTGTGTATTTGATTAAATCCAAGATGGCCGAAAAAACAAAATGGATGCTTAAAAAACGATTTTATACCAAATATGGAGTGTGATACATCAAATTAAGGTGAAATTGTCTGATTTGAATGAAAATGTTGTTATAAACGATTTATTTTTAATTAAAAAAAAATTGAGTTGAAAAATTAATTTGTTAATGTCAAAAATCGATTGGGGATTAAAAATCGATTAAAACGAGTCTAAACTCGACCACTTATTCGATATAGTTAAATAAATAACTCGATTTTTGTGTTTTTGGTTAAATCCAAGATGGCCGAAAAAAACAAAATGGATGCTTAAAACACGATTTTATACTAAATATGGAGTGTGATACATCAAATCAATTTAAAATTGCCCGATTTAACCGAAAATCGAATTTATTTTCAATTTTTAATAACTAAAAAATTAATTTTATAATAAATACGGGTTGTGACACATCAACTCAGGCTAAAATGATCTAATTTGAACGAAAACGTTATTCTTACCGCTTAATTCTGCATCCTCGGCCGAGTTTTGGCTGTAAATCGAGTTCCTATTCCTCCTATCGCCTTGCACCACCCCCAAACTTCGATACCCCTCGTCGGAAACTTCGGATGTGTTATCACTATGGTCCGTGCTGTGGTCGGAGACGTGCAAGCTCGCCTCCGTTTTACAATGAACCGGAATTTGGAGACTCGAAATGATATTTGACGCGTTTTTCGCGTTCGCGTGTTTTGCCAATTTGATGGGACTCCCGTTTTGCGATTTCGTTTCATTAAAATTCGTTTTTGATTCATTTAATTTTGTTTCGTTTAACTTGGTTTCGTTTAAGTTAGGTTTTTCGTTATTTGGAATATAAGGTAACGACGATGGGCCGTGATTATTCTTCATTGTCCATTTGGTGTGAGATACAAAATTGGGGGTTGGACTCCTGGATCGGCTTATTGGGACGGAAAGTTGTTTTCGTTGTATGTTGGGGCTTAAAGATCTTCTGGTTAAGGGTTGAGATGGGGACCTTGATCGGCCGCGGTCTGAATGCGGGAGGCTAAGATATTGTTTGGGGGTTTCTTGATTTTGTGTGTTGATTCTCTCGTAATGAACATGCGCCCCCACTAAATCGTTAGTTCCGGGTTTATTAATTAATTTCGCGCTTTGCGTGGTGGGCCTATGTTGGGCGCGACACCTACAGGGGTCGTGTTTATCTAAATAATGAGCCAGGGTGTCCCATCCGCCCCCGACTCGCACCATAACGTGATTTCTTAGAATCTAAAAATCAAATCAAATTTTTTTAATTTATAGATAAGATTGTTGTTGTAAATTTAATTGATGTAGTGCATTTAGATACAAATCTATTGTTGCGATTAGATTGAAAATACTCACTCGAACAAAAATAAGAACTTTTGTGTCGCCGATGCGATATTTTCCCTCCGAAACGCGAATCATGGGGAACTGAGTGGGGCAGGTACATTGAGCCACCAAATCCCGAACCTAAAAAAATTCACAAAAATGAATAAAGCGATTAAATCCGATTAAAACGAGTACAAACACGACCTATCTATGTGATTTGGTTCGCGAGATATGAACAATTAAAAAAAAACAAGATGGCGCGAAACAAAAGAAATCTAATATCGCTATCTTTGTTTAATTCCTATTTTATTTCGCACGTAGGCGTTGTGGGGCATCATTTCGGGTTGGATTGTTCCGATTTGCACGAAAATCGCGGTTATTTGGGAATTGGGGAAAGTTTTTAGAAAGTTGAGTTCCGAAACTCAACTAATTAGAAGACAATAATCATTGTTTATTCTAAAACAATGCGAATTGAGTTTAAATAACATTTTAAAGAAAATTGGGTTTTTATTATTTTTTTTGTTTTTTGAATTAAGTTGAAAAAATTCATTTTTAATTAAATTGGGGGTTAAAAATCGATTGAAACGAGCCCAAACTCGACCGATTTATTTGATATAGCTTAGGAGATAACTCGATTTTTGTGTTTTTGATTAAATCCAAGATGGCCGAAAAAAACAAAATGGATGCTTAAAAAACGATTTTGTGATAAGTATAGGGTGTGATACATCAAATTAAGATGAAATTGACTGATGAGAAGGAAAATGTTGTTATAAATGATTTATTTTTATTCTAAAAAGAAATATTTTTTTTAATGTCAAAAATCAATCATTATTAATAAATAGGGTTAATTGGGATTAAAAATCGTTTGAAACGAGTCCAAACTCGACCGATTTATTCATTATAGTTTAAGAGATAAGTCGATTTTTGTGTTTTTGATTAAATCCAAGATGGCCGAAAAAACAAAATGGATGCTTAAAAAACGATTTAGTAATAAATAATGGGTGTGATACATCAAATTAGGGTAAAATTGTCTGATTTGAATGAGAATGATGTTATAAATGATTTATTTTTATTTAAAAAAAAATTAAATTGAAAAATTAATTTATTAATGTCAAAAATCGATTGGGGATTAAAAATCGTTTGAAACGAGTCCAAACTCGACCGATTTATTCGATATAGTTTAAGAGATAACTCGATTTTTGTGTTTTTGATTAAATCCAAGATGGCCGAAAAAATAAAATGGATGCTTAAAAAACGATTTTGTAATTAATATGGAGTGTGATACATCAAATTGGGGTAAAATTGTCTGATTTGAATGAAAATGTTGTTATAAATGATTTATTATTAATTTAAAAAGAATTGAGGTTGAAAAATTAAATTATTAATGTCAAAAATCGATTGGGGATTAAAAATCGTTTGAAACGAGTCTAAACTCGACCCATTTATTCCATATAGTTTAACAGATAACTTGATTTTTTTGTTTTTGATTAAATCCAAGATGCCCCAAAAAACAAAATGGATGCTTAAAAAACAATTTTGTTATAAATATGGGGTGTGATACATCAAATTAAGACGAAATTGACTGAGGAGAAGGAAAATGTTGTTATAAATGATATATTTTTATTAAAAAAAAATCACGATAAAAATTAATTTTTTAATGTCAAAAATCGATTATTTTTAATAAATAGGGTTGATTGGAATTAAAAATCGTTTGAAACGAGACCAAACTCGACCGATTTATTCGTTATAGTTTAAGAGATAACTAGATTTTTGTGTTTTTGATTAAATCCAAGATGGCCGAAAAAACAAAATGGATGCTTAAAAAACGATTTTATACTAAATATGAAGTGTGATACATTAAATTAAAGTGAAATTGTCTGATTTTAATGAAAATGTTGTTATAAACGATTTATTTTTAATTAAAAAAAAATTCAGTTGAAATATTATTTTTTTAATATCAAAAATCGATTGGGGATTAAAAATCGATTGAAACGAGTCCAAACTCGATTAATTTATTCGATGTAGTTTAAGAGATAACTTGATTTTTGTGTTTTTGATTAAATCCAAGATGGCCGAAAAAAACAAAATGGATGCTTAAAAAACGATTTTATACTAAATATGGAGTGTGATACATCAAATTAAGGTGAAATTGTCTGATTTGAATGAAAATGTTGTTATAAACGATTTATTTTTAATTAAAAAAAAATTAAGTTAAAAAATTAATTTTTTAATGTCAAAAATCGATTGGGGATTAAAAATCGATTGAAACGAGTCAAAACTCGACCGATTTATTCGTTATAATTTAAGAGATAACTCGATTTTTGTGTTTTTGATTAAATCCAAGATGGCCGAAAAAAACAAAATGGATGCTTAAAAAACGATTTTGTCGTAAATATAGGGTGTGATACATCAAATTAGGGTAAAATTGTCCGATTTAAATGAAAATGTTGTTATAAACTATTTATTTTTAATTTAAAAAAAATTATGATGAAAAATTAATTTTATAATTGCAAAAATTGATTATTTTTAATAAAAGGGGCTGATTGGGACTAAAAATCATTTGAAACGAGTCCAAACTCGACCACTTTGTTCGATATAGTTTAAGAGATAACTCGATTTTTGTGTTTTTGATTAAATTCAAGATGGCCGAAAACAAAATGGATGCTTAAAAAACGATTTTGTAATAATTATGGAGTGTGATACATCAAATTAGGATAAAATTGTCTGATTTGAATGAAAATGTTGTTATAAATGATTTATTTTTAATTAAAAAAAAATTAAGTTAAAAAATTAATTTTTTAATGTCAAAAATCGATTAGGGATTAAAAATCGTTTGAAATGAGTACAAACACGACCGATTTATTCATTATGGTTTAAGAGATAAATCGATTTTTAATAAATCCAAGATGGCCGAAAACAAAATGGATGATTAAAAATTAATTTTATGATAAATATGGGGTGTGATACATCAAATCAAGGTGAAATTGTCCGATTTGAACGAAAATCGCGTTTATTCGTTAATAAAAGAAACTTTTTAGAAAGTCGAGCTCCGAATCTCAACCAATTAGAATACAATAATCTTTGTCTATTCCAAAACAATGCGAATCGAGTTTAAATAACGAATCGAGGAATTAATTAACGCGTTTAAGCGAGTCGCAAGTCTTGAGAGTTTTTTGCGGTTTATATATAAAATTTCAGGCGCCACAAAAGTCGACTCTTTCAAGGTTGCACAACGAAACACACTTCCTGGATACTACATACATTTTTGAATTTTGAAATTTTAAATTTCTCAAAAAAAAAAAAGAGAATCCCATTTTTTTTTGTATTCAAGTGGCTATTTGTGTAACAAATCCTTTTTATCATCGTCATCGTTGTCGTATCGATAAACGGTTTGAGATAAATAAATAATAAATCGGCATTACATGGTCCGCATCACGTTTTCCACCTAACGCTATTTTGCATGCCACCTGATTGCGATTGTAACTCGCGATTTCTAGCCTAAGGCGGACGAGTATGTGTGTTTGTGTGCGTGCTATTTAAACTCAAAGAGAACCGCGTGGGACGATCGTTACAAAACAGAAATTCCACCATGGTTGTGTTGCATAAAAAATTCAATGATATATACTATACATATATAGAGTAGTTTAATTTTTTGTATCCCAATTATATAAAAAACAATTTATGACCCAATTTAACTATTTAAATCGATTGATTAAAAAAAAAATACAATAAAGGCACGTGTGAATGTGGGTAGATGAAAAACAGGTGTTCTAACAATGCGTGAACTTCTCATATTAAGTGCAACAAAAAAAAATGATATCTTGGGTCTCTATTTACTCACGCGTTCCAATTCAGAAATCACCTTTTCATTTCAACACAAAAGAAAGAAATTAAATCAAAAAAAGAACCAAATTTTATTAAACTCACCATCTCATCCAAACTCTTTAAATCGTTGGTGACGATTTGAGGGGTTGGCCCATAACTCAACATGATCTGTTCGTCTTCGATTTCGCTGTCGGAATCGTCGTCTTGGAGTTCGCTTTCGTTTCCGTTTCCTTGGGCTCGTTGGTCCGCGAGAATTTCGCGATCGATTTGACGCTCCATTTGGACCAACATCGGGGCTAACATCCCGAATCGTGCGCCCCTTCTCGCCACTTCCAAAAGGCACAAAATAACGTGTTTCTCGTTTTTCCTCAGAATCAAATCGTCCGATTCGAAAAGAAGACACTCGAGGATCTGCAACGATTGGCGACACCACTGGATGAAATTGCTTACGTTATCGCTATATAAAAAGATATTTTTTTTAAATAAAAAAAAGAAATTGATTTATTGATTTTAATATTTACCGGGCGAAAAACGTTTGGGGCTTAGCAGTTGCGAAAAATTTCACGTCGGCGATATCGACGAGCTTTTGAGCTTGAAATAACGATCCGGTTACGGAGCGGGTCATCATTTTCCTCGCTTGCTTCTTTTGGACGTATTCCGCAGCTTGTACTTTAACCGCGTTCGCATGCTGTAACAAAAAAATCCAATTTAATCATCATTTTAGAATTCTCCACGAAAAATCCTTTAAAATGAGACCAAACATGACATATCTATCTTTAAATTTGATTTGGTACCGTACCAAATTCGACAAAAAAATTTTTATTGTCATTTTCAAATTCTACACGAAAAATGCTTTAAAATGAGACCAAACACGACGTATGTACCATTAAATTTAATTTGGTACCCATTTAGACGCCATTTTTGGTACCGTTTAGGAACCATTAAAAAAAATTTACATTTCTAAGCTGGATGATGATTAAAATGATGTATTAAAACAAAGTATCTTTCGGGAATACCTCTAATTTCCAATTAATATTTTTTAATGATGCTTTTTGGTACAAAAAGAATTGGTACCGTACCAAAAAATCGGCGATACATTAAAATCTACGTTATTATACAACAAATTGAGATACAAAAGATTGCTTGATACAAATTTTTTGAAAAAATTAATTGTATTATTACTTTATGGGTTGGTACCATACCAAAAATTGGGTACCAAATCGATTATGAACATAAATTAGGGTTGTGACACATCATTTCTAGGTGTTTTTGGTAACATTTTTCGTTTTTAATAAAGATTTGAAAAAATTTTTATTTTATTTTACTAAATGAGGTTGGTACCATATCAATAAGTGGTACCAAATCAATAATAAAGTTTAGTTATGGTTATAATCGATCAAATCGATGAATTTTTGACAAATATTTATCAAAAAAATTAGTTTATGGTACCAATAAGTGATGGTACCATGTCAAAAATAGGTACCAAATCGATTATGAACCTAAATTATGGTTATGACATATGATTTTAAGGTGTTTTTGGTAACATTTTTCGTTTTTAATAAAGATTTGAAAAAGAAGTTATTTTTTGGTACCAAAATAGATAGGTACCATATCAATAAGTGGTACCAAATCATCGATAAACTTGAAATAACGTTATGATCCATCAAATCAATGAATATTTGAATAATCTTTCTATTTCTGATAAATTTGTAGTAAAGAAATGCTTTAAAATGAGACCAAACATGACATATTTATCTTTAAATTTAGGTACCATACCAAATCTTTTAACAAAAATTTTTTTTTTAACAATTTTATTGTCATTTTCAAGTTCTACACGAAAAATGCTTTAAAATGAGCCCAAACACGACGTATCTAACATTAAATTTAATTTGGTACCCATTGAGACGTAATTTTTGGTACCGTTTAGGAACCATTTAAAAAATTGACATTTCAAAGCTGGATGAAGACCTTGATGTATTAAAACAAAGTATATTTCGGGAGTACCTTTAATTTCCGATTAATATTTTTTAATGATACTTTTTGGTACCAAAAAAATTGGTACCGTACCAAAAAATCGGCGATAATTTAAAATTTACGTTATTATACAAGAAATTGAGATAGAAGCAATGCCTTGGTCAAATTTTTTTGGAAAAATTAATTTTTTTATTACACTTTGGGTTGGTACCAAATCAAAAATGGGTACCAAATTGATTATGAATTTAAATTAGGGTTGTGATATATCATTTCGAGGTGTTTTTGGTAATATTTTTTGTTTTTAATGACGATTTGGAAAAAAATTATTAAAAAAATTAGTTTTGGTACCAAAAAGTGATGGTACCATATTAAAAATTGGTGCAAAACCGAGAAAATTGTTAAAATGAGGTTATGATAAATAAATTTGACATATAATTCATTATTCTTTTATACTTAATGATAAATTTTGAAAAAAATACATTTCTTTGAGTTGGTACCTTATCAAAAATTGGTACCAAAGAGATAATTAACTTAAATTAGGGTTAAAACACATTAACTCAAGATGTTTTTGGTAACATTATTCGTTTTAAATATAGATTTGGAAAAAAAAAGTTGTATCATGGTACCAAAATAGGTAGGTACCACATCAATAAGAGGTACCAAATCATCGATAAACTTCAAATTAGGTTATGATCCATCAAATCAATGAATACTTGAATAATCTTAATATTTTTGATGAATTATTATTAAAAAAATTAATTTTTGGTACCAAAAAGTGATGGTACCATACCAAAAATTAATGCGAAATGGATGAAATTATTAAAATAAGGTTGTAATAAATAAATCTGAGGTGCAATTTATTATTCTTTGATATTTAATGTTGTATTTTGAAAAAAAGTAAGACATTTTTGAGTTGGTACCTTATCAAAAATTGGTACCAAATCGATAATTAACTTAGATTAAGATTGTAACTCATTAATTCAAGGTGTTTTTGGTACCTTCTTTCGTTTTTAAAGAAGATTTAGAAAATTAACTGGTTTTTGGTACCAAAGGTGGCCAAATAATTGGTACCAAATAATGATAAAGGTTATGATCCATCTTAAAATAGGGTTGTGGCATATCAAACCGCACTAATTTTAACTCCTTTTTCTATTTTTCAATAAATTTTCCACCAAAAATCACTTCTTAATTTAATTAAATTTGGTACAACACCAAAAATGAACTCATTTCATCATTTTTTTCTTATTTTATAATAATTTTAGAATTCCCCACAAAAAATCTATTAAAACGAGCCCAAACATGCCGCATCTATCTTTAAATCTAATTTGGTACCATTTTGGGTACCAAATCATTAACTTTTAAATTTAGCACCAACTTTGGTTATATAAAATTAAAGTTATAACGAATTAAATCGGACTTTTTTATATTATTTTCGTTTAAAAAGATTTCAAAACAATTTTATTTCATTTTTGGTACGGTACCAAATCGATTTTTTAATTTTTATCTTAAAGTGGGGTTGTAGCGCATCGAATCGCACTAATTTTAACTCCTTTTTCCATTTTTTAACAAAAAAAATCGTTTTAATAGATCTTTAAATTTAATTTGGTACTTATTTTTGGTACCAAATCGCAAAGTTTTTATTTTATGATTAAATTAACGTTGTAATACATAAAATCGGGCTCATTTTATCTCCTCTTTTAATCTTTGTCTAAAATGAAACAAATTTAATTAATTTTTGGTACGGTACCAAATCGACTTTTTTAATTTTATCTTAAAGTGGGGTTGTGGCATATCAAATCGCACTAATTTTAACTCCTTTTTCCATTTTTTAACAAAAAAAATCGTTTTAATAGATCTTTAAATTTAATTTGGTACTTATTTTTGGTACCAAATCGCAAAGTTTTTATTTTATGATTAAATTAACGTTGTAATACATAAAATCGGGCTCATTTTATCTCCTCTTTTAATCTTTGTCTAAAATGAAACAAATTTAATTAATTTTTGGTACGGTACCAAATCGACTTTTTTAATTTTATCTTAAAGTGGGGTTGTGGCATATCAAATCGCACTAATTTTAACTCCTTTTTCCATTTTTTAACAAAAAAAATCGTTTTAATAGATCTTTAAATTTAATTTGGTACTTATTTTTGGTACCAAATCGCAAAGTTTTTATTTTATGATTAAATTAACGGTGTAATACATAAAATCGGGCTCATTTTATCTCCTCTTTTAATCTTTGTCTAAAATGAAACAAATTTAATTAATTTTTGGTACGGTACCAAATCGATTCTTTAATTTTTATCTTAAAGTGGGGTTGTGGCACATCGAATCGCACTAATTTTGACTCCTCTTTTCATTTTTCAACTAATTTTCCACCAAAACTCGCTTTCTAACTCCATTAAATTTAAATATGATTAATAATTATGATTTTTTTTATATAACTTTTACCTTGGCATTGAAATTTTTTCGAAAAACCATTTTCGTATAAACAAAACGTCGTCGAGGTCGTTTTCAAAGACCGCGCCATATTTGGCGCATACACACACAAACTCGAGGTTTCCTACCAAATATGGCCACGCGAGCTCGGTCGCGGTTTTCCTCGTTCTCTCCTCGAGAGATCTTGGCCCGTTTTCTCTTTCCTTAGGCGCCATATTCGGACAAAAACCCCGCTTTTGTCGGTGTTAAACAAAAAATAGGGTTAACCTCGCTAATAAGGTGAATCATTTCCTTTTTAAACTTTGCGTTCAAGCTACAATTTTCTTGAGTAATTTCGTTTCATTTCGATTAGAAATATATCCCATTGTTTTTATTTCATCCTTATCGATACACCGGATGTGCGCAAAAGAAACGCGCCGGTTTTAGTCATCTTTAATAATGAAGCATCATTTTAACCACATTACATTAATTTAAATGCTTTTTATCTCTTTCGTTTTGTCACCAGATGTGTTGGATCCCTTTTTTTTGTTTCAAATAAGGTTATAGACCCCACTGGGATCTAACAAACAGTCTTAATTGTTTCGTTTCTTCCACAAAGAGGGGTTTTTAAAAATAAAATGTTTCCTCCCCCGGGTTGGGTTGAAACGATAAAATTAAATACCAATTAGTTTTAGCCTCTCAAGATACTCTTCGCGTCTTATTTTCAATTGGAAATGTCGCGTGTTGCCGTGATGACTCACCCGAACTTCCTGGCTGTTATAAAACTTGCAAACGAACGTTGACGATTTGAAAAGAATTTTAAATATAAATAAATAAAAACAAGTTTTCGCCAAAATTTCTTCATACTCGTGTTTTGAAACGATGATCTAATAGAGCAAATATATCGCGATAAAATTTAATATTCAAGATAACAACTTAAAACAAAAATTAAATTTTTTTGGTCTTCATAAACAAGCTCTCGCTTAGCTAATTAAGCAAATCGTTCTGTTTAGAATTGAGGGGCACGTTTCAATTGCGCGAAAGTGATTAATATTAAAATGCTTGCCTCTCATTAAAATCGCGTCATCGCCGTTTCATAACTCGTTCGAACAAAAAAAAATCAAAGAAAATTTCTTCTAGTTTAATTTAAATCGTGGAAAAATCGTTGAAAACGTAACGGTATCTAAGAGTAAGCGTCGTTTCAGAAAAATAACCAATTAAAATGCAAGCACACGTCCCGAAAGTGCGACGTGATCCGTTCGGTAATTGCGTATTTAGCGTTTTGCTGAATGGAAAACTTTACACAATCGAAAATGAAGCCTTCCGGATGGATAAAACGGCTTTAAATCGAGTTATTGGGGAAAATAAGTCGAAAATTGAGTTATACGAAAATATTTCTTTTAAATATCTCGATTTAACCAACAAAAATGAAAAGAGCGGGAAAAAATAGATTGATTTGATGTGCCACAACCTTATTTAAAGTCTATGATTGGTTTGGTACCAATTTTTGAAAAGGTACCAACTCAAATTAAAAAAAAACTTTAAGTATGAAAAAATAATTAATTATACTTCAAATTAAACCCCATTTTAGCAATCTCGTGGATTTTAAACCAATTTTTTGGTTTGGTACCATCGCTTTTTGGTACCAAAAAATAACTTTTTTTCCAAATCTTTATTAAAAACGAAAAATGTTACCAAAAACATCTTGAGTTAATGTGTTTTAACCCTAATTTAACTTAATTATCGATTTGGTACCAATTTTTGATAAGGTACCAACTCAAAGAAATGTATCTTTTTCAAAATAAATCATTAAGTATCAAAAAATAATGAATTATACGTCAAATTCATTTATCATAACCTTATTTTAACAATTTTCTCGGTTTTGCAGTAATTTTTAAAATCACTTTTTGGTACCAAAATTAATTTTTTTAATAATTTTTTCCAAATCGTCATTAAAAACGAAAAGTATTCCCAAAAACACCTTGAAATGATATATCACAACCCTAATTTAAATTCATAATCGATTTGGTACCCATTTTTGATTTGGTACCAACCCATATAGTAATAATAAAATCAATTTTTGCAAAAAATTTAATCAAGGCATTGCTTCCATCTCAATTTCTTGTATAATAACGTAAATTTTAACGTATCGCCGTTTTTTTGGTACGGTACCAATTTTTTTGGTACCAAAAAGTATCATTAAAAAATATTAATCGGAAATTAAAGGTACTCCCGAAATATACTTCGTTTTAATACATCAAGGTCTTCATCCAGCTTAGAAATGTCAATTTTTTTGAATGGTTCCTAAACGGTACCAAAAATGACGTCTAAATGGGTACCAAATTAAATTTAATGGTAGATACGTCGTGTTTGGGCTCATTTTAAAGCATTTTTCGTGTAGAATTTGAAAATGCCAATAAAATTGTTAAAAAAAAAATTTAGTATGGTACCAAACGAAATTTAAAGATAGATATGTCATTTTAAAGCATTTTTTTAATAAAAATTCATCAGAAATTGAAAGATTATTCAAATATTCATTGATTTGATGAATCATAACGTTATTTCAAGTTTATCGATGATTTGGTACCACTTATTGATATGGTACCTACCTATTTTGGTACCAAAAAATACCTTTTTTTCCAAATCTTCACTAAAAACAAAAAATGTTACCAAAAACACCTTAAAATCATATGTCATAACCATAATTTAGGTTCATAATCGACTTGGTACCTGTTTTTGATATGGTACCAACCCATATAGTAAATATAAAATAAATTTTATCAAAAATATTTTATCAAACAATGTGTTATACCTCAATTTGTGATATAATAACTTCATTTCAACAATTTCGTCGATTTGGCACCAATTGTTGTTATGGTACCATCACTTATTGGTACCATAAACTAATTTTTTTGATAAATATTTGTCAAAAATAGAAAGATTGGTCAAAAATTCATCGATTTGATCAATTATAACCCTAACTGACCATTATTATTGATTTGGTACCACTTATTGATATGGTACCAACCTCTTTTAGCGAAACAAAATAATTTTTTTTCTAAATTTTCATTAAAAACGAAAAAGTTACCAAAAAAACACCATGACTTGATGTGTCATAACCCTAATTTTAGTTCATTATCGATTTGGTACCCAATTTTGATATGGTACCAACCCATTTTGTAACTAAAACTTTCATAAAATATCAAATAGTAATGAATTATATCTCAAATTAATACATCGCAACCTCAATTTAACGAATTAATCGATTTCGAATTAATTTTTGGTATGGTACCATCACATTTAGGTACCACAAAAAAAATGTTTTAATAAATATTCATCAAAAACAAAAAGAGTGATACAAAATTCCCCGATCTAATTAATTATATTTTTATTTCAACTCAATTTTTAATTTGGTACCATTTATTGATGTGGTACCAACCTCTTTTAGCATAATAAAATAATTTTTTTTTGTAAATATTCATTAAAAACAAAAAAAGGGGCCAAAACACACCAAGTTAATGCGTCACAACCCCAATTAAAATTTTAATTCCATTTTTTGGTGTGGTACCAATTCATTTTGGTACCAAAAAGAACCTTTAAAAAAAGATTAATCGAAAATGAGAGAGAACACCCAGAAAATAAATTGATTTAATACATTTAATATTTAGAAATGTGAGATTTTTAGGTTGGTTCCAAAGTGGTACCAAAAATAACGTACCAAATTAAAATTAAAGACAAATACGTCGTGTTTGGTCTCATTTTAAAGCATTTTTCGCATCGAATTCGAAAATGACAAAGTTGTTATAAAAAAATTTTTTTTTTCAAAAATTTGGTATGGTACCAAATCAAATAAAATTAAAATTGAAGCAAAGTTTGTTAAAAATTGATAGAGGGGTTAAAATTGGTGCGATTTGATGTGCCACAATCATATTTTAAATTTTAAATTAAAAAAATCGATTTGGTATGGTACCAAATTAAATTTAAAGATAAATGTGTCATGTTTGGGCTCATTTTAAAGCATTTTTCGAATCGAATTCGAAAATAATAAAATTGTTAATAAAAAAAATTTTTTTTTCAACAATTTGGTATGGTACCAAATCAAATAAAATTAAAATTGAAGCAAATTCTGTTAAAAATTGATAGAGGGGTTAAAACTGATGCGATTTGATGTGCCACAATCGCATTTTAAAATTAAAATTAAAAAAATCGATTTGGTACCGTACCAAAACGGTACCAAATTAAATTTAAAAATAAATGTGGCATGTTTGGGCTCATTTTAAAGGATTTTTCGCGTGGGATTCAAAAATAATAATCAAATTGCAAAATTTTCGACGAAATTAAATTAATTTTCGTTAAAATAAAGGAAAATTTTTATTTTTTCTCGAACGGCCTACGAATGCATCTCAAAATGGTAACAGAAGCCGTCTCTGAGTCACTCGGCGCGATTTGACTTTTTCAATTCCTTTTTCAATTCTCAATAACAACAACAAAAAAAAAAATAACCTTAACTTAATAGTTGTTAAGTTGATAAAACGGTCGTAAATCTGGTCATCGTTATCTCGTTACGCTAGTTTTTTGATATTAAAAGTGAAGGTTAAGTGCGAATATTTCAAATCATTTTTTAATAATAAGATCATTTAAATCGATAGCGAATTTTTTTAATGATATTGCATTTATCAAATGTCTATTTGATAATTTCGTTATCGCTTTTCATTATTAAATCGATACATTTAAATTGCGATAAATTAATTTTTTTAGAACAACCGCAATTTTTTTTAGCAATGAGTAATGTTAAGAATTCGTGTTTCGTTGGAATCGAGTCTTAATCACGATTTAAGCTGGGTTTAAATACTTAAAAAAATATTAATTTTGTTATTTATTTATTTACCTCGCATAAAGCCACCCCTGTTTCGAGTCTATCCAAGAAATTTTCCGGATTGATCCTCAAATGGGGGTACAACGTTAATAACCATTCGGCTAAATCTTCTTTCATCGCGTACAAATACTCCTCGCTCGATTTGAACGGGCGAAAAGGCCTCGCCTCCAATAATGGAGCCCCCAACGACATTTTTACCCTTAACTTTACTCACACCCTTAACTTTAATTCAAATTATTTTATTGCAAAAATTAAATTCCATTAATTTTTTTTAATCAATTAAACTTTAAACAATCACCAAAAAACAACATTAACAAAAAAAAAACGATACAATTATTTTTTTTGCGCCCGAAATGAACCGACGCGAACCGACGTTCGATTCAAACTGAGTTTAGCGCATTGCGCGTCGCGTAGATATAGCTATACTGTATATATCGACTATTTGGAGAAGGAAATTCAAGTAGTGGGGGTAACAAATTAACTTAAAAACAAAAATCTTTATGATTACAACTGTTTTAAGTGGGGGTAGACCGCTTCACCCAAGTTCAAAAAGCGCAAAGTAGGCGCGAACTTTCGGGACGGCCTGTACCCCTCAAAAAATTATTAAAAAATCATTTAGGCATAACCTAAATTTTTTAAATTAAGCCAAGCGTCACCAAGGCTCGTATATTTTCCTTACTCATGAGTTTAAGGCACAAATAATTTTGAGTCGCCCCATCATTAATGTAGTAACAAAAAAACATCGTTGCAATGAGAAAGCGGAAAGCGACATCTATCAATTAATAGCTCAATTTGGTTCCGCGAAAATTAAAGGTTGATTTTTTTTAATTAAATTATTAATTAAATAGAATTAAAATAATCTTACCTTGTTTGGAATTTAATTTGTTCTACGATGAATCGATTTTAGTTGGAACAAATCATTAGGAGAATTCACTCGAAGAATTAACTTGAACAATTTCGTCCTCATATCTAGAACAAAATAATCGGTATAAACGATTTAACAATAAATGAAGTAACTATTTATTAAAAGAAATTAGATGTGTTAAATATTACCAAATTACTTTGCTAACTTCATCTTTTACGATTTATTCCAAAAAATTATATTTTTAGGTTATTATAAATGTTGTAATAATAAACGTCGTTGTGATAAATAACGCCTTTCGATACCTTTTTTAATAATTAAAAACCGTAAATTAACAATTCCGATTAATTTCAATAACATAACCTAACTTTTAATATTCTTCTCTAATAACAATGACGCGCCAACAGATGGCGCTTATAGTATGAATCGTTGAATTATTAAAATAAATAATAAAATTTATTTTCACTTAACTTTTATGATATTTCCAATTTTATTATCAAAATCACTCCAACACTATAATTTTAATAACCTTTTCTTTTGCAAGAAACGACAAAAAAAGAAATTTCGTAATTTAACCTCACTTTTTTCCTCCTAACGTTCTTCTACGAAATCCTTTTTAACTTTTACTACTCCGTTAAATTTCTCTTACCAGATTAAAATTGGGTTGTCCCCAAGGCTATTATTTCTTTAATATTAGTTGATTTCGTTAACTTTTAAGCAAAAATTTTATGTTATATTCTCAACTGTCATTTACAATCAAACTTATGTCAATATTCCTAATTTACAAAACTCCTAATATCGAAATGTAATAAAATTTTATAATAAAACGATTACAAAAGTAATCTTTTTGCTTGGAAATGTTTTATATGCATGATCAATTAGGAGGAAGACGATATTAGAAGAAAAAAAATCCATCATAGAGTTATTTAACATCTATGACATTTTCAACAACTTGGTAAACTCACCGTAATAACTAAATCCTTTCAGCTTTTCATTACAGCTGAAACATCTACATTACAATAATTATAAATGTCGGAAATATGCCTTTAATTCTTTAAAATCGTAGAGCAAAAAACATCTCCGTTGACACTTCTGACAACTTGGTTGTCCATTTTCTCATTATCTTCATGATTTTTAAAATTCTTTGCTTACATAGGTTTTAAAATCACCCACCGAAGAGATATTAACTTCATCTTACAAGATTTATTCCAAAAAATCACATTTTTAGGTTATCTTTTCTCGCATCAACCTCGATTTTTCTCTTCGTCTCATACCTTGATTATAAACGTTGTAATAATAAACGTCGTTGTGATAAATACCTAACACCTTTTGGTAGCTTTTTAATTATTAAAAAGCGTAAATAAACTTAATTTCGATTAATTTTTGTGACATAACCTATCTGTCAATTTTTCATTTTAATAACTATGACAAGCCGATAGATGGCGCGTTAAATCGTCGATTTTTTTTTTTTTAAATTAAATAAAACATAATTAAAATGTAATTTTACCTTATTCCTCGTCTAATTCGTTCTACAATGAAACGATTAATGAAACTTGAAGAATTAACTCGGAGAATGAACTCCAACAATTTCCTTTAATTTTTTTCTTCTAGTAACTATAACACGCCGATAGATGGCGCGTTAAATCTTTAATGTATTAAAATAATAAAATTTATTTTTATTTAACTTTTATGGTATTTTTTAGTTCTATTATTTATACCATTGAAAAACATTAATTTTAATAATTTTTTCCTTTTCAAGCAACAAAGAAAACTAATTTTTTATAATTTAACCCCACTTTTCTCTCTTAATCCTTATTTATCACTTTTTCGCAAATTTCTCTTACCGGAATATAATTGAGTCGCTCCTGAGGCTATTATTTCTTAAATATTATTAATAACTCTACCATCGTAGAGTTATTTAACACTTCCGTCAACTTGGTTGTTATTTCTTTTTGCATAATCCATCATTTTTAAAGTTTATAACTTATAGAGGTTTTAAAATCACCCACCGAAGAGATATTAACTTCATCTTACAAGCTTTATTTCAAAAAATCATATTTTTAGGTTATCTTTTCTTGCATCAACCTCGATTTTTCTCTTCGTCTCATACCTTGATTATAAACGTTGTAATAATAAACGTCGTTGTGATAAATAACACCGTTTGGTAGCTTTTTAATTATTAAAAAGCGTAAATAAACTTAATTTCGATTAAATTTTATGACATAACCTATCTGTCAATTTTTCATTTTAATAACTATGACACGCCGATAGATGGCGCGTTAAATCGTCGATTTTTTTTTTAATTTTATTTAAATAAAAGATAATTTTACCTTATTCCGCGTCTAATTCGTTCCATAATGAAACGATTAATGAAATTCGAAGAATTAACTCGGAGAACGAACTCCAACAATTTCCTTTAATTTTTTTCTTCTAGTAATTATGATACGTCGATAGATGGCGCGTTAAATCTTTAATTGTTTAAAATAATTAATAAAATTTATTACTTTTATCGCCTATTTGTTTAAATTAATCTTCGAATCTTCATTTTTGGTTGTATTTTCCATGTTAATCATATTCCGTAATAAAATAAGTTTAAATCTTAAAATAATCTAACCTCACTTTTCTCCATTTCTTCACAAAATCCTTCACTACAGCGCAAAATTCTTCTTATTAGCTTAAATAGGATCATCTTGACACAATAATTTCTTAAATATTAATTGATTTAATTAATTTTTAAGAATCAAAAATATTTTAGTCCCTGTCACTGTCACTACATTAAAAATCTGTCAATTTTCCTAATATACAAAATCCCTAAAATCGAATTCAAAAATGTAAAGTTGATTTCTAATTTATACAAACATTTATTTATTACACCAATTATATTTAACAATAAATTTCACCTCTTCTCCAAATCGTTTAGTTCCAAATGATTCTTCATACCTTTATTAACCGGTTCTAAAACCTCAGGGGGGCTTCGACTCAACGCGTTAAAACTGGACCTCTCCTTCAACAAATCTAAGCCGTTCAACGAAATCGATCGATTATCCGCTTCCCCGTTCTCCAAAATAACATTTTCCTTCATTTTAAGCACTTTAAACGGCGTATTTTGGTGGCTCTTCGACCTCGTATTTCTACTTTGCTGATTATAATCCAAATTCAAACTAAAATCTAATTGATCCAAATCGCTGGTCGTCATAAAATGATCGGTTGTGCTCGAAAACAAGCTGGGGGTGTCGTATTCGCTCGTGTTGTCATCTGAAGGTGAAATAGGAGATGAGATTTGTTGGGTTAATAAGCTTTTTAGGATAGAATCGACTGGTTTTTCGGTTTCGATGACGATTTCTGTCGTGTATTGAGGAGTTGGGGTTAGGGGTGAGGCGGCCGAGCGGAAATTGGAGCTTAAAATGGGCCATTTCGTGTCTTTATCTAAATCGCGCTCGATTGCTAAATATTTCCGCTTCGATTTATTGATATCGTGGAATTTGTAGCGCAATCGCTTAAAAACTAATTTATCAACGATAAAAATTTCGACTAAAAGTGCTAAAACGAAGTTGATTAAGCCGTAAATTACTAAAAAGACGCGGAAATTAACATCGGAGGGGATGATTAACTCGAAACTATCTTTTAAGAAGTCTAAATTACAAAAAGCTAAATAAATAGAGAAAATAGTTACTAAAATCGTTGAGATGATCATCCCATAATTGGTGAAAATACTTTTCCGGTACGGTTTACCCTTGCTAAAAACAACGGCTAAAATGATATATTGGAAGCTTGATATTGTAAAAATTGCGTAATTTTCGTAACAACCGACGTCGTCTTTATGCGCGTCTTCGCTGGGTTGAAACGGGGTGAACCACGGTTGGCTTAATAAATGTAAATAACTCAAAACTTGGAACGATACCAATAAAATTAATTGCAACAACAACGATAACACTGGAGTGAAACTAATTAAGCTATTTAGGGGGGTTTCAGAGACTAAGGGGCCATCGTACGCTTCGGTCCTCCCAAAGAAAAACGCAACCACCGAAATAATAAATAAATCAATGTACAAAAATTCGATGTCGGTTAAATTTGAATCGATACTATACAAAATCATCACCGAAACGAATTGGCACAAACTATAAGACGCCATATATTTGAATATTCCAAAGCTGGTTACTAAAGCGGCGCGTCCTTCTCTGATCACGTTTAAAACGCAGGTTATGTCGGGGATTTTTGATGTAAAAGGGGATGCTACGGATGATTCGGCGTCGGAGAGGGATATCCCGGTGTGGGCCGCTTTTAAAGCGCCGCAATCGTTGGCTCCATCACCACACATTCCTAAAATACAAGGAAATTTATTTAAATCAAATTTACTATTTACTATTTAATACATTGATGAATTTTTTTATAAATTTTTGAATAAAGTTTAAACGTCAATGTGACATATATTCAATGTTACCAACTGTAACCAACTTCACAACAATTTGTCAAAATTAAATGACAATTTTATGAAACGACATATTTTTTTAATGAAAATTAATTAATTTATGCTTAAATCATACGAAGAAAGGAATTTGTTTACGTTTTATTAATGTCAAACCTTTAGAAAGTCCAAATTAAATAATTAAATTGAATTAATACTAGACCTAGAAACGCCATCTAGTAGTAAGAGACTGCAACGATGACTGTCATTAATTACTCATAATTACAAGAATTTATATTAGATATGTCCGGTTCTTCAATTATATAGATATGACCATTTTGTACTTTCAAACATCAAAAGAAAAATGTTTTAATTAATTAACTAATTGAAAATTTACAAAAACGGTTTCATTGTGTGGAAAATCGAAAATGCTTCAAAATGAGTCCAAACTCGATGTGCTTATCTTAAAAAATGGCGGAGATATTAAGATGATTAAAAAACATCAAAATGGCGGCCATTTTGTTGATTATAACCTAACTTTTTTCTTATTTTTATCGTAAATATGTCGTGTTTGGTATCAAATTAAATGGTTTTTAGTGTAGATTATGGATTAATCAATGAAATAATTTTAAAATTTTGATATAATTGTTTTAAATCATATAACATTTGTTTTTAATAAAATAATCGTAAAGATAATTAAAAATGCTTTAAAATGAGTCCAAACTCGACGTATTTATTTTAAAAAATGAGGGAGATAGGAAAATTAAAAAAAAAACAAGATGGCGGCCATTTCGTTGTTCATAACCTAACTTTTTTAATTTTTATCGTAAATATGTCGTGTTTGGTATCAAATTAAAGCATTTTTAATGCAGATTACAAATTAAACGATAAAAAAATTATAAAATTTCGTGTTGCAATTTTTTTAATGATATTAAATGTATTTCTAATAAAATCGTCGTAAACATAATTAAAAATCATTTAAAATTAGTCCAAACTCGACGTGCTTATCTTAGAAAATGAGGGAGATATGAAGAAAATTTAAAAAAAACAAAATGGCGGCCATTTGGTTGATTATAACCTAACTTTTTTAATTTTTATCGTAAATATGTCGTGTTTGGTATCAAATTAAAGCATTTTTAATGCAGATTACGAATTAAACAATAAAAAAAAATTTAAATTTCGTGTTGCAAATTTTTTAGTGATATTAAATGCATTTCTAATAAAATCGTCGTAAGCGTAAATAAAAATCGTTTAAAATGAGTCCAAACTCGACATATTTATCTTAAAAAATGAGGGAGATATGAAGAATATTAAAAAAAACAAAATGGCGGACATCTTTACTGACTTTAACCTAATTTTTTTTTATTTTTATCGTAAATAGGGCATGTTTGGTATCAAATTAAAGGGTTTTTAATGTAGATTACGAATTAATCAATAAAAAAAATTTAATTTTGAAATCTTGTGTTATAATTTTTTTGATTGTATTAAATTCGTTTATAATATATTTCATCGTAAAGACAATTAAAAATCGTTTAAAATGAGCCCAAACTCGATATGCTTATGAAGTAATAAGATTTAGTAAGTAAAAAAAATAAAAAGGCGGCCATCTTTGTTGACTTTAACCTCACTTTTTTCTTATTTTATCGTAAATAGGGCGAGTTTGGTATCAAATTAAAGGGTTTTTAAAATAGATTACGAATTAATCGATAAAAAAAATTATAAAATTTCGTGTTACAATTTTTAAATGATATTAAATGCATTTCTAATAAAATCGTCGTCAGCATAATTAAAAATCGTTTAAAATAAGTCCAAACTCGACGTATTTATCTTAAAGAATGAGAGAGATATGAGGAAAATTAAAAAAAAAAACAAAATGGCGGCCATTTGGTTGATTATAACCTAACTTTTTTAATTTTTATTGTAAATATGTCGTGTTTGGTATCAAATTAAAGCATTTTTAATGTAGATTACGAATTAATCAATAAAAAAATTATAAAATTTCGTGATACAATTTTTTTAAGATATTAAAATTTAATATCTTAAAAAATCTAATAGAATCGTCGTGAGCATAATTAAAAATCGTTTAAAATGAGTCCAAACTCGATGTATTTATCTTAAAAAATAAGGGAGGTATTAAAAATAATTAAAGAAAAACAAAATGGCGGCCATTTGGTTGATTATAACCTAACTTTTTTATTTTTTATTGTAAATATGTCGTGTTTGGTATCAAATTAAAGCATTTTTAATGTAGATTACGATTAATCAATAAAAAAAATTATAAAATTTCGTATTGCAAATTTTTTAATGATATTAAATTTATTTCTAATAAAATCGTCGTAAACATAATTAAAAATCGTTTAAAATAAGTCCAAACTCGACGTATTTATCTTAAAAAATGATAGAAATATAAAGAAAATTGAAAAAAAAACAAAATGGCGGCCATTTCGTTGTTTATAACCTAACTTTTTTAATTTTTATCGTAAATATGCCGTGTTTGGTATCAAATTAAAGCATTTTTAATGTAGATTACGAAAAAGCTATAAAATTCTTCGATAATCTAGGAACCATATTTAAAAAATTGTAAAGATAGTTTTGACAGTTTTGTTATAGCAACCAAAAGTAAACTAAACAGTATTGTTTTCAATACAAATAATAATAAAAACCACCACTGACAAAATTAATTAAAAAAAAACTTACCAACATAATACCCAATTCCTTGTAATTCCTGAACGAGTTGTTGCTTTTGATCAGGAGACATCCGGGCGAAAACGCTCCCACGAGTTACAAATTTCGGAATCAACTCAGCAAAATGCTCTTTAATCACCATCCAAACCTTTCCAGTTAACGCAAATCGATAATTATTATTAAATAAACTTTGTGGTTTCGAAACTTCATTTGTAATCGTCCCCATTTGTGACTCTAACGTATCCAAACTCTCGATACTATTCGAATTGGATAATAAACTCAAATCGTTGTTACACTTAACGTTTTTAATCGCCGTTTGGAGCGTAAAAATTAATTTTGGATCTTGGCTCGTTTCGTCGACGTTGATCGCAATGACGCTTTGGTTTTCGGAGATTATCCCGCAATCTCTCGCTACGCTCAAAGCCGTTAACATGTTATCGCCGGTTACCATGACGATTTTAATTTTTGCCTCGTTTAACGTTTTGATCGATGGCTCAGTGTTGGGTTTTAAACGATTTTCCAAAACTATTAGCCCCAAAAGGGTCATATCGCGCTCTAAAACTTCCCTTTGCACCTTTTGGACTTTGGTGTAAGACATCTTTTTTAATTCACGGTGAGCTAACGCGATAACTCGGTACCCTTCAACCGTGTAACTCTCGAGGACGTCGTGGAAATTTTTGGGAATCGTCTCGGCGTCGACGAAATTTAAAATCATCTCCGGCGAACCTTTGCAATAATACTCGTAGTTGCGGGCTCCTAATTTACGGATTATGACGCCCATTCGTTGGAGCGATGAGGAGAACGGGAATTCTTTGATCACGCCGATTTCGGTCTCAAATTCGCCTGGTGATATTAAAGAATTTTGAGATTTTTGCGGCGGTTTAAACACGGTGGGATAAATCACGTCGAATTTTGAATTGTCGGATATGTCCGGTTCTTCTATTGACCATTTTGTACTTTCAAACATCTAAAAAAAATATTTTTTAATTAATTAACTAATTAAAATATTATAAAAAGGGTTTTATAGCGTGGGAAATCGAAAATGCTTCAAAATGAGTCCAAACTCGATGTGTTTATCTTAAAAAATGGGGGAGATATTACAAAAAAACAAAATGGCGGCCATTTTGGTGATTATAACCTAACTTTTTTTATTTTTATGATAAAGAGGGCGTGTTTGGTATCAAATTAGAGGGCTTTTAGCGTAGATTACGAATTAATCGCTAAAAGATTTTTAAATTTTCGTGTTGCAATTTTGGAATAATATTAAATTCGTTTCTAATAAAATAGTGGTAAAGATAATTAAAAATGCTTTAAAATGAGTCCAAACTCGATGTGTTTATCTTTAAAAATGGGGGAGATATAAAGAAAATGAAAAAAAAACAAAATGGCGGACATTTCGTTGATTATAACCTCACTTTTTTTTATTTTTATCGTAAATAGGGCGTGTTTGGTATCAAATTAAAGAGCTTTTAATGTAGATTACAAATTAATCAATAAAAAAATTTTTTAATTTATAAATGTTTTGTTATAATTTTTTTGATTGTATTAAATTCGTTTCTAATGTATTTCATCGTAAAGGCAATTAAAAATCCTTTAAAATGAGCCCAAACTCGATATGTTTATGAAATAATAAGATATAGTAAGTAAAAAAATAAAATGGCGGCCATCTTTGTTGACTTTAACCTCACTTTTTTTATTTTTATCGTAAATAGGGCGTGTTTGGTATCAAATTAAAGGGTTTTTAATGTAGATTACGAATAAAACAATAAAAAAAATTAAATTTCGAAATTTTGTGTTATAATTTTCTTGATTGTATTAAATTCGTTTCTAATATATTTCATCGTAAAGACAATTAAAAATCGTTTAAAATGAGCCCAAACTCGATATGCTTATGAAGTAATAAGATTTAGTAAGTAAAAAAATAAAATGGCGGCCATCTTTTTTGACTTTAACCTCACTTTTTTCTTATTTTATCGCAAATAGGTCGAGTTTGGTATCAAATTAAAGGGCTTTTAATGTAGATTACGAGTAAAACAATAAAAAAAATTTAAATTTCGAAAATTTGTGTTATAATTTTTTTGATTGTATTAAATTCGTTTCTAATATATTTCATCGTAAAGACAATTAAAAATCGTTTAAAATGAGCCCAAACTCGATATGCTTATGAAGTAATAAGATTTAAAAGTAAAAAAAATAAAAAGGCGGCCATCTTTGTTGACTTTAACCTCACTTTTTTTATTTTTCTCGTAAATAGGGCGTGTTTGGTATCAAATTAAAGGATTTTTAATATAGATTACGAATTAATTGATAAAAACAATTATAAAAATTCGTGTTACAATTTTTTTAATGATATTAAATGCATTTTTAATAAAAGCATCGTAAGCATAATTAAAAATCGTTTAAAATGAGTCCAAACTCGATGTATTTATCTTAAAAAATGAGGGAGATAGGAGAAATATTAAAAAAAATAAAATGGCGGATATTTCGTTTGATCATAACCTAACTTTTTTTTAATTTTATCGTAAATATGACGTGTTTGGTATCAAATTAAAGCATTTTTAATGTAGATTACGATTAAACAATAAAAAAATTATAAAATTTCGTGATACAATTTTTTTAAGATATTAAATGCATTTCTAATAAGATCGTCGTAAGCATAATTAAAAATCGTTTAAAATGAGTCCAAACTCGACGTGTTTATCTTAAAAAATGAGGGAGATATGAAGAATATTAAAAAAAACAAAATGGCGGCCATTTGGTTCATTATAACCTAACTTTTTTAATTTTTATCGTAAATATGTCGTGTTTGGTATCAAATTAAAGCATTTTTAATGTAGATTACGAATTAATCAATAAAAAAATTATAACATTTCGTGTTACAATTTTTTTAATGATATTATTACATTTCTAATAAAATCGTCATAAGTATAATTAAAAATCGTTTAAAATGAGTCCAAACTCGATTTATTTATCTTAAAAAATGAGGGAGATATGAAGAATATTAAAAAAAAAACAAAATGGCGGCGATTTGGTTGATTATAACCTAACTTTTTTAATTTTTATCGTAAATATGTCGTGTTTGGTATCAAATTAAAGCATTTTTGGCGTAGATTACGAATCTAATTAGCTCACCTTTAAATCAAGCGGATCCCCGGTGATTTTTTTATTAATAATCGTTAGGGAGTGACACGAAACCAATCCACCCAATAACAAATCGTTGGGGAGAGCCTCCACGTTTTTAACCGGCTTGACGAAGTGGTGATTTTCGACAGGAACGACGCAAAGCAGATCTAACCCATCTTCCGTTAAAGTCCCCGTCTAAAAAACACAAAAAGAGTCAAATCTAAAATTACCAATAATTAATTAACTTACTTTATCGAAGCAAACGCAATCGATGGATCCCGCGACGTTAATCGCGCGGGGCGAGATGCAAAAAATTTGATTCTTTTGGAGCCGATTTTGCGCGTAATATCTCCCAACTGTCATCGCGGCCGGTAAAGCAGGTGGCACCACGATCGTTATTAAATCGCAAGCTTCAAACACTATATCCACCGTTGGGACTCCTCTCATAACCTTCGTTATGACGGTATAAATGAACCCAATTCCTGCGATGCAAGCTAATAACGCAACAAATCGATACGAATCCTTTTCAAATCGGAAATCGACCGGGGGAGGGTACAAAATGCTCCTCACCAAGCCCCCTTTCGCCGTTGAAAATCCCGTTCTTATTACGACGGCTAAAACTTTTTCTCCCCCGAAATATCTCGTTTGAATCACGTGAGTTCCGCAGAAAAGTGTGTGTCTTGCGTGTTCTTTAGGATCATAGTGGTAATTGGGTAAATTTGGGAAAGGTGTTTTTGTAACAGGAACTGATTCCCCGGTTAACATCGATTCATTAACGATGCAATTTCCGGTTAATAACAAAGCATCGCATTGCATCATGCACCCATCGCCGGGGATTTCTAAGATATCCCCAGGGACTAAATGACTCGTCGAAATCAATTCAGTTTCGAAACTTATTTGATCATCCCCTGAGGAAGTCGTTTGATTCGAAATTTTTTTCCGCAACACTTTGCAAATGTCGGAACTTTGAACGGTCGATTTCAAATTTCTTTGATTCCTCCTCGTTTGAATCACTGTCATCACGATTCCAAACGCCGACATCAATAAAATCGCCGCCGCGTAATAATAATAATTATCGACGAACCACAAAACGAAACTAAATAATTGGAAGATGTAGAACGGGTTAAGTACTTCTAAAAAAAGTAGGGTTAAGATCGGTTGCTCCTTCACCAAAATTTCGTTCGGCCCATAAACTAACCTCCGCATGAATTGCTCGTTTTTGCTTAACCCCTCTTTATTCGAATGGAAGATTTCCGCGGTTACATCGACGTCTAAACCCCGAAGCTTAACGAATTCGCTTTTTTGAGGGTGCCAAAAATACGTTACTTTTTTACAATCGAAAAGGAGTAATTTATCGATTTCTTTGAAAGCCCCATTTCCGAAATGTACCGAGAGTTGTAAATCGCAATCGAAATTGTTCTCTTTATCGAGTAAGTTGTCTCGTTTTTTGATTTTTTTTAATAAATCGCTTGTTAATACTTTAACCGGTTTGACGTGGTAAATTTTGTGCTTTTTGTTGTACAACTCGGTGATTAAGACGTATTCAGCTTCGGCTACTCGACACTGGATGGCGCGCGCCTTCAAATACCAATGCGGGACCCAATGGAAAACTAACCTCAATAATCCCGCGGTTATTAAAATTAAAAAATAAGTTATTGTTGATCGAATCGGAGATGTTTTGTACCCGCAAACGTCCATTTCGTCGTCTTGACCCGCGTTTAATCGCATTATAAAGCGGTGATGAAGTACTTGGTTATCTAAAAAATAAAAAAAATTGTTTTTTAGTTTCATTTTTTATTAATTAATCGAAATTAACGGTTTAAATTTGAGGAACCTTTTAATAATCCGGTTTCTTGTTCTCCAATAAGCTCCCTCGGTGGGTTTTGTGGGCAAAGAGCCCTCCATTTCTCCTTCAGGAACCCCATTTTTTTTAATTAATTAATTAATTCACCACAACAAAGTTTATTTATTTATTTAATTTTAAGTTCTAAATAAAAATAACACTAAAAAATTGTTTATTTCACTTTCAATCTCTTCTCTTTGAATTTGAATTTGAATCCTTAAATCCTTCCTAATCGTTTTCTTCTCCGACTCACGAAGCGAATTAACTCCTTCAATTTCGTTTTTTTTGTTTCAAAGATCTATTTCTACCTTTAAAAAATCCACAATTTTACTTTAAATCGTTTTAAACCCCATTTTTCCATCCAAAAACCAAATAAACGAACATCCGGTGCGCTCCTCAATCAACGAGATTGAAGAGCGACAAAAATACGATTATGTTTAAACGGTTTCGTTTCAAATAATATTATATCTAACGAGCCGCGCGTTTTATATTGAATTCGGTTCCCTAAAGTCCTTGCGGACTAATAAAGAAAAAAGGAGGCCTTTTTTAAAGAGAGACGGAGTTTTTAATTTTAATTTTATCATTTTTATTCTACTCCGAGTTTTGAATTTCGCTTATTTTGATTTATTACAACTTTTAAATGAGTCGGCGTAATTTTTTTTTGACGAAATTACTTCATAAACGTGTTCGGCGTTGGAAATGCTTTGAAATGAGCCCAAACTCGATGGGGTTAACTTTAAAATTGATTAAGATGGGGGAAAATGTCAATTAAAAAAACAAGATGGCGGGGATTTTTAAAAAAATTGATAAAATGATTTAGAATCGGACAGAAAATTAAAAATCCTTTAAAATGAGTCCAAACTCGGTGGGGTTATCTTTAAAAATGGCGGAAATAAATGAGAGAAATACTAATAAAAGTCGGCCATTTTGTTTTTTAACTTTATTGAAAACATGTCGTGTTTGGTATCAAATTAAAGGATTTTTAATACTGATTGGTAATTTTTAAAAAAAATTTGCAAAAAATTTTGATTGAAAAAAAACAAGATGGCGGCGGTTTTTTCAAAAATTTCAAAAAATTATTTAGAATCGGAGGGGGAATAAGAAAATTGAAAATCCTTTAAAATAAGTCCAAACTCGGTGGGGTTATCTTTAAAAATGGCGGAGATAAATAAAAAAAATACCAATAAAAGTCGGCCATTTTGTTTTTTAACTTTATTGCAAATATGTCGTGTTCGGTATCAAATTAAAGGATTTTTAATACTGATTGTTAATTTTAAAAAAAAAATTACTAAAAAAGTTGATTGAAAAAAATCAAGATGGCGGCGATTTTTTCAAAAATTTCAAAAAATTATTTAGAATCGGAGAGAGAATAAGTGAATTGAAAATCCTTTAAAATGAGACCAAACTCGGTGGGGTAATCTTTAAAAATGGTGGATATAAATGAGATAAAAATACTAATAAAAGTCGGCCATTTTGTTTTTTAACTTTATTGAAAATATGTCCTGTTTGGTATCAAATTAAAGGATTTTTAATGCTGATTGTTAATTAAAAAAAAATATGCAAAAAATGTTGATTGAATGAAAACAAGATGGCGGCGATGTCAAAAAATTTCAAAAAAATATTTAGAATCGGAGAGAGAATAAGCAAATTGAAAATGCTTTAAAATAAGTCCAAACTCGGTGGAGTTTTCTTTAAAAATGGCGGAACTAAAATAAAATTTTCTACAAAATTGCGGCCATTTTGTTTTTTAACTTTACCGGAAATACGTCGTGTTTGGTATCAAATTGAAGGATTCTTGATACTGATTGTAAATTTAATAAAAAACATATGCAAAAAATTTTAATTGACAAAAAACAAGATGGCGGCGATATTTCTAAAAATTTCAAAAAATTAAAAATGATTTAAAATTGAAAAGAAAATCAAAAATCGTTTCAAACGAACCCATGTTGTTACCGATGTTGTTATCTTTAAAAATGGCGGTGATAAATGAAAAAAATACTAATCAAAGTCGGCCATTTTGTTTTTTAACTTTATTGAAAATATGTCGTGTTTGGTATCAAATTAAAGGGTTTTTAATGCTGATTGTTAATTAAAAAAAATATGCAAAAAATGTTGATTGAATAAAAACAAGATGGCGGCGATGTCTAAAAATTTCAAAAAATGATTTAGAATCGGAGAGAGAATAAGAAAATTGAACATCCTTTAAAATGAGTACAAACTCGGTGGGGTTATCTTTAAAAATGGCGGAAATAAAATAAAATTTTCTAAAAAATTGCGGCCATTTTGTTTTTTAACTTTACCGGAAATACGTCGTGTTTGGTATCAAATTGAAGGATTTTTGATACTGATTGTTAATTTAAAAAAAAATTTGCTACAAATTATAATTGAAAAAAAAACAAGATGGCGGCAATTTTTCAAAAAATATCAAAAATGGCAATTGATATAGAATTGGAAAGAAAACCAAAAATCCTTTAAAATGAGTCTAACCTCAATGGGGTTATCTTCAAAAATGACGAAAATAAAAAAAAACTACCAAAAAGTAGCGGCCATTTTGTTTTTTATTTTTAACTAAAACATATCGTGCTTGGTATCAAATTAAAGGATTTTTAATGTTGATTGTCAATTTAACAAAAAAATATGCAAAAATTTTAATTGAAAAAAAAAAAACAAGATGGCAGCAATGTTACTAAAAATATCAAAAAATTAAAAATGATTTAAAATTGAAAAGAAAACCAAAAATTGTTTCAAACGAACCCAAACTCGATGTGGCTATCTTTAAAAATGGCGGAGATAACAAAGAAAAGCTACCCAAAAATGGCGGCCATTTTGTTTTTTATTTTTTATCGAAAATAATATGTCGTGTTTGGTATCAAATTAAAGGATTTCTTATCATCCTTAATAATTTCCCATTTTTAACGAGATTAAAGCAAAAAAGTGAAAATCGATTTTTTGACACTTGACATTTAATTCAAAATTTGTTGTTACTTTTTAAGGAAAATGTACCATTTTGAGACTCTAAAATCGTTTAAAAAGGATTAAAACTTAATTAAACGGTACATATTTTAATTAAAAAAAAAAAAACAAGATGGCGGCGATTTAACCTAACTTTTTTGTTTTTTAAGCGAATTAGGTCGTGTTTGGTATCAAATTAAAGGATTTTTCATCCTGCATAATAATTTCTCATTTTTATTGGGTTTTATGGTAAAAAAATTAAGATCGATTTTTTTGATATTTGACATTTAACTCAAAATTTTTTTTATTTTTTAACGAAAACTCATCGTTTTGAGACTCGATAATCGTTCAAAAAAAAGAAGATTAAAATTTAATTAAAAAAAACAAGATGGCGACGATTTAACCTAACTTTTTCATTTTTGAATACAAGTATATCGTGTTTGGTATCAAATTAAAGGATTTTTCATCTTATATAATAATTTCCCATTTTCATTGAAGTTAAAGCAAAAAAATAAAAATCGATTTTTTGACATTGACGTTTAAACTTTTTTTAACGAAAACGCGGTGTTTAAAATCTAAGCTATTTTTAGAATGGAATTTAAAACATCGAATCTCTCCTTCTCTTTCTCTCGCTTGAAAGCAAAAAAATTTTGGCTCATTTTAGCCACTCGCATTGGATTTTCCAAGGATAAACAAGGATCAAAGTGTGATTTCGATGATTCATTTTTTTTTCTAAGAACTAATACATTCATTGTAATTTCTTTGCGGTTTGGTTAACCTTGATTAAATTGAACCGATTCAATTTTTATCTTTTATTTGAACGTGTTAAAGCGTGTGCGAGCTTATCGGCTTAGATAACGAATGCAATTCAAGGTATTTTTAGTCACGGTACGCAAAAAAGAAGAATTTTTTTTTTAATTTTAGTTTCAAGATGGAAAAATGGCGGAGATTATTTTTAATTTTCTACCTTTTTCTTAGCGGCTATCAAATAACTATTAGAAGATGCTCGTATCCCAGCATAAAATTCAAACTGTGTCAGTCTCCGGGATCGTTTTTCGCTCTGTATCCAACTCTAGGACGATCAAATCCTGCGCTATCCAACACCTCCACCATCTTATTCGTGCACAAAAACGTGGTCTTGTTCTGCCTCAAACCGAATTTATAATCGTATTCAAATTCACCTTGTTGCATATTTTATCAAAAAAACACTGTTTTAATTTTAAAACACAAAAAAATCAAAACCTAACGTTCTTCGTCTTCAAATCAACAAAAAAACTTAATTCAACTCAACTTGAAAATCAGTCACAGGACTTCTAATGATCAATTGAAACATCAAATACGACTTATTCACCTTCATTTTTAAACGTAACCACTTTATTAACACAATCACTTTGTAAGTCACGAAGATAACCACTTAATATTCAAGCGAGCACGATGCAATCACGAAGAAAACGCGAGAATAAATGGATTTCGACTAGAAATGTCAAAATGACGTTTAACGGAAACGTCAATGCGAGTTAGCGCCATCTATTAATGAAGTGCCAATTCAACTTCTTATTTTATTTAATTTTTTTGGTTTATTAACATAATTAATAAGTTTGAATCAATAAATTTAATAAAAAAAAATGATTAAACTCACCCAACAAAGATTTTAAACCAATTCGGATTTGAAACGAGATTAAAACGAAATAATGCGTCTTTATCGTTTTATTAATAAAAATTTAATATGATTGTTGTTCATCTTTAAGTGGTTCTCCGATAATAATCGAAGCATTATCTGTATTCGTTTCATTTTAAATCCTTAATTTAAAAAAAAATTACCTTAATGCAACAGATCCTGCTGCCATCTCTTTTCAAATTTGACACTTCTCTTAATTTATTTCATCACTTTTAATTGTTTAAATACACGATATTTATTGCAAAACTTAACAATTTCGTTTAGAAATGAAAGTTAACTCAACAGGTGATGATGATGTTGATGATGACGTGAGCACACCTTGAAAACTAAAAAATATTTAATCGCAACTTTATTATACCGAAATTATCTCATTGTATTTTTTTATTACTATCATCAAATTACGTGGTTAATTTTTGTCGTTAAATTATTATTAATAAATAAAAAGCGATTTTTATTATTTATTTTTAAATAAAAAATTAAATTTGACGTAAACGTCAAATGAAAAAGTGAGGTTAACCCGAAAATCCCGCGCTAAGTTTACCCCCTAAATGATAAACGCGGTGGTGTTTAACGATGGCTAAGGTTCAACTTTGTAATATAACGGTGATGGATAATCCGAGTGCTTTCTCGAATCCGTTTCAGTTCGAAATAACGTTCGAGTGCATCGAAGAATTAAAAGAAGGTGATTTAACCTCAATTTTTTTGATTTTTTTTGTTAATAACGGTTTTTTTTTTAGATTTAGAATGGAAAATGATTTATGTGGGTTCCGCGGAAAGTGAGGAGCACGACCAAGTTCTCGATTCGGTTTTCGTTGGGCCCATTCCTGAGGGAAAACACATGTTTGTGTTTCAAGCCGATCCACCGAACGTGCAAAGGATACCCGAAAACGATGCGATTGGTGTTACGGTTGTTTTGTTAACGTGTTCGTATAAAGGACAAGAGTTTATTAGGGTTGGTTATTTTATAAATAACGAGTATTACGATCCTGAGTTGAGGGAGAATTTACCGAGTCCACCTCAATTCGATAAAGTCGTTAGGAATATTTTGGCCTCCGAGCCGCGAGTAACTAGGTTTAAGATTAATTGGGAGGACCAATCTGGGGGGGTTATCGAAAATTCTGAAGAAAGTGCTAATACGGCTAGTTTGGAGTGTGTTTAATTTAATGTTGTCTAAAATATACTATTTTTTAAATTAAATTTGTTTGTTTATTTATTTTACACAATTAATTGACATTATAGTAATTAATAATTAAAATAGAGAGTTGAGAGAATAAAAATAAACATTAATCGGAAGGTATTTAATAAAATTATTGCATATCAAAGTAAAAATTGATTAATTCATTAAGAATCAAATCAAGGATATTAGTTTATTGTAATTATAATTTATGAGCCACAAATCGCATTTAAATAGCGATTGAGAGTTAAATAAGTAATTCTAACCTCACTTTTAAATTTGACATAATTATAATTTAATTTTTTAAAAAATTCTTTATTAAAAGATATTAAACCGACTTAAATATTATAATTAAGGTACTTATTAATTAGTTTAACGATAATTTGGAGCTTGATAACACTTATTTATCGATGAAAATCTCTTTCGTAGTTGCAAAGTTTTCACATCAAAATTCATAACGGAGGGTGAAATTTTCGTTCAAATCTTTTGGTTAATTCTGAAAGAAAAGAATAATAAATCGTTATTTGGGGAAATTCGAAGGAATAGGGTTGAATTTAATAAAATTGGTTTTATAACCTCAAAATAATAGGAATATTAAAAAATGGAAGATGCAAGGAAAAATTCAACCAATCAGAGAGAACCGATTTTCGTTTGTTTTAGTAAAATCCTATATAAGGGGTGAAATTTTCGGAGGAGGACAGTCGATTTTACAGCGTCTTAGCGTACACGTCGTTTTGTTAAAAAATTTGTTTTATAACCTCAAATTAATTAATTAATTCAAAGTGTATGGAAGAAAACTTACCCACAATAACATCCGTTCCTGTTATCAAGAAAAAGATCCCGATCCAGACACAACCAAGTTTCCCGTCCAAATTCTTCGTTTCATCCTAAACAAAACCAGATAAGTGATAACGATTAATATTTTATGTAATACTCACGTTTTTTGGAGAATTACAAAGTTCATTTCACACAACCTAAAAATTCTCTGATTAATAGGTTATGTTAACCTCGTTAACCTAAGCTTTACTAACAATAAGACGATTCGTTCTGTGGCGCCATCTCTTAGATATATTTTGAAATTATTCAGCTAAGAATCGAACCTATCTTTTGTGACAAATTTTAAAACATTTTATAGAAATTAAGAATATATCAAAACGACATTGACATTTCAAACCGGAAGTTGCTTATATCTCGAGTATAAGTTAAAGGATTTTTTCACGACGATTACAAATATGTCAAAATTGGGGTTGACATTTTACACCTGAAGTTAGTTATCACATAATAGACAAATGGGCAACTTCATGGTGCTCTTTAATGTCAACTTTAATTTTATTATTATTTTATATTATAATAAATGTTATTATATTTTATATTATTAATGTTATTTTGAAGTTTAAAACATCAATGTCGCAGGAAAAAATGCCATTTTGAAGTAGAAAGTGTCAACTTTACACTGATTTATGTCGTTTTTGTATTAAAAAAATAAAAGAACTAATACAAGACCTAAAAAACATTCAAGTGTTAATGTCAACTCTAATTTTCTTATTGTATTCGTAATCTTTATAAAATAATCTTTAAAATGAGTCCAAACATGACGCACTTATCTCAAAAAACAAAAAAGTTAGAATAAAAAACATTAAACCCGAAGTTAGCAACAATTTAATTTTTAAATATTAATACCAACCTTAATTTTTGATTATTTTTTATTTTATATTTGTTTTTGTGACAAATTTTAACACATTTTATAAAAATTAAGAATACATCAAAATGACAATGACGTTTCAAACCGGAAGTTGCTTATATCTCGAGTAATATTGGAATTAAACGTATCATGTTTGGGCTTATTTTAAAGGATTTTTCATGAAGATTACAAATATGTCAAAATTGAGGTTGACATTTTTAACCGGAAGTTGACTATAACTTCATTAATATTGAAGATAAATATGTCGTGTTTGTACCCATTTTAAAGGATTTTTAATGAATATTACAAATATGTCAAAATTGAGGTTGACATTTTAAACCTGAAGTTATGAGAACTGACATTTGATAGATAAAAAATGACATTTGATAGATAAAAATGACATTTGATAGATTAGAATTAAATTTGTCATATAAATTATGACATTTGACAGATAAAAATTAAATTTGACATATAAAAAATGACATTTGATAGATAAAAATGATAGATAAAAATGACATTTGGCAGATTAGAATTAAAGTTGTCATATGAAAAATGACATGTGACAGATAAAAATGACATTTGACAGAGAAAAAATGACATTTGACAGTTGAGGAATGACATTGGATAGTTTAGAATTAAATTTGTCATATAAAAAATGACATTTGACAGATTACAGTTAACCCTTCCTCCGTATACGGTTTTTTAGCACCTTCCGCCTGTAAAGGTGGGTCTTTCGGGTCCGGCCGTTTTTTTCATCCTGTTAATGCACTCAAAAAATTTTATAAACAATTCATAATAATGTTCGAAACCTTCAACTTGATAAATCAATCATAAAATTATCGAAAAATTAATTTTTACATACATATTTTTTTATATGAAATGAGGCAATTATTTACCAAAACAGTCGGACAGAAAATATCCAGGTTTACAGAGGAAGGGTTAAATTTGTCATATAAAAAATGACATTTGACAGATTAGAATTAAATTTGTGATATAAAAAATGACATTTGACAGATAAGAAATGACATCTGACAGATAAGAAATAACATTTGACAGATAAAAATTAAATTAGACATATAACAAATGACATTTGACAGATAAAAAAATGAGGTTATATAATCACTTACGGAACATTCCATTAAAGTACTCGCACTTTCGCATCGTTGGGGCCCCTTTTGTAGGGGAACAACGGGGGTTTGGCCCCATCCGTCCAATCCGCAATGCGTACAAGCCGCCGTAACCGGAAGCATCGGCTGCAAACACTGCCTCATGTTGCAGGTTTGTTTCGCCCGGCCCGGACCGCCGAATTTAACCATGTCCAAGCAAAAACTGCACTCGCCGCAATCGCTTCGTTGGCACGCCTCGCATTTTTTACACCTAAAAGGTAAATAATGATGATTAATATTGACATAACCTCAAATTAAAAAGAAGAAAAAATTTTTTAATGTTTTTTAGGATTTTTTTTTATTTCGGGGTTGGTGTTACGAATTCGCCGAAATAAATCGGTAACGCCATCTTTTCGAAATTTTGGTAAGTTATTAAATATGAAATATGACAGATAAAGAAGGAAATTGAGGTTATAATCGATTATTATTAAATAATTAACGAGAAAATTAATAAATAAACATAAAACTTCTCGAAATACAAGGTAAACAAGTTCTTTTTGATGATATTGAAGTTTTTATTTTAGTAGGAACTCCGAATAAGAAAAGTTTTTGTCCTAAAGGAATTAAGAAAAGTTAAGGAATAACACCAAAAACTTTAGTGAATAATTAAATTGTTTTGGAACTTTTTATAACGAATAAATGAACGAATAATTTTCTGTAATGCTGAAGACTTTTGAAAAATTAATTAATGTCATTTAATAGTAAGAAATGTCATTTTGACGTTCGTTATGACATTTTAAAAGTAAAAAATGTCATTTTGAGGTTCATTATGACATTGTAACAGTAGAAAATGTTATTTTGACGTTTATTATGACATTTTAAAAGTAAAAAANCTTATATCTCGAGTAATATTGGAATTAAACGTATCATGTTTGGGCTCATTTTAAAGGATTTTTCACGATTACAAATATGTCAAAATTGAGGTTGACATTTTTAACCGGAAGTTGACTATAACTTCATTAATATTGAAGATAAATATGTCGTGTTTGTACTCATTTTAAAGGATTTTTAATGAAGATTACAAATATGTCAAAATTGAGGTTGACATTTTAAACCTGAAGTTATGAGAAATGACATTTGAGACATAAAAAATGACATTTGATAGATAAAAATGATATTTGACAGATTAGAAATAAATTTGTCATATAAATTATGGCATTTGACAGATACAAATTAAATTTGACATATAAAAAATGACATTTGATAGATAAAAACTGACATTTAACAGAGGAGAAATGATATTTGACAGATGAGAAATGACATTTGATAGATAAAAATGACATTTGATAGATAAAAATGACATTTGATAGATAAAAATGACATTTGACAGATGTAAATTAAATTTGACATATAAAAAATGACATTTGGCAGATGAAAAATGACATTTGATAGATAAAAATGATATTTGATAGATTAGAATTAAATTTGTCATATAAATTATGACATTTGACAGATGAAAATTAAATTTGACATGTAAAAATTGACATTTGACAGAGGAGAAATGATATTTGACAGATGAGAAATTACATTTGATAGATAAAAATGACATTTGACAGATATAAATTAAATTTGACATATAAAAAATTACATTTGACAGATGAGAAATGACATTTGATAGATAAATAATGACATTTGATAGATAAATAATGATATATGACAGATGAGAAATAACATTTGACAGTTGAGAAATGACATTTTCCATATAAATAATGACATTTGACAGATAAAAACTAAATTTGTGATATAAAAAGTGACATTTGACAGATGAGAAATGATATTTGACAGATAAAAATGACATTTGACAGATAAAAATGACATTTGACAGATGAGGAATGACATTTGATAGATAAGTATGACATTTGACAGATTAAAATTAAATTTGTCATAGAAAAAATGTCATTTGACATTTAAAAATTGATATTTGATAGATAAAAATGACATTTGACAGATAAAAATGACATTTGACAGATAAGAAATTACATTTGATAGCTAAATATGACATTTAACAGATTAGAATTAAATTTCATATAAAAAATGACACTTTCCATATAAAAAATGACATTTAACAGTTGAGCAATGACGTTTGATAGATAAAAATGACATTTGATGTAAAAAAATGACATTTGATAGTTGAGGAATGACATTAGATAGTTTAGAATTAAATTTGACATATAAAAATGAGATTTGACAGATGAGAAATGACATTTGATAGATAAAAATGACATTTGATAGATAAAAATGACATTTGGCAGATTAGAATTAAAGTTGTCATATGAAAAATGACATGTGACAGATAAAAATGACATTTGACAGAGAAAAAATGACATTTGACAGTTGAGGAATGACATTGGATAGTTTAGAATTAAATTTGTCATATAAAAAATGACATTTGACAGATTACAGTTAACCCTTCCTCCGTATACGGTTTTTTAGCACCTTCCGCCTGTAAAGGTGGGTCTTTCGGGTCCGGCCGTTTTTTTCATCCTGTTAATGCACTCAAAAAATTTTATAAACAATTCATAATAATGTTCGAAACCTTCAACTTGATAAATCAATCATAAAATTATCGAAAAATTAATTTTTACATACATATTTTTTTATATGAAATGAGGCAATTATTTACCAAAACAGTCGGACAGAAAATATCCAGGTTTACAGAGGAAGGGTTAAATTTGTCATATAAAAAATGACATTTGACAGATTAGAATTAAATTTGTGATATAAAAAATGACATTTGACAGATAAGAAATGACATCTGACAGATAAGAAATAACATTTGACAGATAAAAATTAAATTAGACATATAACAAATGACATTTGACAGATAAAAAAATGAGGTTATATAATCACTTACGGAACATTCCATTAAAGTACTCGCACTTTCGCATCGTTGGGGCCCCTTTTGTAGGGGAACAACGGGGGTTTGGCCCCATCCGTCCAATCCGCAATGCGTACAAGCCGCCGTAACCGGAAGCATCGGCTGCAAACACTGCCTCATGTTGCAGGTTTGTTTCGCCCGGCCCGGACCGCCGAATTTAACCATGTCCAAGCAAAAACTGCACTCGCCGCAATCGCTTCGTTGGCACGCCTCGCATTTTTTACACCTAAAAGGTAAATAATGATGATTAATATTGACATAACCTCAAATTAAAAAGAAGAAAAAATTTTTTAATGTTTTTTAGGATTTTTTTTTATTTCGGGGTTGGTGTTACGAATTCGCCGAAATAAATCGGTAACGCCATCTTTTCGAAATTTTGGTAAGTTATTAAATATGAAATATGACAGATAAAGAAGGAAATTGAGGTTATAATCGATTATTATTAAATAATTAACGAGAAAATTAATAAATAAACATAAAACTTCTCGAAATACAAGGTAAACAAGTTCTTTTTGATGATATTGAAGTTTTTATTTTAGTAGGAACTCCGAATAAGAAAAGTTTTTGTCCTAAAGGAATTAAGAAAAGTTAAGGAATAACACCAAAAACTTTAGTGAATAATTAAATTGTTTTGGAACTTTTTATAACGAATAAATGAACGAATAATTTTCTGTAATGCTGAAGACTTTTGAAAAATTAATTAATGTCATTTAATAGTAAGAAATGTCATTTTGACGTTCGTTATGACATTTTAAAAGTAAAAAATGTCATTTTGAGGTTCATTATGACATTGTAACAGTAGAAAATGTTATTTTGACGTTTATTATGACATTTTAAAAGTAAAAAATGTCATTTTAAGATTCATTATGACATTGTAATAGTAAAAAATGTCATCGTGAAGTTTATTATGACATTGTAATAGTAAAAAATGTCATTTTGAGGTTCATTATGACATTGTAACAATAAAAAATGTCGTTTTGATGTTCAAACTGACATTTTAAAAGTAAGACATATTTTGAAGTTTAAAATGTCAATGTCACATCGAATTATGTCGTTTTTTGCATTCATCATGGCATTGTAACAGTAACAAATGTTATTTTGACGTTCATTATGACAATGTAACAGTAACAAACGTCATTTTGACGTTCATTGCAACATTGTAACAGTTGCAAATGTTATTTTGACGGTCATTATGACATTTTAATAGTAAAAAATATTATTTTGACGTTTAAAACGTCAATGTGAAAAGCAAAAATGCCATTTCAAAAAATAAAATGGATAAATTAATGCACCCTAATTTACAGTTTCCTTCTTTCACATCACAAAAATGATTCTTTCCATCAATAATTAATTCTTTAGATTGATTTATCAAAAAAAAACGTTTTAAACATTTAAATTTAATAAAAATTAATAACAAAAAAATAAAAATTTAAGAAATGTCATTTTGAGGTTCATTATGACATTTTAAAACTAAGAAATGTCATATTGAGGTTCATTATGGTATTGTAACAGAAAAAAAAATGTCATTTTGACGTTCATTATGACATTGTAACAGTAAAAAATGTTATTTTGACGTTCACTATCACACTTTAAAACTAAGAAATGTCATTTTGAGGTTCATTATGATATTGTAATAGTAAGAAATGTCATTTTGAGGTTCATTATGACATTTGAACAGTAAGAAATGTCATTTTGATGTTCTTTTTGACATTTTGAAAGTAAGAAATATTATTTTTAAGTTTAAAATGTTAATAACAAAGGAAAAAAATGGAATTTTTACATTGATGGTGTCAACTTCACACAGAATTATGTCGTTTTTGTATTCATTATGACATTGCAACAGCAAGAAACGTCATTTTGAGGTTCATTATGACATTTCAAAAGTAAGAATTATTATTTTCAAGTTTAAAACGTCAACCTCAATGTCATTTTTAGATTGATTTATCAAAAAAACGTTTTATAACAATTTCATTATTACCCTTAAAGTGGTTTAAACATTTAAATTTAATAAAAATTAATAACAAAAAAATAAAAATTTATAGAAATTTATATAATATTTTATAGAAAAGTTGTAATGGTTTCATGGTTTTTAATTCAGGTTTATTTTTAATACATTTTTTCTATCAACGGTTCGTTGTTTTAATAAAAACTTTTTAGTTTTTGCAAATAACAAATGTCATTTTGACGTTCATTACGATATTTCAAAAGAAAAAAAGTTTAAAATGTCAACCTCAAAAATTAAAATGGATAAATGAACGTACCCTAATTTACAGTTTTCTTTCTTTCACAAAAATGATTCTTTCCATTAATTCTTTAAATTGATTTATCAAAAGAAAACGTTTTAAAACAATTTCATTTTTACCCTTAAAGCGTTTTAAATATTTAAATTTAATAAAAAAAAATTTTTTTTACCTCACCTTTTTCATATAATAATTTTATTTCATTTATAAAATAAATAAAAAATAAATAATATTTATTGTCACTGACAGCTCAATAGTAGCGACATCTATGAGTGACGTTTGATGACAGTTTTATTTTGATAATATTAATAAATGTATAAAAACTCATAGTTTAAATAGAAATGATCAAAAACCAATCGATTCTTGATATTAATGTGTAATTAAACATTTAATAATTATAGTAAATAAAATAAATTTCACTTCAACTTTGAAAACAATCTGATTCTGTCAATTGTCAGAAATCAATCAGTGTGAAAGGAAGGGCTACCAACCTTTTTTTTTTTTTTCTTAATCTTATTTGTTAACATAAGATATCACTATGTTGCATATTTTTATTGACCTAAAACTAGAATTAACACAAGACCTAGAACTAGAATCATTCGGGTTTAGCCGTCTGGAGAGACGAGCGGCTAAATCCGAATGTTTCTAGTTCTAGCTCTAATGTTAGTTTTAGTGATAGTGCTAGGTAGCGCTAGTTAGCATTAAATATCATTGTGTTGTATATTATTATTGCTAGACTTGATGGTTTTTGACAGAATTTCGACGCACGGTTAAGAAAAAAACATTCAAGTATTAATGTCAATTCTAATTTTAACCTCAAAAATGACATTTCAAAATATTAAATGGATAAATGAACGTACCCTAATTTACAGTTTTCTTTCTTTCACAAAAATGATTCTTTCCAATTCATTCTTTAAATAGATTTATCAAAAGAAAACGGTTTAAAACAATTTCATTTTTACCCTTAAAGCGTTTTAAGAAGGTTTGAAGGGCTACCAACCTCATTTTTTCTTAATCTTACATGTATATAAGATATCACTATGTTGCATATTTTTATTGACCTAAAACTGATACTATCACTAGAACTAACATTAGAGCTAAAACTAGAAACATTCGGATTTAGCCGCACGTCTCTTAAGACGGCTAAACCCGAATGATTCTAGTTCTAGGTCTTGTGTTAGTTCTAGTGATAGTGCTAGGTAGCGCTAGTTAGCATTAAATATCATTGCATTGTATATTATTATTGCTAGACTAGAGATTTTGATGTTTTTTGACAGAATTTCGACGCACAGCTAAGAAAAAAACATTTAAGTGTTAATGTCAACTATAATTTTAACCTCAAAAATGACATTTCAAAATATTAAATGGATAAATGAACGTAACCTAATTTACAGTTTCCTTTCTTTCACAAAAATGATTCTTTCAATTACTATGTTGCATATTTGTATTGACCTAAAACTAGAACTAACACTAGAGCTAGAACTAGAAACATTCGGGTTTAGCCGTGCGTCTCTTAAGACGGCTAAACCCGAATGATTCTAGTTCTAGGTCTTGTGTTAGTTCTAGTGATAGTGCTAGGTAGCGCTAATTAGCATTAAATATTGTGTTGTATATTATTATTGCTAAACTAGACCTAGAATTAGAAATATTCGTGTTTAGAAGTGCGCCTAAATATAATTTTGATGTTTTTTGACAGAATTTCGAAAAAAACATTCAAGTGTTAATGTCAACTATAATTTTAACCTCAAAAATGACATTTCAAAATATTAAATCCATAAATGAACGTACCCTAATTTACAGTTTCCTTTTTTTCACAAAAATGATTTTTTCCATTAATTTTTTTTCATATAACAATTTTATTTAATTTACTCACCGAGTTCTTCGCCTCCTTGGTCCCCCTTTATCACCAGCAACTCCTCCACCACCATTAGGACTCCCTTTTTGCGACTTAACCCCACTTCCGGTCACCTTTGGTCCTTTAAAACCATCCTTAAACCCGCTTTTAAAAGCCCCCCTTTGAATATACCCCAATTTACTTTTACTTTCCATGTTAGTCTCATCAGGAAGATTCAAAATCGGCCTACCCGTAATCGCCAATTCCCTCACATCTTGTCGATGTTGTCCGATTAACGTTCGAACGTCTTGAATCAAAGCAACCGGATCTTTGATTAATTCTGGTACATTTTTTTTATTCGCCGGTAACATGTGGAGAAATAAAACGATTTCTTTTAACCCATGTAATTCAGAATGGGTTAAATGAACGTGTTGTTGCTTTTCTGTTGGCGAAAATTCGTTGGTTGAGGTTAGATGTGATCGTCCGAGTAAGCAAAAAACGTAACGTTCGAGTACGTACCATAACATTTCGGTGAAAAAGGGGTAACGAAATTTTTGGGGGACCTTCGTCGTGTCCTCAACTTGCGCTATTTTTAATTGTTTATCAATTCCGAAGGAATGCAAAAAATTCCCGCCAAAAACTAACGAATCGCACGGAGTATAAACGGCGTGAATCCACCCAGTTGGGATAAAAAACGTATTTCCCTCCAACAAAGTAATTCTTGCACACTTTTCGACGGAATCCCCAAAGAAAATATCCGATTGTTTACCAGATAAAACCCACCGTTCGTACAAATCTAGGTTATGTTTCGTCGGGGGGATTAACCAAAACACTTTACACCCTTTTAAAATGTGATACCACACCGAAGTCCCCCCAAAATCGACGTGAAAATCAGTGTAGCACCCTTTAACACTCATCAAACAATATTTTTGAACTTTGGGGTATTTCATATCATCCAAAACGTTGGTCGCTTCGGTTTGGCTCTCTTTTAGATGTCTCGGCCAAACGCAATCCACCCAATCTAATAATCGAACGATTGTGGGGCTTTGAACGTAATTTTCTAACTTAGTGTGTGAAAATTCCAACGAAATCACGTTTAATAATCGATCTTTATTTTGATCTTCGTAATATTTTTGCCACTCCTTCATGGTCATTTCACTATTTTTTTGTGTATTAACGTCCATAACGTCGAGGATACGTCTCGAACCAACGCACATTCGAACGTCGTTTATCGTGAAGTTATTCGTGGGGACGCGGAGCCCCAACCCCGATTTTTCTTTAAACAATAAAGGCGTGTTAAAACCGTTCCGTTGGAAATAAGAGACGGTTAATTCCGATCCGTGCATCTCTTTAACCATACAATGCGAGGCAAAAGTGGGATCTTCGAGTTTTTGTTGAATCGAAAATGTTCGTCTTCCTTCGATGTCGTCGTCGTTTAACGCCCAATCTTCCGAATAAAGCTTTTTTTGTTTGCGTTCCCTCTAAAAAGAATTTTAAATTAGTTAGTTGTGGTGAAATGGAAATTTTTTTGAGGTTATGTACCGTCCGAAACGAGTAATCTTTATTTATGCTGGATTTCTTTGATTTAACACTCGCCATATTGCGTATTACATTAAATGGAGGCCTCGTGAACGCGGAGCTGCTGCGGTTGTTGCATTACTGCCGTTTAGTTTGANATGGATACAATTTCTTTGCTATCACCGTTCCTAGAAATATATTCTGAAGCAAGTTTGGTACCATTCCTCATCTCCGTTTGCATGCCACTTTATTCTTCTTCACCTCATTCAATTGAGTTATGTTCAACAGTTCATCACTAAAATAAACACAGATCATTACAAAACATAGCTTTGTCTTTAGAAGAATACTCACCAAGATATATTATTCGTTCTTTATCTATCTTGCCCATGGCCATGTTATTTCATGAGTTGAGGCTTCTCCTTTTTGCACTAAACTTTTTTTTGATGACAAGCCTTCAAAAGCCATGCATCCCACGAGTTAAAATTAAACTAACTTATTTTATTAACAGATTTTATTAGCTCGATTAAAGCTTATAAGGGGGGAAATAGTTATAAAAAAAAATATTTACAAAGTTTTAATCAATACAAATTAATCTTTGGTGATTATATCGATAAATTATTTACAATTTATACATAAAAATAAGAGATCAAAAAAAAATTAATACATTTTGAGTCAAATTAAATCAATATTAACTATTATTATTAATCACCCTCTTATCGACCAACTTAACGTCCTTAACTTGCAAATCAAGTTCGCTTTTCGCGGCGAATTGGATCACCGCTTGCGTCGAAACTTGCGTCGAGTGTCTTAAATCTAACCTAGTCAAACTTTTGCATTTCGCCAACTGTTCTAAACTCACTTCCGTAACTAATTTTGATCGACTCAAATCTAAACTAACTAAATTATTGACCGTAGGGGCCGGTTTCGTGCTTAATTGCGCGATCCCCGCGTCGGAAATCCTCGGACAACAACTCAAACTTAACATTTGCAAATTCGGTAGGTATTGGGTCACGTATCTCATCGCTATGTCGGTAATATCGGTCCCCGCTAAATTTAAACTCTTCAAATTACGAAATCTTATTTTCTCATCGGTTAAACCACGCCTTGAATCGTTGTTTGGTCCCAAAATTTCCCTCAAAGCTGCGTCGTTAAACCCGGAGATGTACGAGACGTCCAAATTTTCGAGTTGAGACACCGCGTTTAAACAGGTCCGTAACGAAATGATCGATTTTATGTTCGTTCCGATTAAAGATAAAGTTTTTAAATTCGTTAAGCGTTGTATTAACCACGGTAGTTGGTATTTATTGATTTGGCACCAATCGAAAATTAACACTTCCGGTTGTCTTCGCACGATGCCTTTTAAATGTTCCGACGATATTTGGCGTTTCGTGAAATCCATTCGTTTCCACAACGAGGGGTCGATCGAGAAATGGGCCCAAGTTTTACAAACTAACGAACATTTATTTAACTCGCGGGTATTTAAATACTTAAAAACGCACAAAATCACCTTTTTATCCAAAGTTAAGTTGGTACCGATCGAATTTAGGACCGGTATCGAAGCTGGGCGAACCACAAACATAGGTTTTTTTAAGATTTTCCCGGAATTACTCGCTAATTGTTGCGCTAATTGAACTCGTAAAGCTTGTTTCCTAGGGGGTTCACCGTTACTCAAGTTATTCACCACCAAATTGTTTTTATTTTCACTCTCACAACTCTCGGAACTCCTCCGCTTCTTCACCACCATGTTTTGATACCCCAACATGTTTATTTCATCCTTGTTATCGTTTTCCGGGCCCGAATCATCCCCGCTTTGCTCCAAACGATAATCGTCGTTCCTCTCCAACATTTGCTGCTTCAAATTCGCATCTAACGGAGCGCTCGCGTCGGAACTAATCGACATTCGGCGCATATCGCTCGATTTTTGGCGAGCGCGAAAATGCCGCGGACGATAATCCGTGTTTTTACCCAACTTACAACATTGAGGACATTCCCAAGAATTGGGCATATCCTCGTTGATGTAACCCGTAAATTGAGGACATAAACGTTGTACGCAAGCCGGGTGGGCTATCTCATAACACACCTAAAATAAATCAAAAAATTTTATTTGACAGATAAAAAATGACATTTGACTGATGAAAATAAATTTGGCAGATGAGAAATTACATTTGATAGCTAAAAATGACATTTGACTGATGCGAAATGACATTTTCCATATAAAAAATGATATTTGACAGATCAGAAATGACATTTGACAGATAAAAATTAAATTTGTGATATAAAAAATGACATTTGACAGATGAGAAATGACGTTTGATAGATAAAAATGACATTTGACAGATGAGAAAGACATTTGATAGCTAAATATGACATTTAATAGATTAGAATTAAATTTTTCATATAAAAATGACATTTGACAGATCAGAAATGACATTTGACAGATAAAAATTAAATTTGTGATATAAAAAATGACATTTTCCATATAAAAAATGACATTTGACAGTTGAGAAATGACATTTGACAGATAAAAATTAAATTTGTGATATAAAAAATGACATTTGACGGATGAAAAATGACATTTTCCATATAAAAAATTACATTTGATAGCTAAATATGACATTTGACAGACTAGAATTAAATTTGTCATATAAAAAATGACATTTGACAGATGAGAAATGACGTTTGATAGATAAAAATGACATTTGACAGATAAGAAATTACATTTGATAGTTTGATAGATAAAAATGACATTTGACAGATAAGAAACTACATTTGATAACTAAATATGACATTTGACAGATATAAATTAAATTTGTCATATAAAAAATGACATTTGACAGATGAGAAATGACGTTTGATAGATAAAAATGACATTTGACAGATAAGAAATTACATTTGATAGTTTGATAGATAAAAATGACATTTGACAGATAANAACCTTTAAAATGAGTCCAAACATGACGCACTTATCTCAAAAAACAAAAAAGTTAGAATAAAAAACATTAAACCCGAAGTTAGCAACAATTTAATTTTTAAATATTAATACCAACCTTAATTTTTGATTTTTTTTATTATATTCTTGTTTTTGTGACAAATTTTAACATTTTATAAAAATTAATGTCAAAATGACATTGACATTTCAAACCGGAAGTTGCTTATATTTCGAATAATATTACAATAAACGTATCATGTTTGGGCTCATTTTAAAGGATTTTTCACGACAATTACAAATATGTCAAAATTGACGTTGACATTTTTAACCGGAAGTTGACCATAACTTCATTAATATTGAAGATAAATATGTCATGTTGGTACTCATTTTAAAGGATTTTTAATGAAGATTACAAATATGTCAAAATTGAGGTTGGCACTATAAACCTGAAGTTAGTAACATACAATAGACAAATGGGCAACTTCATGGTGTCGTTTCAAGATGCTTCGTGAACGTGGAGCTGCTGCAGTTGTAGCATTACTGCCGTTTAGTTTGAGAGGCACCGCAACAAGCAGCAACTCAATCCGATCATGCGCAGAAGACATATTATAAATTTTAATTAAAATTCATTTCTGCTTCGAGACTTTTATTTGAAATTGGATTAAAATAGAACTTACCCTATTTAATTTATTAATTAATTAAGCTTTTTGTAATAAATTGATGTTGAAACGTCAATTAAATGTCAATAAACGACATAACTTGGACGTAACCTCACTTTTCTTTTTTTTTTTTGCCGAATTGTAATTAGTTAATAAATTTAAATGTTTCAAATCAACAATTTAATAATAACCGTTTTTTTAAACAATTTCGACTTATTTCAATTTAATTAAAGTAAACAGTTAATTAAAATTGTGTTAAATAAAAAATTAATACCAACCCAAGAAATTCCCCCAAATAAAATCCCCAAAAATAATAAAAAACAAATTTTTTGTAATAATCATTTCGAAAATCGCTTAATTCATTAATTTCGACTTATTATTATTAAAAATTAGTTTATTATTATTATTGTTTACAACATGTCAACCTCAAAATGTCATGTTTGCAGTAATAAATATCATTTTGACATTTGAAAAGTAAGAAATGTTAATTTGAAGTTTAAAACGTCAATGTCAAAGAAGAAAATGTTATTTTGAAGTTGAAGGCGTCAACTTCACACTGTATTATGTCGTTTTTGTATCAAAAAAAATAAAAGAAATATATTAGTATTGAACTAAAACTAGAACTAACACTAGACCTAGAACTAGAAAATATCGGGTTTAGCCGTGCGTCTAGACGCACGGCTAAACCCGAAACTTTCTAGTTCTAGGTCTAGTGTTAGTTCTAGTTTTACACTATCGCTAGAACTAACGCAAGACCTAGAACTAGAATCATTCGGGTTTAGCCGTCTTGAAAGACGTGCGGCTAAACCCAAATGTTTCTAGTTCTCGATGTAGTGCTAGTTCTAGTAACAGTGCTAGGTAGCGCTGGTTACCATTAGATGTCACTGTGTTGCATATTATTATTGTACAATAACTAGAACTAACGGTTAAGAAAAAAACATTCAAGTATTAATTTCAACTTTAATTTTATTGTTATATTCGTAATCTTTATAAAATAACCTTTAAAATGAGTCCAAACATGACGCACTTATCTCAAAAAACAAAAAAGTTAGAATAAAAAACATTAAACCCGAAGTTAGCAACAATGAAGATAACAATTTAATTTTTAAATATTAATACCAACCTTAATTTTTGATTTTTTTTATTATATTCTTGTTTTTGTGACAAATTTTAACATTTTATAAAAATTAATGTCAAAATGACATTGACATTTCAAACCGGAAGTTGCTTATATTTCGAATAATATTACAATAAACGTATCATGTTTGGGCTCATTTTAAAGGATTTTTCACGACAATTACAAATATGTCAAAATTGACGTTGACATTTTTAACCGGAAGTTGACCATAACTTCATTAATATTGAAGATAAATATGTCATGTTGGTACTCATTTTAAAGGATTTTTAATGAAGATTACAAATATGTCAAAATTGAGGTTGGCACTATAAACCTGAAGTTAGTAACATACAATAGACAAATGGGCAACTTCATGGTGTCGTTTCAAGATGCTTCGTGAACGTGGAGCTGCTGCAGTTGTAGCATTACTGCCGTTTAGTTTGAGAGGCACCGCAACAAGCAGCAACTCAATCCGATCATGCGCAGAAGAGATTATAAATTTTAATTAAAATTCATTTCTGCTTCGAGACTTTTATTTGAAATTGGATTAAAATAGAACTTACCTTATTTAATTTATTAATTAATTAAGCTTTTTGTAATAAATTAATGTTGAAACGTCAATTAAATGTCAACAAACGACACAACTTGGACGTAACCTCACTTTTCTTTTTTTTTTTTAATCGAATTATAATTTAAATGTTTCAAATCAATAATTTTATCGTCTTTTTAAACGATTTAGATTAATTTAATTAAAATAAGAAATTAATTTATAGCAACAATTAAAGTTAAATAAGTTAAAGTTAATTAAAAAAATTAATACCAACCCAAAAAATTCCCCCAACTAAAATCAAAAATTTTCCTAATAATCGCTTAATTCATTAATTTCGATTTATTATTATTAAAAATTAGTTTATTATTATTATTATTACCTCAAAATGTCATGTTCGCAGAAATAAATGTCATTATGACATTTTAAAAGTAGAAATGTTATTTTAAAGCTTAAAACGTCAATGTCACAGGAGAAAATGCGATTTTGAAGTCGAAGGTGTCAACTTCACACTAAATTGTGTCGTTTTTGTATAAAAAAAAAAAAATAAAAAAAATATATTTGTATTGAACTAAAACTAGAACTAACACTAGATCTAGAACTAGAATGTTTCGGGTTTAGCCGTGCATCCTCAGACGCACGGCTAAAGGATTTTTCACGACCATTACAAAAATGTCAAAATTGACGTTGACATTTCTAACCGGAAGTTGACCATAACTTCATTAATATTGAAGATAAATATGTCATGTTGGTACTCATTTTAAAGGATTTTTAATGAAGATTACAAATATGTCAAAATTGAGGTTGGCACTATAAACCTGAAGTTAGTTATCATATAACAAACAAATGGGCAACTTCATGGTGTCCTTTCACGATGTATTCTTTATTAAAAACTCTTTAAAATGAGTCCAAACACGACGCACTTATCTCGAAAAACAAAAAAGTTAGAATAAAAAACACTAAACCCGAAGTTAGCAACAATTTAATTTTTAAATATTAATACCAACCTTAATTTCTGATTTTTTTTTTATTATACTTTTGTTTTTGTGACAAATTTTAAAACATTTTATAAAAATTAATATGTCAAAATGACATTGACATTTCAAACCGGAAGTTGCTTATATCTCAAGTATTATTGGAATTAAACGTATCATGTTTGGGCTCATTTTAAAGGATTTTTCACGACGATTACAAATATGTCAAAATTGAGGTTGACTTTTTTCGAATGTAGGTATTTACTTCTCGGTTTAGTGCTAGTTCTAGTGGTATATTTTTATTGAACTAAAACTAGAACTAAAATTAATGTTGAAACGTCAATTAAATGTCAACAAACGACATAACCTCACTTTTCTTTTTTGTAATCGAATTATAATGAATGAATTAATTTAAATGTTTCAATTCAATAATTTTATCGTTTTTTTAAACGATTTAGATTAATTTCAATTTAATTATAATAAACAATTAATTTATAGCAACAAATTGTGTTAATTAAAAAAATTAATACCAACTCAAAAAATTCCCCCAACTAAAATCCCTAAAAATAAAAATCAAAAATTTTCGTAATAATCTAAACTTAAAACTAAAAACATTCCTGTTTAGCCGTGCGCCTAAAAATAATTGTTTGTACTCATTTTAAAGGTTTTTTTAATGAAGAATACAAGAATGTCAACCTCAATTTTGTCATATTTATAATCTTCATTAAAAATCCTTTAAAATGAGTACAAACACGACATATCTATCTTCAATATTAATGAAGTTATGGTCAACTTCCGGTTAGAAATGTCAACCTCAATTTTGACATATTTGTAATCGTCGTGAAAAATCCTTTAAAATGAGCCCAAACATGATACGTTTAATTCCAATATTACTCGAGATAT